AGGCTTGTCCCCGAAGAGCGAGGCTTTTGTAAAATTATCCGGCTACGCTGCTGGCATTAGCAATCAAAGATGTTATCAATCAAAGATGGTATGATAACATGAGGGCTAGGGTATGACTAAGAGCTTTTAAGACACCCGACTTGCGAGAGACACGAGAGAGACAGAGTTCGAGAACGAAACGCTGAGGTCGGAGACTGGAGACGATGCCGAACGAGACGTGAAACACGCAAAAAGTGAGAGACAAGTAGAAACAAAAAAATGATCCTGAAAGTAGTCTACCTGAAAACAAGAAGCAAACTCCTTTCAAACGTCCCGGTCGTTCAAACCGCTGCTCTCTCTTCATTCCCCTTCACCGCTTCATCCGCACATCGGGCCCGGTCTTCCTTCCAAATCCTGCCCTACTGATCCCACCATTGCTCGTCGTTTTCCGAGTCTTTGCGGCGCAAAAGTGAAGGCCCGTACAACACCACCTCCTCTTCATCTCCCTCCCGTAAGCCGTCTTTAGTCTCCCTCCTCTCCGAGTCGTGGCCGCCGGAAATGATCGCTGTCGAGGCGACCAAGTCCAGAACTTGCTGCTGCTACGACTTCTATTGGCCTTGACAAGTCAAATGGCGGATGCGACCGGATCCCACAATGTCCACGGCATCCTGACGAGGCGGCGTCCAAAACGCCGACCGAACCCTCCTCCATCGCCATCGATCCCGAGCCTTGATTACTTGTGGCGGTGCACCCGGGACACGGGCGAACAACAGATGGAGGGGTGCGTGGAGCTTCGACTTTGGTGTACCGACGACGCTAAACTTTTTCAGCGAACGACAGCGGGTGACCTGCGGGATTTGGCTTCGTTTGCCGGCAGCGCCGGCCCTGGTGACACGCTTGATGAGACTGACGACAACACGAACGAAGGAGTTGACTTTGACATGAGGGATCATTCAAGCGACAATTTGAGTCATCACTCTATCGACGCGACAGACAACGGTGCATTTAGGCTTAAGGAGTGGGACTTCAATGCGGAAGACGATGGCATTGATGACGAAACTTGGTGCCGTGACCCGTGGGTGCGTGGAGCGGTAGCCAGGCCGCGAGCCTCAGGTATCACCTACCTGTTCCTGTGGCTATGGCGCACAGCCAGAAATTCGATAGGTACCGAGACATGATTCGTCAACATCGTATGCAGTGCCCAACTAGCAGAACAGTCCTATCGCAGAAATGTTCTCAAGTGGAATCTGATGATGACCACGACTCAGTCCAATGAACGGGAACGAGAACAGAGTGGCCAGAGACTAAGAGACAGACTCGCGGAAGGCTAGAAAGTGAAGCGTGATGCTAATAGGGAAGAGGGATTATATACTAGTAAAGCAGGGAAAATGAGTGACTAGAGATTTCATGAAGCGCCGCTAGGCTCAATCCCAAGCACCACAATAGGAACCATAATCAGATGAAGGACGATACAACCATATATCTCTAACAAGTCCCGCAGTACCCGACTAGCAGAACATTCCCCGAGGAAAAGCCGCTTGGAAAGGTCAGGTGACCGGGTTTTGGGATCGGATGTGAGCGTTGCGGGGCCATGTATCGGTTGAGGGGGAGTTTGATGGTATGTTGATGGGTGTTTATATGTACCGTACATGGTTCGCGGGGGTTCATCGTATTCTTTGCTTACGGGGAAGCATCAAGGCGACGGTTCTCATGGCTAGCAGTCCGGTTTTGGTCTCTTTCTCTCTCTCTCTCTCTCCTTCTTCACCCTGCTCTTGTATCGAGGCAGTGTAAACCATCGTCTTAAGAGCTCAAGCTCGTAAGATAGTTCTCACTTTGACTCGAAAGAAGTAGTACCCTGCGATCGCAGATCCAAACCCCTTTAACCCTCTTCCCCGGCCACAGACTCCGCGTCCCCCCCCCCCCCCCTTTTTCACTCCTCTTTGCCCCGCTCCCCGCCTACTCGCTCCTCCCACCTGCTGAGGGGTGCGCTATAGTCTCGAGGCAATAGCCACACAATATGATGATGTGATGATCTGTGTTCTGAATAGCACCCTATAACTCGTACAAAGCGTACGTGAAAAAGACGAAGAAAATGTGCCTAGGGATCGAATCATGAGGCGACGAGGCTATCAACCAGAAAAGAACTTCGATGTGCGATTAGAGTGTCATGAGGGGGGGAGGATCGGAACGAGGAAGCAAGCGAGAATGAGCGCCAGGAGTAAGCCGGGAGTACGCCAGGAGTAAGCCACGAGCAAGACAGGTCGTCGAGCTCAACCGATTGACATGGCGTCGCTGGCCGTCTCGGGCGAGTGCGACGTTCCCGAGCTCGTCGACGGATTTGTCGCCTTCCGACCCTGTTTGTGCCGGCGCCTCGTTTGTTTGGCCTTTCGCCGCCGCTTCTTGGAATCTTCCACAGGGCCAGGGCCTCCACCGTCCACCTCCCTCACGAGATCTTCCAGTGCACCCGACATCGTGAACATCCTGTACACCTGGGCCAGAGCCCCGGCGCCCTTTGAGCTGTCCGAGTCGCCGGTAGACGTAGTAGCAAATTGGCCCGAGGCGATCGCGTGTGCCCGCCGCCCCTGTTTCGCAGACATTGCCTTGACCCTGGGCGGGGCTGGGGTCGTGATCTTCTTCTTCGCCTTATTGGAGCCTTCCGATACGGACTCGACGATCGGGCGCTCGGGGGTCAAAAGGTGAAAGCCATCCGCCCTGACGGCGCCCTTGGTCGCAATCTGGCGGGTCGACGCACATCTCCCGGGCTGCACGGCCTCGAGTCGCCGAACGGCCGCGGCCTCGTGTCGTGTCCTTTGATCGCGAATCACTGCGAGAGGCTGAAGGGGACCCTGATCCGTGGCCTTGGCGCCCTTGCAAGAGCGGGGTTGCACGAAACGGCCGCAGCGCGGGCGCGGACTGGCGACGCAGGTGTTCGTCCGAGCCCCCATCGAACGAAGTGTCGGGGAAGAGGACCCGGGGGGGAATGTTCGATGGCTCGCGGGGCGCTCGGTGGCTTCGAGACCAAGTCGCACCGATAGAAGTCGTACAGTGTTCGGATGGGAGTGATTGCATCGCATACGGCGCGAACGTCAAATTTGGCGCCGACTCGATGCAAGACCGCCGTGGCGTGTTCGTAACCTTGGGTCCAAGTCGCGAGTTGAAAGACTGACCGATCCAACTTTTCGAGCTTGGCCGGACCGTAACCTTCGATACCGGTTGGAAGGTAGTCGCATCCCATCATCAACCCCGCAACGAACCTTCCTTCCGCACCCGGGAACTTTCCCTGACCCTCCAGGATTTCGAGGTCGATGACTCTAACCACGCGATGCTTTACCGATGGAATGATCCGGTATCTCGCACGCTCACTTGGGATCATCATGAAGTAGTCCGAATCTCTGCTGGCGAGGGCGGCACGTTCGCCTTGAACACGTACGCCGCGGATGACGCCGACTCGGGTGCTTGCCGCAATCAGGGGGTCCGCTTCGTGCGCCGAGATGATGACGGTGACCTCCGAGGACATGTCGAAGACGTGTCCCGCTAAGGTCGGCTCGCCTTGACCGCCGAAATTGGTGAGCCATTCGGTCATGGGGTCGGTGTGCCGGTCGGGGCTTCTCCTTTGGAAATTGTCGGGAGAGACTTGGGGCGAGCACCGGACGCCGTTCCCGTTGTCTCTCGACATGGGGGTCCGACGGGCCTTCAAGGCCGGACGAGCCGAAGCGTGGTCGAAGACGATCACGAGGTGGATTCGTCCGGCCGTCGCCGCGACGATGCGATCCGCCTCTGCACGAACCGAGCCGACGAAACGTTGCGTTTGTTTTCGTTCCGAGGTGCCGCTCCGAGCGGCCGAGAACCACTCGGAGGAGAACAGCGTCGAGCCGTCGAGAATCACGACTAGTAGACAGCCGGGTGTGTGTGTGTGGGGGGGGGGGGGGGGGGAGGGGGGGGGGGGGGGTGGGGGGTGGGAGGTGGGAGGGGGGAGGGGGAGAGAGAGGGTGTTCATCGGTGGGTGGAGCATTGCACCAGCAGCGACGGTGGCTTCGGACTCACCATCGACGGCGCCTACCAGCGAAACCAACGCCTGTCGCACATCTTGATGCTGACCCAAAAGGGCTTCCGGAACGGTGAGGAGTTCCTGGTCGAGCAGTTTGTGTGCGTGTGCAATCGTCATGGTCGGTGAGAGATCGAAAGATGAGGGATGAGGGAGTGCGAGGGTAGTACCCGAGGCGTCAGACGTGAACAGGTTGCGCGTGAGCGCGCCCCTGGCTCATCAGCTCGATCTTCTGACCCCTCAAAATGACTCCGAGCCATGAAAGGGCAACACGAGTAATGGGTCGTTCGGACTCAGAGTAGTACGAGCAGATGCGTTAAAATACGAGTGTCATTTTGCAACCATCAAGAATACTGCTTTGCTCATTGTTGCTGCTGCAAATCAGGTCGACTTGGTGACCTCGGGTGACCGAGGGGTCTCCTTTTTCGGAGCATCGCAGCGCCGAGGGAGCTGCGATGCCGAGCGGCGGCGGCGCGGGCTAGCGTCATTGGTAAGCGTGGGACCCCCGGGTCGGTCGTACTGACTTCGCACTTTAGAACACTCCGGATTCTCAACTTGCTCCGAAGAGTTATGTAGCATAATCAAGATCGATAATCTGTACCAAATAAGAAGGTCCATGGCATCGTCAGAGAGAGGTTTGGGTTTTATAAATCGGAAGCGCATAGGCTCCGATACTCAAGACCTCGCTTCCGGCTGGGGCGATCCGATCTAGGCACCCCTCACTCACCAATAGTGATTGAGATATACTCATGCGAAAAGTCGCACGTCCAGTACGTTGCGCTTTCATCCCCGAGCCCAAGATCGACTTGGATCGCCAGATCCTCGCACCTTCGCCATTTTCCTCAACTCGTCGACAAGTGAGCGGTTCCTTTAGATTGGCCGCCGACGCTTTCTCTCGCTTCGTCGCTTGCTCCCGCTGGCCAGCTTCGCTCCACTCGCCGCCGAGGTCCTGAGCACGACCTTGAGGACATCGCGCATGGAATTGAACTCGTCGGTGGCGGCCTTGGCCCATACTGGAAGCACCGCGTGCAGCCGTGCTCCAGGACAATAGACAGGATCAAACAATAGTAATTCACTAGAACCACCGGTCAGTGAGCTGGCAATACTACACATATGAGAAAAGGGGCACCCACCTAGAACCACCGGTCAGTGAGCTGGCGAAAGCCAACGGAGGTTCTAGGCGCGCGCAAGCTATTCAATCAAGTCCAAAGCTCCATCGCCTTCCATAATACCTCGGGCAAAGGCCTCAGGCCTTGCACATACCTCACGTTTGTCACTAGACATTGCCTCGCGCCAGGTCTGTGGGTCGCTGGTGATGAACTTGACTGGCTGAATGGCCTCGCCCACCTCCCCTCGGACATTCAGCAATTCCTCGCCGCACCCGTACTGACGGCCGAGTCCACCCCCTGTACAGCAACCGTCCCCTCGTCCCGTGTGCTCTCCTTCTACCAAAACGACCTCCCCGCCCTCCCCAGTCGCTACCACCTCGACGACCTTCACACCCACCTCTCCCACAACTACTCACAACTCGAATCGAACCATTCCTTCATCGAATGGTGGTTCCCACTCCGAACACCCGGTGTGAACGCTCAAGCACCTTTACTCACCTCGAACCCCAACGAACTCATCGCTTTGAGGACCGATCCGGAGGTGCAACGTCGGTTCAGGAACAGTTACGAGATCATGTTGGATTTTTATGGGTTCGCATTGGACGATTTCGATTCGGGAAGGATCAAGAGAACCGAACACTATGAAGCGAGGTATCGTAATCTGGTAAAGAACAGTCATAATTGGTTACGCCTATCGAGGATCCTCGAAAGTTGTGCAGAGGTAAGTGGCGTTCCCCGACCTTGAAAAAAGTGTCGCGCAAGCCACAACCAAAAAAAAAAAAAAAAAAACCGTTTTCTTAAAACTCGCTTGTTCCTGCTGCTCCTCCCGAACCCAACACCAGTTTGGCCTCGAATACTCCCACGCAGCTCCACTCCTCTTCATCCTCGTCGAACAAAACCCGTCCTCCCCGAACGGACTCTTGAGCGACCGAAGCTTGATCCGATCGATGGACCAATACTGGAGGTATTGCATTCGCAATGAAGAGGAAAGGGAATGGGTTGTCAGGGTGATCGATGAGGTTCGAAGAGGGGAGAGGGAATGGACGCAGACGGAGTACGAGCAGGCGATTGGGAGGAGGAAGGTGACGGGTACTTTCAGGGAGGACGTACAAGCGAATTGAAAACACCGATCACTTGGTTTCATCGGACAGGGGAAAAAAAAAGACATGTCGACGCCATCATATCACACTTCTTCGCTTGGTTTTCCTTGGTGCTAGTACCTTCATCCTTTGATCGAGTGAGCGTTGTTCTTCTCCTGCGTTCACACTACCTCTCCTTCCCTCCACCATTCTGCTACATCAACACTTGCACCAACTACGACGACCCATCACACCCACTCCGAAAAACGCGGCGTCGACGTCCACCGACTCCCAAGCGCCGAGTGCGAGCCCGAAAGTTCAGTGACTCGGAGTTTCCTCGCCACACGCAGCCTACACCTCTTGCGGAAGGGCCATGTTGAATCCAAAAATATTCCCCGTAAGCACCATGTCTCACAAGTCTAAGCATCGCCTCCAAACGCAAAAGTCTTGGAAAGCGGTGCAGCGATTACAGCGACTTGGGTCGTTTCGAGACAATTAGCCGGCCAGCCTTCCCACGCCGCGCGCGAGCAAGGCCCAGCCATCTCACCCGCCACGGGGGTCCCTACTCCGTCGTCGACGCCATCACTTGGTTTTCCTTGGTGCTAGTGCCTTCATCCTTTGATCGAGTGAGCGTTGTTCTTCTCCTGCGTTCACACTACCTCTCCTTCCCTCCACCATTCTGCTACATCAACACTTGCACCAACTACGACGACCCATCACACCCACTCCGAAAAACGCGTAGACTCACCCCGGCCTAATAACCGCTTCGCACAGACCCCCACATCCCCTCGAACTCGGTGATCGACCGCGCCTGCCGACTGAAAACGTGATGAAGCTCTCCCTCCTCGCCACCGCTTGCGTCGCACTCGCGCAGGCTTCATTCGTCGCGGCGACCTACTTCACATCTCCTCAACCTGGTGATACCATCAGGTGAGAACATTATCACAACGCTTGTGGGCAGTTGTGTCAAGCACGTTTCCGGGTGGTGTGCTCACTCCTCCCGCTCGCACCATGTCGTCCCACTAGCAATGCCGGGGGGCTCAAGGTGACATGGAAGTACCAACCCGGAGGAGCACCGAAAGGAACCTGCATCCTCGAGACGGTGCAAGCCTCGGCTCGACAAAACACTCAAGTCGTGATCGCGAGCGAAGTCGATCTCGTCAACACCGCGAGTGTGACGATCCCGATTGACCTCAACGCGCGCAAGTCGTCGACCAACACCTATGTAAGTTCTGGAGCAAATCATCTGGGTAGAACGTGGAGACTTGGCTGCGTGTTGCAGAGACGTCAAGTTCGACCCATCGATCGGCACCAAGGGAAAGAAACTACGACAGGGACAGAATCCCAAGAAATCCCACGAGGTCGATCGCTTCTCCCATCTCGTTCAAGAGATCAGATCGACCAGGCCTGGGATCACGAACATCATCGACGTCGGCTCCGGAAGGGTGAGCTCTTGTGAGCGCTCGTCTCACGCCCGCTTGATCAGAGAGCTGACGCAGTGATCGTATCATATGCTCATGTAGGGACATCTATCACGTGTACTCACGCTTCCCCCCCTGAAGCTCGATGTTCTCGCCGTCGATTGGTCGTCACAGCAGATCTCGGGATCCGAATATCTCGAGACCCTCGGCAAAGCACGTTCGGCTCCTAACCAAACCGAAGTCCAGCCATCCGTTGATACACCGGCAACGAGCCCAGTTCCCGAAAAAGGCACTTTGACGCATCTCACATCTTCACTGGACGCCCTGTCGATCGCGCAACTCTACACCCTGCCCCAAGCTGCCGAAAATGCCGAGCCACCAGCACGAGACGTCGAGCCAGCAATGTTGGTCACATTGCATGGATGCGGCGACTTGACCATCTCTGCACTCCAAGGTCTCTTTCAAGCTCCTTGCCCACTCCCGACTGCGATCCTTGTTGGCTGCTGCTACAATCTGCAAACGCCTTCCTCGTTTCCGCTTTCTGATTTTGTCGCTCGAGCGCTCGACACCACCTCACTAGGGTCAGAAACGAAGGAACCAATGACACGGTTACATCTCAGGATCTCACCTCAATCTCCTGGGTTGTGGTGCCTCACCCCCACGAGTCAACAAGAGCTCAAGGAATCGATCGTCAAACTGGGCTATCGAGCACGACTCGAAGCCGAACTAGCGGCCCAAGGTCTAGGCTCCGAAGGGCAACGTCGTGTAGGAAGGGTGTCCAAGTCGCAAGATTTTGACGACTATCGTCTCAAAGCTTTGAGCAAATACGGCGAAACGGAGGTCCCTCGCTTGAGATTCGGGTCCGACGAGATGGGCGAGGAAAAGGCCTGGATCGAGGCGTTGTACCAGTTGCAGGTGTTTTGGACGTTGAGGTGTCATCTGGGTCCTGTTCTGGAGACGTTGTTGGTCTTGGATAGGTTTGCATTCTTGGTTGAACGGTTGGGGGAGGTTGAGCAGGAGCAGGAGCAGGAGCAGGGTTCGTCGAGGAGGTCATTGGTGTTGGAGTTGAGAAATTTGTTCGATCAGAGCTCGGGGAGCGTGAGGAATATGGCGCTGGTGTTGAGGTAGAAAGATCGAAACCAAGTCATGCTCCGATAAGACATAAATTACCTCCTTCTAGCTGGCTTCGTATAGCACTCGAGTCGACGACGCACAGAGATCGATCACTCGCCCTACTTTAATTTCCCATCTGTCGAATCCCCAGGGTATTCTCGTCGTGCAATTGGTGCTTCCTCCCTTCGACTCTCCTGACCACTCGCACGAGTCGTAGCGGAATAGTGGTTCGAGTTGCAGCAAGACGAAGGACAACATTGGTGGTGTAGGAGTTGTTAAACAAATACCTCAAGCAGTGAAAACCCAGCCTTCTGGGGAAAACCGCAAGAGATTGATCTAAACAGAAGAAAGTCCGAACTTCTTGGTGATACACAGGGATGGTGGGCGGGATGACAATTGGGAGCTTTGCGACCCAAGCTTCTGGATGTCAGTCGGCTGCAACTGATGATGGAGCAAGTCTACTGATCGTCTCAGCATACCTTTGCGACAAAGGCAAGACACTGCATAAAGACAGTTGGAGCACGGTTGGTGCAAAGGACGGCAAAGGTCTGCTGAGAGATATGCAGTTTAGCTCGTTGCCCAACAAGGGCCCGGAGCAAAATGCCCCCACAAAGAATTTGCAGGGATCCAAGTGCAAAGTACACCGTGCAACAAGCTTGGGTGTATCAAAGCACTTACCCCGAGCTACTCTAAGCGAGCCACGTCGAGGGTTTCATAACGAGCTGCTAGCGGCTGTGAACGTCCGGCAAGATGGAACTCTCGATCAGCGACCTCGTCAGCTGGGAGGTAGTCTTGGGAGTGAGGAACGCACCTGTCCCTACAGGTGGTGAACGCAGCTGCAGAAGCTGGTGAGGAAACGTCGACAACGCAGTGAAGGGCCCGAAAGGGGACGTGCGTTGCGAGTGCCGCCCGTGAGCCCGCGTGTGGGAAGCACAGCTATAGCATCCACGGGGGGGAAACGTCGACGACGCAGTGAAGGGCCCAAAAAGGGAACGTGCGTTGCGAGTACCGCCCGTGAGCCCGCGTGTGTGGGAAGCACAGCTATAGCATTCACGGGCGAGAAAGGGTCCGTGCGCCCGAGCCTGAATCGGGGCGTCAAATCCTTGCAGCAAAGGCCGAAAAGACCATCAGCCGACTAAAAAAAGCACGACGTCGAGCATTCGGGTTCGGAGAGGACCATGAAAACGCTTTACAATGGGGACCAGATGTCATTAAGTTTAGGAGTTATGTCGCTGTACCTCTCGCCGGTCCTCCCGCGCCGTCCTCGCTCAAGCTCCGGCAGCTCCACGGCCGCGACCGCGCAACGATTCATCGCGGCCACGTTTGGGAGCCGCAACCGTCCCGGCACGAGCGACGGACACTCTTCCATGAGCCACCATGTCAACCCAATACACAAATATGTCAACGGCTCTTCTGCGCATCCTTCTAGTCAAGTTCATCCCTTTCAGGACCTCAACTCTGGCGCCGCGGTGCCTTCGTCGTCACTGCTGATCACGGACGACGGCGACGAGGGACCGGAGTGCCCCATCTGTGTGGAGCCCCTCAGCCATCGCTTGCAGGGTGAAAAGGCGCATGTGACCCCAGTCTGCGGCCATCAGCTACGTGAGTGCTCCACTTCGGTTGTTCGGTGGCTCGGTGTTGGGGGACCGCCGATCAGCGAGGGCTGAAATGTCCCGACAAGGCAGTCGGCAAATATGCGACTTCGGGCCGGGATTGCGGAGTCCAATGGCTCTACATGCAGAAGTGCAGAGCTGACGGTGATATCGACGAGTGGATCCTCCATCACCAGACTTAGGAATGCTCACAACCAAGCTGAGCACTGCTGGGCATCATGAGCAGTGTCTATCGCTCATTGTGCATACAGTGCGCGCTCGGCACGGGGTGCCGGCGCCACTCCGCCAGTGGCGCCCCGCAGGAACGAGCCAGAGGCGGAGTTTTATTCATGATGCTCTCACAAAGACACAAGTGGTTCGAGACTGATAAGTATTCGCTCTGGTATTGCCGGTCTCCGGGTCGTGCACTCACTGCACTGGTAGTCAGTTCTCACCCACTCCCTGACCATTTACTAGCCTTTTCAGTCCTACGAACGACGATGTTGGCTTATATATTCCCTCTCAGTGAGGAACATCATCGCTCAATCATCTCCCGGCAACTCGACCTACACTTTAAGGACCATCATCTTTCCCTCGGTGCCAGCAGAATCCGCCTCTCTCCAAAGTACGACAGTTCCGCTACCTCTCAGGTTGTTTCTTCGTTGCTGCGCATCTCGGTGGCATGCCTTTCCGTTTCTCCTCTCGTGCTACCGAGATCGTAGGTTGGATCTGCTTCCTTTAATCCTTCCAACATCCTCTCGGCGCGCGATGAATCGGAGGTCTATCAAATGCCAGGTTTTGAGCCTCCTCGAACGCCGTCCTCAATGTCGATCCAAATATCGACCCATGCTCCATCGCGATCCAATCGGTGAGCGCGGGGGTTCATATTCGCGCAGTCGTGATTTCGGTTCGATACGCAGAGATAATCACTCTTCGGGAGAAACCAGTTCGCGTCGATACCGGCTTGTTCGAACGGTTCTCGTCGCCATTGCGGGCCCCAAGCGGCTTTGGGTTTGTACCAGCGGCTTATCCCCGTCGAGACGCGTTCGGGAGGAGACTCGATCAATTCCAACCGCTTTAACGTCGAGAGTTGTGGCCATGGTGGTGTTCGAGTCCACGCTTCGGTGATCGTTTCGATGGCGTAGGGTACCTCGCCAATTTGGGATTCGCGCCGACGACCGAGCGCGATTTGTATCAACCTGGCTTCGGGGGATAGGGCGTCGAGAACGAAAGGGAGCGCTTTGGCGTTGTTGAGCGACAGCTCTTTGAGGGAAGAGCGCTGTGCGAGAAAGCGTTTGCACGACTCGGAGGGCTTGTGGAAAGAGTGAAAGCTCAGACTTGTCAGGCGCGAGGCGACAGGATCCAAAGCGGTCCAGGTCGCTTCGGTACAATCGGTCAAAATCGCGACGTCCATACCGGCCTCATGTCGGTCTAGATAGTATTGGGTTTCAGGCTCAAAGTAGATGAACACGTGTTTGAGAGTGTCTTTGCTGGCGAGAATGAGGGTTTCGATCGATGCGACGTCGAGTCGAGTCGACTCGGCGCGAAGATATAGACTTTGAAGGCGGAATGGAATGAACTGAGGCGCTAGTCGACCGAGCACTCCGTCCGAAGGATATCGAAGATCCTCCAGATCTATACGAGTACACAAGGGGATCGCCAGGGGGATCAGTAGATGGTACCGCGATGACGGCAAATCACACCACCTTGATGATTCGGCGAACGTACCTCGCAGAGCGGGGGTGACATAGGTTCCAAAGGTGCACTTCTTTGATCTTCCCAATTTCAAGCTCCCTTATGCCTCGTGCAAAAGTGGGATGTTCGAGGACCAGCCGGTCGAGGACGAGGCCGAGCTCGCGACGACGACCGCGTACGGAGAAGCTCTGTATGGCCAGAGAGTCGACGGGGAACTGGCCGGGACTCGGACTGCGGACGAAGCGGTTCAATTGGCGCCGTGTGCTCAAGACGATCCGACGATGCAATGCCGCCTGGGAAGCTTTCTTGAACGTCTTACACACGAGGCTCAAATCGCATAGTGCGCTTGTGCGCTGACCCCTCAGCTCTCGCGGGGTGACGTGTCGCCCAATCGTTTCCAGCCATCCACTGCCAGATATGCCGCCTCGACTTGGTCGATGATACGGGTCCACAGCTCGATCGGTAGCTCGTACGGATTGGCCATGCTTTGTGCGGTGACCGCGTTCTCGTTTGAGGACTAGCAAAGTCTGAATTTGTAGCGGCGGCCCAAAATTCGCAAAGAAAAGGGGCTTCTTGCCGATTGATGATGCGGGATTGAGAAAGCAAAGAGGCGCCTCAACTTGGGAAGCCGTTGCTCCTCTCTCTCATCCTCACCCCTCCTCACCCTAACCAGATCCGGATCGATCTCTCACCTGCGCGGACGGTCCAACGATGGCCGACTTTATCGGGAGTCACATCTCGCTCATTAGCAAGAGTGACATGTAAGTCGCTGTACCTCAATGCGTCCCGCGTGATGGACGAACGGAGTCTGATGATCACCACCCGCGACCGCGCGCCCATTCCCCTGTCCCTCTCCCTCTGCAGCAAGTACCTCGGTGTCTTGCACTCGATTGATCCTGTCGAAGCAACCGTGTCTTTGGAAAAAGGTTAGTCTATTGCTACTATTCTTCAGTGAGCCTCTGGCGACAGTAATCGGCTGAGGTCGTCAGGTGTGGACTACCCGGCACCCATTCCATGCCCCACGGGACGCAGGGTCTGTGTCCGTAACGTGCATGACCCATTCGAGCAACACGCAAAACATACTACAATCCATTTGTGCACAGCTGACACCGCCCTGGGACCGGCGCTCGTTTTCCTCCCCACACAGTCCGCTCGCTCGGAACACAAGGTCGCAAGGGCAACCCCGCAGAAGAAATTCCGCCCAACGACAATGTATACGAGTCAGTCGAGGATGCTTTGAAGGATGCTTTGGGGGGTGCAGTGTCCTGACGACGTATCGATTGCCCCCACGCAGCTTTGTCGTGTTCCGTGCGGCCGATGTCAAGGACTTGCAGATTGAGGCACCCCCCGCCGCAGCACCAAGTCAAGCTCCCATCAGTGATCCTGCCGTTGTAGCTGTGAGTTGGGGTGAAGATCCCGTGGAAGGATCACAGTGCACCCGCTGACGAACCGCGCCCTCCCCCCTTCAGACGAATGCGGCCCCTCCCGCGCCTGCTGCCTCGACGCCCCAAACGTCCCAACCGCAGCAGTCACCTCAACAGAGCTCGAATCTGCCCCCACAAGCCGTCTCCGCCCAACGAGGCGGCTTGGACCAACCGCCACCGCAGCAACAGCAGGGCTTCGGTCCTCCCGGCGGCCAGCAAGGCCAGTTCCCTGCTTACCCGCCCTACGGTCCCCCTGGAGGCTATGGCCCTCCCCCTGGTCCTCCCGGACAAGGCTTTTACGGCTATGGTCCTCCTCCACGCCACTTTGGTGGCCCCGGTGGCTTTGGTCCCCCTGGTCCTGGTGGCTTTGGCCCGCCCATGGGTTACCCCAATCAGTTTGGCCCTCCCCCTCCTCAGCACCAACAACAATTGCCGCCGCCGCCGCACCAGCAACAACAGCAACAGCAGCAACCTGCCAAGTTTTTGACCGATGGCCCTGCCGCTACTTCCTCGCCTGCCGTTCAGAACGCTGCCGTACCCCAGCCCGCGGTCGAATCGAAAGCCGCCCCCAGCAAAGCCGCCGAAACGGCCCAGGCCGCCCAAGTTCCTCAAGCTGCCGAGGCAAACAAGACCGCTCCTACCCCTGCTGCTCCCGCCGTCGATGCTGCGGCTTCGAAGCCTCGCTCGTACGCGAATCCTGGTGGAGCCGTCTCTACTCCGGCTAGTGATGGACAAAAGCAGACCGCTGACCAAAGTGTAGCCAAGTTGACGGACGACATGTCGCGATCGAACCTCGAAGCAGGAGCGGCGAAGCAGGCTCAGTCCGGTGGTGCTCGAAACGGCGGTGCTCCTCAGCAACAACAGCAGCAACAGGGTGCGAACCGAGGTGGACGAGGCCCTGGTGGACGAGGTGGACGCGTCGCAGGCACCGATTCCGTCGGCGGTTCCGTCTTTTCCAACAACGCCTCCAACCATCAAAACCCGAACCAAGGGAATCGACGAGGATCCGCGAATGGACCCGGTACTGGCCTCGGTGCCGGCCGTGCTCTTCAACCTTTCGGACGACCGACGGCGCACGTCGACGTCCCTTCGACGGACTTTGATTTCGAATCCTCCAACGCCGGCTTCTCCAAGGACAAAGTCCTCGCTGAAGGGGAAGAGGACGAAGAAGTCGTGATCCCCAAAGCCAACGATTCCTTCTACGATAAGAAATCGTCCTTCTTCGACTCGATCTCGTCGGACGTCAAAACGAGGGCCGAGGGAGGGATGGTCAATAGTGGTTTTACTTCGGGAGGCAGGTTCGATCGGGATAAGGAGAGGAGTAAGAATATGGAGGCGTTTGGCGAGTCGGGGGCTGGGATGGGATTCGGTGGACGTGGGAGGGGTAGGGGTGGGAGGGGTAGGGGCGGGGGCGGGGGTTATCATCGTGGAGGGTACAATCGGGGTGGACCGAGACAGAATGTTAGTGGGGGCGCCAATGGTGGGGGGGTTTGAATGAGGTTTGGAGTGGGAAATGAGGTATGGAGTGGGTTTTAATTGGTTCTTTCTCCTTCTGAACATGAGCAAATGTGTGTGTTATTTGTTCTGTGGGATGGATTGAATATGGTCAGCTCACCCCTGAGTACTGCCAAAGTAGAACAAGTAAAACGAGTTTGTCGCACCGAAGCTGCCCGAGCCATGACGCGCGTCAAAGTCAGGAGGGCCCGAGCGCGTCGGCGAACCCAACCGTGCTCGAGTCGATCAGCTCGCATAGCTTCCCCCTCCACCTCTCCAGCCCCGTCGATCAACAAGATGCGGTAACTCGTCCTTCGATTCTCATCTCACACGCCTGCCAAGCGGACACACTCAACCCCGACCCAGTCCGTTGACACGTGATCGCGCGTCAAACACGTCCCCTCGCAGGCCGGAGTTGCCCTCGGAGCAACCGCATCGCATCAGTCACCCATGGCCACCTCCACCGCCACTCCACCGCCGATCCTAAGTCTCGGAACGCGCGTCGTCGTCTCAGCCGGTATAGGCACCCTTAGGTTCGTCGGTCCGACCAATTTCGCGGCCGGCAAGTGGTGCGGTATCGAGCTCGACGACGCGACCGGCAAGAATGATGGCTCGGTCAATGGGCAGAGGTATTTCACGTGTCGGATGGGCAAAGGGGTGTTTGTGAGGCATAGTCAGGTGAGGTTGCTGGTCGGTGGGGATGAGGAGGGCGGTTCGGAGGCGAAGGCGGAGGTGAGTTTGGCGTACAGAGGTGGGGGGTTTGCGAGTTGGAAGTTCGGACTAGGTGCTCACAAACACGAGGTGTTGGGTCGTACAGTCGCCTACTCCGCTTCAAAGAGGGACCAGAACAGGATCAAGCGTTTCGGGTAGGACGTCGGGTGGTGCTGCAGCAGGAGCGGCTTCCTCCTCGCGACCTCCCTCTCGACCGACTCGACCAGGGAGCTCGACAGAGACAAGACCTTTGCCAGGCCAACGCGCACCGTCACTTTCTACATCGACCGCGACCGCGACCGCGAGAGCAGGTGTCTCATCAGTAGCAGTCTCGGGTCGAACCTCCGTAGCTAGCAATGCATCGGACAGGGTCGCAGCCTCACCGAGCAAACTCGCTCGACCGGGTGGGGTACGTTTAGCACCGACGACGACCTCGGCGACGGGATCAAGATCCGTCTCGGCGACGTCGGCTTCGAGCTCTGGATCCGCCGCCGCTACAACAACGACGACTCGACCTGGTGCTCCGGGGCCAACGAGACGGCAACCTTCGGTGTCGTCGACGGGGACGACGCCGACGTTGATGGGACCCCCTCCAACACCGGCTCAGCGCGCTGCTCTCGCTCGACCACCCCAAAGCCCTGCCGCGTCTCGAACAGCAATGACCTCTCCCGTGCAAAACTTTGCCCCCTCATCCATAGGCACTCCCAGAACCTTGACTCGACCAACAGCAGGTACGGCTCCGAGTGCGCGAGGCATGTCGAGAACTTCATCCTCGTCGTCGATCGCATCGTCTTCTTCGGCTCTGCCGCATGCTCGGAGGGCAAGTATGGTCGTTTCCCCTACGGCGTCAAGATTTAATACTTCGGCGCTGATGCTGGGCGGCCATGCTACGGCATCGTCGGATATGGCGAGGCATTTGAGTGGGACGATTTCGGTTGATGCGGGGATGGATTGGGATGGGGAAGGGGAGAGTCTGCTTCTCGAAGAGGAGGAGACGAACCCACGTGGGCTAGGTGCGAACTCACATCCTGGAGAAAGGAGGACGAGTGGTGTGGGCCTCTCAACCGAAGCGCGCGACCCCTTTTCATTACAACAACCCGATGCTCGCCGGACGATGCTCGAATCCGTCGTGCCCAAACGCGAACACGACGAACTCTTGGCCAAATTACGCATTCTCGAAGCCCGACGGGCCGAAGATCGCGAAAAACTGAGGGACGTCGAACGTCTCAAGGAAGAAGCCGAAGAATGGGATAAGATCAAGGAAAAGACGCGGACCAAGTTGGTCGAGTTGGCGAACGAGGTCAAGGAGTTGAAGAAGGCGAACAAGGAGTTGAGAGCGGATCGGGATGCGTTCGAGAGCAAGTTTGAGGACTTGAATGATCAGGTTGAGATCTCGTTGTTGGATAAGGAGGTCGCAGAGGAGAGGTTCGATGCGGTGAATGTACAGCTGGAGGCGGTCAAGGAGAGGGCGGCGGAGTTGGAGGTCGAGGTTGCGGTGTTGAGGGAGGAGAATAGTGAGTTGTGGACGTGGTCCGAGGCCTGGAGCCTTTGAATTTGGACTGAAAAAATTATCTATCCAGGCAAACTCGAAGGCGAAGGCGCGGAAGCCGTTCGACAAGTTGAAGGGGGTGACGCGACCAAGACTTCATTGGCCTACATTCAGCTCGAGAAGCAGAACCTTCGGCTCAAGGACGCTTTGCTTCGGTGAGTACCCTCGATCTCAGGGTGGGGACATAGAGAGCTCATCTGTAGACCCTCCCGCTTTACAGCCTGCGTGACTTGACATCAGAGACGGAGGCCGAGCAAAAGCGCAAGATTGCCGACCTCGAAGCTGAACTTGACCTCACTTCGGATCTCCAAGGTAAGCCAGTCTGGTCATCGGATCTTGACCCAATATCTATGCCGACCCTGACCCATATTTCATCGCGACAGCCGAATTCGAAAACAATCTCATTGAACTCGAACGTGCCGAAGCTCAAGTCGAGGAACTCAAGATCCAGTTGGACGACACCCTCGGGGCCGAGGACATGCTCGAACAGTTGACAGACAAGAATCTGCTGTTGACAGAGGTGGGTGACTTCGCGAGCTCAGCCCTAGTCGCAAGTACGCATACTAACGCAAGTATATCGACTGCAGAAAATCGACGAGCTCACCACCATCGTCGAGGACCTCGAGTCGCTCAAGGAGCTCAATGACGAATTGGAGGAAAGCCACGTCGAAACGGAGAAGCAGATGCAGGAGGAGCTCGACCTCAAGGATTTGCAACTGCAGGAACTGAGGCAGAGGACGGATGTGTTGGAGGATGGGATCTTGGACTATGAGCGCACGATCTCGCAGTTCCGAGAGTTGGTCTCAAATCTGCAAAGGTAGGGTGGAAATTGCTGGGCTCGCGCAGAACATGAGCGGTTGGCTGAAGCCGACCTCCTTTCTTCACTCCACAGCGATCTTGAACAATTACGACATCACCAAGCGAGCCAGCAATCCGAATCGGCGTCGCTCACGTCGCAGTCGCAAGCGATGCTCAACCTCAACCTCAAGTTGCAGTCGTCGATGCTCAAGGGACAAGTTAAGACAATTGATCTGGAACTGCGCAAGCTCGACGCCCGACAAGCGAGCGAACACCTCGCCATCGTCCGACCTTATCTCCTCCCCGCTTTCTTCGACAACGACAGCGACGCCGTTGATGCTCTACTCTTCTTCGAGCGTATCGCATACAAAGCCGATCTTGTCGGGATGTTGATCGAGCAAACGCACGGGGTAACCGAGGCGCTCAACTCCGTCGTCCCCGAGGCGCTGATCACGGTCTGTGAGACGCGGGCCAAGTTGGCCCAGTTCGCAACGCTCAACAAGAAGTTCTCGGCCAATCTCAAGAGGTGTGATCCCGAGACCTTCCTAAGGATGGGGAGGATCTACCATGAGGTGTCGCCGACGGAAAAGAGGGTCGACGCGTTCATTGATGCGCTGAGGAGGGAGGAACTGAGAGAGGTTGAGTGTGGCAAGGAGGTGGATGGGTGAGTCGAGACGAGTGGGATCTGATACGACAATAACGCGGGCTAATAGTGATAAATTCCGGTTCGGCTTGTAGTCTCATCGCGCAAGCTGAGCATCTCGCCGACACCCACCTCGCGAATAGCGTCCTCGATTTGGCTGAACGCGAGCTCGCTTGCGTCACCGCACTCGACCTCCACTTTGACACCATCGCAGCCGCGGTCGGATTCGCCAAGCAGACGATTGCGACGCTGAGCAAGGACCCGGGTGAGTACTCGTTGGGTGGTTCAAGCGATTCAAGCTTCTTCGCTTATGGCAAATCCGAATACTCCCAGATGTCGCTCTCGAACTCGGCGACGCCAACATCGACGACATCGTTTTCAAGCCATTGCAGAACCTGTTCAACCAAGCGCGGAACGCCAAGGTGGTGACCAAGAAGCTATTGCGAAGACTAGAGGAGCTGGTCGGCTCTTCCTCGGCGCTTAGCATGGATCACGCCGAGGGTGTCGATACTCTGTCGTACAACAGTTCTGCGATTGCGGCTGCGGCTGCCAAAGTGGGTCACGCGTTGTTCGATATGGGCACTAGCTCAATTGCTGATCTCGTGTTCCTCATATCCCAGCTCGCTTCGAGTATTTCGGCCTACTGCACCGAAGTCCGATCTTCGAAACGACCCTTCGAGCTCAGCCACTTCCTCGCCATTGCCAAAGACGTTGCTGCCAATGAGCTTGGCAAGCAGACCCCTCGACCTCTTGAAGAGATTGGAGCGCTTCTTGGTCAACTGGCCCAAGATGTTGGGACAACATTGTCGACAGCGATGGATCCGGATCAGATCGTTCGACGTGAGTCATGCCATGGCAATAATTCACCAAATCGCATCCTTTCATGATCTGATTGTATAATGCATTGATTCCTACAGTCGACTATGAGCCACCTTGGATCGCTCGTGTCACGGAGCTGCAGTCGCACGCCGCGATCAACGTAGAGGCCGAACGCAAGGTCCACAAGCTGAATGAGGAACTGCGCGACCTCGTTCGCGAGATGAGAACCAAGGTAAGTTCGAATGCTCGACCAGGGTGGACAAGGGTGATAGCTGACCTGGGGTGGGGGCATTCTTGGCAAAGGACCTGGCGTATCAAGAAAGCATCGTCAAGATTGAAGTCATGGAGAAGCGCATGGAAGCGGTCAAGAAACAGGCCGATGCGATCACGGAGCTCGAGGCCGAGTTGGTCAAGTCCAAGAAGCAGGAGCGGGTATATGAGGAGGCAATCGAGGCGCTGCATTCCGATTTGGACGCGATGGAGCAGGAGCTTACCAAGATGAAGCAGAACGTTGTCTCGAACGACAAGTCGGGTAAGTGAAAGGTGCTATGGTCTTGCTGGACGCTCACTGACACAGGGCTGCCTGGGTGGTTTAGGTGCCCCAGCTGGACCGGGCGAAGGCGAGGCGGTCGTGTACGAAGGCAACATGGAGACCTCGTATCTCATCGAACAGATCGAATCGTTGCGTAACGCCGTCCGCTTCCTGCGCTCGGAGAACTCGTACCTCAAGTCGCAAGACCTACTCACCGAACTCGACGCCTTACCGACCTACGTCCTTCCCGCGATCACTCCGATCATGCTACCGAAGGAAGCCAGTGGTCTGCCTGTTTCTTCACGTCGTACACCGGCTGCTTCGGCAACATCGACGACTCTGGCTCCACTGGAACCCACCTCCTTCGCTGTCCAGTCGAAGCAGCTCCTGCACGAGGCTCGCTTGCTCTCGGCCACACCGAGGTTGGTCGACTTGAGCGGCGTTCGCCCAGGCGGCAAGAAAGGGTGGACACCTTCCGCGCGCCTCCCTTCGAGTCAATTGAGGGCGGAGAAGGATCGCTCCAAGGCCTTGTCGAGGAAGGTCGAAGCGTTGTGGGAGATGAGGCCCAGGGTTCTGGCTGTTCTTTGATGGGCGGGTACATGACGTCTTTCCTTCTTACGCTTAGCAGTACATTAGCTTGATTTTTCGTTCTCTTCCGTTTCGTTACTTTTGTACTTCTTTTCATGACACCTCCTATCGCACTTTGCATCAATTCAAGTGTTCTTGACTCATGATCACCTCGCCGCGAGCGGCTACTGGTGCCGGTGGCCAGCGTTGATGGGAAGCCGCATGGATCCGGAGCCGCTGTACAGCCAGTGCTATTCATAATGCCATTGATGAATCAAACATGGCTTTGCTGATAAATAAGGACAAGGCGATGATGAAGCTTCGTCGCAAGCAGGATTTGGGCGACTAGCCTCAGTACCTCCGAATCCCTTGCGTGCAATTCCGACTCCATCTCATATTCTCTTAGCTCATCCCTTCCTCCGAGTCAGCCTCCTCCTTTCGAGCGCCGGCCTTCGCCCGTTACATTTGCAGAGTATGTTTTTCAGGTTCTCAGTATTTATCACACTATCCCGCTTTATTGCAAACTCCGTGAATTATCTACCAATACTTCCATTCCGAGACGGAGAGCTTCCCAAGCGATTGGCAAGGACCCCCTATCGACTGCCAGGAGATAACTATCGCACTACTTCCGATGAGCGGTGCGGCCATCCGGGTCTAGAAAAACACGGTTAACAAAGCTAGTGGTTTTTGTTGAAGCTAGTCAGTCTCGTGTCTTCGCTCAAATATTCCGACGATCCTTGCTGAAAATGTCCAAAAGCTCGATGAGCGCCCCGGAGCCTCCCGGAGCCTCCCGGAGTGAGCCCTTGCTGTAGCTTAAGCCCCTCGCCTCGTGTTGCGTTCCAGCCTCCCTCCTCACAGCGTTCAGATTGCCGTCAAACTCCGTTGCATCGACCGACAGTAGGAACGATGTCCAAGCCCGCTCTCTTCACAGCCGTCTCTTTCTATTCCCTCGCCGGCACGGTCGCGATCCTGGGAACGGCCTTTGCTGCCGCACGAACATTGTTGCCCAAGACCGCGGGGTCCAAGGATCGGGTGACATTCGTTTGGCTTGCGTTCGATGCTTTGATTCATCTGTGAGCCCGTCAGGATCAGGGACGTGTCGGGAAGCGGGCTCTGTGGAGAGTAACGACGCGTCGAGTGCATGCACTGGGGATTGAATGAACTCGACCGTGGGGTTACTGTCGTCAAATGGCTGACACGCATCATCGTCGTCGTTGGACAGCATCTTTGAAGGCTCTTTCCTCTTCTACTCGTTCCCTTCTCCCCGTCGAGCGGATGCATTTGATGGTACGTGAGGCTTGGGAAACGACCCATCAACGTCACGTGACCTTGGATTGACCTCGGGGTTTGACTGCGCCATTCTCAAGCTCCGCTCGCCAAGATGTGGCAAGAATAGTAGGCGCAACCCCTATTAAATCAATCATCAGCATCAAGGACTAACATGCTTCAATCCGCGTACCCCAGCGGCCGAGCTGACGCAAGATGGGCCGTCGGGGATTCGACCGTCGTTTCCCTCGAGCTCTTGACCGTTCTTGGTGCGGGCCCGCTGTGTTGGTACCTCTTGTATCAACTGATCAAAGGGGATAGGGCAAGGCATTATTGGCTGTGAGTCAAGAATCGGGCTGATCTGCGGCCGAACGCCATGCTGGCCTAGGTACTTGCTGATTTTTCGCCGGTTCCTTCAATCGTGATCAGAATTGTCTTGTCGTGAGTATGTGACGTCAAAAGATGGAAAAGTCCCACCGTTCTCAGTACATATATCCCTAATGTGCAGTACTGCTGAGTTATATGGCGGCTTCATGACCGTGAGCACCAGCGCTACCTTACCTTTCGCACAACCGAAGCTGAAGCGAAGTTTTCGTGATGCCGAAAGTTTTGCCCCGAGTGGATCACGGGCAACCAGAACTTGCACACAGGCAACTGGTTGCATTTCTGGTGCGTCTGACGGATGATTCACCGTGGTTATGGTGCATCGTCACTTACGCCTCGGTGTTGCACAGGGTCTACCTCATGTTCTTCAATCTCATGTGAGGTGTTCGCCAACGGTTCTGACCATCGTTCACCCAGTCCCACTTACTTGCTGGTTCACCTCCATTTACATAGCTGGGTATTCATCCCGCTGTGGATCATGTACGATTCGTACGGCTACATCGTCCACAGTCTGCGCGATCCCGCCGGGTACGCCGCCGAGCTGACGAGGACCGAGACCGTCGCCAAGTTGAAGCCGAGGAAGTCACCGACGAAGAAGGTGCAGTGATGATGAACAAATGTCGAGTTTTCTTGTGTGGTTTGGAGTCTGTGGTACTCGTCTGAGGCTGATTGGAGGGCTGGATGGGTCAGGCTTTCGAGCTACGTGCCTGGGTGCCAAAAAATAGGGGCTTGGTGCGCAAGGAGGTGAGCAAAAGAGATCACGAAAAGTCTATCAGTCGTAATGTCTAAGTTCTCCCGGCGGCTGACCAAGTTGAGGAAAAGCCGGCGCCAAAAAGGGGGGCACGCCAGGGTCGGCAAGCGTTGCCGGAGCTTGAGGCGGCAAAAGCGGCCCAGGTTCCGGTGGGGCCGTCGACGGCGACTAGAATGGCCAACTAAAACTTGCTTGGAATGGTGGAACCGCTTCTTGGGTTCTGTGTTCCATCTCCCCTAGAGGCCCTGCGAGGTAAGTGTGGGCCCCCAGTCCGAGCCACGATGGGATGATGATGTCTGACAGGGAGTGTCTTCGCCTCCGTCTCGCTTGCCCGGGCCGTGCTCGTCTCTGCCGTCGTGTGCCGTTCTTTTCGCGGTGCTCGGTCGTCCTCGGCCTGGCTCTCCGGCGTCACTTTGGTCTTCCTGCTCTCCACGGAAACGCTGCTATTGCCCTGAATTGACGGCGACTCCGCCACGTCGCCTTGCGCCCAACCTGTCGTCCTTGCTTCGACGACTTTTCGTCAACACCAACAGCTGCCATCACAGAAACGCCCACCTCACCCGCTTGAGTTCGCGCACGATGTCGTCCGCTTTCGCATTGACCATGACGCCGACGTCTTCCCCACCTACCTCGCGCGTCGCTTCGAGACGAGGCTCGGTCGTTTCCATCAACCGACCGCCCTTGGTCAATAGGGGATCCACTTCCGTCGCTGGCTCCAGGGCTTCCTCACCTCAACGACCCGTCAACCCCGAGTCAGAGTTCATTGGGTCCGTTTCCGGGGAGAGGCAGAAGGACTCGAGGAAGCAACGGGAGCACTGATCTGACGTTGGTCTAAACCTAGCTCCATCGACTGCGGTACAAGTTCGTGTCGGTTCTACATCTTTGATCAATATGCCAACGTCATCTGCTGGCACCAAAAGGAATTCGAACAGCGTAAGGCAGCATCTCTCCGTTCATCACGTGCCGCACCCCACACATTTTGGGCGCGAGAGGAGACACTTCCCCGCTTTCGATCGGTCATGGGTTCATGGGGCTGACGTCAAACACTCTCCTATTTCGATCCCTCCGCTCTTTCTCCGTGACCTCCACCCTTCTGCTCGAACACAGTTCATATCGAACCAGGATGGCACGAACACGACCCTTTGACGTACACGAAGTGCATCGATGCGTGCATCGTCCAAACGCTCAAAGAGTTCCAAGAGCTTGGATACAAACAGTCTATGATCAAGGGGGTTGGTATCGCCGTGCAGAGGGAGACGACGCTCGTATGGGATAGGACGACAGGCAAACCTTTGCACAATGCTAGTGAGTTTTTACCTTATGGGCTTGGTTCGGAGGTCGGGGCGTGGTGGAGCTGATGGAAAACGATGAACCACACTTTTGCTGTTGCAGTCGCTTGGCCCGACGCTCGTAACGCCGCGACCGTTCGAGCTTTGAAGGAGCGAGCCGCTTCGGTCACATTCAACACACCAGATGGGGACATGAAGGGAGAAGACGCCGTACGGGTCATCACTGGATTACCTTTCAGGTTCGTCGCACGCGATTCAGCAGAATTCTTGACGCTCTTGAGCTCACCGTGTCTGACATTATTCCCCTCCGACAGCACTTACTTCTCGGCAACGAAATACGCTTGGTTATTGGAGAACTGTAAGGAGGTACAAGAAGCCAAGGAGAACGGCAACTTGATGATCGGTACCGTCGATGCTTGGCTCCTATGGGTGGGTCAGACTAATTCGGCTCGAGTCCACGCTTCGAGCATGTACTGAGCATCTCGCCGAACACCACAGAACTACACAGGAGGTGTCAAAACTGGAAAACACATTACGGACTTGACAAACGCCTCGCGCACATTGTTGCTCTCCCTGCACACGCAACAATGGGACGACCAACTGCTCGACTTCTTCGACTTGCCTCGTTCGGCTTTACCGACGCTCGCTTCGAACTCTGAGGACTATGGTCAATTCTTTGAGGGTCATATTTTGGAAGGAATCCCAATCGCTGGGCTGGTCGGGGATCAACAGGCGGCTTTGGTGGGGAACAAGTGCCTGGAGAAGGGAAGCGCCAAACAGACATACGGCACGGGATGCTTCATGTCAGTGAAAAGATGGCGCTGCGGGTTGGGAAAGACCGAAAGCTGATTTTTGGAACTGGGTTCGAATAGGCTCTACAACACCGGAAGTGATATTGTCAAATCGACGCATGGGTTGCTCACAACAGTGAGTACCTTGGCGACCATCTTGAAGAAGTCCGAGGCGCTCTGAAATCTGATTCTCGACAGTAATTTTCGGTCTTGCAGGTTGGCTACAAGGCAGGGCCGAACGCCCAGATTGCTTATGCGTTGGAAGGATCGGTTGCAGTAGGCGGATCGTCGGTGCAATGGTACGTCGCTCAAGAGCCTGCCTCTTCAGGGCAAAGGTAAGCTAGCTGACTTGCCGACTGTGTGGCTTTTCTTTTCTCAAGGCTGCGCGATAACCTTGGCCTGATCAAGAATGCCAAAGAGGCTGGCGAGCTCGCTGAAGAGGTCGAGGATACGGGAGGTGTCTATTTCGTCACGGTCAGTTTGAGGACTTGAGCTATTTTCTTTGGACTAGAATCTTCTCAGCAACTGACCATCCTTGCGGGCATCTGCAGGGTTTCTCGGGTTTATTCGCCCCTTACTGGGACATGGCTGCGACGGGGATGTTAATCGGTCTATCGACCTATACGACCAAGCACCACATCTGTCGAGCGACGTTGGAAGCGACCTGTTTCCAAACTCGTGCGATCCTCGAAGCTATGACCAAGGACACGCAGGGACATGCTTCACCTGAGGGCAGCGTCTCGAATGGACGAGACGACGGCGACAGCGATGACGAGGCGGACTTTAAGCCCAAGGCTGTCGGGGCGGGGAGCATGAAGGCGCTCAAGGTCGACGGGGGCATGACGTCGAGTGATGTGACGATGCAGTTGCAGGCAGATATCTTGGGCATTCGCGTCGAACGACCGACGATGAGGGAGTAAGTTGACGAGGAGAAACTATCACTCACGTTAGGCAAGAACCTGCTTTGATTGACAGTGGTTTCGTCCCATTGCCTACCTCAGATCCACAGCTCTAGGAGCAGCCCTGCTCGCCGGTTCGGCCTTGAATCTCTTCGGTTGGGACCTCGAGGACCCCTCGACGTTGCGCAAAGTCAACGAGTTCGGTATGGAGCTGTTCATGCCTTCGATCGACGCGCAGGAGCGCGAGTGGAAGTTCGCGGGCTGGAACAGGGCCGTCAATAGGGCGATGGCTTGGAAAAGTGAGTTGTAAAGACAGTCAATGAATCCCTTTTGGTGTTGAGAACGGGGAGCTGATGCCGATATCGGATTGGTGGTCGGCAGCCAACTCGGGTCACGGTTGATGGGACTCGGAGAGACTGGGTTTTATGTGGTCGTATTCATGGTTTTTCCTTATGGCTTATCCCGTATCGGCTTCCGTTAGGTTCATTCACTTCAATTGAAATCTCAGTAATTCCTCGGAATCTGACAGAGTTCAGCTTATATCTTGTATGAGCTAAAATTTGACTCAAATACTGATCGATGGCTGTGTCAAGGTCGTCGCTCGTTGTCGTCTCTTTCAGATCATCCTCCAACGATGGCGATCGCAGCACTCCGGACGTCCCTGCGCCGAGCATCAGCCACAATACGCACATCATGTTCAACACCCACTAGGGTTCCAAGCCATCGCTCGTTTTGGTCCTCGGCATCCTCTACAGCAACAGGAGCAGCCTCAGCAGCCGCCTCGTCCTCGACGTCGTCGCTTCCGTTCCTGTCCACCTTCACCTCCACCTTTTCCGAAATCCCTTCCATAGCCCCCGACGTTTTCCCACTCCTGCTCGCCGTTCTCCTCACAACCCTCGACGAAGACGACCCCTCCTCCTCCCTCACACCCCCCTGGACCGTGCTGCCGACCTCCTCAGGATCGGGTTACGGCGCCTTCGCTTCCTCCTCCCTAAACCTAGGCCAACTCCTCATCGCCGAACGACCCCTCTGCATCTGGCCCCAAGGTCTTTCCGAACAAGAAGCGCAGAAACTGTTCGATCGTTTGACTGACGATAAGAAGAAGGTTTATTTGAGTTTGGCGGGGGAGGGGAGCAAGGAAGGTGATGGGGATGGACCGACGGATCGGGTTAGGGCTGTGAGAGCTACGAATGGGTTTGGGATCGAGTTGCCGGAGAGTGGAGGGATTGGGATTGTAGTGGGGATGGTGTTCCCTAAAATTGCGAGGTGAGTTTTAGGGGGGAAGCAGTGGGGAGAAGGGGTAGAAGAGGGGGGGGGGGAGTGGAACCTGGAGGTCCATGTGGGGCCCAAGATCAGTGAGCAATCGCGGATGCCTCAAGTGAGTGACTAACTAGGCAAATCTCCCGATACATCACAGGATCAATCATAGCTGGTGAGTCTTCACATGGGTTGTCAAAGTACTCGGTCCGCCAAATCAGCCGAATTCTGAACTCCGAGGCAAAATTCTTCTCCTCGGACAGTCGACCGAATGCTGCACAGGCCATGAATGTACATTTTCAGCACCAATCACATATCATTACTTCACTAAAGAGGCAATAATCTAAACCGGACTTTCTTCCACGTGCAGTTCCGCACCCTTCGAATGGAAGTCTACCCCCTGACCTCGATCGCCCCCTCGTCCGAAATCACGATCGAATACCTCCCCCTCATCACCCAATCCCGAGCCCAGCGGCAAAAAACGCTCCAAAGTACATTTGGCTTCTCTTCCTGTCTGTGCCCTTTATGTACCTCCTCCCCTCAAGAGATGGAAGCTTCGGACCTTCGAAGGGCGGAATTGAGTCGATTGGCGAAGGAAGTCAAGCAAGGTGGAAGGACGGGGGATCGCAAGGGTACGATCAAGAGACTGGAGAGGATGAGGGTCGTTTTGCTGGAGGAAGGGTATGAGGGCATGCCCGAGTTTGAGGATGAGGGCGTTTCGAATGCTTATGCGGCTTATCGTACGATGAGGATCAGTCAGGGGAGGGAAGAAAATTGAGGGATGGAGTGCTCGATCACCGGGTATCTGCTGTGGTAGTATTCTACATGGACGCTTACTCACTGCAGCAGTGGCGTCAAATACTGTCGTTTTGCACTATCCGAAGCAGAAGATCGGCTCGCACAGGAGACTCGGATGCGCAACTCGGCGAGTTCTAAAGCGAAGCTCCAGCGACTATGACCGTCCTCTGCTCAGCATCGCTTGCTTGCTTGTGGTAACGCCGATGCATTTTACATATTCACATTCGGGGACCAACTGGGGCCAGCCCTTCCGGACTCCACAACTCGAGGGCGTGTCCTTCGGTGACTCCTCTGTGTATGCCCGCCAACCAACTGCCCCTGCAAGAATGACGCTCGGCTCTGAAAAGCTTGATGCAATATCCGATTCCACACGCCTACGGCCCCGGGCAATTCACGTGGCTGGCCCAACACCGATGCGTGGCTGTGCTCGACGTAACGGTAGAGAGCAAGAACGACGAGAGCGGTCAGCAGTGGCAGTGGGCAGGCGATAAGCAAGTACCAGGGAGGCGATTCGGCGCGAATCAGTCAAGCCGGAGCACGGAGCCAGTGACTCGGAGACTCTGTACTGACTGCACACGTCCCTCCCAGTTCAGTTGCACGGGCCCTCCCCAAATCCTGAACACACCTCTTCCCGATTAAGCACCGCCCAAAACGATATTTCACCCACACTAGGTAGCCTTGCGCCCCCTCGGCGAATCGCGTGATCCGGCAAACCTTTTCTGAAGCCTAGCTCTCCTCGGTTACGCAGCATTTTTGCAGCGATACCCCAGAGACTCCGGCTTAGTTTTCGTCATACATTACCATATACGATAGCAATACATGGCCATGCTGTAAATAGTGGTGCAACGAGACGAAGCAAAACGCCCGTGAGGGAGGGGCCGCAAACTGAGACGGCCTGCCGATCCGATCTGATCACGCAGCCTCAGGGGGTCCAGCCAGCGGGCAAAGCTCATCACGCCATCGTCACTCGAGTTGACGAAGCCCGCCAGCCTTGCAGGCTCCCCGGCCGCGCGCCAGTGCGGTGTCAGCGTGGTAACACTGGTGATAGTCCCGCATGTATGATGCCACTAAAAGAAGAAACCTTTTTTTTTCGCGAGACACCCAACACAACATATGAACCCTTCGTGTGTCCCTCTCACACCTCACACAACAACAACTTTGGCCAGTCCTGCAAGACTCGACCCTCATTCGACGAGGACCGAGCGCCCCGCCACCGACGATCCATAAAGAAGGCGCATACACCCAGCCCCCGGCTCCCTCTGCTTGATGTACGAGTTTCGGCAACAGACCGGCGCCGATGGCGGCGCGTCATCGACTCATGTTCACAGCGCGCGCGGCTCGAGTGATTCACCTGCTGCAGTTGGTCATAGACGTACTACTTCGGCGACGGAGGAGAGGGATGGTTCTTCGCATCATGAGTCCGCGGGACTATCGGGTCGACATCGTGAAGCAGAGGAGGATGGGGAGGAGGATGTGGACGACTGCTCGGCCGACCCGCCGGCTTTGGTCCACCCGTTGCTCAAGAGGAGTAACAATGCCAGTGCCCATGGCGCCGCAGCTTTGACCTCGAATGGTGGGACCAAGAAGCCGTTTGAGATCAAGACGGGGCATCGCAGACCTTTGGAAAGGTCATCGTCTATACCGTCCAGTCTGAGCCAGTACAACACCACACACGACTCGTCTACTTCGGAGAACGACCCCGCTGTCGGAGGAGCTCAAACTCTGCCTCCCGCGCCGACTACGACCGTCTCAGTCAACGACCTCGATGCCGATCTTCGTCAGCTCGCCATTCTTCAAACATTACTCCAACGCCAACAGGCGATCGTCCAAGCGAGCGTCGAAGCGGCGGCGGCGGCGAAGAGGTTGAAGAGGAAACTCGAAGACGAGGAGAATGCTGCGTCGGCTCGGGGGGCTGCAAGGTCGGCGGCGACGGGCAGCGAGGGTGAGACATCGTCGTCGACAAATTCGTTGGGACGGTTCCAACCTCTTTCTTCGGCTCTTCATGGCGTACAGCATCAGCCACAGCAGCAGAGCTCGTCCGCCCTTAGAGACCCGTCCTCATGGTTGGAAGGCCTCAACACGATCCACGACTCTGCCCCCAACTCGAATAGTGCCGCTGAACTCGCTCAAGCTCAACAGCAATTGGATCTCTGGGCAAAAGTCGCCTTCACGTCGCATGTCGGAACACCCTTGCCTTCCAACAACAACGGGAGCGCGAGTCCGGCCCGAGCTCCTTCGGCAGCTCCCTTTCCATTCCATCGATCGAGGTCGGGTGACGCGGGGGGAGAGGAGGATCAAGAGATCGATGACGAGCGAGATGGCAACCTAGGCCCCGAGTTTGATTGGTCGAGCTTTTATCCTTCCTTGCTGATGGACTCACCTGGACGAGCGAATGCGCCAACGACATCGGCATCGACGACTGTAGCTCCTTTCGTCGTGGGAGGGGTCGTGAACCCTGCTTCTTCGATCGCGGCCGTTCTAGACGGCCGAGTCGGACTCACCACGACCTCCACACCTACCTCCTCCACCTCATCCGATTCAAAGGACCCCTTAGTCACTCGCCCATCAACCGAATCCCTCTCTCGACGAGCCAGTATTTCCTCTCGTCAACGCAAGCGATCCCCTTCCCCACCTTTGGTTGACCCTTCCCTCATCGATGAGTTGTTGCAGGATGAATATCCTTTGCGTCCTCCTTTAACGGAAGGTACGCCGGAGGAGATTGAGCAGGATAAGAGGAGGCGAAATACCGAAGCTTCTGGTAGGTTTTCAACCGTATCTAAGACGTTCCTCGGGAGAATGATCTCCCTGACTCTCTTGAACCCCTTCAATCATCCTCGCAGCCCGCTTCCGAGCCCGCAAAAAGCAACGCGATGCCGTATTGTTACAAACTTCCGCACAATTGAGGGCTCGAGCTCAGGCGTTGGAGAAGGAGAAGCTGGGTTTGGTCAAGGAGAACCAGTGGTTGAGGGAATTGGCGCAGGCTGCTGGAGCTAGAGCGGGGACTGGAGTTGGGGCGGGAGGGGGGAGAAAGAGGGTTTGACGGTGAAGGGGTGTAGCGGTGGTTTTGGATGGGGAGGCGTTTGTTGTCTGTGCTTTTGTTTTACCGTTTACACGCTTAGACGTGTTTGTTATTTTGTGCTTGTTTTCTTCGTTTGCAAATTCGGGACCCTCGCTCAAGCTCTTTAGGGGTGAAGTGGGGTACCGGATATGCCTCTTCTCTGTCTCAAATGAGTTGTGTTGGATCAGAAGATCTTGCTGGATTCGTCTTGCAGAGTACATGTAGGCTTGCCAATCTACGCCCGCTAATGCCCCCCCAATCCTCTCACGCTGTCGCCTTCCGGTCCAATCCTCCATCCGTCTTCCAAATCCCGCCCGGTACCCAACTTCAACAACTCCTTCTCCACCCATCCTAGCATCTCTCATCTAATGGCTCAGAAACTTTCTCCCCTTCGCGAACCTCTTCTCCAACACCCTCCTCCCATTCTTGGTCCTCTTGCGCGACAAAAATCCATGCTTGCGTTTGCGCTTGAGTTGCGAGGGTTGGTATTCACAGCCGTAAGTGACGAGACGGGGAGAGAGGAGGGAGGGATGCGTTGGGGGCTGGATGGAAGGGGGGAGGAGGTGCAGGAGGGTTGATGGACGGGGTCGGGAGAGGAGGGAGGACAGGGAGGTCTTGGTCGGCACTAGGCTGTTGAGTACGCGGCTTGCGGTGCTCGGGGTGCTGGATCCTGATGCGAGAGGGAACAAGGCCGATGTCCCCGTTGAGATCCTCGGTGTAGTGACACTAGCGAGTGATGCGCTGCGCTGTGGTCGAATTGTACGAAGCGAGGCGCGTGCGACGACGGCGTTGGACGTTGCGGAGGTACTTTGGAGCCATGTGGATGGGACGAGCGATCGAGGGACGCGTGGCATGGTTGCAATCTACTCGGTCGACGTGGTTGAGGTGGGGTGTGCGTGGGTAGGGGGGGCAGGAAAGCGACCAGAAGCAAGCCGCTTCCTGCCGCTTCCGCCTGCTTCCGCGTCGTTCTCGCCGCGCGACTCGCCGGACTTTTTTCCTCGCTCTCCTTCCCTCTTCCATACCCCCCACACGACCGGCCCCTCCCCCCATTTTCCCCCTCCCACCCTCAAAATGACATGATACCCACTCTACGGGTCCTCTCGCGATCCCGATCCATCCTCTTCCTCGACAAGGTGCCCCCCACCTCCGCAAGCGAGGCCCCTGTCTCTACGCGATCCCATCCTCGTACCCGCAGTCGTGGTCCGGCTCTTCCCGTAGTGCCCAGTCACGAGCACAAGGATGAGGCGCACGGGAATGTTGATCGTGAGTTGAGCTGCGATGTTCAGATGAGGGTCTTGAGATCGCACTCATGTTGTTCTACCCCGTGACTCTGTTACTCAGTTTCAATCCTCGCCTCCCCTCTTCGAAGGGATCTCTTGACTCGCGAAGTACTCCCCAAAGGTACGCCCTTACCCCACCCAACAGTAGTACAAAGCCTTCGTCCTCATCCCTTCTTCCCCGTAATGCAGACTTCCTTCTCCAATTCAAACTTCTCCAAGACCCCGCCCCCAAACCCTCTTCAACTTCGACCCTCCACCTAACTCCGACGTCCCTCCTCCATCCGAGGTTTTCGGATTCTCAACCTGGACGATCGGTGTATGCTTTGTGTTGGAAGGAGGGGGTGAGGTTGTTGTGTGAGAAAAGTGCGTGTTCACCTAAGCCGGAGGTCTACGGGAAGGAAAGGCTCTGTGCTGATTCGTTTCGTTGACCGAAATAGAAAGCTACAAACGATTGTCCTCTCGGGCTTCTCTTGCCCTCGAACCTACACTCCAAAGAGTAGAATCCTCGCTTGCGCGAAGGGTTCATCAGGAGATCGTACTGTTGAACAAACGCCTCGTTTCGGTTCCTGTGGAGCAGGCGAGCGAAGAGGGTTTGGGGAGGGTCGTTAGGAGGATCAAGGGGGAGGACTTGGGGAGGCTTTCGGAGGTGAAGAAAGAGGTGGAGGGGTGGGGGTTGAAAGCTATACTGGACCTACGCACCCACGATAAGACGAACGAAGAACATGGTCCGGAACAATGGTTCGGTTCTCTCGCACCCTCCGACCCTTCGAAGCTCCCGATCCCACTCTATACCCTAAGCGACTATCTCAGCACCGTCCAGCTACCTCCCTCGAGTTATGAAGCTTGCAAAATAGCCATGGAAGCGAGCGAGGGGAAGGAAAATACGCTGAATAATTTGGTTGTGGAACAATTGGACAAAGTGGTGGGGACCTTTGAGAAGAGGGGGTTGAGTAAAGCTGAAAGGGAGGCGTTGTGGCTTGCTTCGCAAGCACAAGCGCAGACGAAGAAGAAGTTCACGAGGAACGAGGGTGGCGTGCTTGGAATTTATGGGCCTGGTACGAGGAGTGAAGCGGATCGACAGAGCGTACCGCTGCTCAAGGCATTGTGGAGATTAGGTTTGTGGTTTGGGAAGGGGTGGGAATGAGCTCTTTGCGTATGTTTTCACTTTCGTTTCACGTGTTGTTTTAATATGTGATGGTAATGCATGTCTTGTCGTACATATTGTTGGACTATGTTATTACAACAAGGGAAAGCGAGGCTCAAGTCGGAAACCATTTACATGAAGAAGCCCTGACGATCTTGTTTCCTCTGTAACAACGGGTACAGAGCCGTTGAGTCAGTCTTACGCCCATAGTCACGAGAAAAATATGCTTTTGACATCTCAAACTCACCATCCGACACCCGTGACTCGCCCCCAAATACAACGCAAACAACCTCTTCGCATCCCCATCCTCAACGAAAGGATAAGTTGCTCCCAACCTATACGCCGCTGCGAACCCGGAGACGATCCCTATTTCGTGCATGTTGAGGATCGTCCACGCGCCAGCGAAATAGGTGTGGTGCTTGCCGTTGAGGAACATCATCCAGGGAACCGTACCGCCGTCTAGAAGGGCATCGAGAAGGGGGAGACGTATTAGGCGTCGCTTGAGAGGAGGGCTCGGGAGTCCAGAAGCGGAAACGTACAATGCTGCCACCTATGACTCTGCTGCTTCCACCATTTCTTCATCACAATCTCCTCCTCTTTGATCTCCCCAATACTCCAGAGATCCCGACTCCCATCCTTATCCAAAAAAATGGTCTGGAAGACATGTTTCTTCAAGGGAGGTTCGGGATTGCCTTCATCGTCTTGACCTTCTTTACGGATGGAGGAGGCGGCGGATTCGTCGAGGGAGGGTTTGGAGGGGAGTTGAGCTGTGGGATGATTAGGTGGTATACCGGTGTGATCGGGACCGTAGGGTGATTCGCCTTTGAATTGCGGTTGGTAGTGCGTCCTATTTGATAGATATAGAACAGACGTAAAAGAGGTCAGTCCCGCGATCAGCCCCTGTCAAGCCGGACTTGGCCGCCCAAGCTGGGGGACTTACAGATCGAACGACATCTCAATCTTCTTTTTGTCACTCGGGTAGCTTCGAATGTAGTACAATGGTCGGAAATGATCTTTGGCAAACTTGAATTGTTCTTGTGCTTCCTTGTCATCGTCTCGCGAGGTCGAGGCGAGGTCGTCAGAATAGGTGACGTTGTAATGCTGCGAGAGGTGAAGAGAAGGGGATCAGGGGCCGACTTTGACAGCAAAAGACATGGTTTTCGCCTTACCTTTTGCATATACTCGAGATCGGAATGCGTGATCGTGATGTCCCAAAGGTACTGTGGAGGTCCACAGTCCCAACCGAAATCAGCCTTCCCTAACAAGACTTGTTCACCAGTCACAGTCGGTGATCGGATCCGAGCCTCACCTTGACGTTCCCAAGCACTTTCCTCTCTATCCAACTTGCGCCTTGACCCAAAATCTTCAACGTTGCATCCGCATCCGTACAAATGATGACATCGTCAAACTTGTCCTCTTGCTCCGGTCCGGGATCGACGACTTGTTGTCCATTATCCGTCCCTTTGGTCTGACGATAATTGATCTCCACTCCCTTGGACGACCTCTTTATCCCCGTCACCTCATGTGATAGCTTGAAATCAACATTGCCACTGTCCTCAATGACCTTCTGCCACGTCTCGTACAACAACGACAATCTCGGGAACGCCCTCATCTCCGGAATCGACGCCAAGAATGACGTCGCCGAGTACTCAAACAACCTCATCGAAGGATCCTTGAAGACCCGTTCGAGAATCGCGGAGGAAATGAAAGGAGTTTGGTTTCCCGTCCCGAAGAAAAGGGCGACGAGAGGGTAGACGATTACTTCGCCAAAGTCGGGGGAGAAGCGAAAGAGTTTGAGCATGCGCTCGACGGAGATGAGAGCGAATACGGGCTCGAAGGTTTTGATGATCGTGAGAACTTTGCCGAAGCGTTTGATGTCGGGTTGGAATCTAGAGGTTCAGGCGGAATGAACGGTCAGAAATCATGTCAGTAATCACCCTTGGCATCCTTCTGGTGATCGGCACGGTGGACTGACTTGTCAATGACCGAGGAAGGGAAAACGTTGCTCCAAAACTCGTCGTCGCCTTTGCCGAACGAACACTGCATCCCCACCTCGGAACTTCCAAATCCAAGCTCTTCAAAAACTTTGAACGTGTTGTAAAATACGGGAGATGCGCCTGTCGATATTTGTTCATGTCCGATAGCCGGAGGAAAGAGCTCGGTTCAGCAAATCGCCGATCGACAATCTCCCACAGCCTCACAAGCTCTACTGACCTTGTACACCATCATTGATATACGAAGCGCCATACTTGGTCTCGTCGATGTCGCTACTTGTCGCCATACCACCGCAAGCACTCGAGCGTTCAAAGAGGACGACTTCGAAGCCTTCGCCGGACTTGTCTTTGGACTTGCTCGAGGTGACGGAGAGCGCATAGGCCGCTGACATACCCGCTGCGCCGGCACCGATGATGGCGATCCTTTTAGGGGCCATGGTCGATCGAGGAGATAGTCTACGGTGAGGTGGGGGCTTCCGGAACAAAGAGGAGCTGTGTAGCAATGGGATCGAACGGCGTACAAGATCGCAAGTGTTCGATGCCTGAAGTTTCGGAGTCCGACAAGCGCGCGAGACTCATCGCCGCTCTCAATACGTCACCGCGCGCACACATAGATCGTGGCCTCGAGGATCCCGAGATCGCAGAGCTTATAATAAGTGCAGGTCGAGTCTTCGATGTGACGCACGTTCAGTCTTGGGATGACCAGCGTCTGATCGAAGAAACAATTGGATTGAGTTGGCTTGGGTTGCATCTTTGGCTGAACGGTCAGGAAACACTTGTTTCGTCGGTTCGCCTCTCGGCTCCCCGCTGGCATCCAGAGGTTACTTCTTCGCTCATCGATCGGTGCTGGTGTCTCAAACATGTAAGAAACCATCTTTTCCCGATATCAAAGTAGATTCATTGATTATTGTTCTCATCCTCTACGGTGCTACGACGGAAATGCAAATTAAGCTCTTCGGAGCTAGCCCCTGTCTGGCCCTTTCGCTGTCGTCCGCCACGCAGATCGGAATGTCGATGATGCAACGCTGGCCGAAGCAAGTGCATCCGAGATCATTCGTGAGCTCAGGGAGCAACTTGGGTGTCCTCCCACGATCCATCGGCTTGCTTCGTCCAGACGTAACGCACGGGCGGTTGGGCCTGTAAGCGAGAACAAAGTTCGGTTGATCGGATTGGTCAAATCGGCATGATCGGCCTCAAGATAGCTGCAGTATTGTTGTAACTTACATTCTGCTCTGAGTGATCGACGAATGTAGGCTCAAACACGACCAACGAGCTGCAGAGACCGAGACGTAAAAAGGTCAGCCACAGTTCGGTCAACGAGATCCGTCCCAACTCAACTCACAACCTCTTCAGTGCCTCCTCCTCCCCCTCTTCCCCAACACCCAACCTCTCCTGAAAATCAAACTTCTTATCCTTGGGCCACTCACTCCCCGGCTTAGGCCTCAAGAACGAAGCCCTCAAATGGCCCGAAAGACTCTTCCACTGTTCCTGACGTAAGGCCTCGAAATCGAACTCGGGGAAACGTTCTTGGATCGGTTGGCGCGAATCGGAGGAGTTTTGAGTGGAGGGGGGAAGGTATAGGTAGATCAAACCTCGGAGACGAATTTGGTCGCCTGTTGGGGAGGTCCAGAAGATGATTTCGGAAGGGGCGCCGCCGGTCGAATTGGAAGAAGATTGGATTTGATCGACTGTAATGGGGGATCGAAATCAGCGGGATGGGTGGAGTTAGTTAACGGTTATTTAGCCATGATGATACATTGGGTCACACGTACCTTTGGGCATGATCGCGTCGGTCGTGGTTAAGAGGAGCTCGGAGTCTTGCTTGGATCCGGGAGAGGGCACGAAGCCTCGGAAGACACTACGAGCCAAATCGCAAGCATCAGGTTGCTCATTCCAAATAGTATATGTCATTTCTTGTTTGCACCTACTGATAACGAGCGTAAGGTTGTCCATCTTTGACGGTCGAGACGACGATGTTCTCTGCGTGCGCAGTCCCGGAATTCAAGTCGCCGATCAGTCTCCGAGAAGGTCGATCGCTGACCGCCGCCGACTCGGCGACTCCTGACAGTGCCAATTGCCGAGAGACTCGGAGGAGCTCGACAGCACGACGTTTGAGCAAGAAACGGAACGCACTGGCATCAAGAAAGCCCTTGTTCTTCTCATGATCGAGGACTTGATGGATTCGCTCGATCCACTTGGGCGTTTCGCTGGCTTGATCGACCGTCACTTTGGCTCGCTTCGCCGACGAAGGGCCGGCCGAGGGAGAAGCGGGAGTGCTGCTGCTGCCGTTGGCTTCATGCCATCGAACGTTATCTGCGGGAGACATTATTCACGAGCTGTCTGTAGAGAGGTGGAGGAACGAAGGAGAAGATGGATATGTGTCGATGCCGGGCTGTTGTCGATTTCGAAATCCGAACGCGAAGACGAAGGTCGAGTTGGTCTAAAATTGCTGCACTCGTCATCGATGCTCGACTCGCACGAGCTCACACCCGAGTTGAGCGAGACTTTCACGCCGCAGCCACACGCGTCATCACGCTCCCCGGCCCGCCGAACCCGATTTACCAGTGGACTGGTGCCACTAATAAATCGGCTTAGATCGGCTTCCCCAGCTTGAAAAGCGCCTCGATCACTTTTGCTGCCCAGCCCAGCCCAGCCCAGCCCAGCCCAGCCCAGTTTGATCACCCGATTGGACCAACCCAACAGACCTTGTTGCACCTCCTGTAGATCCCACCCTCTCCGCCCCACCAACCAGTTGCCGCGGTCGCCACCATCTCACGTGACTTGTATCGGTGCCATCGCGAGGTCTTTGTTGGATCGGTCATGCGATGAAGGTGAGCTCATATCGGCTCAACCACGGCAGCTATGAATAGATTACCCCCCCCCCACTCCCCGATGCGGGTGACGATCACCTGATCCTCCTCCTCATGCAATCCACTGACCCAATCTCCGCCCTCTTCCCTTCCCAATCCATCCCATCGCACAGCATCGCTCCTCCTCCTCCTACAGCACCGTCTCCACTACAGGTCCCCGCGAATCATTAGAGGAGAACGTGCCCATGACTCCTACAGGCGGGATCACACCGAGTCCGACACCGCCGCTTCCGACTCGGGACGAGGAAGAGAGGCATCATACGACGATTGATCCTTTTTCGGTACATGCTTCAACTTCGAACAAATCGAACGGGAGGGGGAGGGGGAGGGATGATTCGACGATAGTTGAGATCGGCCCTTCGGCGGGGCAGGAGGGCGATGATAATGACAATGACGACGACGACGAGGATGACGATGAGGGTCTAGAAGGAGCTGCCGTTCCTTCGAGATGGAAACAATCCGATGGAAGGGAAGAGGAACTTGCCTTCTTGACCGAGGACGAACTCGATCCGGAAGACGAAGAAATCATCACCACCTCAAGAACGACCGACCCTGCTTCGATGAGGCCGTCTTGGGCGACCGAATCGGAGTGGGAGGAGGATGGGAATGAGACGGATGGTCCGGGGCTTCATCGGAGGAAGAATAGGAGGGTATATGGTGGAGGAAGGCACGGGGATGCCCTCAAGGGAGGGAGTCTGGGTCCGGGCGAAGTCGCGGGGATGATCTTGGCCAGCACGTAAGGCTCGAACGCTCTGGTTTGATCCGGGCAGGAGGCGCCGCTTCAGTTGCTGATCCAGGGAACATCCAATCGTACAGACTGAGTCCGACGCCTTTGTTGATGCCTCATGCGGTGGCATTGTTGGGGATCGGGCTCTTCCTGCCTGTACTCTTCTTGACGGCGGGGCTGAGTTGGTTCTCCTACGTCGTGACCGGAGTCGAAGCTCGCTACGTCGGATCCAGGTGCGTGCATGGGAAGCTAGAATTGCTCAAATATGTCGCTAATACGAGGCGTATCTGGGAGTGCAGGTCATGGATCTCCCTCACAGCAGCCGTCTTCCCTCACCGAGCTCGGATACATAAATTCGGCGAAGTGTTGGCCTCGTTCGCGGTCTTTGTCGGTTCGGCTTTGCGCGCCGTGCTCAGCGTCGTTGCGATGAGCGAGATCATGGTTGACTTGCTGTTCCCGGAGAAAAAGGGCAATCTGTGGTGGCAGCGTATTATCGTCGTTTGTGTGATGGGCGTCGTTTGGGTGAGTTCAAGAAGAGTCTTCCCGTGCGTCACCTCGGGATAGTCGCTGACCACCAGATTATAACCGTTCACAACAGACCGTGCTTCCACTGGTCGTGATCCCACTGGTGCGAAAGCAGATGCAACAATCGCAGAACCGGGCGCACCCAGCATTCCGAGCCTTGCTGCAACTTGTGAGTATGGCGTCGTTCTTAATCGTGGATTGGGTCACTGACTACGACTACGCTTGCCTCGAAGCCCGCCTACATTGCCCTCCTACTGTGGCCACTCGCTCTTCTTGTTCTCGGCGTCCGGCTGAAGAAGCTCAATGCAGAAGCGGCATTCTTTCCCCGCCCACCAATAGAGGGCCGAGGCTTGACTTTCCCATTACCGACTCCGCCTGGTCGAGGCAAGAAGGGTGCCGCAGGGGAGGCCATGGGCTACTCAATCTGGGGAGGTGAGTCGGATATTATGCCGCTGCTCGTCCCCGTGAGCTGTAACTGACGAAGTCTGGAAATCACAGGTATCGCCTTGATCGTCTACTCCCTGACGTGCCAGCAGGACACCTTCTTGTTCCTCACCTCTCTGGCGCGGCCTTCCTCGACCGCCGCTCGTCGATCCTCGGGCAGCATCGCCTCCACCTCCCGTTCATCGCCAAACGGTCCCGTCGAAGGCCGACGGAACCAATGGCCTCTGGCTTGCGCTCTAGGCGTCGGAGGAGCGACAATCGTCCAACTTGGATGGGCCTTGGTCGGCTATTTGGGCGTCGAGAATGGTGGAAGGGAAGGCAACGTCTTGCGCAACGCTTCGTTACCACGGGGTGATCCATGGCTCGACGTCGTGAGATGGTTGGTCGTGATGGCTATCGCCGCGCAGGTTGAAGATTCCCTCGCTGGAGCGTATTCCAGAGCAGGCAAAGTCGTCGAAGCCGTTGTGGGCAAACGGTCGAATGTGCGTGAGGAAGTGGCGGCCAATAGTCGAGCGAGAAGGAGGAGCAGTCATCGAGCAGGGGGTGGGAACTATGCGTCTTTGCACTACGATGACGACGAGGATGAATCCGGCGCTCGATCGGGTGGATTGTTCGGTGGAGCTAGGCCGACTTCGTGGCCGAGGGCGATCTCGAGGATCGGGGTATGGGTCATTGTTGTTTTCTTTGGGACGATGGTGTGCTCTTGGGGTGATACGGGGGAGGGAGCAGTCAGCGTCGCGGAGATTGCGGGAGTCTCAATGTCCGCGGTGGGAAGCTTCCTTGCACCTGGTGAATTTTGGCTCTTCCCGATCAGGGGTGGAAGATGAGCAGCCTAGCTGACGACTCCCTTTTCTCAGGCCTCTTCTTCATCGCGCTCTTTCACCTCCGTCGCCCTCGCTCCATCTTCGTCTCGGACCCTTCCTCCCCCTCCTTCACAGCCGATACCCTCCTAGTACGTAAAGAACAACAAGTACAGCGACGTTTGAGCGGGAGGAGGATCTGGCAAGATGTGATGGTGTTTGGCGGGTTGTTACCTTATTCGATGGTCGTTATCGCGAGAGGGGTGACAGCGTTGGTTCAGAGGGAGTAGGGGGAGAGGGGCTTGGCTTGGGTGGACGTGTGGGTCAGTAGCTTTGTTCCTCGTTCTTTGTTGGGTTTGGATCAGTTGGAATGGCACATCATGAACGCCCTCTTTTGTTCAGTCCGGGCGAGCGCTGGTGAGGTTCACGTGACACGGTCTGCGGAAATCCGATCGGTGGAATGGCGCAAACTCGACCGAGAGCTGTGACAGGGGAGGCTGAGTGGCTCAGTGGATGAATGCCCACTACCAACCTCCTTCCTTAGCCAGTGAAGGGAGAACACAGTCCCTAAAGGCGATCCCATGATGTCACGAGTCCCCCTTCATTGGTAGTAATTCTTATATAAGTCCGAGGGTCCCATCGACGTCTTCGGCGGTCATTTTTGGTGACACGGAACCAAGTGCCGTGGGGTGGGGATGCACTGGTGTCGGACATTACTTCCGGTACCGATCGATCAATAGGAACGCACATTCATCGGGCTCAAAAGAGGCGTTGGCGAGCAAATACTGAGCAGGAAGGGATGTCACGAAACGGAGTCTCAAGTCCAGCTGAAATCTAGGTTGTTGTGTTGTGTACGTTGCGACAGGTCTCGCCAAATTTAAATAAACTCGGCCTCACAATCGGCGGGAGCCCCCGGCGCACATTTTGTTGCCTTATCATTTGCCGAGAGGCCCATTTCGGTCTTATTGCGACGGTGCCGGGTGTTTCCGTGCTAGGTGCAGGGCAGTACTAGCTAATAGTGAGATTCTTGAGCTTCCACAGCAACGATACTGAAACAAAAAGGACACTGCAAATGCTGCAGTGGTCGATTTTTCCGACCGAGTCGTCGCTTTCACGATTCTGACAGGACGAGGGCACGTCTACTTTTAATTTTGGCGTTGCGCGCCGGCACAGCCCTCCACAACGACGGCAGCTTGCTGCGTGCGCCAACCAGTGGCAGCAGCGCGTGCATAGGGCCTGGCAGCCAACGTGGAAGCGGCGGCTGTGAGCGGCTGTGCGGCGGCTCAGAAGGGCTCAGGGCGGCTCTTGCTGGCTCTTGGGCCTCGGCTCGCCCGGTTTGCTGCCCGCTGCTCCCTCTCTCAATCTCATTTCCGGACCGCATTCGCAACCCACGTCGTCGCCAGCTCGCGACCCAAACAACTCGAGAGCTTCTCAACTCTGATTCGCTTTCGTGACTTTGTTGCGTCGTTCTCCCCTTCGCAGCCTCATCTGTCTCCCAACTCACATTCAGTCTCGCTCGCTTGAACTTCCCGTCGGTTTCTGTGCTTGTCTCTGCTGGTTCCAGCGTCGGTCACCTTGCCCCCGCCTGCCCAGGCCTGCCCCAGCCCTTCGCACGCGTCTCTCCCCGTACGACCGACCGACCCGATCCCGACCGCGCCGCCGCCGTCGTCTGACTTGGAATCTGCGCGTGTTGACGAACCCCCCCTACACCAGCACCACACCAAAAGGTCAGTCCTCAATCACAACCAGCTGTCTCAGGTACGAGCTTCCAGCAAGTAGCCATGGCTGCCCCAACGCGCAACGTTAGCCAAGGAATCTATCATCTCCTTTCGGGGGGTGCTCTCTGTGTGTGTGTGCGGGTGTTCGGCCGCACCACGCTCGTATCCGCTTCGGCGACCGTCTTCGCGCCTGCCGGTGCTACTCAGAATCGTGTGGCGCCCGCCCGTGGTTTTTGATGCCGAGCCTCGGCAGATGCCGTCGGAGGGGGGTCGTGATGTTCATCACTACCACATAACGATCGTTATTGTCTTTTATCGAGTCACACCATCATTTGCTGGACCATCTTCGACCCGGTCGTGTCCTAGTGATCGGCGTCGGAGGTGACTGCAACGAGCTGGGCACGTCGACGTGCTGTGCAACCACAGGCGGTTGGCGGGCAGCCGTAGCGGTTCAGTCGGAAAGCTACGACGGTCCTGCCACGAGACTTGGGTGTACACCAAGTCAATATCCCTAAATCGCAAGTAACGGACTATCGTCGATCCCCCCGGTTCCCGGTTGTCGGACTTGCGGCCGCTCGACGCACGGTCTTCTTTCCGCTCGTGGACACGGCGCGCACGGCTATCGTTTCGTCTCAGGCAGAACTGCGCAACGTCCGCTGCGAGTCTTTGAAGACTAGCGCCAAGTCTCAGCGCATTTCTTCGATCTGCTTTCCATGGAGCGATGTGCCTTACAGGTTCTCCTTGATCACGGACCTTGAGCTCGTAAATTGATCGGCCCAGTGTCTCTTTCTTCAAACGTGCAGGACCCGCAGCTACGTCCAACTGCCGTTCGTTCCAGTCTAGTCTGACCTGACCCCCTACCATGTCGTACCCACCCCGCCGCGACCAACATGCCTATTACGAGGATGCGTACGGTGCCACGACCCCTCAGCGCTCGTCTGCCGATGTCTACGCCGCCGTGCCCACCAATCACGAGGCGATGATGAACCACTCGTACTCGACCCCTTACGATGACATCGCCTCGCCGAGTCCGCGCCATGACCCTCTCGCCACGCCCCCCATATTCCAAGACGACGGACAGTTCCCCGTACGGAGTCAAAGCTCCACTTCTTTTGGTGACCAGCACGACCCTTACGCTCGTTACGACGCTCGCACCGGATCGACCTATTCGCTGGGCGGGGACGGTCAGTCGCAGCTTGGTCTCAACCCGCGGTCTCCGAGCGGTTTGGGCGTGTACGACAAGTACGAAGACCACGAGATGAGCGACAAGAGCAATCGACGAGGGACGGCAACCGTCGCGGGGGGCCGCAAGCTCGCTAAGGATGGCAAGGACGGATTTTGGGCCAGGCTATCCGGCCGAGGTCGAAAATTCTTGCTTTTGCTCGCTCTCGTCATCCTGCTCATCATCGCCGTTGTCGTCGCGATCCCGACCGCGATCATCACGCGCAAGGATGAAAAGTCGGATGCTGCATCGGGCTCGTCAGGAACGACGGGCAGCGGCACACACACCACTTCGGCGACGGCAGCCAAAGGGATCCCGACGGGCGCGAGCGGATCAAAGGACTGGAAGACCGCGGCGTACGGAGGCGACGGTTCAATCGTGTACACCGAGGACGGCTCGTCGTTCACGTACAACAACTCGTTCGGTGGTTTCTGGGTGTCGATCCCGTTCAACGATACGGCCCAAGCCCAGGACGATGTCCCGCCTCTCAATAAGGAGTGGGACTACTCGGTCGACCCTATCAATGGCGTCAACCTCGGTGGCTGGTTAACAATGGAGCCCTTCATCACCCCTTACATGTTCGAGCCTTTTAACTCGCCCAGCAACTCGCCCAACGCGACCAATAACGCCATCGACGAATGGCACTTGTCCCAAGCGCTCGGCTCGAACCTCACTTCAGTCATCACGAACCACTACGAGACGTTCATAACCGAGAAGGACTTTGCCGAGATCGCGGGCGCGGGGCTCAACTGGGTGCGCATCCCGATTCCGTGGTGGATCATTGAAGTGTGGGATGGTGAGCCGTTCCTCGCCAACGTCGGATGGACCTACTTCCTCAAGGCCATCGTCTGGGCGCGCAAATACGGCATTCGCATCAACCTCGACCTGCACGCAGTCCCCGGTTCGCAAAATGGCTACAACCACTCGGGCAAGCAAGGCTCGATCAACTTCTTGAACGGCGTCATGGGTATCGCGAACGCGCAACGTACGCTCGACTACATTCGCACCTTGACCGAGTTCATTAGCCAGCCCCAGTACAAAAACGTCGTGCCCATGTTCAGTGTGCTTAATGAGCCTTACGGAGCCACGATCGGCGCCGATGCGCTTCGACACTTGTGAGTGGTTTGCTGCATTAAATCCCCTGTGAACTCAGATCGGGTCTCTGAGGCTGTTTGTGACCCACAGCTACTACGAGACGTACTCGATGATGCGCAACATCACCAGCTTAGGCACCGGCAACGGACCATTCATCACCTTCCACGATGCCTTCTTCGTTCTCAACACGACCGACAGCGGTGGCTGGCTCGGATGGATGCCCGGATCGGATCGTGTCGCGCTCGATCGTCACCCGTACTTGTGCTTCGCCGCGCCGAACAATGACGGTCTGTCGTACCAAGCCGCCAAGCCGTGCTCGTACTGGGCTGCCGAGATGAACCAGACGACGAGGGACTTTGGCCTCGCCGTCGCGGGAGAATGGAGTCTGGCGATCAACGACTGCGGCAAGTGGCTCAACAACGTCGGCAACGGGAACCGATACGACGGCACGTACTACATCCCCAACACGAACGCGACGACGCCCCAATACGCTTCGGTCGGGAGCTGCGACCCGTGGAATGTGAGTCTTCGCGCGCGAGCGTGTCTTTACAGTACTGGACTGAGGCTGATAATGATTCGCGTGTGCTTTCAACAGGACTACGCGAGCTGGAACTCTTCGATCAAGCAAGGTTTGAAACTTGTCGCGACGGGCCACATGAGCGCGTTACGCCACTGGTTCTTCTGGACGTGGAAGACGGGCTACTCGGAAACACTCGGCAAGATCGCGAACCCGATGTGGAACTATCAACTCGGCTACCGCAACGGCTGGATCCCGCAGAACCCTCGAGACACGCGCGATGCGTGCGCGTCGCTCGTCAAGGACAATGGCTTCACCGTCTCGATGCCGAACAACCCTGCTCCGACGCTCGCGACTTGGATGACGGGTGGTGCCGGTGCCGGTACGCAGCAGAATCCGGCCTTGGTCAGCACCTACAGCCAGTGGCCTCCGACCATGCTGGGGAACTACACCGTTGCCAACTTGCCGCAGTACACGCCGACGGCTTCAATCATCACCCTGCCCGTTTCGACGCCGACGACGTACCCTCCCGGTTACTCGGCCGTCACGACCGCTGGTACGGGATGGTTCAACAGCGCCGACACGGCTGGCTTTATGACCGAGATCCCGGGCTGCACGTACCCCAACCCTTGGGAGGGTGTCTCAGCAACAGCCCCGACGTCGCCTTGCACGGGCACGGCCAATGCTCGAGCCAAGAGGGACGTCGTCGACGTTGCGTCGCCGCTGAGGACACCTCCCCTAGTATCTCGACGAAGAATATGATTATCAAATTTCTTCTGTCCTCTTGTTCTTCATGAGCATATTCTTCTTGTCTTGGTGATCTCGCTTCTCCCCCATTACACGCCTCACGCACAACATCCTTGCATTTCTCTCTTTTGATAGACACTCCAAGTCTATCGCTTTGTTCTGTTCCACCATTCTACGACCAAGCACCTTAGACACTCTCATTCCTTCCTCTTTTTTACCCTCATTACATGTTCATATCGTACTTCATCCTGCCTCCCCTACTTCGTCTTAGATCCCTTCCCCACACTGTAGTCTGGTCCATAATTCTTCTTCGTTCTCTCTCCTCTCTCTTCGTGCTTACGACATTGTTCGGACCCCTCTCGTGGTCCCCTCTCTCTCTTTGTGCTGAACTGCAACTGCAATGTTCCCGTCTGCGTCTTCATTGGGTTGAGCATGATTGGATTGCGAGGTGCCTGCATCACCTGATCGAAACTTGGAGTTTTGGGCGGCGTTTGCTCATGGACGATAGGCGAGATCACGGTGATTGACGCTGGTTGGACCGGCGAAAGAGGGCGAAAGTGCTCGAGGCTCTTCCGGGCCGGTCCACACTTCAACGCTTTCAACTCCTCTGCTCTCTCTCTTTCTCTCTCTCGCTACACCTCGACACGATCCGAGCAAGCCACACCTTTTTTTTTTTCAACCTAACAGCTCACTCGCTATCAGCTGCAACCCTGCGCGACTCATTCCCCAATCGAACGGCACTGCTCCGTCGAGTTCTCATGATTTCATCCTGTACCATGCCCGAATCCCCCACCTCCGCTCGGCTCACCAAAGTCCTATCCCTCCTCTCCGAAGCCCATTCGACCGACCCCTGCTCAGAATCTTCCACCTACCATTCCACCCTCTCCTCCTACGTCACTCGCCTCTGCCGCGACGCCGGTAACGAAGAACCCAGTGAAGCGCTCGTGATCGCTGCGAATGCGCAACATGTCAGGAGGTGGGAGAAGCCGAGGAATGAGTACCCGATGGGTTTGTCCGGTTATAAGATGTGGAGAGTGAGTGCGCTGCGGTGCGGGAGGGGTGAGCGGTCGTGGATGGGGTGGGGTGGGTTTGCCCGAGGATGGCACGTGACTTGGCTTCTCTTCTGGCACTTGCTGCTCTATCCAAGCTTGAGCGTAGAACCGACCCCGGCCCGCAGTTGTTCGGGCTAGAACTGCACCAAACTTTACCCTACAACTTCAAGAACTAACTCGAATATTACGCCCTCTCTCCTCTCAGACGAACCTCAACAGATTTCACTCCCAAGTCGCACGTGAGCTCATGCTCCAAGCCGGCTATTCCGAAACTTCCGATGCCGAGCTCTTCCAACGCGTCGATGAGTTGTTGCTCAAGAAGACGTTGGCGAGACCGCCTTTCAAATATCCTCTTAAAGGTGAGAGCTGTTGCATGTCTTAATGCAAGATCATCCGGCCCTTGACTTACGACCAGTCGCACCTTCACCTCTTCTACAAGATCCCGAAATGCACCTCTTCGAAGATGCGATCTGCCTCACGTTCCTCTCCACGCAATTCGTCCAATTCTCGGACCAACTCGACGACCCTTCCAAAATGGTGGGCATCGTTGCAAAAACCTGGGCCAAGATGTCCACCTTGGGGAGAAAGGTCGCGGCGGAGGAATTGGTCGGCACGCTGCCGTACGAGCTGAAGAAGGTCGTTCAGGAGGCGTTGGAAGGGACGGGCTGAAGTGGTTGCCAGGAGTTTGATCTTCGCTGGGCGCATCTTGGAATTATGTATGTCATTGCGACGAATGTTGGAACATTTTTTTCCTTTAACCTTGCCTACTCGTACTTTGCCAACCAGAATGTGCGAGGTCAGCGATGACACGACCGTAGGATCGTCGAGAGACTGATGTGTGGACTACCTTTGCAAGCTCAGTCGGAGTAGGAGGCTCTCAACGTTGGTGAGACAATGCTGCAGTGAAGTGTACGTGCGATCTTGCAGCGACAATCAACTTTGCGACCATGCTCTAATCAACAAATCCTAGCTCGGCCGCACCTTATCGCAGTCCATGTGCACATGGAATAGCTCTTCGAAATTTCTTCTCGCGACTGGTTCTTTCGAAATTGCATGCAATACAAGTCCTTTCACAAGGGGAGCCCACGTACACTTTGTTTTTCTTTTAACATTTCCGCTCTTGATCTCATCACAAAACAATACTAGCACACACTGCACGTCGAAGTCATATCACCAACGACGTCCACCACCACCATTGTTGCCACCGCCGTTTGGATTCGGTTGATAAGCTGGCGTCCGATTGCCCCCCGGATAAGCGGGCGTTCGACCGCCCGCTGCGTTCAGAGGAGTACCTTTCCCTTGAGCGGAGTATTGTGGCGTCACGCCCGTAGAATACGGATTGGGCGTTCGACCGCCCAATCGAGGATCAGCGCCGAGGTGTTGAGGTATCGGCGTTTTACCCGTCCCAACCGTCGAGGCATAAGGGTTCGGTGTTCTCCCATCCGCACCAACGCCAACGATCGGTGTTCTTCCACTCGCGAGGACGGGCGTTCTTCCTCCAACGACCAAAGGTGTTCGACCACCTGCCCCAGCACCCATCGGTGTTCGACCGCTATTGAAAAGAGGGTTACGACCCGTGCCCGCTCCGATACTGGCGACGGCCGCAGCGGCTTGTTGCTCACGAAGAGGGTTAGGCGTCCTCCCTCCTGCTGCTGCTGCACCACCGGCTCCGAAAGGCGTCGCACCACCGGGGTACCTAGGCGTCCTCATCGGCATACGCGTTCCCGCTCCACCCGCAGCGATCTCGGCCGTGTAAGCGCGCTTGAAACCGTTGCACAAGGCCGCGACGTCACCGTGTTCGGCGCCCTTGAGCACGAAAGCACCGGGGACGACCCAAATCGGCCACGAGTGAGGTTCGGCTCCATCATTGGCGCGGAAAGTGACCATGAACAATCCAGGCTTCTTGGGGTCCTTGTTGATCGCGAATCCATAGGCCGAGATGTTGGGGTTGACCATCAACGAGTTGGAGAGGAAGTTGTCGAGCGCGGCCTTGTCACCTTTGAACTTGTCGTGCGCCATCAGTTCACCAACCTTGAGGGACATTTGCTTGATGTGCGATACGATCAATTCGTCGAGATCGGAGTAGGACCAGTACGCTTCGCCGCGGCTCGCGTTCGGTTGCGAGACGTCGATCGGTTTGGTGATGCGTAGGAGCGAACCGAGGGACCATTCGTTCGCCTTGTTCATTTCGTGAACGGCTGTGGTAGGAGAACGGAACGGTGTCGTTAGTCAGCTACTCCAGAAAGAACTTGAGCGCTGTGACGATGGAGGACTGACCAATATGCTGGTAAACTCCCTCGGCGACCTTCCACGTCACGGCAATATGGTCCTCCAACGACGACGGTCGAATAACGCAATCCCCACGCTGCATGTTAGCCAAATATTCTTCCGCCTGCCCAGCCGACAGGTTATGGAAGTTGGGATGATTGACCATACGTTTCTGCCGTCCCGCGGACTTCTTCTGTACGATCGCCTGTCGTTCCCTCTCCGCTCGAGCAGCTTCGACGTCATAGTATTGCGGATCGTAGCCGACTCGACGTTGGTCCGCATCACCTTTTTGGATGTGTCCTTCGACGGTCGACAGTTCGACAGTGAAGGTCTTGAGGTTGCTACCAATGATTTGCGCTTGTATGGTCTGCCCGATTCGGGGCTGTTGGTACCGATTGGGGTCTTGGGTTCTATACTCTGCCTCGATCGTACCTTCGATTTGAGACTCTAGGCGTACGCAGATTGCTCCGTCGGGTCGGAAGCGGTAAACTCGAACGGGGATAATGAGTCCGTTGTCAAAGGTCTGCTTCGTCTCACCCGTCAACATCGCAAACACCTCTTCCGGATTCGGCACTCGGAACGGCAATCGTCGATCGGCGTAAGGTTCTTGCATCTCGTCTCGTACGCTGTACAACGTCAAGCGCTTGGGCATGAAGAAGAGTTTTTCCAACTCGGCGGCGAAATCCTCCAACGAGAGGTCATCGAGACGACGAGGGTTATCGCTCATGAGGTTGATGACGGCTTGGGAAGGGACTTTGAACGTGGCCGTTTCTTCTTCATCGACTTCCATCGCGTCGGCTGCCATCTTGCGAGCGACTTCGTAATCCTCCGGATGGATGCGCGTATCGTCAAGGACTTCAGGTTCGTCACCTGCGGCTTCGCGTCGACCAAGATCGGCATTTAGGTCGTCCTGCGAGATGCGCAAGAATCCCGCTGCGTTCATGAAGATATTCTTGGTCGTGATCGCATGGAAGATGAGACCCGATCGGTTCGACAACGTTCCACCGACGTTGGTTTCGATCTTCTTGACCAGACCCGAAGCTTTGCGAGGTCCGAGACCGGCGATGTAGGGGAGCAAATGACGGTAGTAAGCGTTTCGGACGGCCTTGTTGATCTCGACGCCGCACCGGTTCGTCACATCGATCAAGGCGTGCTCGAGGTGCTCCTTCATCTTGGCAGGTGGCAAGTACTTCTGGTTCGGATCGTAGCTCAACGCGACGAGGTCATCGCCGAGAGCGGCGTATTCGTTCAACGGCGATTGGGCATACCGAGCAAGGGCGACGCAATACCTGCTAATCGTCGACAGTTCGGGGAACTCGATCAGAGCACGAGGCGAAGACTGGTACAACCTCGCGACGTTGTCGTAGACGTAGATCGTCTCGAACGCCGCACGAGCCGTCAATTGATCAGGTGTGAAAGGGTCCTCGTCGACGTCCTGGTTCCTCAGATCGTCCTGATCAACCACGATCGAGTCGCTGATGCCTTGGGAGAAGGTCATGAAATCCTGGTACAGTCGATTGGTATTGGGTGAAAATCCACCGATGACGACAACTTGAGGCCTCCGTCGTCGCAACAGCTCGGTGAACGATTCCCGTTGCGCGTCCTCCATGCGATGCAAATTATCGACCTTGAGTTGCTCGCGCACATGCCCCTCCGCATCCATGAAGACGCACGACACTGAGTCGCGTTGAGGGTGTCCCTCACCGTTCGAGATGGCTAGAACGGAAGGGACCTCGCCGTGCTCCATCGAGCCATCTCGGCGTTGGTAAGGCGCGACGTTGATGCGGTCCTCGAGCTTGTTCTTGCACGCGCGACCGACAAAGTCCTCCTCCTCTTCGCGCAAGTACGTGCGTGCCCATCGCTCACCGAAGGGCAGGAGGTGCTCTTGGACCACCGTGGTGAGGATCTCGGATCGGAGCTTGTTCCATTCCTCCGCTACGGTCGAGGTGTAATCGGAGGTGTAGATCTTGGTCAAATCCTCCATGAAGCGGTTCAAGGCTGCGCCGGGAAGAGTGATGCGGCACTTGACGAGATCGTCACTTTCGGCGGCGAGGATCTGCAAGAACATTGCCGATCGCAACAGGGTCGAGACGGGCCGACCTTTGAGGTATTTGAAGACGTAGAAAGGGTTCATTTCGTCGATCGTGTTGATGCCCTTGTCCGTCGGAGTGACGGTGACGACGGCGTAATCCTTGAAGTAGCGACGGATCTCGCGGCGCAGGATGGGGTCATGTCTGATCTCGTGTACGGCAATCATCTGTGCCGTGTCGAGCGCGCGTTCGGGAGTCGTGAACTCATCATTCGTGAACTCGGCCGCGAGCTCGAGGGGTGCCTTGCTCGGATCCTCTGTCGTGCTCGAGCGCGTACCACTGATGAAGTCCCTCGCCAACTCTGTCGCACTGACACCGATCTGGGTCGCCAGATCCGAGACAAACTCCTTCTTGGCATGTTGGTACGCCGACTCGCGCGTTGCTCGTCGTCTCGAAGGAAGGTCCGACTCTTGTCCCCTTGCCGCTCGGATTTGCTCGAGTTCGCTAAAGTACTTCATCGACATCCACTCGTTCGCATCCGAGACTTCCTCAACGGATTCGACAGCGTCGAGCGTCTCGTCAAAGTAGTCGTCTTCGACCTCGAGTTGGTTGAAGTGTGCTTTGAGTTCCCGCTTGCGATGCAGTAACGCGCGGTACTTGATCGAGAGGGCCGAGATGCGCCACAGATCGTCGTGGTCGAGCAGAGCGATATCACGCCCGTCACGAACGACGAGATAATCCGCGCGATGGGCCCAGATGAAGGGTGGCTCGAGCAGCTCGATGTTCATGAAGCGAACGACGTTCTTGATCGCGGTGATGAAGGCGTCGTGGTGCGGGGGTCGATCACCCGACGAGTCCCTCATGATGAAGTGCTCGTGCGCACGTACCGAGATGCGCGTCGACATCCATTCCGCGGCGAGCTCGAGGTCCTCCTCTTGGATGAACCTCTGCGTGATGCCCGTGTCTTCGTCACCGTCCTCGATGGTTGGCAGACCCGCCGAGGCGATCTGCATGCGTTCGGGAATGTCGAGCGCGCGAATGGCCTCGTCCTCTTCCGTGAGCATGCGCGAGGCTATTTCCGAAGGTTCGTAGATCTGTGATGGGGATGAACCCAAACCGATTCAATCAGACGATTGATCACCTCCTAGTGAGCTCCGGTTCCGACTCACATCACGCAACTCCTTCTGCTTGGGCTCGTCCTCTTCATCATCGAGCGCCCACGCATAATCCTGACCATTCCCAAAGACCTCCGTGACTTCCTGCCTCGCCTCAGCCGAGATGCCTTCGATGTAAGCCGTGCCAAAGCCCCGGCCCCGGCCCTTGTTGCTCTGCTGAGCCCTCGCTTTCCGTTTGGCCTCCTTTCGAGCGGCTCGATCATTCTCATCTTCGTCCGAGCCGTCCTGTCGATCCGATTCAGAGGCGGTATCCTCCTCAATGAAACCGGCCATCTCGTCGCCGTCAAAGGGGAGGCCCAGGCCGTCGTCGTCGTCGTCGTCGTCACCGGCGCCGCGGTCGTCGTCGTCGTCAAAGAGGTTATTGAGGCCCGCAGGCTCGTCGTTATCCGAGGCACCGACCGAGCGCCTACGTCGCAGTCGCTTCAATTTACCCTGGGAGAGGCACACAAAGGTATCAGCTTGTGCGTTTACGGCTTTCTCGCGGGAAGTGTGTGTAGCGTACCTTGGAGCTCCGATTCGATAGCCGCACACCGGTGTTTTCCTCGAGCAGATCGATATCGTCCTCGTCGAGGTTATCATCTAAGACCATACGTTGACTGTGATGAGCATCCCACCCGACCAAGGTTCGAAGGTGCTGTTCACTGACCATCATCACTGCCCTTTCTCCGCTTGCGGGATGCGCCCCCCTGCTCGGCATCGTCGCCCGCTCCGGAACCGGACCGTTCACGTTGCTTTCTGGGCTTCTTCTTCCTCCTCTTGCGGCGCTCGTCGGGTTCGTCCTCGTCGACGATGAAGTCTGCAAAGGGGAGAGCGAGCGGGGCCGGGGAAGCGCGGTGTCAGGTCGCGAGGGGAAGCGTGCCGAGTCAGCAACGGTGACGAGTGCAGACCCGGCAACAGGCAGAGTGTACTATCCCTCTCATGGGACGATGATGATGGTTGAGAGGAGTGCATCGGTAGCCGAGCTGTACGAGCGTTGCACCCCCCCGCTGCTGCTGCTGCTCCACCACCCCCGATCACGTCCGATCACGTCCGATCACGTCCCCAAACTCACCTTTCCTGACCTCCCTCTCGGCCTCGGAATCCTCATCCTCTTCCTCCGAACTGTCCGACCCCGTATCATCCCCCATCAAGTCGACGCCCTCCCCATCCGACGAATTCACGTCCGGGTCCTCCTCCTCCTCGTCGTCGTCGTCGTCTTGGTCCATCGCCGTTGGGTTACCCAGCAGCATCGAGGTCGACATCGCTCTTCGAGGTCGGCGTTGGAGGGTGGTGGCGTAGGGTGCTCTAGCCCGCTGAGGTGGAAGACCTCTTGGGTACGAGTGCGGGAGTGGGAACAGACAAGAGACCGGCGAGACGTTGGAGCTCGGTTTTGGCGCGCACAATTTGCCCTTCAAGCTCACACTGTGCAGCGCGCACGGACCATCAGCTTGAGGAGGAATGCGCGCGCACTGCGGCCGGCGAATTCTTCAATGGCTTTGCGTCTGCAGCTCGGGGGGAGGGGGGGGGGGGCTCAATACTGGTGTGTTCAACTCAACACAGGTCCAATCTAAGCTTAGCCACCTCGAGTTCGTTTCGCCTTGTCATTTTGCTGGGTGCCGAGATGACTCCGAGACCGAGGCGAAAAGTCGGCATTGGCACGCGCCCTATAGTGAGCGGCGCCTTGGAAAAGAGAGGCTCCTTTCTACGACACAGGGGAACAAGCTCAACGCATCCTCGTGAGTCTCCTTCTTTTAAACTAACGGAATCATTGACAACGCCGAAGTTAGAATGGACCTACAGATGTCCCGACGCCGTGCGCGGCACGACTCGGACTCTTCCCGTTCCGCGATCGGATGATGGGTTTGCTCCGTTCCGGCGACGGAAGGGTACTAGGAGAGCCAAATTGTCCCCGCTAAGTAGTCCTACACTAGCATCAACACGGCACCAAAAGAAATGCGAGAAACACAATGATTGGAAAATAACGGTGTACACCTGGTAATCGCAAGTTCCGCGCAGCAGAATCTATTTCATTTGCCACCGGCCGGCGACGAGGTCACGGTGCGGGGCCAGATATCAGATGTAGCCCCTGGAGAGTTTTCTTCAAAAGGCTGCGATACGAAAACAAGGGGTCATACTCAAGCCAATGCATGACTCATACCTATAACATCGCCTATTCTTAAATAAGCACAGCTCTATTCGTCGGCGCTCACTCGGCCCGGCGCGTGCCCGGCAAATCCTTTCCGCGCCCCCACCCCACCCTTCCCCCAGCCTCTTCCACGTTACAGCACCCCCACCCAACTTCGTGCCACTCCCGGCCCGCCTCCCACTCCGCTCCCTCTTCCCTACCACCTTCATCCCACCCGATCATCTCGAACCATCATGTCCTACGCTGTCAATTCCGCCAAAGTCGTCCGCGCCAAAACCTCGACGGGTCTCTTTGGGATCCATCATATCATGGCGGTCAGGTCCAAGGGGTTGGAATCGGGGGGCAAGAGACAGCCTTGTTTGGGTTAGTAACTGATTGTTATAGACCTCATCTTTTTAAGGGAATTAAGGTTTTGCGTTGGTGGGAGCATTTTTCAGGTAGTTGGATCATGATGCCCGGGCACAACATTACGCGCATGACGGCCAACATGGGCTACGACGTGAGTAGTAACCGTCAGCCTGAACAAACGCACCGTCTTGCTATTCAGGGTAGCCCGAACTGGTAACTCACGGTGCACCCCTCTCCTCTTCGACAGTGGATCCTCATTGATTGCGAACACGGCAACTTCTCCGACGCTACGATGCACGAATCCATCGCCATCATCGCTTCCCACCCCGGTTGTTCACCTTGGGTTCGTCTTCCGGATGCGCAGAATTGGATGGTCAAGAGGGCGTTGGATGCGGGCGCGCATGGCTTGTTGGTCCCTTTTATGAACAGTGCTGTAAGTCGTTCTGGGGATTTGCGGGTGTACTTAAGGCCCGTGCTACTAGTACGCGGATGAATTGACTCGGCGATCTTCCCCTCGACCCGGACCATTCGGAAAACTAACTTTCGCCCCGCCCCGCCCCCACGCTTCCACCCCACAGGAAGAAGCCCGTAAATTCGTATCCTACACCAAGTTCCCCGTGCCCAAAGCCAACGGAGGAGGCGGAGGCGTCCGAGGTATCGGTTCCCCCTTCTCACCGAACCTCTTTGGTCAAACGATGGGAGAATATTTTCAATCGGCCAATAAGGATATCTTCGTCGCCGTTCAGATCGAATCGAGGGAAGGGGTGAATAATTGTGAGGAGATTGCAGAGGTGGAAGGAGTGGATGCGTGAGTTTTGGACGGGGGTTGGGTTGGGTTCGTATTGATGAAAACTTGAAAGTAGCTCACTGCTTGACCACCCCAACAGCATCCTCATAGGTCCCAACGACCTCGCCTCCCAATTAGGCTACATCGCGACCGACCACGAATCCATTCCCGAAGTCCAACAAGCGATCGAACGCGTATTGAAAGCCTGTAAGAAAGCGAACAAGTATTGTGGGATGTTTTGTACGTCCCCTGAAGGGGTGAGGAGACATTTCGATCAAGGGTTCGATTTCATGAATTTGGGTGGGGATTGGGTCGCGCTTGGGGAATGGAATGCCAAGGCGAGGGGGGCACTGGCGGATTTGATGTAGGGTTTTGGGGGATGAAGTGGACGAGCTTTGGTAATTGAGAGTAGCGTTGTAGCTTACTGGAATTGGTAGGCGGGGGACTATACCGATCAATCTCGAGGTGTGTGCAAATTCTGCTCGGCCAAAGCTAGCAATCCCGACTCCTCACCGCAGAGTAATTTTTGTTATGTATTTTCGCTAGATTAACATGGACTGGCGTGGATCGAGAACCTAACATCAATACCACAGGTGTAGATTGTCGATCATTCGAGCGCACCCTGTCGAGGCCGAGCCCGTCCTAGCGATTCAGCAATATGAGCCCGCGGCTTCGACTGAGGGATCGCCCGCGGCGGCCTTCTTCCCCCGACCGGCTGGCACTGCACTCAGCTCAACCAACGACACTATGCCTCTCCCACCCGGCGCTGAGCCACCTATGCCAACGAACGCCGTTTCACTCAATGGCACACTCGTCGGTCGGTCCGTCGGTCGGTCCGTCGGTCGGTCCGTCGGTCGGTCCGTCATACTCTCGTAAGATGATGCCCGAGGATTGAGGCGCTGAGGGAGCGCGGTCTACTGCGGGCTTGGCATGTTGAGCCCCACATCGGACCTAGTTTAATCACTCTCGTACGGCGACGCATCTTCGCTAGTGCACCACTCAGCCCGTGACTCCCTTGAGTCTGCTTAGACTCCATCAACCGGTTCAATATTCGCGAGTTGTGCGAAGGGTTCCCGTGTCATCGGGAGGCGTCCGAATGGAGCAAGATGAGGGCATTGTTCGCGAAGGAGGAATGCTTGTGAGTTCCCACCTTCTCAGTTGAATTTGAGCTGTAAATCGCGTGTTCATTCATTGCGTGTGGATTATGACCATGCAGACGTGTTCACCACGTGGTCGGGAGGTGTCCCCATCGACGACTTCATCAAGATAAGTCAAGCCGGGTTCGCGAACGGTGTTCGGATCGCCGTGAGTTCCACAAACCGGACGTACCTCTCAAATCAGTGGATGCTTACCATTAGTCGTTCGCTACGTTTTTTCAGCACCGAACAAATGGTTGTACAGTCGACGTGGCGACTTCAGGACCGGCTGCTGGGTTGAAGCGAGGGTTGGGCAAACTCAAAGCGTGGGTCCGCGATCCTTGTGGGGTGCTCCCGGATCTATTCACCCTTCACCCACTGGCGCAGAACGATCACACAATGGTTTACGATGAAAATCGAACAAAGATGGAGAATTTTGTGAAGTTGATATGGAGGCGGATTGCAGGTGAGACTGCTCCGCTATTTGATTTCAATGCGGAAGAGTGACTGATGCTCGCGTATTTTCTCAGGTTGTGCTTCTTCGTTGAGAAGGACGCACAGGGGGCTTGGAAGTGCCACTTCTTCAAAGGTTCGTGATACGTGACCCTACTCTTCAAACCCTGCTCTCAAACAAGGGGCCTCTCAATCCCACTGATACGACTCTATTCCCGTAATAGGTTTCTACGAAAAGGACCGAGCGATCCCCGTCGACCCACGCAAGATTCCTCGTTTCGACGAAGCGAAACTCGCGCCCTTCCCGGAAGGGTATCGTTACCTCGCATATGGACAAGTAGAGCCTACAAAACCAAGTAAGTACCTTACACCTCATGGAGAAGATTCGCGGGCGCGTACGGTGAGAAGCTACTGACGGAATCTACGCATACGCCCCCCCGCGATGGAAAATTGTGTGGAGAAGGATGGACCTCCCGCAGTCGAGGGGTCAGGCACATGATGATTTTTATGAGAGTTTTATCTATTGGTTGAATGGAGTGGGGATGGAGGAAATGAAAGGTGAGAGCTTGTTTGTGGATGGGTTATGTGCCAAGGGGACGCATGGGTGGCGCAGTAGTACGACGGCCGAGACTCACCGTTTTCTTTCTCGAACGCAGTCAAGCTTGGGGTATGAGTGAGAGTTGGTGTAGGTTCCTTTTCAAGAAAATATTCACAGAAATATGATGTTGGTACCAGAGCGTTGCCACGACTGTGCTGCGCGATTCATTGGCACGAGCTGCGGATGTGCAGGAACTTCTCGCAGATATTTCCCAGACTGGACTTCCCGCTCGTATTTCAGAGGCTTGTCGGTTCAATAAAGGTTGGCGCCAGTTCAAAGGTGAATTATTACTAGCCCAACCCAAACTCTGGTGACGATAATTTGGAAGAATTCTGAACCAGGACGGCGATTCGTGGCGGGCGGCGGTGTATTAGCACGAGCCCCGGGCCCATCGGCGCCCGGCGAGCAAACTGGCATGAAAAAGGCCCGAGGCCTGTACTCGTGTCACCTTGCCTTTGACGCGTTCGACCCAGTGTGTCCCAGGCAAGTGCAGCAGTCGCACCGTCCCTTCTCGTGTTCGCGCGACGTCTTCGACGCGTCTGGTGGTCAAAAGGAGCTACTACGCTTCCTCACCAAAAGGAGCATACACCCCTCCGCACGCGCCCCCGCGTCCCGTGCGACGACGCGCGCCGGTCACTCTCTCCTCTCCTCGGAAACGACTCTCGGCGGTGCTACGCTCAACGTTCAGCGTTCAGCGTCGATCGGACTGCGAGGAACCATAGGCCTGGATGTCCTACCGATCGCAAGCGCACCCTTACACCTCCTCGACCCAAGCAGCGGTACCACCACCTGCACCACTTGCGACGAGTAGTGGTGATCAGCACGCCCAGTCCATTCATCACCACCGCGCTCTCCCCTCGTCGTCGAGGCCGTCGCACCTGCCCACCCACACCCACACCCACACCCACACCCACACCCACCACCCCACCACCCCGCACCCGCACCGTTCCCGCTCACCTTCCCCGACCCCGCGTGACCGAGATCGGGACTGGGTCGACGTTTACTCCCCCCACGAACAAGGTCTGCCCATCTACAGCACCTCGTCCAAATCGCACTCGAGCTACTCCGGCCACCACGCGGACTCCGACGCTCAGATGCAAGTCGTCGATTCGTCCACCGCGCGACGACGTGGAGGCGGAGCACCTTACGAAGGCGTCAATTCCCACATTGCCGGAGAGGAGGACGCTCATCAAGGCAGTGATTATAGAGGGGAGAATGAGCATCAGTTCAACACCGGTCATCGGGGTAGGAGCTCGAGTTATGATGGGGACAAGGGGGAGAAGAGCATTTGGCCTACGTCGGGGATTGGGATTGAAGGGCAGGTCCATGAGACGATCGCACCGAGTGGCAAGAAGGAGTTTTATTCAGCGAATACGGCAGAGGGACAGAAGTGGAACCAGCTTATTCCGGAGAGGACTCGATCGTCGACTTGGGTCAGTGAGGGGGATCAAATTGAGAGGTTCGAGTCGTCAAAGAGCTGACCTGAATTTTCTTTTACGGCGGTAAACAGGGAGGTGTCTTCAAGGAGGTCATGCAGGAGCTCAAACCGCATATCCCACTTTTGGTCTACACGTTCCTCGCGCTCTTCACGCGTCTATATCGTATCGGAGCCAACAACACGGTTGTCTGGGACGAGGTCAGTCGCTGCGCCGTGCACGGACTAACTTCGATTGGCTTCCGTGCTGAAACTGGTTTTGAGCGGCATAGGCCCACTTTGGAAAGTTTGGAGCCTACTACCTCAACCGAACATTCTTCTTTGACGTGGGTTGAAAGATGCCAAAACGCATCCCACGAGCTCAAGCTGAATGCTAGGCCGCTTGCACATTCACCAGGTCCACCCACCGCTTGGCAAGATGCTTGTCGGGCTCGCCGGCGCTTTGACGGGCTTCAATGGCTCATACGACTTCCCTTCTGGCGCGCCTTACCCGGATCATGTCCCCTACACCGCGATGAGGGTCTTGTTGGCTCTGCCTGGTGTGGCGATGGTCCCTCTCGCTTGGGGCACTGCGCTCGAATTGCGCTTCTCTAGGTGGTCGACTCATATCGTCACATTGATGGTCCTCTGTGGTAGGTCATGCTGGAAAGCTCGAGTAAACGTTCCGAGATAATTTGATGCTAATATCGCCCATCACCCCGAATTGCAGATCTCGCCTGGCTCGTCATCAGTCGCTTCATCCTCCTCGACTCGATGTTGATCTTCTTCACCTTCACGACCGTCTACTTCCTTGCTTGTTTCAACAACACCCAACGAAGACCGTTCGAAGAGGAGTGGTGGTTCTTTTTGACCATGACGGGGATCTCGATTGGCTGTGTGGCGAGGTCAGTGGTGCTTGTCTTGATCAGAGAGGAACAACATGCACGACTTGCTGAGCACCTTGGTATCCTTTGCACCCCGATAGTGTCAAATGGGTGGGCTTGTTCGTGACTGCGCTCGTCGGTATCTACACCGCCGAAGATCTCTGGAACAAGCTTGGCGATCTCAGGATGCCTCACGTGAGCGGCGCCCATCCCCAGAATTTCTGGCTCGATTGCCGAAACTAACTAGCAATTGCACCCCTTGACCACAGCGCACCTACGTCCGGCACTGGGTCGCGCGCGTGTTGTGCCTCATCATCGTCCCCTTCTGCGTCTACGCCCTCACGTTCAAGTTGCACTTCCTCATCCTCAACCGATCGGGAAGCGGCGATTCGCAAATGAGTTCGCTGTTTCAGGCCCACTTGGCGGGCAACGATTTTGCGCAGAACCCTCTTGGTACGCCTTTACCCCAGTACTATGACTTCGGTCATTTTTCGAGCTGACCCATTGGGCCCCTTACAGAGGCGGCTTATGGCTCCAAGGTCACCCTCAAGAACATGGGCTTCGGTGGAGGTCTCTTGCACTCGCACGTGCAAACCTACCCCGTCGGATCGCAGCAACAACAAGTGACATGCTACCACTACAAGGACGAGAACAACGAATTCCTCATCACCCCGACGTGGGAAGAACCCCCTCTCGACGAACACGAACCCCTGAGGTACCTCAAGAACGGCGATGTGATACGTTTGGTCCACGTTGCGACGGGTCGAAACTTGCATTCGCATCCTTTCGTTGCCCCCGTTTCGAAATTGAACAACGAAGTCTCCTGCTACGGTAACGCGACCGTCGGCGACGTCAACGATTATTGGATCATCGAAGTCGTCGATGACCTGGTGCAAGGCTCCAAGAACAAAGTCACGCGTGTGCATTCCTTGTCGACGAGGCTGAGATTCAAACATCAGAACACGGGGTGTTATCTCCGTGCGGCGAACGCCATCTTGCCGCAGTGGGGGTTCAAGCAGGTTGAGGTGTCGTGCGATAAGGCGAATAATCCGAAGGATGAACATACGTATTGGAATATCGAGTCGCATTGGAATGATCGATGTGAGTTGTCGACGCCGTCAGCCTGATTGTATGCGAGGTAGACTAACTCGTCGGACTCGATTTGCCACCACAGTACCCGCCGGTGACCAAAAACTTTACCGCTCGCCCTTTTTCCGCGATTTCTGGCACCTCAACGTCGCCATGATGACCTCGAACAACGCGCTCGTCCCGGACCAAGACAAGGAAGACTCGATCGCCTCCTCCCCCTTCGAATGGCCCTACCTCTGGAACGGGATGCGCATGAACGGTTGGGGCGACGACTCGATCAAGTACTACCTCGTCGGAAACGCCGTCGTCTGGTGGTTATCCACCACGTCGTTGTTTGTGTTCATTGGGGCATTGTTTTGGCATTTGATGAGGTTCCAGAGGAAGATTAATGATTTCGCTCCCGGCGAATGGAATCATTTCCTCTATGTTGGGAAGATTGGGTTCGGGGGTTGGGTGCTTCACTATATTCCTTTCCTGATTATGGGCCGGGTCACGTATCTGCATCATTACGTACGTAGGAGCGTCCCGGAGCTTACTGAACGAACGTCAGCTGACTCCCCAATTTCCGCATGACCCTCGCAGCTCCCGACCCTCTGGTTCTCGGTCATACTCTTCGGCGGCTTGTTGGATCACTTCGTCTTCAAATCCCGTCGTCTGACCCAACGTACGAAATGGATCGTCTTCCTCACGGTCTGTGGTTCGGTCTTGTTCACGTTTTGGTGGTTTCATGAGACCGCATTCGGAATCGAAGGGCCGGCGACGAAGCTTAAGTATAGGACTTGGAGGAAGGTGAGAAAGGGGCTTGGGATCATCCGTGCGGTCGGTGAGACGATTGCTGATCATTTACGTGTTTTCTTTTTTCGGACAGAGTTGGAATTTGCGCGATTGATCGACTTCGTGCTCGGGTCGTTCTCTTCCGACCTTTGCTTCGAAAACCGCGTGTATTTAAAACGGTCAGAATTTATAACCCCGAACCTCAACCGCGGCCGAGTCAGCTGTGCCTCCTGTTTGCCAATTTCTTGTACCCCTCGGACGACGCAATGTGATGAATCGAAGGTTGTTACATCATGTGGGAAAGGGGATGGCGGACTTGTACTCACTCGGAGCTGATCCCTCTGAGAGACAATCACTTCAGTTTGCTTGTCGGGCTAATTGGCGCCACGTCACGCGCGAGCTAGTCGGTCTCGACCTCTCCTGGCTTTGAACACGTTTACTTTAGCATTCTCTCGATGGTCAGGCCTCACATCTAAACTCTTTATCAGTCACGCTTTTGGTCTAGACTGCCCTTGGGTCCGCATTCTTTTGTTCGACGACACAGACCAATTGGACTTGAGTTTCCATCCCACGTACTGTACTCCGCCAAATCTGCCGAGCTCGATCAATTCGCGGCACTATACGTTGACCCAACTCGACAGCTTCGCCGACGTCGTGACCCCGCCTCATCGTGCTGGGTCGCATTCGCAATCCAATGCGTTCTAGCGCTCGGCGTTCGCTAATGACTGCCTTGAAGGGAGGCCCTCTCGGCGCCGAAGAACGGCACCAAAGACGATCGTTCCGACGACAGCAACTTTCAAATGTGGCGTTCCGCGCCCTTCGTATTCGTGGATTGAGAACAGGGGTCTCGCGCGCGCCTTGTACTCTCTCTCCTTCATATTTCTTCTAGCAGATTGTCGTAAACTGTGGTAGCATCAACCAGGCAATTCCAACCCCCATTCCGTCGAAAGGTCACCGCTCGCCTCACGGAGAGCTCGAAGCTATTTTCGTGTCTCCTACGCGTGAGCTTGACGCAATTCTTAACTCATTTGACGACCCCTTTGACTGCTACCTCATCTACAACGCCCAGATGTTCGATCCTCCCAACTCCTTTAAATCAACTTTCTCACCCTGACTCTTGATCGCCGCTTCAACAAGCGCCAAATCCCTCAACGTCGCTCTCGGACCACTCTTTTTCTCCACCAACCTCCATTTCTCACTATCCATCCCTTTCCCAAACGCCTCTGCAAAAGCCTTGAACTCTTGTTTGACACCCTCCGATTGATGCTTCTCGACGAGTTCGGTCCCTTGTCCCCCAATGTGTGCGGCGGAGCGATAGACTTTGACCAAATTGGGACGGACGCCGAAATCGACGATGATGGATCCGGTCTCACCGATGAAGATGGCCGTCTTGGTATCGAGACCTTGTATACCGAAGGAGATGATGATCGTTCCCGTAACGCCGGGGACTGAGGTCGCTACGGAGCCCGTGACGATGTCGACGGGTGGGAGGTGGGATTGGATCGATGAAGCGACGGCGGAGATGGACGTGATGTCGATGTTTTGCGCCGAAAGAACGGTTCGCATACCGGCCAAGAAGTGAACACCACCGTCTTGGATGTATCTATAGCTCACCCGGACCCCACAGGATTTTTAATGGGTGCGCAAAGACTTTGGACCAGAAAGATTTTCAATTCAACTCACCCTCCCTGGTACTCGGGTTTCTTCCTCCATTCGGTGTTGTTGTACTTGGAATCAGCTTCGACAAAGCCGAAAAAGTCCAACTTGAATGCCTTGATCTGACCGATCTCGCCCTGGCCGACGAGTTCACGAGCTCGAGCGAAAGAGGCTTCGAACGGGTATTGTTCGGCGATGATCCTGTTTGAAAAGTGACTCTAGGTCAGCTAGGATTATCCCCGATGAGTTTGGTTGATCTTGGAAATGAAACGTACCATCCAACTCCTTTGGGGCGGTACTGCTTCTCATACTCCTCGACCAAACCCTTCGCTTCCTCCACCGTACTCGCGACCGGTTTCTCACTAATGACCCCTTTGCCGGCCTTCCAAGCCTTCCGAATGACCGAAGGTTGGGTCAGAATAGGAAGAGCGAGGACAACGAGATCGATATCGGAACGAGCGAGGAGGTCGTCCAAGGAGCCTTTGGCGCTCGAGTTGGAGTCGTCGGAGTAGACGTCGATCTGGTGGTGAGAGGCGAGCGAAGAATCCGATGCGAGCGTCGAGGCGGAGTGGTACGATCGCGAGTAGACGGCTGCGAGGGTGAAGGAGGGAACATCGAGGATGGCGGGGAGATGCTATGGAGGTGGGGTAAGAGTGGCTTTTAGTTTCCGTGGCATCAAGTTCAACGCAAGCGGTGCAGACCAGAGCCTCGCTCTCGCCCGCTCGACTTGTTCTCAAAAGTGGGGCGCGGATTCCGAGCAGCTGGCGCGAGCGGGAAGCGGAGGAGAAGAGCCACCGGTATGCATTGTAGTACGTACCGATTCTCTGGCAAAGATGCCAGCACCCAGCAAAGCTACACGGAAGGATCTGGTCTCGCTCATCTTTGAGGAAGTCGAGGGGATGTGGTAGGAACAAGAGAGCAAGAGAGCGCACCCGAGTGGGCGCAGTCCAAGTCGATCGGAGGTGCAGACTGGGCACTGACTGGGGCACTGACTGGACTGGCTGACACGCGGCGCGAGCTGGAGCGTGTCGTCCCTTCTTATGTTTCTTGCCTTTCTTGCCTTTTGTGCAATGCCAATGCATGGCATGCCACAACATGCAGCTGTCACTCTCCTTCTGGAACCGAACCGGCTCTGTCGCTGCCGCTATTTCTTCTCCGCCAGCCTCAACAATCAAGCCAAGGCAGCGGGATCGGTTCCAGTCGCGACACTCCCGACAGTGCAATGCAACCCCATCTCGGGCCGACAAGCGTCGCATTAACGAGCTTCCAAACGATGGGCAGGATTCGGCACCAAGTGCGATCGACCAGCTAGGCAAAAACCCACTCGGCATCCGCACCTGCACCGAAACGAGCTCGGGGTCGTCCGAGAAAGACAGACGAGGAGAAGGAGAAGACGGCCAAAGCCCAGGCAAAACAAGCACAAGAGATAGCACAAGACGAAGCGGCGAAGAAACGACAAGATGAAGAACAAGCAAGGCAACGAGAGGAGGCGGTGATGGGGGAGGGGGTGATCCGTTCGATGGCGATGAGGACGACGGGGTCGCCTCCGCCCAGAGCGAAGGCCGGTGGGAACATCCCAAATGGCTTACAGAGCTCTACAATTCCAAACGCGAGATGATCAAAGCCGCTAATGGATCCGGGGCGAATCGTTCCACCAATTGTTGCATGGTTGGCTTCCGACCAAAACTGTGTGTGTGGGCTCGATTTTACGACACTCGACGCTCTCGCAATAAGATCCAGATCTTCGATCCGTCATTTTTTATTGAGATCCGCTGCTTTTGATGGTTCAACCAGACAGTGTCCTGGCCGGACTGAAGTGCCATAACTGCCAGCAGACGGAATCGACTCTGAAAAAAGGCGTCTTGCGGCGAGACGGCTTTATCGATCGGCCTCGCCGAGCATGCGACCTCAACAACTCAGTGTTCCTCATCGGCGTCTTATATCGATGCAACAACAAGAAATGCAACAAGAAGTGCCGGTCTTGGTCGCCCGAGGTGCTCAATCAATATTTTGAAAGGTGGAAAGGGAACAACGAACGAAGCGAGGATGATTGAGCACCTCGGGCGACCAAGACCGGCACTTCTTGTTGCATTTCTTGTTGTTGCATCGATATAAGACGCCGATGAGGAACACTGAGTTGTTGAGGTCGCATGCTCGGCGAGGCCGATCGATAAAGCCGTCTCGCCGCAAGACGCCTTTTTTCAGAGTCGATTCCGTCTGCTGGCAGTTATGGCACTTCAGTCCGGCCAGGACACTGTCTGGTTGAACCATCAAAAGCAGCGGATCTCAATAAAAAATGACGGATCGAAGATCTGGATCTTATTGCGAGAGCGTCGAGTGTCGTAAAATCGAGCCCACACACACAGTTTTGGTCGGAAGCCAACCATGCAACAATTGGTGGAACGATTCGCCCCGGATCCATTAGCGGCTTTGATCATCTCGCGTTTGGAATTGTAGAGCTCTGTAAGCCATTTGGGATGTTCCCACCGGCCTTCGCTCTGGGCGGAGGCGACCCCGTCGTCCTCATCGCCATCGAACGGATCACCCCCTCCCCCATCACCGCCTCCTCTCGTTGCCTTGCTTGTTCTTCATCTTGTCGTTTCTTCGCCGCTTCGTCTTGTGCTATCTCTTGTGCTTGTTTTGCCTGGGCTTTGGCCGTCTTCTCCTTCTCCTCGTCTGTCTTTCTCGGACGACCCCGAGCTCGTTTCGGTGCAGGTGCGGATGCCGAGTGGGTTTTTGCCTAGCTGGTCGATCGCACTTGGTGCCGAATCCTGCCCATCGTTTGGAAGCTCGTTAATGCGACGCTTGTCGGCCCGAGATGGGGTTGCATTGCACTGTCGGGAGTGTCGCGACTGGAACCGATCCCGCTGCCTTGGCTTGATTGTTGAGGCTGGCGGAGAAGAGATAGCGGCAGCGACAGAGCCGGTTCGGTTCCAGGTTCCAGGATGAGAGTGAAAGCTGCATGTTGTTGGCATGCAATGCATTGCACACACGGCACGAAACACAAGAAGGGACGACACGCTCCAGCTCGCGCCGCGTGTCAGCCAGCCTGCGCCAACTCAGGACCCATGAAAGCCCAGCCTGAGGCGCGTAGGTAAAATCCGGCAAAATCGCCGATTTTGGACCTCATTTGTCCACCATTTTTTTGGAATTTTCGCCCAAAAAAGCCCCCAAAATGTCCAGTCCATCTACGCGCCTCAAAAAATAGCTCTAGAATTGCTTCAAATGCTCTAAAACATCTTCAAAAATCGCGAAAACGCCGTCCGAACGTTTTTCGCCCCGGACCGAATCGGCGGAGCCCGCGCGCGCGTCAGCCGTTTCGGTTCTGCTTCGCCGAGGGCTCCTCACCTGCACTTACTGCCTGCCTCTTTGACTATGATTTACATGTAACGTACCACGAGAGGTAAGATCGATTGCAGTTACTCTGCGAAGCAGTAAGCTAGCTACAGTGAGATCTACAAACCCCCAGATTCAGTGAGGGGGGAATTGCTCCTCAACGAACAGTGACGGCATCACCTCCAGAGCTCTAACGATGGGACGTTGATCTTCGATGTCGACACGCAGGTAACTTCACCAACTCTTGGCTACTGATAACAACCGAACGCATGCGCTCAGCGTGATCTATATGCCGCCAGATTCGACATTGAAAGGCAGCCGATAGTGATAGACTAGTGGCCTTGCCTACGTGCCGCAAGGATTGCTCCACGATCTTCAACTTGTCCCTCCAAGCATCGAGCGGCCTAGCAAGGGATTCGATTCAAACTCGAGAGGCTCGTCTGTCGACCATGAAAGCTGTATCCGGGTGTGTGGTCTGTCAAAGCTGGAGGCGAAAAGCTCAGACACCCTCACGTCCAAGAGGGGTGCCATTTGCTCAGATCATCGTCAAAGAGATCGATATCCGGATCTCTACGTGTCGTCGAAGCAAGCCGTGCCGAGAATGTAGGATATTGGCGATGATGGCACAGACGACGTCGACGCGACGCGGCGGGGGAGGCAAGAGACGCGCGCACTCAAACGCTTCGTTCAACCAGCTAAGAGATTATAAGTGCAAAACTAGGGCTCGTAAGTGCAGAATATCCATCAATTAGAGCCGTTGTTGTGAATTCGGTACAGCCCAGAATGTTTCGCGCGCGCTCCCGCGGCTCTTGAGGGTCGGCAAACTTTGGCTTTCCAAGCCGAATGTGGCCGAAATGGGTCCCGATTTGTCCACTGAAACCTACGGGCCTAGGACCCCACCCACACCGGCGCACCATGATTTGTCCACCCCCGACTACGCGCCTTGGCGATTTTGGCCCATCTGAGGCCCAAAATTTGTCCAGTCGGGCCCTACGCGCCTCAGGCCGGGCTTTCGGGGGTCCTGCCAACTCAGGCCAACTCAGGCCCATTGCGCTAACCTCCGATTGCGCCAACTCGAGCCTGCAGCTGGAGGCAGGGATTTGGCGCGGGGAGGCGTAGCGCAAGCGCACCCCCCAGCGCCAGCGCCAGCACCAGTACCGCCCCCAAGTTCCCCCAAGTTTCAACTGACGAAATCGTCGACCTGACGTCGACGACGACGACCAATGACCGTTCGTGGGGCGCCCGACCGATCTGTTCTGGCGTTCGCAATCATGCGCACTCTCCTGGTCCAGAGTTCCGTATCTTTGCATCCGTGCAACACCTAGAAGGAGATCTTTCAGAGGATCCAAAACTTTCCATCAGACTTGGGCCATGCCGAGAAAGATCACGTGACAGTACTCTGGCGGGCAATCCACCATCACTCTCCCTGTCGCCGCGGGCTCCCACCTGCCTCCCTCCTTCTTTTTCCCCCACCTACGGCTCCGCGGCCACCGCATCACTCATCGCGGTCCACCACCACTTTATATCATGCCAGCAACAACAAAACCGGACTCGTCAATGCGACAACGCCCCCCAGAAGGAGGGGTCTCGACTTCCCCTGCCTTCTCCAAGGGTGTCGAGCCACTCAACCTTTCTCAGTTCATGCTCGGATCCCCCGTCCCCGGGAAGCGGAAAGTGTCGTCTCAGACGTATAGGGTAAGAACTACAGGACCTGGGTAGCTTTTGAGGATGCGTTTATGAAATCGCCTTTTGGATCGGGTGGGAAGGCCCGGCAGCCTTCGTTTAGGATTCACGAAAGTGGAGCGCCTCCTCTACGCTTCGGAGTCCGAGCCAACGCTACATGGCCGTCGAGAAGAACGGACTCCCGAGTCTTCTTGGGGAAAGACAGGTCGTTCACCCACTCTTGACCTCCGAACGAGCCGAAATACCCGAGTCTTGTTCCCCTCGATTCTGAGTATCAACCGAAATGAACCGCTGACCTTTTCTCTCTTCACGCTACCCCACAGGGCGGGAATATCCTACCTCGAAGACTTCGTCTATACCTCTACATCATCGTACCAGTCGTATCACTCCTCCTCCTGATCCGGCGCCTCTCGTACCGTTCCCACATCCCCTTCCACCACCCCCTCCCTCTCCCCCCCACGATGAACACGACTTTCTCCCCGACCGCCTCCCGCCAGGTTCCCCCCTACGTGCACTACATCTACGGATTATCCCCAACTTTTGGAGGAAAACCTTTCTCCTTCCTCCAATACCTCTGTTTCACTTCCTCCCTGCACGTCATCGAACCCGAACGAATCTACTTTCACTACGTCTACGAACCTTCAGGTTGGTGGTGGGAAACTTGGAAAGAGGAAGTCGCGAGTCGAAATCAGACGACGGAATTCATCATGGTCAAACAAAGGGATGTGGTGGAGGTGTTTGGGAACAAGGTCGAACATTTCGCTCATAAGGCGGACGTGATTAGGTTGGAGGTGTTGAGGGATTATGGAGGGATTTATTTGGATGCCGATGTGTTGGTTATCAAAGGTGAGACGTTCAAGAAGGTGGGCTTATTAAGGGCAGACGCGTACTGATCTCTAATGGGGTTTTTTAACTTAGATTTTGGACCGTTGTACAAGTTCCCGATGGTCATGGCGATGGAATCGCAACCGAACCTCGATCCGAAACTACCCCCTTCCGGTCTTTGCAACGCCGTGATGCTCTCCAGACCCTATTCACCTTTCGTGGGTGCGTTATACACTCAGACTTGAAGTGCAAGCTCTGTTCCCGAATCGTACTAAACGCCAATTTAAAAACTGGCCGTCCCATAGTCCGTTGGTACAACGCTTACCAAAACTTCACTTCCACACGTTGGGCCTACCACTCCGTTACGCTCCCTTACCTTCTCGCCCAATCCTACCCCTTGGACCTGATCGTTTTGAACAAATTCGCCTTCTTCTGGCCGATCTGGCACGATGATCATTTACGACTCGTTCATCGTTCGCCACCTACTTACGATTTTCATCAACCGGACAAGTTGGCACCGGGTTATGATACTCAATTCACTTATCACCTTTGGGAATCCGAAGCTTGGGAAAGGTATCTCAAGTATTACGATCCTGAGAGGATTTGGTACCAGAAGACGGCGGAGAAGAGGGGGGAGAAGAGGGAAGAGGATGGTAGGAATGATGAGAGTAGTTTCTCGAGGGAGGCGAGGAGGTTCGTTAGTTTGGAATTGAGGACCAAGTGGAGGAAGGCGGTCAAGGAGGGAAAGGTCAAGGAGAGGGAGTGGGAGCAGGATTTGGTGTAGGCTTATGTCCGCAATTTTGCATTGCCCGACAACCTCGATGAGAGACTTGACCTGTCCGATAGCTCTTGACCGAAAGGAAGCTTAAAGAATGAAAGACCACGATCGAACCAGACGACCCGAAGAAAGGGAATACAAGAACTGTATAGCAAACACACAGACAAAAAAGAAGAAAGCAAAGGGAATAATAAGAAGAAAATGATGGTTGGAACCATTGTCCACGCGTGTCGATAAAAACCTGCGTCCTCGTCATCATACTTAAGAGACACTCGGGTGCCTCACTCGCTCAATCCATGTTGAACTCTCGCGCTTTCTACGACCACTCAACATCAGATCTAAACGAACCAAACCGCCCCCGCGGCAACAAGCAGAGCCCCCAACGCGACCTGCACACGACCCTGCGCATCGCCCGTAAACACATTCGCGGACTTGGTCTGTGTCGGGAAGCCTTGACCCTGGAAGACGGAGGTGATGATCACCGCCGTAGGGGTGGTGTTGAAAGGCGTTGTGCTCGAACTGGAAACGGTAGGAGAAGCGGCGACGGAGGAGGCGGCATTCGTCGTTGGTGAGGCGGCGGCGGCGGTCGTCGTTGGTGAGGCGGCGGCGGTCGTCGTTGCGGCGGTGGTGGCGGTGGTGGCGGCGGCGGGGGTGGCGGCGGTTCCTCCGGCAACGGTGGCGCAGTAAGCGGTCAAGTCTGTCGTGGGATGGAGGAAAGGCCACATTTAGCATCCGCTGTTTCCATTCTCGTCTCAGGGCATATTCCGACCGCAACCGTCTCCGACGTCGGGCTGCCCGTATGCGCCGAGGTCCGCCACTTTGAAATCTCGCGAGCACGTCCCGGTGTTTTCATCTCGTCCAGGCATCCACTGATTCGACAACACGACCGGAAAAAGCGTCCACTCACCAGCCAAAGCCGTCGCCGGTAAGGCGAGCTGAGGATCGGTCGCTGCGGTCAAGGCGGTGGTCATGCAGGCCGAGCACGTGGTGAAGGCCGTAACGAACGCGGCGTCACAGACGCAGGTGTTGTAGTCGGTCGTCGCGGCCGTCGTATCCGGTGTGGAGGGACAGGCCTGAGAAGAAGAGAGGATGTAAGAAGGTCAACAAGTGCCTGCTCGCTCGTCATGGCTCGTCCCGCCGGGTTTGTAAGCTAGGAATAGGTCGGGGATGACCGAAGCGAGGGGAGCTTGTTCCGTCGACGGATGTCGGACCCCACAGATTTGTTTATTCTCGGGTTCTTCGCTCAGGAAACAAACGCCAAACCGGGGGGGGGGTGCATTCGCAATGTCTCCTGAGAATGGCACCGCTCGTCGGCGCTAAGTGTTCCGGAAAGGAGGTCATTTTTAGAGGAGGCCTCGCGCGACCGGACCCGACCAGCACGGCCGGACAGCGAGCGTTGGCGGCGGGGGGTTGGTGCGGTGCACGCGTCGGATCGAGCCGGACCCGAGCCCAAACAATCGGCGCGGACAGTAGAGCGCAGCGAGGTGCGAGGTCGAGTTGCCAGATCGCGGGTTTCATGAGAAAGGTGCTACTTACGCCGAGGCTGGTGAGCCATGTCGCACATGTCGTCGAGCACGTCCCGGGGATGATGGTCGAGAGCGTGTCCTGTACACGCCGAGCGAGCGAGGGGGGAGAATCAGTTACAGCGCAAGTCATGCAGGGGCCAGTCGTGAGTACTGACCTGCTCCGTGACGATCGTTGTGATCGTTTGGGCTGTGGGATGATACGTCGATCCAAGTGGCGTGCGTATACGGATGAATCACACACGGTGAGGTGATGCGGATCGATCGGAGTGCGAAACCACGTCGAGCACGGCGAGAGCAGCGACCGGCGAGCGAGGTGACACATGAGCATAGTACAAGGGCACGGTTAGTCACTGAAACAGCATGCTCGGAGGACATGCACAGAGCTCTGATGCCATGCCATGCCAACGCAGCGCAGTACAGCACCCATGTCAGAGGTGACCGCCGCACTCGGTCGCCACACACATACACACACACACACACCCACCCCGCCAGTACACCGCCGCGCGCCGCGTCCGAAGCCAAGCTGAGAGCATGTTGTGGCAGCGCTCAGACGGTCAACCACGAGGGAGAGGGAGACTCACCCAGTGCGCAAGGCACGACCAACAACAGACCGGAGAGCAGCAACGTCCGTGTTCGGTTGACCATCGTTGAGCGAGGTTGCGGGTGCAAGTGGGTGGCAGTGGGATCTGCGCACGAGACCGTTCACGGTCGGACGCCGCCTGGCTGCTGGAGGCTGCTAGAGGCTGCTGGCTGTTGCTGGCTGGGCGGCCTGGGCCAACGATCTAAATTCCCACACGCTTGGGGCGGCGACACACGCGCCTGTGCGCCAACGCAACGGCGGTGCGACGACCCATCGAGTCTCTGAGAAAAGAGCTTGGACGCGAGGGATCATGATCCAGCATGGGAAGCAAAGACCTTTTGCATAGCCAAATCCGAAAAAAAGAAGAATCATGGTGAACGATGGTCAAGCTTAAACCCCTCGAACGCGAGCTCGGACCCATTCGAAAGTTGGTGCAAAACACACTCGACAGAATTGCATGCATAATGCTACAAGATCACAGCCCCCACCCCCCAAAATAATCCCTACACCTCAAAACCCACCACCTTGACCTCCAAGCTCCTCGAATTAACCAACACGACCTGACCCGTGTGCGAAAATTTGGGTACGAGGATCAGACGCGTCCTCAGGGGTTCACCACCTGCTTCTGGGGAGGGATGTTCGAGTAGTTGGGTTTCGAATTGGGGTTGGTTCGAGATGAAGTAGACTTGAGGGGTCGAGTGGAGGATAAACGGGTCGCGGTCGGAGAAGGGGTAGCACCCTGAAAGGATAGAAGTGGGTGATTAGGCTTCTGAGATCATCAAATCAGACTTTTCGCTGACGACGCACATAACGTATCGGGACACGTCGGTGCGATGTGCGACCATTCTAACGTCTTGACCGCCACTCCCAGGCGGTCCTCCGAGGTCAAGTACTTGAAAATGTCGTCCAGCGTTTGCCCGCTCGTTCCCAGAAAGCTGAAAAGCGTCAGAACAGGGAAGGGATCAGCCCCAAATCGGCTTATAACGATCAGAGTAGAGCTCACTTGGCGTGCCCGATTTGAAACCAACTCGGATTCATCCTCGACTTGAAACCCTCGTACCCACTCGCAAGGGGCAACATCGCCGGATGCAACTTGGCCTGCGGCATCGTCGGCGCCACAGGATCCGATTCACCCGACATCAAATCGACGTTCATACTCGGCAAGATCTGTTCCAACCATGCGTCCAATGCTGAAGCGGGTTTGGCGGAATAGATGGAAGCGTCGTAGCCGTATCGCTTGGGCTTCTTTTCTGTTGAGGTCGAGGTGGTACCGTTGATATGGGAGGTGGTGGCATCGTCGATCGGTTCGGGTTGGGCCATCGAGTTGCCTGCTAGGATCACTCGCGTGATCTTGGCCGCTTCTTCCGAAAGCTGTGATACGCCCCCCACATCTGGCAGCTACTTAGTGGCTTCATCGAAACAAGCTGAGAGAATCTACTCGATGGAACGTACCTCATTCCCACCCAATTCACCCAATAGGTACTCGACCAACAACTCCCTCCTCATCTCCTGCGTCCGATCCTGATCCCCCATCTCCAACCCACTCACGATCGCGACCCATTCTTCGGGCCGACCTTCGTCCGAGACGTTCATCGCACCCGCATCCTCGGTGATGGGTGCAGGTGGGGGTAGACCGGCATAACAAAAGTCCGTGACGTGGAAGTCGCCGGAGGGAAGTTCTTTACCTAGTGCGGCCATGATCGTCCCTGCTCGTTCGAAGATCAAAGTCGGTCTCTTTCTTTCCAGCAGCTGAAAGCGTTTTTTTGGGAAAGAAGATGCCTTACCTGTTACGAACGTCCCGGCCGCTTTTTCGATCGCCGGCCCGACGAGTCGAACACGACCTGATTCATCCTCAAGCATGATCTCGTCCGAGACGGAGCAGAACTTTCGTCTCGGCGGAGGAGCGGCGATGTAGTGCTGATAACGGGGACAAGAACCCAAAGTCAGTGAGGGGGATATTTCGACTCGACTTCCATCATAACCGAGGGAAGGTACACACCTCGCGTGCAAGGTCTTCGAGCACGTTGGGCTTGAGCGGCATGTCCATGTAGACGGTGCCGATGATGTAGCATTGCACCCCGGCCTTGACGTCGAGCATGCGAGGAACGTGTTGCGGAGAGTCTGTAGAACGAAAGCAGAGTTACTATGAGTTCCTTTGCATACCGAAAGAGAGCACCCCCATGATGTTGTAAACGTCTAGTTCCGCTCGGCCATCCTGATGGACGTGACGCGACTCGACGCGTCGCACATCGCAAAGCCATCGCCTTTCCTCCCCTCCCGACTGACCCTTTGCCTCGGTCCATTTCGCTTTCGCATTCTTCAACACCCTCGGGCGCAGGACGACGAGTCGGAGCCAGTACAGGTTGGCGTATTGCTTGACGTACGCGCGATCATTACGGTCGATCGTGAAAGCTGGACGGGACGGATCGTCGGGTGGAGGAGTCTGGGAACGAGAGTCGAGTCGGAGGGGCATGGTGGAGGCACTGTGGATAAGGTAGAGAGTTGGAGGTGGTGGGTGGCCTGCACGCGGCGTACGATAGACTGTGCACGGAAGCTGGATTAGACTCAACTCTGGGGGTGCGACGCTCCCGGAGTATGGCTTTGAGCTGCCTCGCGCGTCGCCGAGTCAGGTTGAGCTCGGACCGCACCTCGCGAGTATTGGCCGCGCTAATCTGCGCTAATCTGCGCTAATCGATTGCTAATCGTGGCCGCCGCCTGCCGCCGCCCGGAGAAAGAGCGCGCCGTCATCGCCGTGCCCCACCTCTGATCTCTTTCTCCGCCGTCCTCCCCTGCGCTACCCTCCACCCAACCACGATGGCGACCGCAAACACCCTCCTGACCCCCTTCGCCCGCCCTTCCACCTCCCCCGCGATCCTGCTCCCCGCCTCATCGCATCTGCCCAACACGACGCTGAGCTATCGCCAGCTCGCTTCCCACATCGATTCCCTGCGCCAACAACTCGAAGCTTGGTCAGGAGCATTGCAAGTTGGGGATGTGGTCAGTATGAGCCTGATCAATGGGCCCGAGTTTGCGATCGCTTTCTTGGGTGTCGGCAGTCATCGGTCAGTTCTCTCCCACGTTCTGACCGACATTCCTTCCGAGTGAGGACCGCATCACGTCCTACCGCACACACCACTCATCGCCAAAGTTTTCTCAACCCCTCCCCTCCAGATGCGTCGCAGCCCCTTTGAACCCGACCTACAACCCCTCCGAAGTAGCCTTCTACCTCGAAGACACGCAATCGCGCCTCGTACTCGTCCCTTCGGGAGCGATCAAAGCGAACCATTCCGCCGTTCAAGCTGCGAGGAAATTGAACGTCCCCATCGCTGAAATTTCGTTCGATAGCAAGAAGTTATCCTTGGACTTTGAGAAGAAGAATTTACCGGGTAGAGGAAAGAAGGTTGAAGGCAGTGGCCAGCCGAGAGAGGATGATGTGGCGCTGGTTTTGCACGTAAGTTTTGCTTAGAGAGGAGCATTGGAGGCGGCCCCTATACGGTGATCCGCGCTTATGTTCTTCCGTCGCTCACTATAGACGAGTGGTACGACCGGTCGTCCCAAGGGTGAGTCAGCGATCTGCGCTGTAGTAACCCTGCGATCGGATGACTGATACCCCAGCAATCGTCGTGACTCTCAGCCGTGCCCTTGACTCACCTCAATCTCGCCACGACGATGCAAAACATCGTCAACACGTACAAGCTCACCGCGCGTGATCGCACCTACCTCGTCATGCCTTTATTCCACGTCCATGTGCGTACAGAACGAGTTAAAACTGAACACAAAGAGTAGCGATTGATTCTCGTCGACTCTCTTCTTCTCAGGGCCTCCTCGCAGGCTTTTTGGCCCCGCTGCTCTCGGGAGGCTCCGTCGTCATTCCTCCTAAATTCTCGGCAGGAACCTTCTGGGCCGAGTTCATCGGCGCTAAAGCCAATTGGTACACTGTACATACCTTCCCCGCTCACTGAATACCTTTTCTCTCCTTTACCCGTGGAGCTCATCGAAACCTAATGTCCATTCTCCTCAGGCCGTTCCTACAATCCATCAAATCCTGTTGAGTACCAAGTTGCCCAACCCTATTCCCGACATCCGTTTCATCAGGAGTTGCTCGAGTGCTTTGGCTCCTGCCACGTTGGAGAAGGTTCGTTCTCGGGTCTTCGAGACAAGGGACGGAGTACTTGAGCTAAAGCAGTTTGACATCCCTCGTTCGCAGGTCGAGAAGGCGTTCAACGCACCTGTGCTAGAAGCTTGTACGTCTCATCAACCCCCCCCCCCCCTTTTTTTGATGCAAAATCTCAAGCTAATACACTCTTCACTAAACAGACGCCATGACCGAAGCCGCGCACCAAATGACCTCGAACCCCCTCCCCCCTATGGCCCGGAAACCCGGAACGGTCGGCATCGGCCAAGGCGTATCGATCCGCATCCTATCCCTCTCCGAAGACAAGGACGTCGAAGAAGGCGAAGTCGCGATCAAAGGGTCGAACGTTACTTTGGGATATATTAATAATGAGAAGGCGAATAAGGAGAGCTTTACAAAGGATGGGTACTTTAGGACGGGCGATCGAGGCAAGTTGGATCCGGAAGGGTACTTGACCCTTACGGGGAGGCTGAAGGAATTGGTACGTCAATTCGGCGGGGATTTTCTTCGCTTCTTTTACTTCTTACTGATCACGATGAAGCTGATACCGTTCATAGATCAACCGAGGTGGTGAAAAGATCTCCCCTCTCGAAGTCGACGCGGCCTTACTCTCCCTCCAAAACGTCAACGAAGCCGTCGCGTTCGGTGTACCCGACCAAAAATACGGTGAAAAAGTTTGGGCCTGCGTTGTCATCAAGGCAGGATCGTATTTGAAGGAGAAGAATATCATTGAGCAAGTTAGGAAGAAGATCTCGAGCTTCAAGTGCCCCGAGAAGGTGTTTGTCTTGGATTCGATCCCCAAGGGTCCGACGGGCAAGATCAATCGACGCAATTTGGCGGTGAGTCGGAGATTGAAGAGTGTTCTACGTGTGGGTTGGTCGGGTCCTGATCTGGGCTTGTGTTGCTTTGTGGTTGCAGACCAAGTTTGCGCAACAGGAGAAGGAGAACGAGGGCAAGGCCAAGCTCTAAGCTCCCGGCCCGGCCCGGCCACATCGCCCAAGTCACTTCCTGAAACCTGCACCACGGCATGGCTTCACTTTCTTCGCTACTCGTCGACGAGATCATCCACTGGATTGCGTACGCTGCTTTCGGATCCCCAGAGTCGGTCACATCGCCTCACGCCTCAGAGAGCCTTTACGGTTTTGTGGGCGTTCGTCAAGGCTTGTCCGATACTTAGGTTCGTGGAAATCGTTTGCAATCTGTTAGTCTTAGTCGATATGTAAATATGAAAGAAAATTTATGTCTTGAGACAGATAGCTGGACGGCCCTGTCGTACTCCGAGCCCTATCATCAACTGGCTGAAGCGACGAGGAAGTTCCGCGCTGAGAGCATCAAGTTGAAGCTGTCCCCCACGGGCAGCTGGACTGACCCCTAAACCTTGGCTTCTTTGCCACTCGCCATGCTGCCTCTATGCGAGCCTCGGGCCTTTGGTTATACTCTATCGATCGAGCCGAGTCGGAAACCTTAGCACTAATCCTCCAGAGTGCGATCCTGCGTCAACGAGGTCCGAGTCTCGTGCAACTGTAAAATGCTCGGCACGCTGAATCCGACGGCTTTCAGCTGGACACCGAGAGAGCCTTTCTCCTCGAACAACACTGGGATGACCTACAATCTCTGGGTTGGGACAAGAGAATCACTTCCAGGTGATCCGGACTTTGGGGCAAAACCATTCCCATCATGGTCGACGCAATTCCCACCCACATTGGTCGGCGTTTAGGGAATCTTCCTTCCACCGTTCTCCTCAGCTCAGAGCAGAGCTTAATCTTGAACACCGTATCAGCAGACTGCTAACGACGACTCGCTTGTATCTATACCTAGGTACCTCGCTGATTATAAATACCAAGGTACATTTGAAGCCGGTTCCGTTCGCTAGGAATCGCAGGCACAGGGCTGGACGGTTCCGAACCACTATACTAGCAGCCTGAGGACGAAAGTGACCTTGACTAGCTCTGCGAGGTGGCGATCGTGAGCTCCGGTGAGTTTGCCAGATCAAGTTCCCCCTCAGCGATCTGTTCTTCGTGAACGAAGCAAGGCCAGGTGCCTGCCGTGTAAAAAGACATTTGGATGTTTCACAACTAGCGCATTTCACTGTGAAAAACCACCTGGCCGCCCGGAATCTTGGTGGAGAGGGGCAACTTGTCGAGACGACGGACTCGACGGCCGATGCGTGATCCCGATCCTTGATAACGAACTCGCGACTCTCTTTGACAAAGGCGAATGGCGGCGAGAAGGCAGAGGCTTGGCGTAAACTTTCTGTGACGTCAAATTTAGTGCTTCGTGTGGGGTTCGCGCCCTGTTGTGTGACTTTGCGCGCCCGAGTCGGACAATTTGCCCCCACGCGCGGGGCCCCGCCGGTGAGTGAGAATAAGCGCCATTCGTCAGCGGAAAAACGTTCGGGGTAATTCGACCGTCTATAGTCCGAAGGGGAAGGCACCCTAAGGCACCATTCGGACCCGTTTCCTGTAGTAGGCTGTTCATGAAGAGCCTTTTCCTCCTTCTGCCACTCACGAACCAAACATCGCGCTCTCGACTTTCTCGTCGCGAGTTGCATTTACGTCCACCCGTCGACCCTTCAGCGCGAACGAGTTCTCTCCGTCCCGGCTCCTTTTAGAAGCCACGTCACCCGGGTGTGAACGCGCTTGGTCCCCCACATTCACCGCCTTTGCGCGCACATTTCCGCCGCAACGAGAATGGACAACGAGAAGTCTCGCCCCGTGGAGGCGCCGGCGACCTATCGCTCCGAGCCGTACAAGCACGAGCAGCTGATGCAGCACATCGAGGATTCGTCGGGTCGATCTACGGTCTCCGAGCACGCCGGTGAGGGCAGCTACTCTAATACCCACAATGGCGAGGAACTCGTAAAGCCGTCGAGGATGTTCACTCCCGAGGAAGAGGCCAAGATCTGGCGAAAGGTGAGCTGCTCGAGACTTTACTCCGCATTGCAATACGTGCAAAAGCTCACACTGCTGCATGGCGATTGCTCACCGCAGGTCGATCTGCGCTTGTTGCCGTACCTCGCCTTGGTGAGTTGGGTTGATCTGGAAGACGGGAAGAGCTCGTGAGGGTTTGCGCACGTGCTAACGAGGGGCAATCAATTTCCACAGCTTTACCTACTCTCGTTCATGGATCGTGGAAATATTGGAAATGCTCGTCTTGCCGGGCTCGAAACTGATCTCAAGATGACGGGTGGGTCGATTACGTCTTTGCCAATCCAGCGTCGTGTCGGCCAGTCGGGCTAATATGTCATTCCGGCATCCCATTCGCAGGAAACGACTATTCCGTTGCACTTTCAGCCTTTTTCATCAGTTACTGTCTGTTTGAGGTTCCTTCGAACTTGATGCTCAAGAAGCTGCGACCGTCGATCTGGCTCAGTTCGATCACCATTGTCTGGGGCATCGTCATGACTTTGAGTAAGTCGCCCGATAAGGAGGAGATTTTCTTTAATGTGAGACCTGATCAGGTACTGACAAGAGGCTGGTATTAAATCTGCAGTGGGAGTTGTACACAACTTCGCCGGCCTCGTCGCGACTCGCGTGGCTTTGGGTATCGCCGAAGCTGGCTTGTTTCCAGGGTACGTCGGCTTTGCTGCTTCGGCTCGCGTGCCTCCATGCTGAATCGGTGGCCTGCATTACAGAGTCATTCTCTACCTCACCCTTTGGTATCCACGTCACATGTGCCAGCAACGCATCGCATTCTTCTTTTCGGCGGCCACTTTGGCGTGAGTTCTGGTGTCAAGTGGCGATTCGGGAATATACTCGCTAGAAAGCTGACCAGCAACACCTGCCAATCTTTCAGTGGCGCTTTCTCCGGACTCTTGGCATACGGAATCCAGTTTATGAGTGGAGTTGGCGGCCGTAACGGATGGAGCTGGATCTTTATCCGTAAGTCATTAGCAGCGTCAAATCCGCTGCCACGCTCACTGACCCATGCACTACTGCTCCTCCTTTAACGCCGCTCAGTCGAAGGGCTCCTGACTACCCTGGCCGGTGTCGGTGCGTTCTGGGCTATCGTCGACTCGCCGCGATCCTCGCATTTCTTGACCAAGGAGGAGCAGGACTTCATCATCTGGCGCAAGACGACGGATTCGGGCGCTTCGGGCGAGGCGACCAATGTCAGTTGGATCTACATCCGCCAGGCTCTGACGTCGTGGCAATGCTGGCTCGCTCTCGGCTACTACTTTGGCATTGTCGTTCCTCTGTGAGTTGGGCACCGGCATCGAGTCTTGGCCAGTGAAACTGGTCCAGCGACTGACCGAACATTTTGTTATTCGTTGCAGTTACTCGATTGGTCTCTTCATGCCCACGCTCATTCAAGCATTCGGCAAGTACACCCGACCTCAAGTTCAGCTTTTGACAATCCCCGTCTACGTCTTTGCTTGCATCTACGTCCTCATCACTGCCATCTACGCCGATCGCATGAAGACTCGTTTCCCATTCGTCATGGCCGCCTTGGGTCTCTCTGCACTTGGCATCATCATCAACCTCACCCCTGCACCGAGTGGTGTCAAGTACTTTGGTCTCTTCTTGACGGCTGCCGGCTCCTACGGTGGCTTGCCCGCTGTCGTGACGTGGCTCTCCAACAACTTGTCCGGTCAGACCAAGCGAGGTGTCGGAAGTGCATTCCAGGTGAGCCGTCTCTCACTCTTAGTCGGCTCAGAGTGTGGTCCAGAAACTGATTTGACTTCACCCTGCTCATACCACTAGATCGGAATTGGCAACTTGGGTGCGCTCGTCTCGTCCAACGTCTACCGCAAACAGCCCCGCTATTTCCTCGGTCGTGAGTTGACCGCGAAGCATAAATAGATCGCCCTTGGACGAATTCACTGACCTGGTTGCCCTGCTCTGATTGAGCTTTGTAGACGGCGCCGTTTTGGGCTGCATTGTGGTCGGCTTGTTCTGCGCGCCCCTTTACGCCTTTCTACTCAAGCGCGAGAACGAGAAGAAAGAGCGCGAGATCGAGTATCAGAACTCGTTGCCCGATCACGAGAAGCGTGTCTACTCTCTTCAGGAGCTACGTGACTTGGGTGACAAACATCCTTCGTTCGTGTACACAATCTAGGAAGCCTTGGTCCCGATTATGTTTTCCTTGTGACTTCGTGGGTTTTATATATATATCTGGGTTCGTGAATGGTGGAAGAGTTATTTTCCGAGGTGTAGATGACTCATTTTTCCTGTAAAACTATTGTTCTTTGACCTCCTTGCCGCAACAGCAAAATGGGAGCAGGTCCGTTGGCTTCTCAGACGGTCGGGGCATTTCTCCAGGTAGGAGACAGCGCCCCTTTTGGGCCGATACGGAAACGGGAAGGGGAACGAGCCGGTCAGGAGAGCGCCCGCTTGGCGGCCGTGGACCCCAGCGTGGCGAGGCGCGCGCTGACGGACTTGACTTCGACCGGACCCTCATCTTCTCACCGTTGGCCCTCAAGCTCTGCCACTCCTCTCCTTCATCCCCCGTAGGCCGAATGCTTTCCAAGCACAGTCTGACAGGTTGAGGAGGCGGATCGACAAACACCCTTATCCTTCCCTAATCTGCCGTCCACGTGGCCGCTACTAGCCTTCCGAAGACGTCACCCGAACCGCTGGCAGCGGTGTTAGCCGTGACGACGACGCGCTCTCTCAGCTCACTTTCAGCATTATCGGAGCGCACGGCTCAATCGCCTCCAGTGGTCGCATTCTCTCTCAAGACGGGCCCTTCGAGGCGGGCCAATGGCGTCTAACCAACACCTGCAGCTACCGTATCCCCCGCCGCGTGCGAACCATCTCCGATTGACGATCCGCCATCTCTACACTGACCGATGGATCGTGCTCGAGGTGCCCGAGACGATGAGGATAGGCGAGGTCAAGCTGCAAGCACTGCAGAGACTCCTCCCCTGTGGGATCCCGTCCGTTTCCAGAGAAAGTGCCCAGCGTGAGACATTGCAGGTTGCCGTCGCGACGCAGCGCAAACAGGCGAGCTCAGCGGTCACGTCAGCGTCAACGCATTCAGCTACATCGCATTCACACGCAGCCAAAAATACTATCCGTACTCCTACCGTGAGTTCAAGGCTGCAGCTCATTCCTTCTTTATCACGCGACCGCCCCTGCGACGAGCTCGGGTCTGACTCGAGACTTTAACCCCGGGCGCTGAGACAGGGGCCACCCGAACACGCCTCCTTTCCGGCCCAGGAGCCGAGCTCACCCTTCGCGCTCGGCGGCGGCTTCTCGGAAGTTTTCCGCACACCGGCTTCCTCGGCCCAATCATCCATGCCAGCAGGATCACCGAAACAAAGCTTGTTCGACGAATCCTCATCCTCGGCCCATGAAGTGTTCCCGGACTCGACCTCGTCGTTCAGCACGGGCAGCCAGATATCGCTCCCCCGTACAGCGGAGGAAGAGGAGTGCAATCGACCCCATTCGCCCCCACAGATGCCATACGAGACCGAAGCATTCCAGGGGACTAGTCTCCCTCCTTCGGGACGACGCTCGTCCGTCGCGGTCGCGGCGATGTTGGCTCGCGGTGATGGACGAGGCGGCCCGACGGCCAAGCTTTCGGGGGCCGTCAAGGCACTTCCGTCCAAAGTGACGAGATCGAGGAGTCGTACGGTTCCACAAAAGGATCAATCCGACCTGTTTGGGTTTTCGGGCCGAATGATCAAGCGGGAAGAAGAGATATTTGGGTTTTCGGGTCGAATGATCAAGCGGGAAGAGGAGATGTGGTCCTTTGAGCAACACCGACTCGTCAGCGCGGTCTTGGTGCGTTTGGCCTGCTTCAACTGCTTTTTCCGGGCGCCGGCTCTGATCCGGGCCCCTTCCTCTCCTTTCTTCCGTAGGGCTGTCACTCGGACGACGCTGCCATGGTCGGTCGAAAGCTGAAGCAATATGACGTGTTGACGGTATGTTTCGTGCATGCTACCGAAACGCTCCAAGCATCTGATTCTGATCGGTCTTTCTCAGTTGTTGCCTGGGGGAGTCCAATTCGACCCACCGCTAAGCCAATATCCTCAAGCGTTCCTGTTCATCGAGAATGTGCTCGTCTCCAAAAGTCCGGTCGACACGATCCCAGGACTACGTCTACTCATGTCCGAGTCGTCGAAATGGTGAGTCGAACCTTGGTACACATGCTCGGCTCCGAGGCCGAACTGACACATTGCGCAACTGGTCGGAGTCGGCCCCCCTACAGGAAATGGTCATCACGTTCACTCATGGTGTGCGAGGGGCAACTGCAGCTGTCTAAGGTATTTCATTAAAGTCTTTAAAGATCTCAGGTACCGCTGTGGTTCTGAAAAATGCCTCTCTGCCGCTGATGACAGGGATCAGTGACTGAATTCACGGGTTCGCTGCCCGCCCTCGCCGTCAAGTCGCAAGAGATAGCCCCGCTCGGATCTCGAAGTACGTTCTTCCCTATCCTACACCTTTTTCAGCCATACTTTCTTACTTTATTTCATCCCTTTCCTTTACCCAGAATTCATCGTCGCCCTTCGGTTCGGTGACGGTCGCTCGTTGATCCTCTCCCCAACTTCTTATGCCGATTACGTCAACCTGATGCGAGTCACGGGTGAAGATGGGAACGAGTTCTTGGAGCCGAGCGATTCGTTGGAGTATAGGTTCAATGGTAAGTCTTGTCAAGAAAGAAGCCAACTTTCTCTAAATTCTGATGAGTCGGTTGTTTGCATCCAGCCATCAACCTCGCTTATGCATCCCACCACGGCGGATTGAACACCAACTCCTCTCCGGCCCGATCCATCTCGATCGGTGGCTCAACTTCGAGCGAATCGAACCGTTCCCAACGACGTAGTACCAAACCCGAAGCATTGAACCTCCCTCCTTCCATCACCCCCCATTTCTCAACCGACGCATTTTTTCGCTTCCCAACTTTTGGTCAACCCAGGACCGCCTCGGGAAGTTCACCTAAGGATCTCAGCGGACCTTGCGAAACGAATGATTCGGACCCCAAGGAACGTACGAGATGTCAAACTCTACCGCTTCCTCGAGGGAAGGAAGATGATTTCGATCGCTTGAGATCGATTTTGAGTTCGACGACGAAATCGCCTTTGACCAGCGGGTTGATATCGACGACGCCTAGTCCGCCACTTCGATCGGAAAGTGAACGCGAAAGGGAAAGGACATTCAACGATGCGACGTCAAGTTCGAAATCATCATCCCTCTCCCCGCTTCGCACGGTAGGTGGTGGTGGGGTAGAGTTGGAGCGTTCGTTCAGTACGAGACGACATCATCAATCGAGTTGTTCGATTGATTCGGCGGTAGAGAGATCCGTTATGACTTCTCACTCTCATGAGGCCGCGGTGTCGGTGCCTGTGGATCGACGAACGCCTTTGGCGAATGAGTGGATCGCATTGAAGAAGGAGACGACTCAGGGGAAGGACGCGGTTCGTGGTGGTGAACCCATTCAACAAGGTTCAACCATGCTCAAGGCTTCAAAAAGTACCAGCTCATCCCGAGGAACCGACAGCCAACCTTCCGCTTCTCCCATCCACGAAAATCCGGTTTCCTCCTCCTACGATGACGACGACGACGATGATGATGACCAAGAAGATGAACAGTTCCTCGCGCAAGCGATGCGCAAGAAATCCATCATCTTTGACCGTAACGAAGAGATACGACGCCAACAAATTTTATCTTCGAGATTGGGGAAGAGTCAGACGCTGGTTGCTAGGAGACCGACGACGGCGAGGAGTAATTTGGGTCCGATGATGGGTGGTGTCGGCGGAGGTGTGTTGACGAAGCTCAATTTCGAGTCGAGACGCCCTTCGTTGCCTCGATGATAGTCTCAGGGGGGAGGTGACGTTTAACTTATAGTGGTCTTCAGTGCATTGAGTACGGAGCACATGCTTGGTGGAAACTGAAGTTTGTAGTGTGCTGTGCATAGAGTGGGGAAAAGATGAGGTGATCCGTTGCAAAAAAAATGGACATCGACAAGAAAACAAATAAACGAAAACGAGGGGATGCACACAGATATGTACGAAAGACACGGCATATGCAGATACAATACGGAACCCAAAGACGAAGAAGAAACAAGCGGAACTCGGACAGACGTAGAAGAGTCTACGTGTGTCAAGAATCGGGGACGAATTCGAGCGTCACACTCGAACCGGTCGCGATGGGGGCGAGTGCCGTCCTCTCCTGGTCGATGATGTCACTGGGTACGGCAAGAGGAGGCGATGCGCCCGCGGGTGTTTGGGTCGTCGCGTCGACAGTTTGTGCTCTCGAACGAGAAGGACCACCTCCGTCGACCGGGCTTTCTTCTTCGACCCCATCTTCAGCCGTGATACTGGCCCTACAAATCGGACACACGCGCTTGCTCTCCAACAACCACGATTCAATCTCCTCCTTGTGGAAAAGATGCCCACAAGGCAACTCCATCACCGCGTCACCGTTTTCAAAGTCGGAGAGACAGATGGAACATTCGTTCGAAGGTCGGAATTTGAGGTTCGAGCGACGGCGGGGGGCTAGAGCGGTTGAGGAGGGGTTGGGGCGACGGATCCGTCGTGTGATGGCATCGGGGAGGTATTTGAGGTAGGCTGGGCGGGGAGTCGCAGCCGTGGTCGAGCTAGAGGAGTCGAGCAAAGGCGTCGATTCGGTTGGGATGGGATGACCGGTGGAGCTCGATCCGATCGCTTGCTCTTCATCCAAAGAGATCGGCATCGTTTGTGGCCCCTTTTCGGTGTCGCCCCACAGGAAGACGGGCAACTTGGCGACGACGTCGCGAGGCGCTCGGTCCAATCGACGTTGGCGGATCATTCGGAGACGTTGGGTAAAGACCGTCAAGAGCGTGAGAAGGGAGGGGAGGAAGAGGATCAGGACGAGTAGGTCGAGCAGGGGCCAAGCGAAGAGCTCGTCTTTGGACAAGGTGACGAGCAGGCCTTGCGGGTCTTTGGATGGCCCGTCTTGCACGTCCTGCCAGGTTCGAAGGATCGAGAGGTACGAGGCTCGCGAGACGAACGTTGAAGGTATCCGGATATCATGGGTATCGTCTGTCAAACACGACATCAGCTCATGAAGAGGTGAGATCTTGTCGTGGTCATTGTGCTTACCTGGGCTCCAAGGCGTGAGCAAGCCGAACCCACCCGAGACGCCGCCTTCCTGTGTACTCGAGTCACCAAATACAACAGCGGCGGCGTTTCTCTCTTGCGCGAACCTGACTTTATTGGAAAAGGGGCAGCCGCCTCGTTCGATCAGGGCGATCCAACCCTGTCGGGGTGGGGTAGGGTACTTGCGGAGCGATGAAGAGTCGTCGGGGGTCGAGGAGAGGTTGCAGGCGCGCATATCGGTGTCGGCGAAAGCGGTGATGGGGTAGAGGTACGACTGCAGAGGTTCGAGGAGGATGTGGGGGCCGAATGAGGCCGGTCTAGAAGCGTACATTGCTTGAGTGGCCTGTGGGCGTGGGAAGTACAAGGTCAGCTGAGCGGTTCAGACCGGGGACAGCGTTTTCGTGACAAGCGAACCGACCTCGACGAATACCGCGCTCTCACTCCAGTTGGACCAAGCCCCGTCGACGACACTTTCCGAATCCACCTCGACATCGTCGTCACCATCAAAATCTTCAACGTAGTATACCTGATCGGCGGACATGACGGTGTGGCCCGGATCGAGAAGGTGCGGGGTGAGCCAATTGCCGAGCGCTTGGACGGAGCCGAGGACGTGGTGGCGGTAGCTCAAATAGACGTCGTCCCAGTTCCTCGACGAGGCCGGAATGACGTTGAGCCGAGTGTCAAAGACGGGTCTTGCGGTGAGTTGTAGCCAGGTTGCGTCGATCGTTTGGCCAGGATGCCCTCGACTGGCACTGGCACTGGCACTGGGGGTGGTGCTGGTGCTGGTGCGGAACAGTTCGTCGTGGCGGTGCGGATGGAAGCGTGACGACGACACGAGCAGCACCGACACGATCAACGCCGACGCGGTCACTCCGACCAGCAATCGGAGGAACGATCGACGACGACGGCCGCCGAGTGCTGGGGATGGGTTGTTCGTGGTCGTTTCAGAGGAGTGCGCGGATGTGGCGGAGTAGATGATGCTGCGGTGACTCTGTCTGAGCCGGCTGCTGTTCGAGTCGGGCGTGCCGTCGTCAGCGCTAGCGCTCGGCGAGGCCCGTGCGACGATATTAGCGGGCGTCGCATTAGTAGTGGCGCCGGTGCGACTCCAAGTGGGGAAGGACGCCATCCTGCGATCACGCCACGTCGATCCAGTCCAGCAGCTACAGCGGGGTGCACACGATCCACACGATCCGCAGAGACAGTCGACCTTGATCAACGCTCGATGATGTGGACGGCCGGAGAGGAGAGCAAGTGCAGGTGATAATCGCAGTGAGACCGTGAGAAGAGCCTGAAGAGGAGAGGGGAGAGCGAGAGCCCGAGAGCGCCAATCGGACACGCCAAGCGCGGGCCAGCGCGGGCCACGCTCATCGTCAGTCTTTCCCCCCACTCGCTCGCGCCTTGGCGCACGGGCCACGCGACGCGACCCGTAGCACCGCCATTGCACGTGCAACTGGCTACCGGGGGTGCTGCGTCATCGCACAGACTCGCTGCGTAGGTCACATGAAAACTCGAGGCTCCTTTTTGAGGGGACACCGTTCAGGCACCAATGTCCTTCAAAATAAGATGTAGCAATTAGATGACATCTTGATCAAGCGAAACGCTGAAACCATCGAGATAGGAGCGCGTCGTGCGGGTTGAAATCCACCTCGGTCGAATCCACGATCAATTGCAAAGCAACAAACAGTCCGGGTAGCGGGCTCTCCAAAACTAAAGACTGGTGACAGTAATGTAAACAACAACAAACAAAGCACTTTATTCCGCATGATAGAGACCCCATCACCTCCGATCCTCCACCTCAGCTCCTGCGAGCAGGAATTTGGGGTCGCGAAGTGGCCAGAAAACGTGGTGGAATTAGAAGGCGGCTCAGCGTTTGTCGAGATAAAGACTCCAGAGGGAGAGTCAACGCAGGAGGAGGAGCGCGTAGGGCCAGTGTTCACCACAGGGACTGTCCATGTCACGACGGTCGTGAGGCTGAGCGAAGTGACATCTGCACTTGGACAAGGTAGTTCCAAATCCGCCGCCGCACCAACACCGGAAGTGAACGGCCTTGTGAAAGTTGACATTTTAGCATCTGGACATGCCGAAACCCACGCTGTACGACCTACTCGAGTTCGCTCGTATGGACCCCACGACATTTGGCAAACACCATGCCCGCCTCCGACTTCAAACCCCACGGTCCATTCCCTCGCTAAATTCAACACCTTCAAGACCACCAATTTTCGCGGGAGGGGCCATCACGACTCCACATGCAGAGGCGCCGCCGTCGGCTCAGCACTTTTGCATCGCTGCAGTGGGTGAAGTGGATATTTCTCGATCTCGAGCTCCTCGGAAATGAGGTCGACGCTCCAATGACAGATCATCGTCGTATGATACAACTCCTTCCTTGCCCAGATTTGACTACTTCGATTGAGCAATTGGAGATTGATCAACAGCGCCTGTTGTTTATGCACCTTGATTGATACGGAATGGGCTGACGTCGTCAGAGCGCTGAGCATTTGCGATAAGTAAAAAGTGGAATGATCGACCTCTGTTCATGATCAGCCGACGGCGGACTTGGTACAACTAACAACACTTCCCGCGCCCGGCACGCTTTGAAGTTTGATGAGGGGGTTAGCTGAACTCTCTTGAATCGGAACCGATCGAATAGGAAACAAGAGGGTTCCAGAAAGAGACTGCACGTGTACCGCATTCATGGCATGGCTTACGTGTACGGTCTTTATCATCGAAGGTGTTCGGGGTCACGAGATGATCGGTCCAGATGTCCCATGAGGCTGGGCTCTCCAGCCCCTGTCTTGGAAGATCGTTCGGGTCATTCCAAGCGAGTGGCTGGTTATATCATGACTGGGGCACGTCTCCTTCACAATCTGAATCACTCTTGATGGCCAAATTCACGGGACGAATTGGTCGGGCGAACTGGCGCCATTACACTTTGAAGGCTCCCTCTCTCCGCGCTCCCCTCTACGCGCCTCACGCCATGATGCTCCAATATCGCACACTCACCCAACAGCAGAAAAAAACGAACCCATCTTGATTACACTTCATTCGTAGACGAAAAGCGCTCTATACCTCCCCCAACGACTGCGTCACACTCGGACCGGCGGTCATGGCTTCCCTCGACGCGGCCGTCGCGGCCAATCGATTCTTCTTCTTCTCCTGTTCGGCCTCCTTCTCCTTCTCAATCTCCGCAACGACGGCTTCGATCTCTTCTAATGTCAAATTCTGTGGGAAAAGGAGGGGGGGAGGGATTCGTAACGTCGCAGCGTGGTTCAGCTCAGCTCAGAGAGAAAAAAACACTTGAAACAACATTCTCTCTGGCCCTTCCGCATCGCAGCCGCATCCGCGTTCCCCCTCAACTCACCCTAACTTGACCATGACCGGTCATGACGGCCAGATCGATATTCTTCGCCCCCGTTTGCACGACCTCCAAAAGGGACTTGACCGCCAACTTGACCGCCTCATCCTTGTCCAAATCGGCGACCCAATTCTTCTCCAAGAACTCACGCACGGTCTTGGACGACCTCCCGATCGCGTTCGCTCGCCAGGCCGAAAAGATCCCCGACGGTTCGGTCAGGTACAAACGAGGGGTTGGGTCATCGTGGTCGAAGCCTATGATCAGGCACGAGATGCCGAACGGTCTCATCCCGCCGGATTGGGTGTATTTCTTTTTTTAAAAAGAAGAACGATAGGCAAAACGTCGATTAGGGTCCTGCGTAGTCGTTGAGGCGGTGAGAGCACAACCGAGTGAATCTCTCTGCATATTGCTCACCTGTTGAATACCGGCGATGTGTCGGGTGATGTATTCGACCGTGACGGGGTCCTCGACGGTCAATCGATGCGACTGACATTCCATCCTCGCTCGGTCGACCAGGATCCTCGCGTCCGCGGTCAGGCCTGAACGGGTAGGGTAATTGGTGTAGAAGGAATTAGCTCCGTTGTATCCTCACCACCTCGAGTAAGGCTGACCGCGCCTGCCCAACCGAGTCATTCCTCCCCCAAGCAACGCCGCGTCATCAACCCCACCCACCCACCCATCCCCCCTCCCCCCTCCCCCCTTCCCCCGTCCAAACAACACCACCCCCTTCCGAAAATCTCCCAACGATGAACTCACCCGCGAATCCCAAACAAACATGATCATCAATCATCGCCGTCTTCCTGACCGTCCTCGGGTCCTGCAACTGCATGACGGACTTCTTCTCCACGCCGAGGACGACGACTTCTTTACCTCTTACACCGACTGCACAGGTTCCCTTGCGCACGGCTTCGAGGGCGTAGTCGACCTGTTAGGTGTAGGTTGAGAGGGGTGGGTGGGGAGGGGAGGGAGGGGGGAGGAGGGGTGGTCAGTTTTGAGTTTGTGGGAGGGAGGAAGGTGGACGACGAGCAGCGGCCAGCGGCGACGCAGAGGAGGTAACTTACTTGGAACAGATGACCATCGGGAGAAAAAGTGACGAGAGAGCGATCGTAGCCTCGCGACATGATGAGCTGGGTGAGGGGGGGTTTTGTAGGGGACGAGGTCAGAACGAGCGGGAGGAGCGGGAGGAGCGGGAGGAGGGCGGGAGGAGAGCGGCGTTGGACGAGGTGAGGTGAGGTGAGGTGAAGTGGGGGGGGGGGGGGGCTGCTGGGGGCTGACGACGCGCGACGACCGGTCCAACGATGCACGCGTTTGAGCTTGGACCTCCTCGGCTCCATCCGGTCCGCTTTTCACTTTCAGAAGACTACAGACACAGCCGGTCGTGCAGATTGCGAACAAAAAAAGAGGAGACAATCTATGGCAGGATCTACTACGTGGGCTTGTTCTTGGCATTGTTGACCTGTACCAACGGTGAGTGAGAGAGCGCGCGCCGGTCAGCTCGGAACCTGGGTGCGAGTCACGCACAAAAGTACGTACGATAATGTTCTTGTACTCCGTGACTGTATATACGCGCAACCAAAAAAAAACCATCAACATCGAAACATCATTACAAGCAAACCCATTCGACGACTGACCATCGCCATAAAACTTTTCGACTTTTTGATCCGCGCAGACCCACAGCTGATCGCACACACTGTGAGAACGAACTCGGGTGACTAAGCACCCGCAAAAGATAGAGTGCTGAGTCGGGTACTCACGTATGCAAAAAGGTCGAGTCGTGGGAGATGACGATCACTAAAGATGACAAAACAATGTCAACCTCGGTGCGGAATGGGATCAGGAAATCATCCTCCAAACTCACCACCACCATTCCATGCCTTGAGCGCGTTCATCAACGCGTCCAAACCTTCGATATCGAGATGATTGGTCGGTTCGTCGAGCAGCAAGATCTGGTGCGTGAAGTAAAAAGTCGTGTCAGACTCTTTATGGGAGAAATGCAGAATGAAACGAGTGGTCAGGGCAATACTCACATGAGGTTGTTGCAACGACAAAGTAGCGAACGAAACACGACTCTTTTGACCTCCGGACAGCGTTCCAATGAGCTGCAAACTCGTCATACCCTGTATCACGAACCAACTCCCACATACATCAGCCGCACCATCCCACGAAGCCGAGTATCATGGTGGTAGCAACGCACCGTGATTCCGAAAGCACCCAAGTGTTGACGATACTCTTGCTCGGACTTGCCGGGGAACATCTTGGCGAGGAACTGCACGCTGTTGACCGTCAGGTCCAACGAGTCGATGTGGTGTTGCGCAAAATCTACACCACACCCAAGAAAAACACCCTTGTCAGTTCACGAGCCCGGAGACGACGACGACGAACACAAAACCACAAGAATTACAGGCGATCCTCAACCTCCCATTCCTCGTCTGCTGCCCACTCGTAGGCCGCAACTCCCCAATCAACAATTTCAACAGCGTCGACTTGCCCGCTCCGTTAGCTCCAATCAAGCCCATCCTCGAATCCAACCCGACATCCACATTCACATCCTTCAACAAAGGCTTGTCCTTCGTGTACCCGAACGATACGTCGGAGAGTTGAAGGAGCGGTGGGGAGATCTTGTCTGTTTCGGGGAATTTAAAAGTGACGACATCGTCTTCTTCGGGGGGTTCGAGGTCGGGCAGTTTTTCAAGAATCTTGATCTTCATTTGAGCTTGCGCGGCTCGGTTCGCGTTGTCTATCGTTCACAAGGAATGAAGCGTCAGCACCCCCACTCACTTCCGCTCCCACGCGGGAGTACTCACACCTCCACCGATCAATGAAAGCCTGCAAGTGCTGCTTGTACTGTTCCTGCGCATCGTACTCCCTCCTCTGCTGCTTAGCCCTCTCCGACTTGGTCGCGTAGAATTGGGTAAAGTTGCCCTTGTAGTAGTCGAGGCGTTCGTTGTGTTGGTGAATGATGTCCGTTGCGACGGCGTCGAGGAAGGCTCGATCGTGGGAGACGACGAAGAGCGTCGAGGGCCAGGTTTGCAAGTAGTCTTCGAGCCTGGGGAAGGAGCGGGGGTAGTAGAGACTGTTCAGTGTCATTGGGTCCAAGGTTTAGAGCCACAGACGTGTACTTACCATGCGAGTGCGTTGAGATCCAAGTTGTTGGAAGGTTCGTCGAGCAAGAGCAAATCGGGCTTGCAGAACAATGCTGTGAGGATGTTTCCGACCTGTGTGATCAGAAAAAGACCCTACCGAGAATACCGATGGAGCGTCGAACGTACCACGCGCCAAACTCAACCTCATCCTCCATCCACCGGAGAAAGCCCTCGTCGGCAACTTTTGATCCGAAGCCGAGAACCCTAAACCGGCCAACAACTCTGCCGCACGACTCGGTCCCGAGTCGGCATCGATCTCGACCAAGATGTTCTGAACTTCTCCCAATCGAGCGGTGACTTCGTCCCTCTTGCGATCCTTCTTCTTTGCTTCGGCGGAGGAGGAAGCCTCGTCTTGTGCCGGGAGAGCGCCGTTCTCCTTTGCCGAAGCTTCGGCTTGGTCCGCCGCATCTTCCATCGATTGCAGGGTCGCATTGAGCTCAGCTTCCTCGGTCATGAGGCGCGTACGATGAACGTCGGCTTGAAGGACGGAATCGATCGCGAGGGTGTCGTCGCCGATGACTTCTTGTTGAACGTAGAGGATCGTGATGTGTTGCGGGATCGCGACTTCTCGCAACGCCATCGCGCGCAACAGCGTCGACTTTCCGATACCGTTGCGACCGATCAAACCGGCTCGTCTAGGTCAAAGCAAGGTCAGGTATCAGTTCCCTGCGCTCTACCCTGCGCTCGACCTCCGACTTACCGTCCATGGGGCAGCGTCAACGTCGCGTTACTCAAGATCCTCAACGAACCAAAGCTAACATCGATATTCTCCAAATGAATATCCTTACTCTTGCCCTTGTTCTGACTCGCGCTCTGCAAAGGGTTCACTTCGAGGAACAATTCCTCGTAGGATTTTTGGGCCTTGGCGGCGTCGAGTAGTTTGGAGGATTCGTACGCGTTCTTGCGATCTCGTTTGGCCATCTTGGCGGCGATCTTGGCTTCGGCTTTTTCGAGAGCTTTGAGGTTGACTTGGGTGTCGCGTGCTTTGACCTTTGTGGTGGTGAGGGCGGGTATGCGCATCGAGTGGCGAAAGTGGCGCATCGCGAAGGCGACCATATCAGCATATCTATCCTCACCCCCGCATAGTGCTCGTTTTAATGCACTCACGACCGAAGCGATATCGACCACCTGCGTCACGGTCTGTCGTTTACTCAAAGCCTCCTGCCTCCTCATATCCAACACGTTCTCCAACTTGGTCGGTTCCCCCTTCCCACTCGTACCCTTCTTCATCCCCCCCGTCCGCGCGACCCACAAAGCTTGTAAGGCCTCACAAACTTGATCGATCGTTCGAGCTTCGATTTGTTCGCCTTCGAGTAAAGGTCGGATGAAGGTCCTCACCGGATCATCGTTCGGATCGGCTTGCGGGTCCGACCAGAGTGAGGAGACGTAGTTCAAGATCGGGTAGTCGACGCCTGCTTTGAAGCAGTTCGACAGGATCTCGGACGCGGAGGACATCGTCGCTCACTATCGGCGTTGTGGACCGTGTCGAATGGGTGCGAATGGCGAGCGCGTGAGCGAGGGAGGGAGGGAGAGAGGGAGAGGAGACGAGCAGCTCGAGTGCGGGCGTCGATGGCCGAGGCTGCGAGAAGGTGACAGGCTGGGCCTCCGCAACAGTCGGCAAACGATAACGATTTTGCATACGACCAACTAACAAATCTTTCAGGAATCATCTCTATATCACTACCACATATGAGTCACACAACATATATATATATATATATATATGTATCTCAGAAAGCTCAAAATTCCGAATGCTTATTCAAGTCCCCAGTCAGAACTTTGACAAATCCCTGCCAAAGATGCCTCTCTTGATCCAATCGAGCATCAACAGCACCCTCGTCCTCGTCGAAACTTGTTCGGACCAATACACCGACCTCCACAGGTACATGGCGACCAAACCCCCGGCAAAGTTGTAGCCGTTCAGGTCAAAGACGGCAGAATTGCCGACGTAGGCGAGGGAGCCGACTGTTGACAGGCGTGGAAAGAGACAGTGGTCAGAATTGAGTAAACACGCTCGTTGAATAGGCATTCTGCGCAGGCTCACGATTACGGTACTTGAAAGGCTGGTACAACATGTCATCCGGATCATCATACACCCCATTGATCGTGGCCGCCTCGTGTCCGACCTTGGCGATCTTGCTAAACTTCTTCCCCAAATACACCCCCTGTTGATTCGCGACTTGAGCGGTCGCGGGCAGGTTCGTCATCTTTTGCGAGATGTTGATGAACATCTCGGCCAACTCGTTCATCCCTAACGTCTTGTCGCTGCGCGCGTATTTGTCAAAAATGTCTTGGATCTTGTCGACGTGGATTTGCGCGGTAGGGAACTTGCGGTTCACCATCTGTGCCACGACCAAAACAGTCTACGATCAGCCTCAACGAACAAAAATACCATTTGCCGGAGAGGCGCACCTTCATCATCTTTTTAAATTCGGCATCATTGATGCTCCCATCATGATCCTCATCGCATCTCTCGACCATCTCCAACAAACGATCGACCAACCTCGTCTCGATCGTCGCACAATCGCCTAGAGCATAAACCGTTCCCAATGGAGCGCCAATCACTCGAAGATGAGAATCGACCTCGAGCGCATGCTTGTGGTATTGGTTCGGAAGCAAGGAAGCGACGCGTTCGGTGAAAGGGTTCATCGCTATGACCCAATACATCCTTGGTAAGTCAGTCTTCACACTTGCTCAAAGCCAAAACCTCATGGCAAAGAAAGTGTGCTCACCGATCCCAGTTGACCACAACGTGAAACCACTCTTGACGCTATGTTCAATCAGCTTCCCATCCGGACCCTTGGTCGTATAGATCACTTGATCCGGTTTGACCTCTTTGACGCGCGCATTGAGGATGGTATCGATTTCGTCTCGTGAGAACTTGGTTTCGGCGAATTGCGAGATCGTCTCGGCGTACGTGTTGAGGATGTGATCACGCGATTGGATGATGTGCACCGATACTTGGTCGCGTAAGATCTTGGGCATGACTGCAGGCGGAGAGACGATGGTCAGTCCCGTCGTCACGAACCAATTCGCCCTCCACGTCAACGCTCACAGTTGAGCACATCCTCGTTGATCATATCAAACAGTTCACTCGCAAATTCAACTCCCGTCGGTCCACCGCCGCAAACGACGAAACTCAACAATCGTTCGCGTTCTTCCTGTTCGGTTTCGGGCAAGCACGCCTTCTCGAGGTTGTCCATCACCCTTCTTCGGATCCCTTGAGCGTCCGAGACCGTTTTCAGTTGGTGGCAGTGTTCGAGACCGGGGACGCCGTGACTCGCGTTGACGGAACCGCAGGCGATGATCAGGCGATCGTACTGTTGAGGCGAGAGTCAGATTCAGCATCGCTCTAGGTCTTGTCTACACTACATCAATCGACTCACCGGAAGGTAAAAGTTTTCTTGTCCATGACCCTGCACCTCCAACAAACGTTCCGAAAAATCGACATCGACGGCCCTTTTCCACCAATGTCATAGTCAAAAGTTCAGCTCCCCAGCAGGCTTCCATGCCTCGGCTGCAAGGACACTCACTTTGCTTGAAGGTAATGCCCACTGACGCGAGCGATGATCTTCCTCAACGGCTCGACCAAGGACCTCACTTCGACCGTACCGACCGTTGCGGAGGCTGTGAGAAGTCCAGGCAGACATTCTAGGTGTTTCAGCGAAAAACGACCTGCGAAAATTCGCCAGGTTTGGTGTGAACTGTTGCCACTCACGCAAAAGAGGGTGAAACAAAAAGTAATTCTCGGGTGCGACGACGGTGACGTGCCATTGATCCGGATCGAGATGTTTCAAGACGCCTACGCCCTGAATGAGGTGTGATTGAAGGAGGGGGCTCTCAGATATGGGGTCGCGTTTTCTTGTGGAGCAGCAGTACTCACGCCCCATCCACCCCCTACGATGACCAACCTCTGTTTCTTGGACGATCTCGTATGTTTATCATCGTCCTGAAAGAGTGAACCCATATTTCGCACCATCAGTGACTGGATTCTCTCTTTGCACGAACCCCACTCGACCCTCTTGCGCCCCTCGGGTGTGACCGACCGTATCATCAATCAACACTTCGGCGATCTTGAGATCCTTCTTCCCACCCCTATGAGGACTCAACGCCAACGGATCGACATTGACGTTCTTGACATGTTTCTCCTGATAAGTCGAAGCATCGTACGCCAACAGACCGGCACCGATCACTACGACGGAGACGATCAAGGTCGTGGGAAGGGCGAGGCAGGTGAATAGGACCGGTCGACGACGGTAGAGAGGTTTCCAACCTGGTGGGCGAGGTTTGGAGGAGGTGAACAGGGTGCGGGAAGTGAGGGCGGAGACGACGGGGTCGCTTGACCGAGGTACGACGATCGAGCGCGAGGCCGAGAGAGGCGATGAGCGCACGAGGCGGGCACGGGCGGAGGAGCCACCGAGGCGTGTCTGATGACTCGCACGGAGCAACGTCGTCCGTGTTGACGAGAGCATACCGGTGGGGGAGAGAGACGAGCTGAGGGAACGAACGACGCAGCGAGGGTTGAGGAGCAGAGCAGAACAGGAACAAGCAACAAGCAACAAGCAAAAGGAGCGAAGCCCGGTTCGCCAATTCGGCCACGCCGCGATGACGAAACGGGCTCAGACGGGCTCAAATAGGACCCCCGAAAGCCCAGCCATATTAGGTGGCCCTCTTAAAACGGCCTTTTTCCCCTTTTTCGAGGCAAAATGTCCAAATTAACGCGCCCCCGGAGGGGGCGACGGAACACCGACTGACAACGTCAGCTAGTATTACTAAGAGCGTGCCATGGATCGGGCATGCAGCACCAAGTTGGCGAGTCAGTTCAATGAAAGAGTCGTGTAAGTATGTGCCAAACATTAATGAACATTGCAGACAAGAAGAGATCGAGCCAGAGCCGGGGTGTACATAAGTTGAGATCACTCGACATCGCCCATATGCATGCCACAGTCCGTGTCTGGTCCGACTTTGTATATGCATGTAGTCGTCAGCGCCGGGGACCCACATCGCGCTTTCACCGAACTTGGCTATAAGAAGTGGTTTCAGTTGATGTTGAGAGATCGGGACTTCAGGGAGCGACTTACGTTGTTTTTTTTGGAAGGGGCACTGCAAGGTCAATGTCACGGTAATGGACCTCTTGACCGGTGATAGCTTTTTCTTGGGCGACGGTGGACGGCCGGTAAGAAGCGGGGGACAAGGCTGTAATGATGACGATGCGGTAGAACTGTTAAATCAGCTTACCCATACAGGAATTTAGTTGATTGTACGCGTGACTTGCGTGAAGAGGGGCTTGTCCCTGGCCATGTACCCGGATCCGATGCGGCACGAACTGAAAGCGAGCGTGTGGGGCTTGTTTCGTCTGGTTGAAGTACGTGTGTGCTTGGACGAAACGCCAGAATACGGTCGATATGCGGTAAATTTCGAGCAGTGCTGCTGCGATTCGAGCCACCTTCTCTTTGGGGACCCGAAAAGCGAGGTGGCGAAACACGTCTCGTCGGCGGAGCATGTTCGAGATGATGAATGGGAAAGACGGGTCGCATCGAACATCGCTGTCGTATGGATTGAGCCAATGTTTGACTTGCTCGTCCAGAGAAATCTTGACGTCGCGCTCGACATAGACACCGACGAGACCGAATGGATCGAGGTGTGGCCACAGCTTCGAGAGCAGGAGCTCATCCGAAGATTCCCACAAAGGGGCGTCGCCTGTCGGAATGACATAGGTGGGCTTGTCTTGGTTGAAATAACGGGGAGCTTTCTCAGAGAAACTGCCACGAGTGAACTGGTTCGTCGGTAGCGCGTGGCGGCACATGGACGTGTTCGAATACTGGTTCATCAGAGTCGTTATGCGCTGTTGCGTAGCCTTCAAAGAGCGATGATGTTGGTTCCACTGTCTCTGCGGTAAACACATTCGCCAAAACTGCGTCGGGCACGAGACTGTCTCCATCCGAGGTTTGTCCATCCGACACTTGGGGAGCAACCAAGACGGAAGCCAAAGCCGAAGTGGAAGCTGAAACCGCCGTAGGTGCTGGAGAGGTAGAGTTGAGCACACCAGAATTGCGTCGAACGACCAGACGCCGCGATGACGAAACGGGCTCAAATTCATTGACTTGAGTTCACTTGAGCGCGCGCAATCGGGCACAGTTCAAACTCCACACCGCCACACCGCACTGATTTCCTCATAACGACACTCTTACTTGACACCTCACCAAAAAATTCAGAAACAACACCCAGTAATTACTGCACTTTTTTCCCATCCTGATCGAGCTGCACCTGCGCCAATGAATTCTTGGCCAAGCTGCTCGGGCGAAGGAAGGAGTTCTGGTCGGTCGTGTCAGCGCGCGCAACGGAAAAACGACTCGAATAGAAGTGGAAGGAAGGTATCGAACTGACCCATACAACACATCGCCCAACCACGTCGGTAGAGCACGGACCAAAGGTAATGTCTTGGCGTACAAAGGCTCAATGACAAACTGCACAACAAATGTTTTAGGGGTCTCAGCCGAGAGCCCCCAATGGCATGAGACCAGCCCCTCTCTCCGATCTCCCACCAAACATCCCAACACCCCAGACAAGAACTCACCTGTGACTCCCCACTCATCACACACCTCACCACCAAACGCGCGACCGTCCGCGGCTGCAAACTCGGCATCAACCAACGCGGCATACCCGCATCGAATCCCTCAAACATCGGTCCTCGAATATGACCGGGCAAAATGGCACTCGTGCGGATCGATCGGGCTGAAGGTCCGTAGAGATGGCGTAGTTCTTCGGTTAGACCTTCGTGGAAGGAGAGCGTGGAGGATTTGGACGCGGCGTCTTTTGAGGGAGGTGAGGGGGGGGAGGGGGGGGGGGGGGGGGGGGGGGGGGGCAATAGAAAAGGGTCAGGATGTTTTGTCAGAGTGAGCGAAGAGGCGTTGAGCATGGGACGTACAGCTGACGCCTTTGGCGGCTTGGATGTAGGCCGTGTTCGACGCAATTGTCTAAGCATGAATCGATCCTCAGCATCAGTCCGAGAAAGCTTGACTCGATATAAGGGGCTGGAGTACGCACGACGATGTGCCCTTTGCCCGCCTTGATCATCCCCGGCAAGAACGCCTGCACGGTGTAGTAGTGCGACTTGACGTTGATGTCGTACGTACTGGTAGGCACACAAATATTTCAAGATTAGCTTCATAGCATTCCGCAATGCGAGAAGGCAGTCACCGACCAGCCTTACAGATCGACGTCCCGAGTCGTCGAATTGAGGATCGAGACCGAGCGAACGACCCCGGCGTTATTGATCAAGACCGAACTGTTATCACAATTCCCTCGTTGAGTTTTTTATGAATTATGATGGCAGCCTCAAATACTCACGGCTGTCCAACCTCGTCCACGACCGTTTCGCACACTTTCTTGATCTCCTCGGGGGAACCGAGGTCGCAGTGATAGAAAGTCATATTAGGGACTGGGAGGTACCAAAAAAAACACGATACGCCATCCCTTACTCAGTACACCAAAAAAAAAGACCTACTGCGTTGTTCCTGACTCACAGGGTCCCCCTTTCGGTTCCACGACATCAAGAACGACGACTTTGGCTTTGGTCAAATCGCCGAAACCTTGCACCATTTCCATACCTACTGATCCTGAGCCTACACGGAACATGAACAACAAGTCTCAGCGCCCCCTCACTCGGACCGTAGATCCAGCTCTTCCGGAACGCATGAGTTCATGCCTAGCTTACGTACCCCCGGTAATAAGCACCACCTCGGCGTTCTCACCCCCTTGATCCCACCCCCACTTGCCGGCCTTACTTCCGCGTCCTAAAACCCAATTATTCCGACTCGCATGACTCAACGTTCCATTAACCCATAACAACCAACTCAACCCCAAACACCCCACCAAATAACTTGTGAGCGTGTCCGCTTGACGTTGCCAGACGAGTCGAAGTACGTTCGAAGGGGATTGATCTAGCGCTCGTGTGCGAAGGAAGGTCAGGAGGAAGATGAGACGCGGGTCGAGGAGGAATTGGGTGAGCAGACGGTAGAATGTGTCTATGGTTAGTCCTTCGGAGAGGTGCGAGATGGGGAGATTGATGGGGGACATGGTCGGTCGGGGGTGTACGGAGACAAAGAGTCCGATGCGCGAGCGGCGAAGACGGTGCGGCATCTCCGGCGAATGCTGCCCGAGGCCGAGACACCCCTCGCCGCCCCACCCATGCTCAGGAAACTGCCGGTGAAGCGGGAAGAGAACGTGAATGAGGAGGAAACGCAGAGCAAAACAACAGGGGTGGAGGACTAAAGAAAGGAGAGGAAGAAAGGAAATGGGGGAATGAACGCGGGAAAAGCAGAAGCAAAGAAGGAAGAAAAATGAGGCGCATGTTGTCATGAATTTTCTTCAATTGTTGTGAAGTCTTTACATTGCGGTATACGTGCAGCATACAAAAAGATGATTTGAAGCGCATAAGCCTGAGAAATGTGATTGCACGCCCGAGTACTACGGCCATTGACCTCACCAGGGCTGGGCCCGAGCTCCCCACCAATGCAATGGAGAGCGTACGCCTGTCACGTTTCGATACAAGGATCCCGCCCGTCTCGCGATATGGTGGGAACGTCTTGTCTCCTTGCTCTTTTAAAGTGACTCCATGCCGACAATACGTCTTAAACAAAGTGATAGCAAAAGAACATCGATCTCTATTCATTTTTGCATTGCTCGAACATGCTCTCAGTCCACACGGTTGTACATCAACAAATAAGCCCTCTTCTCCCCATCCATCATCATCGACGACGCATGAGATCCCACACCTGAACCTGCACCTGCACCTTCGCGTCCTTTCCCCGTCCCCTTCCCCGTGACTTTTACGGCAACGTCGGCGGTAGAGATCGGTCGGATCGAGGTGTCGTCAATGTGTAGCCATGATCCGTTCGAATGAATCTGTTGTCTAACAGCGACGGTGTAATGGCCCCCTGAAGCGTAATTGCCATGGTGATAGACGACTAACGCGCAAAAAAAAAAAGTGGTACCATGATCAACCTCGCCTGATCAAAAATCAAGTCATTCATGACAGCACTCTCACTCACCTCCAAACAATTGGTACTTGACCGGTTTGCCCGTGCGTTTCGTCGGCCCGACGATCTTCTCCCCAATTTCCAACTCGGTCCCATACCCAATCAACTTGCCACTCTTTTGCACCCCACCCACATTGTCGAATACGAAACGCTTGAGGTGCAGGATCAACACGGGAGGGAACGACTCGAGGTAGACCTGCTTCATCGCTTCGACGCGTAGGCTTTTGGCGGATATGAAACCCGGTAGAGGTTCGGGCAAGGTGAGGTTGAGTAGCGCGTCTTCGATCGTCCGAACGTGGTCAGGTTCAATGTCAAGTTGTAGTCGCTGGTACGGTTCGAGCGTGATCGAGTCTTTTTGACCGGGGCAACGTAGGATGGATCGTAGCTGACCGCCATAAATGCGAGTCACGGGTGATTCGCGCGTTTCCGTCTGGGCGATCAAAGCGTAGACCCCATTCATCAGTCCACGTCCAAAGCATTGGCGTTTATGCGACTTGAATGAACTCACCGTTCTAGTCGTAGCTATCCTTCCTTTACTCCCGACCTCGACCCATTCCTCATCCTGCTCGTCCTCGACCGCCTTGACCCCGTCAACCTTTTCCTTCTGATTAGCCCCATCCACACGATCGATCGTACTCAGAATCTCCTCATGGAGGGTGTCGAGGAAAAAACCCAAGAACTCTTCAGCATCCTCTTGGTGCCCTCGTCGCATCGCATCGAAACGCTTATTGGGTTTAAGCGATTCGTACACGCCTTCGGGGACGAAAGGTTCGGCGTACTCGGACAGAGGGATGAAGGTGTCGTGGGGTTGGGACGACGGTGTGATCGGTGTTTTGGGGTGGGCGTTGAGGTTGTTGACCTTGGTGCCCGGTGTCGCTGGCGAAGAAGGGATTGATTTCGAGAGTCGGTTGCGCGAGACAACGGTCGTCTTGGCGGACGAGTGGAACTCGGACAAAAAGTGGATCCTACAAGAACAATGTGACCTGTCAGCGAATCGCGTCTCGAGACACGAACACTATCGCTCAAACTCACATCGCGTCCATCGACGGGGTTCTCCCGCTCAGATCACCCATAACTTCTTTCTTGATCAGGTCCAGCAGGTTCACAAACGGAGCGCAGTAGACGAGCACCTGAAGGATCGCGTTCGCGAAGCAGAGGTTGCCGTTGTTGATCAAGCCTCGAGGGACAATAGGGTGGGGTTGCTGGAACTCGTTTTCGACGCCGGCGAGGGTCTGCGCGAGGCTCTTCTTGCCGGTGCCGTTGGGAGAGACTCTCGGGATGTACTCGATGATGGGAGGTCGTGCTGCTGAGCCGTCTTGGCGCGTCGGCGATGAAACCGAAGAGCCGGGCGACCGCAGTAGATCGGCCCACGACTTCTTGACGCCCCAAGCTGACGGTGCGGGTGTAGCCGGAGGAGCCAAGGTCGGGGCCGAAGTCGGATCGGTGGGCGATTTCGGTGTCGACGATTCATCAGCAGCAGCGGTTCTATCCCCATTCTGCGACGTGGGGGAAGAAGAAGGTACAGTCGATGTGACTCCGGGGGACGTCTCGGATGCATCTTCGAGCGTGGTGATGGTGGTCGTCGGGGACGAAGTCGTCAAGACGGGTGAGGAATGGACGGAGGATGCGGCCGTCGCCGTGGTCGAGACGGTCGACAACAGGTCTTCACGAACAGGAGTCGATAGTGAGGGCGTGGACAAGTCGGATACTCTGTTAAAGACTGGTCTCGGGGTCGTCGGTCGTGGCAGAGCCGGCTCCGTTTCTGCGACGGGCGCTCTCGGCTGCTCGACCTTTGTGCTCCGTGTCGTCCAGATCTCGTATTGCACCCTCCACTCCTTGGGCATGTGTACATTCGCCGCGATCGCAAATCCAGGGGCCTCGTCTGGAGACGGCCTCGATGCATGACGCCTCGATACAGCTGTGGAGGAGGATGATGATGCGCCGTGAGCTGCACTCGCGGCCAGTCGTTGCGAAATGGACGATTCGGGTCGGACGAGGAACGTCGATCTCGGCGGTTCGAGTATGGGCGACATGTTGTTGAATTGGTGCTGCACGGCCCGAGTCAGGGAAGCGGCTGGGGGGGATGCGAGAACCGAATCCGATTTTGAAGCCGCAAGTGCAGGTGGTGATTGACTAGATGAAGGGGACAGCTGCTCCCATGCTGGCAAGAGCTGCGGTCCAGGGACGTGCTGCTGCTGTTGAGGTGGCGGCGGAGATACGGGCGGGATCGGCACAAGGGCTGGAGAGGTCACTGCGGCGGCAGCAGGAGAAGCGGGTACGTTGGCAGTTGCGGGTGTGGGCGTAGATGGCGGTGCCGACCCGGGTGCCGATGGTGCTATAGAGGCATTGTTGGGATAGGGGGGCAGCGACTGCTGGACGAGGTGCCGCGGTGTTCCCGAGGGAGGAGGGGGAGGTGGTGCGCCGTAGTAGTGCGGCAGCGGCGGAGGTGGTGGGTACTGGAGGTGCGGTGGTGGCAGAGGCAGTGGATGGTGGTGTAGCTGCTGCTGCTGCTGCTGTGGTTGTTGGTGGTGGGTATAGTGGTAATTGGACGGAGGTGGAGGGGCTAGCCACGCGGGCTGTTGCAGGGGTTGTCGGTGCTGCTGCTGAGGGTTGTGGTGGTGGCCATGGTGCGGGTGGTGATGCTGATTGTAATTGTGAGTGTTGTAGTGCGCTGCAGCCGACTGTGGCTGATGGTGGTTCGCGGACGGTGCTTTGCCATGTCGAATCCATGAGCCGGCTGCGCCTCCCTCCGCGGCGGCCGCTGCTGCTCCGCTGCCGCCGCTGCCTGCACGGGGGTGGTAGGGGTCCCCGTGCGGCGGTGCTGCATAGTTCATCGACGTCGATGGGTGGGGATGGTAGCTGGTCGACGACGACGATGACGCTACGGCGTTGGCAGTGGCTGCGGCGGCTGGCGGCTGCTGCTGCGGTGGTGGTGGTGGTGGTGTTGGTGGTGACGGTGCGAGCGAGTGTTGCGTCGTACCGAGGCTCGCGTGAGCCGGCTGGGGCTGCGGGTGGGATGGTCCGTGGCCGTGGCCGTGGCCGTTGAGCGCAACCCCATCCGACAGCGGTAGTCGTGATGCCAATGGTGAGGGTGAGGGTGTCCACCCGCGTGCATACGCCGTCTGCTGCAACGAAAACGCCTGCGACGTGGGGTTGAGCCTGCTGCTCGCGGATGACGACAGCGATAAAGACGACGAAGACGGCGACGACGACGACGACGACGACGACGACGACGACGACGACAACGACGAGCCTGCACGAGCACCGATCGACATGGACGTGGAGGCGATCGCAGTCGAGCTCGACGAGGACGAGGAGGACGAGGAACTGGTGCTCGAGTTGTTCAGCGTCACCGTCGAGGGACCTGCAACGGCCGCCATGGGGGGTCGTCCAGCACGAGCAGTAGCACGGGCAGTTAGTCGGTCCGCACTCGGCACGGCCGGAGCCAGCCTGAGAAGACGGCACGATCGAGTCAGCCAAAGCCAAGGCTCGGAGAGGTGATAATGAAAGGCCTGCGTGGACTATTATAAGTATTCCGCAATTGCATCAATCCAGATGAAAGAAAGACCGTCGATTGGCCGAGTCGATGTAACGTACACCAGTACAAATTGTTACCGAGTATCCAGGGGCTGCTGCATCGTTCTCAAAATAGTCGACAGCAGTGCCACTGCTTTTGAATGGCGCCGGTCGCGGCCCCGAGTCATACCCGCTTGCTCTGCGGAGAGCTGATTCCGAAACACAGGGGGCTATCAGTTGAGCTCAAGTAAAGTGTTCACGCATCGCGTGCCTCACATTCGGTCGTGTGGCCAATCTTCCAATCGATGAATCTCCGAGCTCGTTTCCACGCGCGCGGCCGGGCAACCGGCGGGAGCCGACGGGTCCCGTTTTCGCCTTTTTCGGCCGGTTTGGATCGCCGAGTCCGTCGCCTAATGGAGACGGGCAAGATGCCCGCAACCGCCGCCTCGAGCAGGTTCGAGACTCTTTTCGGACAGGAACGTTGCTGGCGGTGCCTCACTGAGGACTCAGCATGTAGTTAGGTGTGGAATCTGTGAAGGGTTTCTTTTTTTTTGCTTCTTCTTCCTTCTCCACCACCGAACCGTCCACTGAATCCATCACTTCAGGCTGCAGGCATGATCTCGCTCGGACCCAATAAGCGATCGGCGGCTCGATCGTCGACTTCGACCTGGGCGACCCCGGGTCTGGCTTTGATCGCGGTGCTCGTGCTTGTCTCAGCGATCGAAGTAACAGCGGAGACACAATCATTCCGGGACCATTCCGCGCAGTTGTAAGTTGACCATCTTCCCTCCACTCTTTAACGTGCTGGTGGCTGACGGAATAAATCCCTTCGAACGGTCCGCTGGCAACAGCTCACGCTACAAGCCCGCCGAGGAATATACCCCAGCCGTGTCCCGATGCAAGGTGGAACAGGTATATCTTCGTTCGAAAAATCAAGCTTATTCATACCATACCCAAAGTCAGGCATAGAAGCTCATTTGTAGTAAACTTCGACGCCCAGGTGATCGTGCTCGAGCGCGGTGGAGCAAGTCGGCCCGACGCACACCTCGCAGCTTCGATCCAGGCTTCGCTCGCAAAGGTCGTCGGCAAATCCGACTATAAAAACAGCCAGCTCAATTTCCTCGCCAACTATACTTACAACTTGGGATCGGATGGGGCTTTGCTTCCCATGGGTGCGACCGAGTGAGTCGGCGAGTTGCAATTCCGCACATGGCTGACAAGGGAGCAACTGGTTGCTAAAAATGTGCAAAATCTGGACCGAGGACAGATCAAAGAACTCTGGATTCAGTTCCGCAAACGATATTGCGATACCGAAGGGATGTGGAAGCAAGACTGCCTGGACTACTCAATCGCCTCCGCAGTAAGTCCTTGAGTTGAGTACGCTCAGCAGATATCCGCGCGGCTTGTTATGCTAATCCGCATCGAGCGCGATCCTTGTAGGACTCTCCCGCTCTCGTCGATTCTGCCAAGAATTGGCGAGCAGGACTTCTACAAGGAGCGAACGCGCCGGCAGATGCGGCCCTTGTCACGATCAACAGCACGCTTGCCGCGCCGAGCTGCCCAAACCTCGTCAGCTCGGTGCCGACTGCGCAGCAGCAATGGAGGGACGTTTGGACGCCCGCGGTCATCCAGAGGTTGCAGAGTGGTGGAGAAAACTACGGGTTGAACAGTACGGTGAGTGAAATCTCTTCTTTGAAGGTCACACCATTGATTTTGTTGCGTTCAGTCTCGAGTGCTAATTCAGACTCTCCCCTCGCGACTCGAAGGACGTCATCAACTTTGCCTACATGTGCGCGCTCGAATCAGCTGCTATCGGTTCGACTTCGCCCTTTTGTGGACTCTTCATCGATTCCGAATGGTCTCACATCGAATATGACGGTGACCTTGGAAAGTACTTCAACCATGCTTACGGCGCTCCCTTGGCTCGAACCCAAGCTGTGCGCTATACGACAGAGCTCCTCTCGCGCCTCACTTGGTTCTTCCCGCTCATCCGGCGACAGGCACAGCCCAGAATAACCTCGAAGCTACCTGTCTATGTGGATGTCACCTCGGATGATCAGTTATTGTCCTTCATGACCCTCCTCGGTTTCTTCGACGACGCCACTCTCAGCACGACCCTACCTTGCCCTATGAGGTCCTTCGTCACCAGCAAAATGATACCGTTCGCAGGACGAATCGTTGTCGAACGCATGACATGCACGGGCCATGGATTTTGGAAAGAATTCCTCTACAAAATAAGCGACTCTTCTCCTGCGTACGTGCGCGTGTTGGTAAACGACAAGTCGGTCAATCTCTCCCAACTTTGCGATGAGGTGCGTATATATATATACCTCACTTGACCGCGGGTTAGACTCGCTGAAGGTTGCTCAAGAGCTGATTATATTCTTCCTCACGATATCCTCATCTACTCATTTTGTATCTAGGACGACCGAGTTGAAGGCGGGACGATGTGCACGCTTACCTCGTTCTCGGAGCATGTCAAAGCAAGGTTGCAGGAGGCGACGAAAGACTCGGCTAAATGTCGCTGACCCATGTTCCGTCACTGACCATGCTGCTGAGACTCATGCACTGGTTGCTATACGAGATGAATCCATCATTTATTTATTTATTCGTTTCCGTATTCATTCTTTAAAGGAAATGTGTCAGCTGTAACGGGTGCTATGATGGACTAGGCCCCCTAGTGGAGCCCGGAAGGCTCGATTTTGTGCGGCTCCTCGGAGTCTCCGTCTCGCGGCGTGACATCTTAGCTGGGCTGTGCTGCTGTGCCTCGTAAGAACGTGACAACACCGCTGCTCCACCGAAAGACGCGTACGACGCGACGCCTTATAATACACGCCCCGCCACAGTTCTCGCGATCTTGAAGGTCCAGCCAAGCGGGCTCGCGCGCGGCGCTCGGATTACCACCCCTTTTTGACACCTGCCAGATCGGGAAGCAGGCGCAACGCCTCCGCGCCTTCGGCCTCGCATCGGGGTTTCCTCCGAGTCTTCGAACTTGTATCGCCAGTTCCCGAGCTCAGTCTTAAAAGGTCGGTAATAGGCTTGCACAGGTTCAACATCGGACATGATTTGAGCGATCTCAAATCTCTACACCTCCTGGTTCCTCTCTTACCATACCAGAGTCTTGAGAAGAGTGCGACCACATCATGGTGTCTTGGTCGAATAAAAGCAGCCACCACCAGTCGAGATCGGCAAGCTTCTCCGCCGATGCCGGCCTGGCGCTGGTCGTCCTCGCCCTCCTCTTCGCGAGCGAACTTGCCGGCTCACCACTCTTCTCTGACAACTCGGCCCAATTGTGAGTTAACCCTGTAGCCACTGACAGCCTCAAGCTCAAGAAATCCAAACTTTTGGTGGGAGCTCACTGACATGTGACTTTGACGAATACCTCCATTGGAACCCCCCCTATCCTCGCAGCTCGAGCTTCAAATCTGCGGGCTCGTACACGTCTCCCTTGTCACGTTGCAAAGTGGAACAGGTGCGTCATAGATCTTCCGAGTAGAACTGTATTCATATTTGTCATATTTGGTACCCGGAGCGCTGATCATCAAGTCCCCTCTTTTTCTCTAGGTGATCGTCTTGGAGCGCAACGGAGCGAATGCCCCCGATGCGCAGCTCGCCGCCTCTCTACAAGCATCGCTGGCGAAAGTGATTGGCAAGGCCAATTATACGTCCTCGGCCATGGACTTTCTCGGAAAGTACCAGTATACTCTCGGATCGAATGGCGCTTTGTATTCCGCTGGTGCAGCACAGTAAGTATCCTATCTCAGTGCAACGGTTTTGATCACCACAATTTCTGCCCTTAGAATCATGCTGAGCCTTCCCCCACTCGAATTCCCCTGCAGGTCGAAAGAAGCCGGGGTTCAATTTCGTAAGAGGTATTGTCGCGATGGAGCACTCTTGAACAGTCAATGCGGAGACCATTGGATCAGGACTACGGTCAGTTAGCCCCCTTGTTGAATCGTCCTCAAGTTCGTTACTCAACCCCCAACGTGTGACTCGATGCAGGACTCTCCCGCCCTGTTGGAATCTGCCAAGAATTGGGGAGCGGGGCTGATGCAAGGTTCAGGTGGCTCGGTGAACTCGCCGCGGGTCATCTCGGAGGGACTTCACTTCAACAATACGCTCGCACCTCAATGCCCCAACCTCGTCAGCTCGGTGCCGACTGCGCAACAGCAATGGAGGGACGTTTGGTCTCCAGCCGTCATTCAGAGATCACAAACTGGTGGTAGCAATTATGGTTTGAACGGTACGGTGAGTGAATGTGGGATCAGGATAACCCGTGCTCGTTGTCGCAGCCCGACGGTACTGACCCGAGCAACCGGGATCGGACAGGACATTATCAACTTTGCGTACATGTGTGCGCTCGAGTCGTTCGCGAACGGATCCACATCCCCCTTTTGTTCCTTCTTCCTCGACTCCGATTGGCCCCACATCGAATACGACGGTGACCTCGGAAAATATTACGACCACTCTTATGGCGCGCGATTGGTACAAAGCCTAGGCACGAGCTGGTCGCTCGAGCTCCTTGCGCGCCTGACGGGGAACAGAGGCTACGTTCTAAAGGAGACAACGCTCGTTAACAAGACGACGGATTCCTCGCCGGAGAACTTTCCCTTGGATCGTCCCCTTTACGCCGATTTCGCTTCCGACGATCAAATGCTTGCCGTCATGAGTCTGCTCAATCTCTTCCTGGATTCGGCTCTGAGTACGACGTTGCCGTGCCCGATGCGAAGCTTCATCACCAGTAAGATGGTGCCGTTCGCGGGGAGAATTGTCTTTGAGCGCCTTTCCTGTACTGGGAATGGTTTTTGGGCTTCCATCAAGCAGACGATCGGAGCTTCTTCGGGTGCTTTCGTTCGCGTCGTCGTGAATGACGAAGTGATCGATATCCGTCATATCTGCCATGAGGTATGTGCCAGCACCCCCGAAATTCCGTTCAAAGTTTTGGCGCACTAACTTTTCGAATTACCCGCTTCGTGCGCTACTACTCCTCATCGGTCGCTTGTTCCTCCCCGCTAGGATGCCGTCTTGGAAAACGGGACCATGTGCAGCCTTGAATCGTTCACCGCCGGCGTCGACATCGTGCAGTACGAGAAGATGTCTCGCTTTGCGCAATGTGGTTTCGTGGCGGCGGACAAGTACACCGGGTCTCACAGAGCGTCGAAAGCGCAAATCTATCGGAACCGCTGATAGGCCACCTTTTCCCCAAGTAGAATATTTATCTTTCGTGCTCATGTTTGTCGTGGTATCAATTAGAAAGATCTACATTCTGTTCGTGTCTGAAGCTGGGTGCTCTTTGACAGACAAATAAGATGAGGGAGTTTTCAACATTATTACTTACGGGGAATGGGCCGGGGCCGCGCGCGAGCGCGAGCGCATTGGTAGGCTTTTGTCACCTTTTGGTCACGGGCCTATCCACTTGAAGCCTCCAGGATCGTTGCCGCACACACTCTTACTTCCTACCCAACGGCCACCCCCGCCCAAACCAGTTCCAACTTCCCCCAAGCACGCTCTTCGACATGTCCGAAGCTCCCCCCGCGTACGGTGCTCCACCCCCCGCCGCGGGCCTTCGAATCCCTCTCACGACGGTCTCGGCATTCCCTTCGCCGGATCTCGTAGGCGCTGCACCGTTCCATGATCTCGATGGTTCGGGTGTGTGGGTCGCGAGTGCGTTGATGGAGAACCAATCCGTTCATCCGGCCAAGGTGGTTAGGGATGGGAGGGTGATGGTATCTTATGGTGGTGCGTAGACGATCGCTCTCTGCTTTAATTAGCCTCCGCGTTCGAGTGGCGGTGCAGACCATGTGGGGCGAAAGAGGGAGGCTGACGTGACGCTCGATCTCGATCATTCACCTCGCTCGTACGACCCGATCATCCTGTTCATGACCGTGATGGACATATTCACATAGGAGCTGAGATTGCTCATCAGGTCAGTACAGCATCCCGCCTCTGAGTCCGTGTCGTACCGCAGAAAACGGGCTGACGCGTACCACGTGAAACTCGAACGTACGCCCATGCTACCCAGGGGCGCTACGATGTGCTGCCCATCACGAACCAGATGGAATGGGTTCCTGCTGCGCATGGTCAAGTGAGTACAATGGTGTCGGAGGAACTGAATGGCCGGCATAGTCTGACGTGTGGTCTGACGTGTGGTCTGACGTGTGGTCTGACGTGTGGTCTCACCCGTTCGCCTCGTCGCACGCCTCAGGTTCCAAAGGGTCGACGAGTCGTTGAAGGCGTGAGCTTGCCGTCCGATTCACAGCACACGGTCAATGTCCTCTGACTCCGATGCGCGGGCTTGCGTGAGGTCACTCACAGGGTTTCGAAGAGGACGGGAACCACCTCCACCACGCCGTTACGACGATCCAGGGCGTACAGGTGCCCGGAAAAGCTGGTGCTCATCTGGTACGGGTTTTCCGCCGCTCTTTCGGCAATATAAGAGAACTGACCGGATTTCGTCCTGCTTTTACTGTCTCAAGAAAGGTGCCAATTTCCCTTTCGGAGGTGGTGAACACGTCGTGCAGGATGGCTACCAGTTGCTCTGCTGGAGGTGATTGACCAAGGGCAAGCTTAAGTTCTCGCCCCCTATTGAGATCGTCTTTAGCTATTGGCATATTACTGTGAGCTCTGAATCTCATCTTTGTAATGTACATCTTGCGTGATCTGCATGTCTTGGGTCGCCATCACCGCCTCGATGCCCCGCCTTGATGCCCGTGGGCCGAGTATTCTCCGGCGAGGCCGGCGAGGTCCGAGCGCGCAGCCTCTCTGAGGCGTAATTTGGATCGACGCGTCGAGACGCGCCGGCGCGAGGACGAGATCGCAGAGCTGCAGGGAGACGCGTCGCGGTTTGCTCTACAACCGAGAACAAGTCGAGCGCTTCCCTGCTTCGCGTCCTCCTCCAACTCGTACGGGACAGCTGTCAACCGACTTCCCACTTTGGGATATTTTGATCCTCACTGGCGATCGTCGCCTGCCTCTCTCAGCCATGGACATCGATCCTACCAAGTTGGTCACCTGGCCGCACACGCAGGGCGTCTCCCGCTGCGCGTTCACTCCCAACGGACAGTGAGTTCAGCCTGCCCCCATGGACCAGGATAGAAAGCACTCGACGCATCACGGCCTACCTGACACTATCCGGAACTGACTCAATCTTCCCCCACCTTCCAGTCTCTTGTATACGGCCGGAGCGGAAGGTTATATCCGCGTATTCGACACGGACCCGGCCCACGCCGACGAAGGCTTGCCGCCGCCGCTGTTGATCGACTTTCACGAGGAACCCAATTTCGGATTGTCGTGCTCGGTGAGTCGTGTTCCGGTATGATAAATTCGGGGCGTGTCGCTTGGTCTGCGGCAGAAGCCTCTCCCGCGAAGCCTGCCATCTCTTTGACCGAGGTCGAGACGGCTCCGGCCGACGCGTCTACATGAGAAAGCTACGAGTCATCTCCAACACTGACGCGTCTTGTTCCCTCTCTTTTTTTCGTCGGGACAGAATGATTTCGTGTGCTCCGCCAACGAATCCGGATTAGTCGTCTTGCATCGCCATGGCGTGATCACCGAGATTGACTCCATCTTGACCCGGTGTAGCGAACCGGTCAGGAGCGCGAGGTTCGATCCCAAAGGTCAAAAAATTGCCGTCGCTTCAGAGTAGGTTCGAACGAATCATCCCAGTTTGAATTCAGCGTTGAAGCTAATGGTGTTTATCCTCGTCCTCGGGGGTGGACAGTGAGTTGATCGTCAAGGTCATCGATATCAACGATCCGGTCAACGGCATCCAGCTCTTGCCTGGCCACCGAAAGGGGGTCAGGGAGGCAACTTGGTCACCCGATGGGCAGCTCTTGGTCAGTTTTTGGACCGAATCACTCAGAACCATGGGTCTTTGGAAAATTGACTATGACGGATTTCCGAGCGGCTGATTACAGACGACTTCGGGGCAAGATGGACAAATTCGTGTTTGGGATTTTACCTCGGGCTCGGAACCGACTTGCATCCAAACGCTCGAAGGCGTCATCGAACCCAATACCGATCCTGCCTCCGAATACAGCATCGCCGTCGTCTGGCACCCTTCCTCAAAGTACTTTGTCGTCCCTTCCAAGACCAGAGAGGTGGCGATCTACTCGAGGGAGAGCTGGAGCAAGATCGGTGTGCTTTCACCTCCTTCTACGGAGGGCACGACAGCGGGAATGATGTCCTCGCTCGCGTTCTCGAATAACGGGGTCTACCTCGCCACCGCGATGAATGATTGGATCCACGTGTGGAACTTCACCGAGAGGAAGATCGTCACTTCGACCCAGCACACCCAAGGCATCGTGACGGACATGGCGTTTCAACCGACGCCTACGACCAACATGCTCGCTTATGCCCACAGTACGGGCCAATTCACGATATGGAAGGACGTCATCCCTTCCACCATGGCCAAACCGACTTGGTCGATCGCCAAGGCGCGGCAGATGTTGCTGGCCAGGAGCGAGAGGGAGGAGAGGGAGACGAGCGAGAGCGTCACGAGCAAGGTTGGAGAGGACGATGGCAAGGGGGACGACTACTTTGGCGACGATTTGGATGGGTGGCTGGATGACGATGAGGGGCTCATGCAGAAGAAGGACGAGTACGGGATGGATGAGGATAGAGATGGTGGGGATAGTCGGATGAATGGAGTGATCAGCAAGTATGAGCGAGCGGGCGGCGATCGCATCAGCTCGACGAGATACTGTGGGTCCGGTTCTTTTGTGGAGAGCAAAGGGTTTTCGCTCATGAAAGATCGATACCACAGTGACGGCCGGCGCATCCTCCTCGAACTCGTACTCTTACACCCAGGGACAGCCATCCTTCCAACCCGGCTCAACCCCGTTTCGCGAGAAGAGGCGGTACCTCGGTAGGTCACAGTTCCCCTGCTCTTGTCGAGGCTGAGTGGTAGCTGACCCCTTGATCGGTCTCGCAGCTTTTAACATGCTGGGCTTGATTCATGCCGTCGACCGGGATGATCAGAACCTCGTCACGATCGAGTTCCACGATCGCAGCGCGCAAACTGGAACCCACTTCAACGACTCGTTCAAATTCACCATGGGCGCTCTCGGTAAGCTGGTCTCCTGACTGTGAGCCAACGGCTCCGGTGTTAATGGCTTCGTTCATTTCCAGGCGAGCTCGGTTCCGCTTTCGCCGTCAAAGGAACGTCGGACTCTCCCTCGCTCGTGTATTACAAGCCTTTCGAGTCTTGGACAACGACGCAGGAATGGCAATACTCGCTACCGCAAGACGAGAACGTCATCGCGCTCTCGGTCGGCGGCATCGCGCCCGAGGACCTGAACGAGATCTCTATCGCCGGCACGGGGACCGTCGTTGTCGCGACCGATCGAGGCTACGTTCGCTTCTTCAGCGGCTCAGGTTTGCAAAAGTATGTTTGGAACCTCGGCGATTCCGTTGTTTCGATTGCGGCGGGCAAAGACTGGGCTTTGATCGTCTATCGAAGCGGATCTTCGGTTCCGGACTTGACTTACGTCTTGGTGGATACGGACTCGTTCGAGGTGTTGCAGCAAGGCAAGATGCCTTTGATGCAGGGCGTGTCGTTGGCCTGGATCGGGTTGACGGATGAGCAGGTCAGTGTTGGAAGCTATTCCGGGCCGGTGTGCGCCAGATGTTGACGGGGGAAGGGCTTGCACTCGTCCAGATCCCCGCCATGTACGACTCGAGGGGTGTGTTTTCCGTCCTCGACCGTTCACGTCGCCCGCGGCAGGCTCGGTGGGTACCCGTGCTCGAGACGTCCGCCATGGCTCGTCGCGAGAACAAGCAGGAAACGTACTGGCCAATCGGCCTCACCGCTCAGCACGCCCATGTCATCTTCTTAAAGGTCAGTCTTGAGAGCGAAAACCAGGCACACTCGATGTTTGCTGACCCATCAGTGTTTGCGTGTGCACAACGATAGGGTGAGGAGTCGCACCCCCACTTCCCGACGCCGTTAATCCAGGAGCTCGATCTCCAACTCCCTCTTCTGCGCCTCGATGTGCAACAAGGCCAACTCGAAGAAAAGTACCTGCGCGAAACGACGTTCGTCTCGCACCGTCGCGACGGCGCCTCTGCTGACGACTACGACTTGACAACGACCTTGGCGCGCCAAGAGTTGGAGGTCGACAAGCATTTGCTCATGGCTATCCAGACGGCGTGCAAGGCCGAGAGGTTGGAGCAGGCCCTCGACGCAACATTGCTCTTATCGCAGAAGGCGTCTCTCATTGCCGCGGCCAAGATCGCTCGCTTCTTCAACTTGCCCGGGCTCGAGGAGCGCATTCAGATCGTGCAAGAGGTCAAGGAAGCCGAGGGCGATGGTGCACCGTCCAAAGTCCGTGAAGGGAAGTGGTCGCATCTCATCGATGAGAGGAATGTTCGAGGCTCCGGTGGGTTCGGCGGTCGCTCAAACGATAGCAACATCAACGTCTTTGCGATGGGCAGTAAAAGGTCCATGATGGCCCCGAGTTCGTCGATGGGGATGGCGTCCGTTGCGCCGAGCTATCGCGATTCAAGCATGGCTCGACGACCGATAGACTCACAATATGGCGAATCGTTGAGTGAGCCTGTCGGTGAGGACGATGAGGAGATGATGGACGACCTACGAGCGAGCAAGCGAGCTCGATCGCCAGAGGGCAGCGGAGATGATGAGGATTTGTACGAGTCTCCGGTCGCGGAGACGGTCGAGGCTGTGCCAGCGCACAAGAAGAAGGGTGAGCTGTCTTATGCCAACGCGGTCTTAGCTTTGGCCCCATTCTAATCAAAAACCCTATCTTGCCTTCATCAGCGAGCAACCCGTTCCGCCGACGCACGCCCCCACCAGCGGGTGCTCGGACTCCCGTCTCGCCAGCGAACCCGTTCGCGTCGAAGAAGACAGGGGCGAGCAAAGCCGCCGATCTGCACCGCACGGGTAGCTTCTTTAGCCGCGTCGAAGGCACTGAAGCGCCCAAGGTCAAGGTCAAACGTGCGGCCCCCGTTGCCGGTTCTTCCAGCGTGAAAACACAGACCGTGCCCGGGACCAAGCAGACGACTCTCTTTGGCTTCGCTACCGTCGTCGAAGAAGACAACAAAGCATCCGCACCCAAGGGCAAGAAGCGCAAGTCGACGAACGGCGTAACTACTCGAGAGGATGGTGAAGCTGACAACGACGATGCGGACTTACCGACACCGTTCGCCAAGCCGTTACCCAAGCTCGTTCCTTCGACCGCTGGTTTGGGAGGACACGCGAAGGAGCTTCCGCGCGAAGGGGATGAATTCGAGGAGACGCAGGTTGAGACGCAGGAGGAGTCGTTGCAGCCTATCAACAAGGCTCGATCATCCGCTCGTAAAGCTTCACCTGTCGACGATGCCGAAGACGAGATGGAAGCGACGCAGCTCGAAGACACGCAGATCCTGAGCGTCTTGTCTACTTGCACGAAGGAGAACGTTGGCGCAGTGACGGTGCCCCCGACGACTGCGAGCAAGTTGAGCAAGTATCGAATGGTTGCTCCCGTTGCTCCTGCTTCGGTGGCTGTCGAGCCGATGACGGAGCCGGTCGAGATCGCGATCGAGCAATCTGCGGTCGAGGAAGCGACTGCGGCGGAATGATAGAGGTTGTTGATATTGTGACTGATTTTTTGTGTATCGCTAGCCGGGATTGCGGCTTGTAAATGTACTTCACTTGTTGGCATACAACTATCCGGGTTGTGTAGCATCCGTGAATGCATTGGGCTACAGAAGAGTGGCCGAAGAGGGATGTAAGGTATGCGCCTCTGGTATGCATATGTTCTTGGTATATGCTGCAAGGATTTGACACGCCGATTCAGGCTCGCGCGCACGGACCCTTTCTCCCCCATTGACGCTCTAGCTGTGCTTGCCCCACACGCGGGCACTTCTATTCCAAAAATACAGTTGTACGGGCGTATTCCTCTGCAGCCCTTGTTGGGCAACACCCAGTGGCTAATTGCATACCTTTCAGTGGCAGGCCCTTTGCTCCTCTCGCGCCATCTGCGCTGTCCGTCCTCAACTTAGTGACTTGTCTTTGTCGCAAAGTTATGCTGAGACGAACGATGCACTTCTCCATCATCAGTTGCAGCGGACTGAACTCTTGAAGCTTTGGTCGCAAAGCTCCGAATTGTGCTCCCACCCACCATTCCCATGCACCGGGGTTTCTGAGATTATCTTTTCAGCTGTCGGTATCCAGCCGTTTTGATCATGGTTCTTGTTGAACTTTCTTGCGCACCAATGGTGTCCCTCACCTTGCGACAAAGCGCACCACTCTTCCGCTACACCTCGCGCGAGTGTTCAGGGGAGTCGAGTTACAATCTGTCGTTCTTGACCGCCTTAGACTGAAAAGCAAGTCACAACTAGAACTCTCTCAAGGCTACTTATAAGGCTGCAAGGTATGCGCATGCCCTTACGAGGGGCTCGATATGTCAACTCAGACGTTCAAACGATCGCCATCCGCCGAGGCTAGTATATCACTTGTGGTCTGCCACTGGCCAATCTCGGGAAAGCATCATGGGCGCTCTTTTTCCTTTTGTCATGAAACGGGCGGGAAAAGTGGATATGCTGGGCAGGCAAGCGAGATATGGCACGGTTGTGAGCCGAACCCTCGGCGCGGAGCGGTTCGATGGCGTGATGCCGGCGAACAACGACTCACCCCATGCGGCGATCCCCAGCGGCACGCCGTGAGCAACGGTAAGAGAAGTTGGAAGCCGAAATACCAAAAGGAGAGGTGATTGCCTTAGTGGCGGGGAGATTCCTCTCAGTTCCAAACGGTCTAGCAGACTCGGTGAGCTTGTCGTTCTCAGCATGCCGTCGAATTTCGTAGGTGCTGGGGTGACTGTCTTGATATTAGGGGTGGAATGGATCAGCACTCGCATATTCTTGGTGCAGTCGCTCAATCGGGCCGAATTTCAAATCAACACGGTTCACCGAATTCACCGAACGGGAAGCGGGTTCGAGGAGGCTCGAGCACGATCAAACACCGACAACGTCCCATCTCCCCTCAGGAGCCGGGTACTGAGTTGGCCCGGGCCCGGGGTAGGAAGAGATTGATGTAAGCCCTTGATAATGGTGTTCACTAGTCCTGATCCCGACGAGGTAACAGCCCCGCTATATGGCATTATGTTATGGACCTATGGTGATTCAGCCGATCTAGCTTCTGTTGGATTCTGTCTTTGAACAAGACTAGCTAGAAGTTATGACTTGAACTTAAACTTATAAAATGCCCTGCTGGCACCGTGCGGGTAACTCGGCGAAACCGTGCGCGCGCGTTGAGTCGGTTAAAAAAATTAAAATTAAAAATAGTCGGTTAAAAATGTCACGCAGGCCACCCTCTTTCCCAAGCTCGGGGTTGATTCCTTCGTCCCCTTCCTTCCACTCAGAGCAACACACCGTTAAACGACATCTCGTTCGTCCGACAGCAGCTATGCGTTTCGCCAGCATCTTCTCCGCCACGGCCTTTTTGGGTATGACGATGGCTGCTGTGGCCGCGGCCGCGGCAGTCGACATTTTAACGCCGAGCTCGAGGTGAGCCGCTTTAACTTTCGACTCCTTGAACGGTCGCGCTTCGTGACCGACCTCACGACCTGGGGGCCACTGCAAAGTCCTTCAAGGCTCAAACGACGTAGTGCTCATAGCCACAAGAACCGTGCCCTCAGCCCACCTACGCCAACCGAGCAAGGCAAGAGCAGTCAAGCCGGCGTCCAACTCTCTCGCGGTGTCGTTCAAGACGCGTCAGATGGCTTCAGATTTCAATCGCAGGAATGCAAGTGAGTGCTGCATATCAGACTGTCAGCGACCCAAATTCGCGCCTTATGTGATTTCACCATGTGGCGCAAAGTTGATCAACTTAACCTGTTCTACGACGTCGAATTCAAGATCGTGCATCCTAAGACAGTTTAAAGCTCACCCTCATTGGCGGTGAGTACGGCTCAAACACCGCGGCGGCCCTCACTTTCCGCCGGGCCGACGTGGGGCTTCCGGCTCGTATCACTCGTTCGATCTCTCATCACGCAACTCTTACGACAGGCAAGATGCGGCACAAGAGGAGTGCGCTTACAACGCCGCCTACACGCACCTGTGCCCTTCCATTCATTGGCCGGAGTGCGAGTAAGCGACTCCTGACCCACGGTCCCCAATACAAGGCTCCTCTGTACTGGGATCTATCGATTGCATACTCACTTTTCCTCTATCCTGTTTACCCAAATTAGGAAGTGCATCACTGAAAATACCGTCCATGAACACATAACGTCAGTCGTCCATTTGACTTAGTCCAAATGACCTGGAATGGATGTGCAACGGGCGGGATGTTTGGGCCTTTTTGAGCTGACTTCGTCTAGGCAATAATCAATTCTACTCAAGGCGTCGAATGGCGCAAGAGATGTGTGCCTTTGGCAGTCCTGGTCGTCATTACTGCCCTTCGACAACCTGGCCCCAGTGCGAGTGAGTCAATGGAATCGAGGTCTTTCGGCTCAAGTCAAGGCTTTCTTGGCACGGTGCCGTTCGATGAGGCTCCGACGAGTTCCGAACCGCCCTCTAACTGTACAGTCTCTACCCGCTAGATCTTGCATCGACAACTGGCTTAAAAGGAGCGGAGTTCTTGTCACGTGAGTTGTTGGGACATATGGTTGTCCATGTAGGCGCCAGAGCCTGACCTGAGCATCGACTCTCACCTCTTGCGTTGCTTTGAATCCCGAACAGCTACCAAATGGGCCAAGCTTATTGTACCTTAGATAGTCGCTGTCCACCGGGGCGCCCCCTTTACCCAGACTGCGCGTAGGTTCAGGAGTTTCTGCCGCCTGTGGCACGCCTCCGTAACCCACCGTTGTCAATGAAATAGTCGGTCAAGCTGACAACCATTTTATCTCTTGTTCAAGGATGTGCATCGAGATTTACATGGGCACTTCCCACGACATCAGGTGAGTTGTATCGTGCACGCTGACAGCGGTCTACCAAAAATTAGCTTGCACTGAGCCTCAACTCGCACCTCCCTCCTCGGCTCTTTGCGCAGTCGCCAAGATGCGCAAAACACATGCGCGCATCGCAGCCCGTTCAGAGACCCAATGTGTCCACCTACCTATTAGGTCCAATCATACATGATGTAAATTGTTAGCGCGCTGCTCCTGGTCTAGAACAAAACAATATCTCCAGTTTGAGACATGTAAAAAGCACATCAGCCTGCCAGCTGCAGGTCTTGCAGCAAATGCAGCTATCCGCCGTATTGAGCCTACCGAGTCGTCACGGGCAGAGCGAGCCAAGTAGCCGAACGCGATCCCAAGATACCCTCCGATGGGGACCTGACGTCACGCTCGATGTTCTCTCAACAATGGAGCATAAGTCCGATGTGAAGACGCTGTGGCCCAGGGGTGAGAGCTTAGTCATGAGTCACCTCGACTGCGCGCAGATTGGCGCCAACCGAAAGGGACCAATTCGCACTACTGCGAGCCTCACCCCGGGCCGCATCTGCCACTGGTACGTGGATTGACTCTGCGATGTATCAACTGTCCCTGATATCTTGTCCTGGATCTTTCATCAACCTTTTCGGCCATCGAGATCGGCCTTAAACCGCTGAGCACGTTCGGTAGTTGCGATAATAGCTGCGCACGAGAAGCAATGGATCAAGAGCTGGTGGATGAGTTCGTCTTCGCCGTAGCACTCGAGATGCTCACCATGTACCGTCCTGGGAGTCATAAGTGAAAGTATTGTATGTATGGTCGGTTTACGATTTGCAGTCTAGCAAAGCGGTCAATCAAAGATGATATGAAAAGACAAGGGACAAGGTACGACCAAGAGCTCCTAAGAGATTCAAGACGAGAGAGACGAGAGAGACGAGGGCCGAGAGACAGGAGTACGAGAGCCGAGCAACGAGACTAGGACGCTGAGGCCGGAGACTGGAGAATGATGCGAAACGAGATTTGAGACACGCAGAAAGTGAGAACCAGCTAAGATGCTGTATTGGATCCTAGAAGTGGTCTACCTGAGAACAAGAAGCAAACTCCCCTCATACGTCCCGGCCGTTCAAACCGCCGTTCTCCTTTCATTCCCCTTCACCCCTTCATCCGCACTTCGGGCCCAGGTCTTCCGTCGAAATCCTGCTGCATGCCTTGTCGTTGATAGTTGAGATCTTGAGCCATCGAAGTACTGAGTTTACCCGGAAGCGCTTTATCGATGAGAAGTCTGCCGAAACCGGTGTTTGTCCTTGCCGGAACCGGTGTTGACCTTGACAATTTGAACTGAGTCCGGAATTCGGCCCCGCTACAACCGAAATGGCTCCTGAATTCGGTCCCGCAACGAACCCTGTTCCTTTGACAATTTGGAATATCGATTTCGACGGGATCCCGAGTACCGCGAGCACAGGTCCCAGCCTACTCGCAAGCGCCGTGCCCAATCCGAGCGGCTAAACGATACCTGCGACGCAGGCGATGGCCGCGTCCGATCCTCGGTCGGGGCCGAGCAATGTACAAGCCGCATGCCTTCCATCACACACCACCTCGTCCTATGCTTTTTCCCCTTTCTATCCGTCTCTCTCTCCTTACACATCATCACTCCCATAAGGGCAGCTATGCACTCTTCCCTCTCTGCGGTGACTGCGCTGCTGTTGACCAACGCCGCACTCGTAATTTCATTGACCTCAGCTCAGCTACTTCACACGACAAGGGTCTGCCCATCAGATGCAACAGCTCCGGCCGAGCCTGTCACAAGAAAACCAGCCTCGTCATCTGTATGACCAACTGCAAGCACCAAGCTATAGAGTGCGCTGCATTATCTTATCATGAGGTTGGTGCCGGGAAACTGATTAGATTGTTCCTTTCCTACTAGTATTCAGCTACAGTGACAAATGCTGCACTAACTTCCAATAGCTCGTTCAAGGGTCGAGACTTAAAAGTTCTCTGACCAAGTGCTGGTCACTAGCTTGTGTAGCGATATTAACAAAGATATTTATACAGCCAGCACTGGCATGGCTTGCTCGGTATCGCTCGCCTTTTGGCGCGGTGATCATGGGCCTCAGGACCGAGTGTGTTGAGTGCGCCGGGGCCCGGCCCGTGCCAGTAAGTCAATGGTGAGGCGGCGAGTATAGTGATCTGGCCAAAGAATGGAAAGGTTTTTTCCCTTCTTTCTCACTGATAGCAGACTGATGACTCCACATGTTAAAGATCAACATAAACTTAGTGCGCGATCGCTGAGTCGTAGGACGCGTCCGGACGACGTGGTTACGTGGTTAGTGGTGACGCGCGTCCGTCGCTCGCCCGTTTCACAGGAGCTTGTCTCAGGCGGGCGTGTCGCTGTGGGCGGTACGATAGCGATCTCCGCCAATGCGCTTTCGTTCTGCACTGCCTCTTCCCGCACCTGGAACTGTCACCACAATATCTTAATCTGCACCACCTCCCCACCATCCTTACACGTCAATCGTACGATGCGATTCACTCCCCTCCTCGTTGCGACTGTGTTTGGCATTGTCGTGTCGACCGCCGCCAAGAATCCCATAAACCCCGCCATGGCCCCACCTCTTCCAACCCAGTAAGCGGTACCCTTGGGATCCCACGTTTTCTGAAGTCCTACGAGCTTTCCCACTCACACCTTATCCTCGGCACAGAAACCTCGAGAAGCTGGCAAGGAACTGTTCGTGAGTGTGGAGTTGACTAGCCGGGGCATAGCTCATCCCCACGTTTCGCTCACCCCAATGATGCCTCACGTTGAATTATAGAGCATGCGACGATCGCTGCAAGGGAAAACCCGCGAAATCATCTCAGACCGACGTGTATGTTTCGCCCTGTCCTGCATGCGAGTGTCTCAGCCTGACACGAGCAACCTCGCTAACCTCCGGCTGACCTCTACCCTCTCCTCGACCTCGCTTGAACTAGCCTGACGAGGGCAGCTTGCTTGAGCAAGTGCCTCACTGATGGTACTTTGCCCCACGATCAATGTCCCATCCAGGCGGAGTATAACGAATGCCTCGACAAGAACAGCCAAAAGCAGTTGAGTTAGACTTCCACACCGCTTTGAGGATCGCTCGGCGCATTGAGCTGACCTTTGCCGCTCGATGACCCCTGATTGATACAGCTGCGATGAGACTCTCATCGCGTAACGTCCCTCACGATCAAGACCCGCTAAACCAAAACCGTACACGGGGTTCAAGATTGGAGCGAGCTCTTGATCTTCTAGTAGCTATCCACAGCAATCCGAGTACTGTTTCTCATCTTCCTTCACCATCACACTCAAATTGTTCTCTGAAGCGAAAGCAAATGAATTACTCGTGAGAGAAACTTCTGAAAAGGTGCCGTCCCTTCAGCGGCTCGGGCTCTAGCGCCAACTGTGACTCGCCGTATGCTTCAATTTATTCACGTCCATTTATACTGCCCAGCGCGCCTTCGTAAGTATTACCCCATCAAGGACCGTTCGGTACCCATACACCCTCAAGATTCCCCCTGCAGGTGATGGTCGTAGAGCGTCCATCAATGCTTCGGAAAGTTTCTGTCCTATCGAAATATGGATGCGGGGTGCTTGTGTGTGGAGCATCTTGCGATTGACCCGGTGTTGAAGTATCCTCGGTTATGGACTTGAAGCGTTCCGACGCGACTGCTTGTGAGGGAACAGTGCATTCGACAGGCGACTCGTCTTGATTCACCTGAGGAAGAGAGAAAGTTGAAACAGACGAACAAGTAAGAAGAATTTCTGGTCCCGGATCTTCCACCAAATGGGCGTCATACCTCCTCCCCTGAAGGTGCTCCAACAGGCTCGCGAGGTTGGAATTCAATCGCGGGCTGAAAAGGGTAGAAACGAGAGCAGATCAGATAATGGTCGCATCCGGTTAAGTGATATACAAACCGGAGAGCATACAAAGGCGTCCATTTGCTGCTGCAGCAATCTAGGAACTGCGCACTCGGTGGGGAGACAGATATGCTTGGGGTTGAAAACCGAGCATTCCCATTCGGCGCCAGCAGACTCCATCCCTGAAGGTCGGAACTGGACATTGTACGGACACTTTGATCTTTGTACACAACGGAGAGTGAGTGATCCCCTCCGGTCCGCGGTTGCGCAAAGGCATCGACCGTCTCGACGCTGGAGCGAGCGGACCGATCCCTCGAGCCTCACGAGCGCAGACGCAGTCCGAGCCTGGGCGTTCTTGACGACGTTCAATCACGACGAAGAGTATCTCTGTATCAGCAATCTGAGCAAGCGACGATATCTTACCGACCACCTAGTAGGGTGTGACGTCAAAGAAGCCAAAGCTTACCTTTCCCAGCTTAGACTTGCTTCCCACGGCGGTTTGCAAAGATGTGGTTTCTTGAGGATGCAGCAGAGCTTTGAGTTGCCTGATAGCAGTTTGTCGAGATACGAGCTGCGCTACGAGGTAGACGTCGGGTTTCTTCTGGGTCACTACCGCAAGCTCGAACAACTTGCTGTTGGAGCCTGGGAGTCCATACCGGAGAGTGTAACTCGACAGGGCGGAGTCATCTTCGTCCGAACGCGAGTCACGCCGAGTGGCTTTGATTTGCGCGGAAAGGTTTGATTCGAGTAGCGAGAGGTGCAAAAGGAGAACGATATCCCATAAAGACGCCCAATGATGACCGGGGTAAGGCCACTTGCAAACACTCCCGGGGCTAGGCATGATGTCCAACTCCGACTTGAGGAAAGGATGGGAAGCTTGTACAGAGATGATACCACCAAGACGCAGGGAGTGCCGATGTAATAGCTCAATGACTTCAGCTGTTCGGAGAGTTGAGGCGTAAGAACATGGACTCCTGCGACCAGGGACCAAAGCCGCTTGGAAACCGCCCGCGAGAGCGCTTGCGAAGGGCTAGTTAGAAACGCCGTGCAGAGGTCCTCGCGTCGCAAGTGTTTTAATGTTAAGTGCGGTGGTGAGCGATGATCGCGCTGGCTCTCCTATTTCCGCCTCGCCCCAATCGCGCCTGCCCAATGAAAGCCGTGGGAAGTGATCCATGATATTACCTCCAGCTGGAACAGCCGTAAAGATCGAAGTAAAAAATCAAGTCCAAAGATGCTCTTCCCCATACCAGCTTGGATGAGCATCCTTGTCAGGCTCTCACTGCAGGCTATTAGTGAGACCGTAGAGGAGACGTTGAGGCATCCGAGCCCGCGCGGCCAAGGCTATCGACTTCCGATCTAATGCAGGTCTGCCCGTCCTCCCCACCGTCTCCGTGGCCATCTTCTTCACGATGGGACGAACGACTCGGTTGGAGATCGTGGACCATTCGTTGATTCAAAAGTCGTACATCGTGCACTCGGACGCGACCGGGTCGCCGTGGGCGGACGCGCTCGCGTGGAGCGGGGTCGCGTGGCTGTTGCTGCGGTCTGTGAGTGGTCTTGCTTCATTCTGAAAAGTTGATACATAATTTGACCAGATACGGAACACGTTACACAGGGCTACTATACGTGGATGGGGTTGTTGCTGGCAGGGGTCTGGGTCAAGCTCAAGTCTGGCACAGTCACTTCTGGTGAGTACACGCCCTGGCGCAGTTTCCTACTTTTCCTATATCTGGAACGTGTATGGAAGGATGTTTGAAGATGCACTGCAGGGATTGTGAACGTCGAAAGTGCAGGCAGGACGAGGGAACACGTAGGCTTTGTGATCAGCTTCGCTGCCACCAGGCCAGAGGCTACGGCTCTGCAATTACTGTGCCAGCTCTCAACCCAGAACCCCCCGTGCGACTTCTCATCCATTCGGATCATTTCCCGGAGCCACTAGATGACAATGTCGCGCCTTCGTCATCAGCGTCCAGCCCCATTGACCGTGCCCGTCTCCCGCCCCCACATGACCCCTGACCGTGCGCCTGCCTTCACTCCCCCCCCTCCCAGAATCCCTCCTGGCCGTCCGATCCCTCGGTCTCCAACTCACCACATTAAGAGGTCTCATTCTCCGCTTCCCCTTCTCATCATCGACTTTCACCCTCCTTCGATCGAGCTCGAACGTCCTCCTCCCCTTGGGCGACATCCAGGACATCACCCTCAACGAGGTCATTTACGGATGGGGGATTCGCTACGTCTTGGTCGTGATCCAGAAACCGAAAGTCGATACCGACGATGGGAAGTTGATCATCGCTTATGAGGTGAGAAGCGAGCATCCGAGAAAGCGCCTCGGTGTTGGAAGGCTGTTCGGAGCTGAGCTTTTTGCGAATCTTTTTTTTCCCGAGCAGGAATTGATGCCGAGATTACCTCAATTGGAAAGGGTTTGGAGGGGTGTACGATCCGTTCTATTCGATGAACTGGACCGAGAAGACTCGGATACAGATACTGATCTCGAGCGAGAGAACAAACCGCCGATAGACAGTTGAGGAACGGAGACAATGCCATCGGAACGAGCTAGTGTTGTATGCAATCTAATCCAAGCATCCTACCACATACTGAACGTACATCTATGTACTGAAGGTATTCACTGATTCTGCAACACGAAGCAAGCATACCACAAGAGCTCATAAATAAGCACCCCGACGAGGCCTTAGTCCCTATCCTCCCTATACGCATCCAAGATATCCCCTTCGCTCCACCCACTCGCCGCACTCTCCCTCTTGGTACGACTTTTCCTACTCGCCACACTCGACCGACTCCTATTCCTCGACAAGTCCCCAACAGCATCCGTCTCCCCCGCCAAAAATGCGGACACGACTTTTCGGTCCTCGGTCGAGAGCTCCGAGGTCGGGTTCGACATGCCGGACATGCGTGCCGAGGCTCGACGTTTTGAAATGACGGGTCGACGAACAATCTTGCTTCGCGAGGCCGATGGTTCGAGATCGTTCGTCGGCGATAGAGGGGTGTCGAGGTCGGGTTCTGGGGATCGGGTTTGAGAAGTGGATGAAGGAGGTTGAAAGGGTTCCTCGGTGATGCTCGAAGACAGCCCCGCCGTCTGCAAGGGCTCATTCGATCGATTCGACGTCAAGGACGATCCTCTAGGCGGTGGTGAGGCCGATGTATCGGCCAACGAGGATCTTCGAGGTGGTGCAGCTGAAGCGGCGACGTCTGAAGCGGCGAACATGTTGCGAACATCCTCCGATGGCCCTCTCATCGAGAGTTCGGGCGATTCGAGGGGCGTCGCAACGTTGCTTGAGGTTTGAACGGAATGGAAGGATTCGTCCGATCCAACATCGCTCGAAGCATCGTCGTGCCTTGAGCCGAGCGGAGGAGCGAGTCGATCTTGCGAAGATTGGTTCGACATGGCGAGGGCTAAATTGACGGGTGCATCGGTCAGGGTCCAGCCTCGACCGTTTTCGGCTCGTTTGGAGGATACGGTCGAGGTCGATGAGAGTTGGCCCTCGGGGAAGGACGGTCGTCGAGCAACACCCGAGATTCGGAGGGATGAGATCGGCTGGTCGTCATGCGTCACCTCAGAGGAAGGGCCAATGGAAGTGCTCAAGGGAGGGTTATACGACGCTGTCCTACCGTGTAGAGCTGAGGTGTTGCGCGAATTGGATCGAGCCAATCCGAGCATAGGTCCGTCCGACTGAATCTCTAACGACCCCGTGCGAGGCGACCGATTGAGCACAGGTGACGTCGAGGGCGATCGCCCAAATATGATTGAACTCCTTCGTGAGCCAGCAGGCGGTGACGGTAATGTGACCGAGTCGTTATTGCCACCAGCGGCTCGTCGAGCTGCTCCGCTCAGCAGCAGAGGCTTGGGACCCCCACTACCACCCGCGCTTGCCCCTCGTCCCATTTCGGACGAAGTTGGCGACGGAGGTGCAGCAAAAGATCCTCTTTCGTCCGACGAGAACCTCGGAGGTGTGAAGGGTGTTTCCATCGGCGACCCAGGTCGCCTGGGGCCTCGCTCCGATCCCGTCGAAGCCATGAATCTTCCGCTCGCTCCCGAGACCGTTTCCTTCAACTTAGACAACCGATCCGTCGTCGTCGAAGTCGTGATCTGCTCCTTCAGCAAAGCAGCCTGCGCGGACAGGTTCGTCGTCGTTTTGCTCAGGGCAGCGTACGAGTCGGAAGACCCAAGATTTACGGTCGATTGTCGCAGATTTGCTGCCCGTACCTGCGCTGCGATCGAGAGGTTGGTCGCCTGCTTGCTCAATGAAGCGGCGGCGTCACTAGCGGCAAACCGATTCCGCCACGTCCCCCAACTGTTGGCTGCTCGTTCAGCGAGTGTAGGACCTTCGGTTGAATCGTCGACGCCGTAGTCGTCTTCCTCATCGTTGCCATAGGGATCCCGAATGGACCGTGGGAGTTCATCCTCGATCAGTTGAGCCAGCGAGGGGTTTTGGTCAATGCGGTCCGGCGGTGGGGGTAAGACTCGTCCGTCAACGGTCAAGATTTCTTCGTGAATAGCTCCAGGTGCCGGAGTCGGCCTCAGGTGTGATGTTCCCGCGCCGACATGTTGACCTTTCGACGCGAACAGAGGTGGAGGAATACTGCTGAGCGAAGTCTCACTGTCCGCTACCGAGGCACCGTCGTCGAGATCGTACTCTGAAGCGTGATTCGTTAGACTCGGCCTACGGGGAGAAGGCATCGCAGGGGCACTTGGTGCCGAGAAGAAGCGTTGTCGGATCGAATTGGCTGCCGGACTGGCTGAGGCAGTCGATGCGGCCGCACTCGCGGCCGAAGCCCATTTGTTTGCCGCCGATCGCCAATTTGTCGTCGTTGTTGGTGACGAGGTCGGGCTCGAAGGCTCGGACACGGGCGAGATGGCGATGCGGTTCGAGGCCTTGCCTATCCGACGCTGCCTGATCTCCCAGGCTGTAGCCAGCAGCTTTTCGACATCTTCGCCTCCAATTTGAGGGTCCTGAAGCACCATGACGACCTTCTGAAAGTGGGCATAAGGTGAAACGACGGTCGGACGTTCGAAGAGAACCATGGCTAGAGAGAGGTCGATGAGGTGTCCAAGCACAGGAGACAGAGCTTCGACGGGCTGGATCTCGTCTTCAGCTGGGTACAGCGCGATAACTCGATCCCATATCCGGACAAGATCGGGCAGTTGGAACTGACAAAGAAACGAGAAGAAATCAGAAACTAGAAGGAAACATTTCGTATACAATTTCACCTAGAAGACTCACCTCATTCGCGAACCAAGTCGTTAGCCACCTGAAGACATAGAGCGTAGGATCGACATTCTTGTGCTCGAGCGCCATCGCGACCGTCGGATCGAGCCAGGTGAGCAGACTCGTAAACCTCGCCAGCGTCGCGCCCAATCCTGTGGGTGCACTTCCTCTCAAGGAAATAGATGAGGACGAGGACGTCACGGGAGTCCCGTCGAGTGAGGGCACGTAGAGATCGCGAAGCTGGGAGAGGATCGCGCCGAGGGCAAAGAAGGCGGCGGCTTCGGCTTCAATCGGTGTGGCTTCTGGATCGGAAGAGAAGATCCAGTAGAAAACGGCGAGCAAAGAGTTCATCCCTTGCACGTAGGAAAGTCCCGGATTGAGGGTCGCGTAGATGAAGAGGGGGCGCAAGAGGGCCGCTCTTCGAGTCTTTAGCCGAGTCGATGAGGCCCGATCCGATTGGGTCCCCGAATCTGCTGCAACACCCTCCGTACTGCGTGTTGTTGCGCTCAGGTTCGTCGACTTTTCTGTGTCGACCCCATCGAGCAGCGCTATTCGCTTCCAGAGCGGATCCTCATCCTGGTCCTCGTCGCCGGTCGAAAGGGGTGCCCCGAACCAAGCCAGCGGCGTCAAAGTCCTTTCGACGTCCCTCTGAATCTCGCGCAACAGCTTGTCGGTCTTGGAAGGTTTCTCGTCGACCGAGGGTGGTACTTCCGCTGCGACTCGTTTGGATATCTCCTCTACGAAGGCGAGGTAGTGGTCGACCGAGACTGAGGCCGGCGATAGATTGAGCAGGACGCGATATGTCGCGGGCCGGTATTCGTCCGGAATACCTATAAAACGAGATGATTTCATATTAGCTTCAGTGGCAGCTGTATGGCGATGATGTTGAAGCCAAGCTTAGACTGTCGGCGATAGCGGTGCGAGCCAAGACCCTCGTCCATCTACGGCGCGCCAGACGAGTATGACCGCCGTATGAGACTCACTCCCCAAGCTCAACTCTGTGAGTTCCTGACGAGCTGGACGCCTGTGCTCGTTGATGTGGTCCGTATTGGCCGGGTGCAGCAGTTGATGGAAGCGCGCCAGTCTGCCGGAGGAAGTCCCACCCAGGTGAATAACGTGCGGTTTCAGGGCAATGGCACGAACTTGAGAGGGTGTGGCTTACCGCTTGCGATAATCCATGGTAGCTGAGGATCCAAGGGTATTCACCCGAAGCCCGTGCGACACGTCGGTGCTGAAAGATGTCGCAGAGTGTTGAAGGTCGAGACGGGCGAAGAGCGACGCGTGTCTCAGCCAATACGAGACAGGCGACGCGTGCGGCTCGAACGCGTCGGATTAATTAGTAGGGCTTAAGTATGGTGGAGCCGATGCTGAGTCAAGGGCGGCCGAGGCGGTACAATACTATTCACTATTCTAGATTTGGCCGGCCTGAAATTTCCAGCTTGTACTTAAAGCTGTTTTCTGGAGCACCCGGATGCGTCGGTGAAATCAGAGACGATGGCATAAGAAAAGGGGGGTCTCCTAAATGGTGCCGTCCGCCGTTATTTGCGAACCCTCGCTAACGATTACCAGCTTTTCGCGACTCTTGATCGAGGTGGGAAGCAATCCCACACAGCTCCCAGGTAGGTCTACCACGCCAAAGTCGTCGACCACGTCGAGATCGAACTTCCGGACCCGATTCAAGTCAATTTGGTGGGACTGAACTCCGGCAAAACTCGGCTGAAGTGCTCCGACCGAAAGCGAAAGCCAATTCGCACAGATTCAACGTACCAGAGTTTTTGGAACTCGTAAATTCCATCACGTTAAATCTCCTAATTGACGTGCAGTGCGTCCGACGGTGACGCTGATCTTTTCGACCGGCCGAACATCCGACTCAAAGTAATTATAGCGCTGCCGGCGCTGGCGACTCTAAAAACGGCCGCGGAGGGGAGACTCGGCCGGCATCGCCCTCGGCCCGGCACCACGCTCGACATCTGTCGACTCCGTTCTCTTCAAGAGCTTCCCAGTGGCCTATCTACACATCCTCCTCACCCACTCACGCCTCCCATCCGAGCAATACGATGTCGATCCCTGCCAACTTCCCCGCCAAGTCGTTCCAAGAGGTAAACCAGATCTTGACGTCCCCCGGGATGCCCTGGGAGATGTCCACGGTCGAGATCAAGGGCGTGCCGACGAGGATCTACAAGCATGCGCCTCCGACGATGCGGAGCTTGTGGACGATTTGCAAGGTCAGCATTGAAGGATAACAACGCTCCCAGATCGGGTGCTTAAAGGCCCCACCTTCTCTAGGCCCACGGGAAGAAGGACTACATTATCTACGAGAGTAAGTCGCCCCAGGACTGCACTTCCACGCCGGCCGACTTCCCCACAATCGACCGCCGGAGTCCGGGGTACTCGGCCGAGTGGGTCGGCAGTTGAGCAATCTTGGCATTTTGATTCGCGAAGGACGATCATCGATCTGATGCGGCTGACCCAATCTGATGAAGTGATGCTCAGATGAAAGGTACACGTACGAAGATGCCCACAAGCTCGTCGAGCACTACGCTTCGTATTTGTACCATCAGCTGGGGTGCAGAAAGGGTGATCGCATCGCCATTTGTGCTCGCAATCTGCCAGACTGGGTCTGGGTGTGGTGGGTGAGTAGACGATCCCACTGCCTCCTGTAGACTCAGAAAAATCTCCAGCGGATTCGATAAGCCCATTGGCTGACTCGAATGTGTCGAAATAGGCAACTCAATGGATCGGTGCCGTAACGGTCGCCGTCAACGCCTGGCTGCCCGCCGATTCGTTGCACCACTGTCTGACATTCACGACCCCTCGCGTCGTATTCGTCGATTCTGAACGATCACCTCTCATTGCGCCCATGACCAAGAGTTTAGAGGAAGTCGGTGGGACTCGCTTCGTGCTCTCGTTCAGGGATCCCAAAGCTTCTTCGTTCGGGTTTCTCAATTTCTCGGATGAGATCAAGGCTCACAAAACGTTGGCGGTGCCCGAGGTCAAGACCGAGGCAGACGAGTTGGCGACAATTTATTTCACGTCGGGTGGGTGCTGTAGAGCTGACCTCTCTGTCCACCGTTGCAATCAGCCCTTGTCGCTGACTCTTCCAACTCGGGCTCTCCTATTCTATTTCACCCAGGTACGACCGGCCTACCCAAAGGCGTGATGACGACTTCGCGCCAGTACATCCACAACGCCATCAACTCGATGTATGGTGGTGCGCGCATGCTCCTCCGTCGAGGCGAGTCGTTGCCGACGCCGAGTCCGGACGATGTGCAAAAATCGACCTTGTTGGCCGTGCCTCTGTTCCATGCGATGGGGAACCATAGTGTGATTGGTTTAGGTACCGCAATCGGAGCCAAGGTAAGTCACCGCATATTCTTCGTTCAGTCCCACTTGGTTGCTAATGAACGGATTCTTTACAGATCGTCTTGATTCGCAAATGGGACGCCGAAGAAGCTGCTTCGCTGATCCTTAAAGAGCAACTCTCCTCCGTCAGCGGGATCCCCTTCATGGCCACTGAAGTCGTCGCCGTCCTACGCAAACGAGGTGCAAGCCATCTTCTGGAATCCGTCAGTGTTGGAGGAGCCCCCTCGTCAGGTGGTTTACCCAAAGACGTAGGCAAGATCGGCGCAGCTCCGGGACAGGGCTACGGTGCGACCGAGGTTTCTTCCATGGCCACCTCCGTCGTGGGAGAGGATTACCTCCTTCGACCCAAGACGGCCGGTCTGCCTTGTCCCGTAGTGGATATCAAGATTATGAACCCTGACACGCTCAAAGAGGTGCCCGTGGGAGAGGCGGGGGAGGTTTGGATCAGCGGACCGGGGAGGACGAATGGGTATTGGAGGAATGAGAAGGCGACCAAGAAGGCCTTCACCGAGCATGGGTTTTATCGAACGTGAGTCATTTATGTATAGGTCCAATCGGTCGAGTGGAGCTCCTGCTCATATGTTCACTATGATAGAGGCGACGTCGGCTACCTCGATCAGGAGGGCTTCCTGTACATATCGGACCGTATCAAGGACATGGTCGTTCGAGGTGGGGAAAACATCGCGACCGTCACGATCGAGGATGAGCTCTTCAAGGAGGAGAAGGTCATGGATTGCGCTGCATTTGGGGTACCGGATGACAGGCTCGGGGAAACGGTGGCGTGAGTCCCGACTCCGATGTCTCCAGAGGCTTGAGGCTTGAGCTCTACTGATATCGAAGAGACTCGGATTTGACAGCGCTGCGGTGGTCGTCAAAGCCGAGTACCGGTCCCAAGTCACCGAACAGCAACTGATTGATTTCGTCGCGAAGAAATTGCCTAAACATTCCGTACCCGCCATGATCGCGTTTTACGATCAGTTGCCTCGCAACGGTGTGGGCAAGACGGACAAGAAGATCTTGAGGACCGAAGTGGCCAAGCTTCACGCGGAGAGGAAGAAGGGCAAAAGCAAATTGTGAAGGGTTGCCCTACCTTACGCGGCTGCAGGAACCGTTGTGAATTTACTTTGGAACGAGTGGCGAGAGTTCAATGCAATGTAAAGTAATACAAAGTACAAAGTGCACATAACGAGGGATGATCGTCCTAAACTTCCGAGAGGGGCAGGCGCGGTTACTTGGCCGTGGGTGTCGAGTAAGCGACGTCGTAACCACCCGAGTTCGACGTCGGTGGTGCTGCGGGAACGCCATATTGTGTTTGTCCTTTCCCAGAAGATAGTTCGTTGACGTTGACGTTGTGGACAGGGGCACGCCATTGACAGACTGGTTCGAAGGATGTGAGATCCAGAAATTAGTGAGCGGCTTTGGGTATGAGATTGACCGCAAAGAGGTGCAACTGACTCGAGCACATGTAGACTTGTTTCGAGCCGAGCGGAATCCTGTGATGAGTCAAGGGATGAGCGAAAGGTTTGGTGTGACGGGGTTCCGGGTGCGAGGACACGAACAGGGGTACGTAGCACAGCTGCGCGGGAAGGGCGGCCCCCAACGAAAGTCAGTCACAAGCTCAAGTATATCAGCTCACTTGTTCCAACTCAACTGACCTCGAACCACTTCTTTTGCTTGTATTGATGAGCGCCCGAGTTATGGCAGCGCTGTGTTGTACGTGTCCGCAGAAGCTCATTCAGTACTAGCCACGGCCACGATGCGGACAGGGGCCAGCCGGCATGGTGCTAACACGTACGGGGCAGATGATTTGATCGTGGCCTTCCTGAGTCAGTCTGTGGGCAAAATCGAGAGAGTTAGTGCCACATTCGGCATCATGTGAAGATCCTGTGTACAAGCTCGTCTTGCTTGCGACGCGTAGTGAGCCACTCCAATCCCAGCTCATGCAGTGGCTTCAATCCCTTGATCGGCCATTCCACGCAGCTCCACACTACGTCACGCGGCGCCGCCGTGCTGATCAACCCGTCAGAGTGGGGGCCGCCACACGCGTACACTGCGGTCACGCGTGGCACTCGGAGAGAGGAGGTGGAGTGATAGCGACAGGTTGGGTGATGCAGACGTACTTTGATGGACAGCCATAGACGATGGGGATGCAGAGGAACATGGTGGTGGTGGTGGTCTTGATCGCACGTGATGGGATGGATGCAAGAGTGAGAGAAACGTCCGTTGAGCGACTGCGAGAAAGGCTTGGCGGTTAATTGTCGATTAGTGATCTGGTCCGAGCTCACGCGGGCATTTGTGATGTGCAATTGTGGCCACGAGCACGTATGCGGGGGGCGTGTCGTTGCGCTCACCTTCCGACTCGTATATCACGTTCCAAAGCTAACCAGTCCGTCGCAGGGGTCAAGGCAACAGAGCCGACCATGCTGGGCAAGCTTGGGCTCACCTCCAAGTTGTTGTGAGTGCATGCTGTACAGCTCCTCGTCTCCGAGACGGCCATCGCGATCCACCTCCCATCACCTCTTGTCACGTCATCACCGCACACGCGTGTCAGGAGTCACGTCAACACCGTCAAAGTTCATAGACTCACAACTGACTTTGTTTCCACAGTGGGCAAGACCCCAAGCTGACGTTCAGCACCTCCCCGCGGCGCGGCGTCGCCTTGCTCGCCTCGTCATCCCGGATTCCCAAGACGGACTCGGCGTATTGGACACAGTACTTTACTCTTTTCGACTCGTTATCGGACCTCATCACCCTCGTCGATGCCAACTCCTTGAACAAGGCCACCGAAGAGAACCTCAAGACCCTAGTCGAAGTCACGTGCGACCGATTATTCGAGCTTCTCGGTCAAGATCGATTTCCCAAGAGGCCGAATCAGGGCGGAGGTTCTTTGCTCGAAGGATTCACTGCGGCACTTTCAGGAGACGACGACGACGATGCGAGACAGGCCATCAATTGCGTCAGGGTGCTCACTAGGGTGGTGCCTTACTTGACCCGGCCAGGACCCGATGGAACTCTCTCCGATTTGGAGAGCGATGTCTTTTGGAAGCCGACCAGGGTCAGGGTTCGAAAGAATTCTTCGCCTTCGGCGACGACGAGCAGTGCCTCTACGAAAGTGAACGAGGATGAAGCAGACGGAGAAGCCGGTCACTTTGTGCTGGAAGACGAAGACGACGACGATGAGGAAGTCGACACGTCGGCAAGATCCACCGCGAACTGTGCTTCCCGCGCGACTGATCTAGCAGACCAGTCCGAATGGCACCAAGTCCCACCACTGGCCGAGAGGCTCTTGGCCGCTTTGGTCGACTTGGCTTTTGTACCTGGTCTGACCGTGCCGGAAGAGTGTCGAGCTGCCGAAGGGGGGTCGATCGCCTACGTCATCTGGTGAGTCTAAGGACCGTCCGAACTCTAGGCGATTCGCCGCGCTGACACGATCACCACGATCATGTCCGCCGACAGGGAAGCAGGGATTGCGAATCCATCATCTTCGTCGCTCCCTCCATCACCGCTCCCCATCCTCTCCGCTCGACTAGAAGTCCTTCGGCTGCTCAACATCCTTTTCTCCGTGCCCTCCCTCGTCACCCCTCCCCACCTCTTCCCTGTCATACCGAATCGATGGCGACAAGCCTTCGTGTCTTCATCTATCAACCGCAAGGTCGTCCTCTGCTTTCTATGCTCGATCCTCAACACCGCCCTCAACGCTGGACTCCCATCATCAACCGACGAAACCGATGCGCCACCGCAGAGCCCTTCCAAAGGCAAGGCCTCGGCTCTCCTAGGTGCCGCCAGTGGGGCCGCCGGGATAATCGGAGGTGCCGTGATGCGGCTCGGTGCAGAAGATGTTCGAGGCTTACTCGTATCGGCGTGTCTACAATCGCTCTCGATCTTGTTGGCCCAACACCATATCCCATCCTCGGATCCGGTAACGGAGCAGTCGCCACGCCAATCTGAAGTCAATTCGTTCGCTTACTACGTCTCGAAATTGCATCGAACGAGCGACTTTGATCTCGTCGTCCGTGGGGTGTTACACGTCCTCGACCAAGCAACGAACGAATCGGCTTTGGCGATCCCGCGGACGGTCGTCGGGGCTTTGTCGGGTGCGACAGGGCGCAATACGACGACGAGGAAAACGACGAGCGTCAATGCCGATGTGACGAACGCGTTGATCGTGCTTTGGAGGATGCTCGACCTAAATCCTAAGCTGTGGAAATGGGTTTTCAGGGAGAAGGAGGAACTGAGCAGTCAGTTGATCGTGCTGCTCGTGGCGTTTTGCCTCGAGTACAAGGATGATGAGAGTGAGTCGTGTTGATTGGCTTTCTGAGGGTCGACCTTTGCTGATGTTACCGCGACTATGTGCAGCACAACTGGGCGTCGTTCGGCTGTCTGCCTTCATGCTGCAGTCCATTTCGGCCGAGCCTGGCCTGTCGGCACGTTGGAACGCCCCCGTCGAGATGAAGCTCTCCCTGCGCAGCAAATACGGCGTACCGGGGACATTAGCTGACTTCCTGGTCGTCTCGATCTATACCCTCGTGTTCACAACCAAAGGAAAATTGGCACCTCTTTACCCTACCCTCGTCCTCTCCATCACGAACGCATCCCCGCATTTCAAGCAGCTCTCGACCTTTGCATCGACGCGGCTCACGCAGCTCTTTTTGGCTTTCTCGGCACCGAACTTTCTGTTGATGGAAGAGGGTAACCCTCGATTGGTGTATTACCTCCTCGAAGCTTTCAACAACGTCATACATCACCAACTCTCGGATAACCCTGAGCTCATTTACGCCATCCTACGGAGCCACCAACGATTCGACGAACTGAGCAAGTTCACTTTGGAAATGGGCGTTGCGGAAGCGAGAAGACTCAAGGCCGAACGCAAGTTGAAAAAAGCTGCGGTGATGGCCCATACGGAAGGGGAGATGGTCGAGGTTGGGACGCGGAGGAGGTCGTCGTCGACGAGTGGTGCGACGGAGGAAGGGGACGAGTTGTCGGAAAAGCAGAGGGGGAAGAGAAGGCAACGAGGAGCGTCGTTGGAGACGATATCGGTCGCCGATTTGTCGTTGGGACCGACGGACTCGTCGGTGCCTGAAGGTACGAACGAGACGGATCCTTTGGAGTCAACGAGGGCGTCGGAGGATCAGTCGAGGAGGACCTCGCTCGATGCTGGTGATTTCGACGAGGATGCACCGTTCGTGGGCAAGAATGGATTCGTCCCTGGTGAAGCATGGGTCGCTTCTTGGCGTGAGGGGTGAGTTGCTCTTGCTTTCATTCTTTCACCGATGTCGAATTCGTCTGACCCGAAGTATGAATGCCAGACTACCACTGGATTCGATCCTCATCGCCATCTCGGAACTCCGACCCCTGATCCTCGACTTACCCGCCCGGCCACCTCCAAGCTCCACCCAACCCGTCTCCTCCTCTTCAACAGCGATTGGTCTCCTCTCCTCAGCATCCCTAGCAGGACTCTTACCCCCAGCGCCAAGTCCCAAGTCCAGAGCGTTCATATTCAACCCTCAATCGACAACATGGCTTGCTTCGATCTGCTACGGGAATCAATACCTCGCCGCGTACGAATTGTTGAGGGACGTTCCAGTCGCCTTGTTCGCTGTCGCGCCTTCCGCACGATCGAGATCGACGACGATGGTGGAAGGGGTTAGGGGCGCAGTGGAGAGAGTTGGGAGAGGGTGGAGAGCTGTGGTCTGAACTCATGCCACTACATTTTTTATTTATTTTTATTCTTTTTTGACGAGGCGTACTCGGATTGAAATCATGATCATCAGTTCTGGAAGCTCTCGCAATCATGGGCCGTTCGCCACTATTACAGAGCGGGAGAAGAACGGTAGAAGCGAGAGGTTGAGAAAGGACTCTTTTTGAGAGAACGATATCCCTATCGCTCGGGAGGTGTAGGAAACGCTCGATGTCGATCGTGAACGATCTCAAGCTGGGTCATAGATGCCTGTAGACCTCATCGAAGTACAAAACCCCGCAGCAATACCGAGGAGTCAGGATTTTTTTTACTAAGGGCTCAAGGCCTGCATCGATGGTCCAAAAGAGATACGGCACCTCCCAGGGACAAGGGGGATCAAGGATGCGAGAATGAGCAAAAGGAAAACAATGGTACGACGAGGGCGGTATACAGACAAAAAGCTAGTTGACATAGGTTCGGTATTAGGAAGCGAAATATATCAATCAGTCCCCGCAGGCCTTGCCCGCGAGGGAGGAACAAAAAAGGAGAGAATGCCACCATTTCAATGACCCAACACGGCGACGTCGTCGACGACAGGGCTCAAGAGGTTCTTCAACGAGTGCCTGCTCGAATTTGGAGGTGCTGGATTTGGGACGGCGAGGTGCGCGTCTTGTGGTCGAGGTACGACAAAGGTCGAGATGGGCGACGAGGCGGAAGGTGGGTACGAGTTTCGGTGGGCGTGCTGGCTTTCAATGGAGGAGCCAAGTGGTGCTGGTTTGTAGCCCGAAGACGGAGGAGACGCGGAGGGATGTTCGTAAGCGCATTGGGAGGGATTTCGAGCTTGTTGATGCTGATGCCCGTACGGTCCCGCATACTCGCCCAAAGGAGGCGGAGGAGGACCAGACCAGCCCTGAGCTTGAGCGGGGTGCATCAGAGGCGGGTACGGGTACGACGCCGGACTCGCAACCGGGTCACCGCCATAGTAATGACCGCGCCATCCATACGGTGGCGCATTTCCCATGTTCGGTAACATCATCTGCTGCTGAGGCCCCGGTCCCGCATAGTCGCCCATCTGAGGAGCGTAAAAGTATCCCGGGGCAGGTTGCTGGTGCATGTACGCCGCCGCCAACGACGTGTGCGCGTACGGCGACCCACGGCCCGAATACGAATGGTGGTGCATGTTCCCATCGTCTGGAGAAGAGATGCGCTTCTTCGTCGGCGGTCGATCGTAAGCGGCTTTGTCCTCGGCGATCTTGGCGGCGATCTCGGCCTTGCGTTTGATCGCTTCCGGTGATTCAGGCCAAAGGATCGCTCGCCACCTCACTTCGTGTCGCTTTCCGTCGTCGAACAGGATCCCGATAGAGCTCTTATGAGGAAGGTTCGTCAAGTAGGTGACGTCAAAGACTCCATTGTTGGTCTTGACTTGGAGGCGCGAATTCTCCGGCAGCGCCGCTACGCGAGCTTTGAGATCCTCGTACTTGCGTTCGACCTCTAACTTTTGCCAAGCTGGGTTGTGCTGTCGGCACAGAATCGTCAATCGGATATCGTTGCTTTCCTCGATAATGGCCGGAGGGGCGAGTGCGGGTGCCGGCATCGGCGCAGAATTGAAAGTGGACGCAGGTGCATTTTCAGAAGTGGAGGTAATCGCAGCGTCGACAGGAGCGGCAGCTGCAGGTTGAACATCATCAACGACCATCGCCGAAGCGTCAGTCATTACGACCGGCTCTAGCGGCTTGTTGTCCATCAACTTTGGTTTTGGCGATGCGCCTTCGACGCGGTTGAGATCCAGCATGCTGAGACCACCCACGGTAGCATCGAGGAATGCACCGGAGTCGAGACGAAGACCACATGTGACGTGCATCGCTTTGGGGCATTTGCCTTTGGTACATTGGACTATACAAAGGATAGCGGGATGTCAGAATGGAGAAGTTGAAAGCACGACGACCCCACTTCAACCTCCGGACTCACCTTTGGTCCCGTGCTTCTCCTCGCACAACTGACACTTCAACTTCCACCTCGCCTTCTCAATGTCCAAGAACCCACGCACGACCTCCTCCCCCGTTTCTGGGACGGTCTCGATCCAAGTCGCGGGGGTGAACATGACGCACACGCGATGGGCCAGCATTTTGAACTGCGCCGGTTCACCAATCCTGATCAAGCCTTCGGTCGATCGTTCGGGGCACAATGCGCAGGGGTAAGGGAGAGGCATCGCTGACTCGTTCAGGGTCGACGCGACCGGTGACGAGAGCTTGGCCCTTTTCTTGAGCGGAGGGTGTGAAACGTTGCCGTTCGTGGATGTAGGATGAATGTGGGGTTGGCTGTTTGGCGAGATTGTTGTTGAAGCAGCCGCGACCTGGGCCTGACCCAATTCGAGCTCGGCTGCCTTTGCACTGAACATCCTCTTGCGACCCGATGACGAAGGTGCAGCCTCCAGCTTGGGCACCTCAAACACTGCCGGTCCATGCGGATGACTCGACGTAGACGAGATCGTAGAAATGGCCAAGCCCTGTCCGGGCCCAGCGAACGAGGCCATCTTCGCCGCCGCGGCTTCCAAATCGTCTTCCGGTGGCGGTGTCGGCATCGCCTTCCTGGGCGGCCACACCTCTCCTCTCGCTTCGGCCTCTTTCCTCGCCGCATCCGTCAGCCAGACGTCAACATCGATATTGACGCTGTCCCCGATGCAAAAGCACGATTTTGAGACCTTGCCCAAAGGCAGCCATCGCTCGGTCGCAAAGTTAATGGATTCGGCGCAGTTGAAACCGAGGTTGAAACCCGAGTGATATCCCTTGGGATAGGTGAGGATGAATTCACCGGGGAGTTGCATACATCGGTTCAAGGTGATGTTACTTCCAGCGAGGACGCGAGGGGAAGCGAGGAACGATTTGTGGCGCAAGAATTGGGAGCACTTTGTGCGATCCTGTTGGAAGTAGCCTTCCATCACGCGCTCGAAACGCTCGGACTGTTCTTGGGGAACGCTGTACCAGAACTTGGGAGCGCCGAAATGGATGTAGTTGATCGAGTACAGATCCGCGTCCTCGACATGCCATGCGAACGTCGCTCGCCACATCCCAAAGTAGAGATAAGGCGAGACGACACCCGGGATCTGACATGACTTCGGCGCGAGCTTGGGCAAGAGGTCACCCAAGTGAGCGACGTTCCACGCCTGCGTCTCGTCGGAAAAGATCGAGCCCTTCATGTCGGCTCCGTACATCGCCGGTTCGCCGAACGTCAAAGTGCGCCAGTACCGTCGTTCGATATCGCGCATCAACTCGACGGTGTAGTCCGACTTTTTCATCCCGTGCGGCAGCTCGGCGTAGTTTTCGACGAACGCGCTCCATTCGGCTTCCGTCGGCTCAGCGCGTTGCAGATTCGAAGCGCGCTTCACTCGAGCGGGTTTGGTCGCACTGGCAAGCGAGGCGCTTGAAGTCGCAGAGTCCTTCGTCGCATGCGGTGCACCAACTGAAATCGGAGTCGGCGCGGCCGTCGACGTCGTTGAGTCTTCGGTAGCGATAGGGATCGATGCCTTTCTCGTCGTCGGTGATTCACTCGGCGTCGCCGTTGTCGGCCGCCCATTTTCGTTCTTGCGATCGGATCCGAATCTCGTCCCCGAGCGTGTCTGGCTAGGCGTTTCGGGCTCCTTGCCCTTGCCATTCGCGGGTGTTTGTGGCGCGGCCTTGCGCTTCCCTACCGCCTCCAACTCGGCTTCATCATCCGCATCCGCTTCTCCCTCACCGCCAGCGGCCTTCCGACTCCCCTTCTTGTTCGGTGTCGCCGATGTACTCGTACTCGCACTCGCGTTCGAGCCGCCCAAAACAGGTTTCCGATCAGTTCTATCCCCCTTTTCGGCCTCCTTCTTGAAATCGGGCGGGGCGAACTTGCTCGAATCGGCCATCTGCTTCCACTGCGCCGGGTTCCAAATCCTAGTTTTGGCGACGTTCGTCACTCTGTACACGCCCTGTTGACCCATCATGATCTGCTCGATCGGTTCTCGAAGTCGAATATCGCGCAACTTGTCCGTAGTAGAGGGAAGTGCGTCGGACCTAAGTTTTTTCATCAGACGATGCAGTCCACGGTCAAAAAAAATAAATCGTTCATCTTTCTTTAGGGACTCGACGTAGCACGTAACAATTATCTTTTTGAAACCCAACTCACCATTCCTTCGGAGGGATGACTTTGGCGATCCCACTCCTCCTACCATACTTTTCGATCCTCTTGACGTAACCGTAAAAACCACCATTACGTTCAAAGTCCTCGATCGTAGGTTCAAAAACGGGTACACCTTTCAATCCACCTCGTCTTCCCCTCTTCTTGATCGGTTCAAGTGCGGAATGGTGAGCCGGATCGTAATCGGCGTCATAGTAGTAACTAGGTCGAGGACGGGCTCGACCTTGCGAATCGTACGCGGGTTGCTTGGGAGGTTTCGGTTGACCGAATTCGTCTTCGGACGCGGACGAGTCCGGTTCCGAGTCCGAGAGGTCGAGGGAGGAGATGAAGGAAGGGATCGCGGTGAAGATCGATTCGGAGGAGGAGGCCGTCGATGCTGCGGGTGTAGGTGGGGCTTGGTCTTTTTTAGAGTGACGAGGGAAGGGGGTGTAATGTACGGATCATGATGGGGGAGGTCGTGGTCGCGTGAGCAATGTTCGAGTTTCCCCGGGGTGAGCGAGCGAAAGTGTCACGAGCGCATGGTTCAAGGTGTAGCGTAACGCACAAGAAGGGGGGTCAGCCTAGTTTTCGAAAATACACAAACCTTTGATCAAGAGCAGCCATGGTGTGAATCGCTACGGGTATCCGAGTCAAGCCGACGACACCCCCCCCGCCGCGACGACGATCACGGGCGACGTCGGTGCGCCATGCGATCCGCCTGCAGCACGATAGCGGGACGAAACCTACCACGATCCAGCTCCTTCTTTTTACGACCTCGAGGTTTCTTGGGCTTGGGCTGCTGTGGTTGATTAACCAACGGTGGTGGTGGCGGAAGGCGCTCGTCGTGAACCTGATCGTCGCGGGGCAGCGGTGGCGGTGGCGCTGGAGCCGAGGCGGCGGCTGCTGCTGCTGCTGGTGGAGCGGCGCACGCTGACACGGGAGCTGAAGCTGGCACGGCGACCGGGGTGTTCGTTGTCGCTGGTACGACGGGCGTTCTAGTCGACTCGGGAGATACATCCGACGACTCGATACCTTGCATGGTCGAACCCTGTACAACACCCTCCGGGAAGGGCGTATCGTCCGGGAACGCTGCTGTCGGGGCAGTGGTGGCAACGGCGCTTCTACTAATAAGCGAGATCGGTTCAGACCGTGAGACCGTCAACGGCCGCGCACAAGCAGACACTACTAATACACCAGCCTCGACAGGTGCAGCTCGCTCCACGACCACTTGACCGGCTTGCATCGTCCGAGCAGGAGGAGGAGGAACAACCGATCGTGGCTGATCGTCCTGACCCATCCCTACGAGAGAGAGAGAGAGAGAGAGAGCAACGGTGGAGGGCTAATAAGCGGAGCTGCTCGTCGGCGTCGTCGGTGGGATGATGATCAGATTCCAAAGTGCACTCACCCACCGCACCGCACCGTACCGCACCGCACCAGACCGCACCGGCCTCTCCGCGCGTCCGACCCTCGCACCTGAAATTTCCTGAAAGCCCGAGCGTGGGTGTTTTCTAGCGCCAAACCCAAATCAATCATGATCAGGGGGTTAAGCAGGCAGGTCAAATTTCGCTCTGCGGACTTAACACCCTTACCGTCTACCCGATCGATCTTCCCAGAAACCGTCTCTACCTTCAGTTTTTGATCTCGTCTTTGAAGGAGCCGGGACAATCAAGGGCGCTCAATCTGTTGCAAGCGGCAAGTGGTTGTTACCCGGTTCGTGAACCGCATCGCTTGGGAGCAAGTCCGGAACCCATATTCCTTCCAAACATCCCCTACAGCACAAAAAAAATAAAATATGAACATACACTACTACTGAAAGGAAGTCCCCCCTCCAGCCGAATATACAAAATGCAAAACCCCTCGACCTCCCATATTAACAACACCCGCCACCCCCTTCGTTCGTCGTCGATGCTCCTGCTCTTGTCAATCTGAACGCTTTCAAACCGTTCGCACCTCCTCGGGCGCGTTGCGCGGACAACGCTTTCTGGTGCTTCTCGTGGACCTTTATTGTGAGCTCGTTGAATGCCTGGAGAGGAAAAGAAGGTAAAAGAGTCAGGCGCAAAAAGTCATGGGCGTGATTTGAAGCTTCGACCAATGGAGCAGGCAGATCGGCAAGAAACGCACCTCTTGTACTCCTTCACCATCTTTAGCGGACGTCTCTACGTAGCCTGCCAATCCTTGTTCCTTAACCCAAGCTTGTACTTCTCTCCTCAACTCTTCCACCCCACCACCACCACCACCAGGACCACCAGGGACGAGCCTTCGTTCACCATCTTCCTCCTCCCCTTCTATCCCCTCCACCTCAACCACTGTCGAAGATTCTTCTTCACTGTCTCTCCCCCCTTCCTCCAAGTCTTGCGATCGTCGAGACCGAATCAAATCCTTCTTATTACCCACGACCAAAACCAAAAGATCTTCCTCCCCCCATTGTTTGAGATCGATCAACCAACTTCGACAGGATAAAAAAGTCGAACGGGAGGTTAGGTCGAAGCAGAGTAATGCACCACCGGCACCTCGGTAGTAGGATCCTGAGGAGGTGAGGTGAGCGTCGTGGGGGGTTGGGGATATGCGGTCGGTTAGGGAGTAGGTTCTGGCTGGATACAGGGATTGTGGTAGTTTTTTTTTTTGGAGAACTTACGTGTTATCGACCGGAAGGATTCCTGGTGAGTGCGGAATCGCGAGGGAGGATGGGGAAGGAGCAAAGAATCAGTTCGAGGCTTCGAAGGGGACCCACCAACCCAAGACGCCGTGCTAGCAGTTTGCCGAGCGTATACGCATCTCGAGAGGAAAGGTACTGACCTGTCCAGCGGTATCCTGATCGTTTCTCAAATCCCACATGTCACAGAATCAAATTTGCCGAATCAGCATGAGCTTCGAGAGCAAAGACATTCCAAAGGCAAGCCCCCCCCCCCCCCTCCCCCCGAGACGAGGGAACGAGGCAATAGGACTGACCCAAATCTGCAACTTGACTTTCTTCCCCTTGTCTTCCCCTTCAGTCAGTTCGACCAACCTCGATCCGAATTCGACGCCGATACTGTGCGATATTAGGATGTCGAGGGGTATCAGTAACTCTGAAAATTCAGTTTCCGTCCTCCCCCCCTTTACGCCACGTCGACCAGATCGTAACATCAACGCAGTTCGAATAACGAAGGAAGAAGAAAACTAATTGAAGCTCTTGGGAATACACTTCACTTACGTTGGTTCAGAGTGGTTGAGGAAGCGATCGTCGGTCAGGCGAACCAAGAGGGACGATTTACCCGTCGCCGCGTCGCCGAGCAAGATCTGTTTCTGAATCTGCGCAAGAGCGTAGAAAAGGGGGGGAAGGAGGGAGATGAGGGTTTAGCTCTGGGAATAAAGGGGAGGAGGGAGTTTGGCGGTAACTGTTGAGATTCAGTTGTTGGGAAAGGACGGGAGTCGTCGGCTGATGATGATAGTCATGTGGATGCACCGGGGATCGTCCCGGGGATCGGGCGTTTCCTTATCACATAGCAGTGTGCCGTACCACGGGTCCATTCTGGATCCGCTCTAATATCGACGGGACACGATGAGACTGTGGAGCGGTGATCCGCCGTGCAGGCGTCCAGAGTGCTGAGCGATCCTCAGCACGCACCACGCCGGACGGGCGCGAAATGACGACAACGACGGAGGCTCAAGACAAGCCGGGGGGGAAACGAGTATCGCGTCGCACCCGAAACATCTACGAGATTCAGGAGACGCAGCAAGGGCTTCGAGGTATGTGGGTACGTACAAAATCCCAGCTGGCCATGTCGGGTTTTGGAAAGGGAAGTGAGCGGGATGAGCGCAAAGAGGGGCCACGACTCGCGGCCCAGAGATACAAGCCTGGCTGCATCTCGCGCGGGTCTTGCGCGGGTCGTCTTTGGCGCGATCAGCTCCAGGAATCTCAAAACGGTTCGGCCACCAGTCTGAGCTAGGATGCGTGTTCACGAGATGACTTGTGGACTTGCGTCATTTCACTCGATCTCGACGTAAGTTCTCGTGCGGCCCATCTCTGGTACACACGGATCGCTGCTCTCCATCGACCTCGTGTCTCCCCGACGAACGAGCGGCAAGTTGCCCAAGAATCTGATTGAGCATTTCACTACATGACAAGAGTCCCTTTCTCATCCCAGCGCACCCTCTTCACTGTGTACTCGCTTCCTTTGCTCGCTCATCCCCCCTTCCCGCGTCTATTTAGACTCCTCGGCAGGCGCAACGACCCATTCCTGCCCCCAATAAAGCACACATACCCCGCAAAAACGGGAAATCAGTGCCCCGCCCGAACCAAACCCGCGAGTCGGTTTGCAGGGGTCCAACTCACAGCAGCCGAGGCTTTGCCGTTCTTCCACGTCTGCCACTTGAGGGTGATGTCGCCGCGTCGCTCGGCCTTGACGCGCTCCTCCTCCTTCAACGCTTGGCGAGTCGCTCGGCCCGCGACTTGGATGTACTTGTTGAAGCTGGTCAGGAGTAAATCCGACGAACGGATGGAGGGCGAGGCGCGGACGAGGCGGGTCGAATGGGATTACAGAGGGGAGGGGAGGAGGCATAGGCGGAGTAGAGGCGAGCACGAGCGTAACGTCGTCGTCGAGGCACGCAGTATGGTATAGTATTCCGAGAGAGGATATCAGGTTCAAAAAGCGTTGTACGAGGCAACGTCCACGGGTTACATTCAGAGGTGAATATGAGATGGGCGGAGTCGAGTCGGGCACAACGCAACATTGAGCAAGGTCACAGCATCAGTCTACTGCAACTTGCCAGCGTCATCATCTTCCCACACTCACGTCAATGTTCCGCGCCACGACATGGTGAAGTAGGGTCTGGGGGTGGATTGGGATGGTGGTTCGGGTCGTGCGTGCTGGAGAAGGGTAGAGCCAAAGCCTCGCTCGAGCCGCAGCCGCAGCCGCAGCCGCCCAAGCGGATTCGCCCGCACCTGCCCGCGCACATTTCCCATTAGATTTCTCAAACAAGCGGTAACAACAGAGAGATGTTTTCCCGCCGGTTCGCCTTCGCAACCGCACGCGCGCCACAACGTGCGCCAAAACTGTGGAGGATTCTTTTAATCCAGTTGGGTGCGCTATTACAAACTGCCGGTTTTTCGTGCTTATTGGATCGAGCTGCGCGCACCCCAGCGTGGGTCTGCTCCTGGCCCAACCTTCCCAGCGCATTCTTTCACAGACGTCCCATAACATTGGCTAGTCTGTCAAGGAATAAACCCCACCCCAGCCCACCCGCACACCTACGACCCATCATGGCTTCCACCGCACCCGCCGCGTCCAAGTGAGTTATCGCCCCCTCTTTCTCTTCGCAAACCGAACGCGCGCTCTTGGAATGGCGCTTCGTCGTCTCGTCCTCCAAATCCGACAATGAGGCCGCCCGCGCGCGTGGCTGTGACGAAGCAGCCCGGCGGCGGTGCGAAGCTCGAGAGGCCAACCCACCGCCTAGGCCGCACCCGCAGGCACCCGCGACCCAGCGACCCAGCGACCCAGCGACCCAGCGACGACGACGACGACATGTGACGGAGCGCCACGATCTGCAACGCCACCGCCGACCGCACGACCCCCCGTCGGGCTGCTGCACCCCGACACAACTTGTTGAACGCCCTCTGCCTCGAGTCGTGCACCTCGATCGACCTGCATCACCCTGACTCGATCGACCGAACGGCTGGCAAAACAGGCCCGCGACCGGCATGGGCCCCGGTTTGAATTGTGCGACCGAGTGACTGACTCGCGCGGCGCTGCGCCCCCGTTTTTTTGCCCGCTCTCTTCCGCTGCAGGGACGCTGCCGCCGCCGCTACCGAGTCGGCCGCCGCCGCCGCTGCTCCCGCTGCTGGAGCTGCCCCTGCCGCTTCGTCCGGAGCTGCTGGTGTCTCTGACCCCGATGAGGCCGTCATCGAGTCCAAGTGAGTCGTCGTCGGGCTGCTACGACCCCCCCGAAGGCGTCGGAAAGGGCTGGCTCATCAAACACGTCAATCTTCAATCTAACTGACTTTCGATGGCTCCTATTGATCTTGCAACCTGATCGCTCTCAAAGCTGGGACCAAGTCGTCGAGTGAGTATCCCGTCTGGATTCTTCCCCGGTCGATTCGGGAAGAACCGTTCCCCGTTCGCAAGGAGAGCTCGAGCTGATTCGCCAGGTCTCCTTTCTTTCCGCGCCGCATAGGAACTTTGACGACATGAGCTTGCGCCCCGAGTTGCTTCGTGGTATCTACGCCTACGGGTAAGTCTGCTCCTTGCTTGCACATTCCGGCTCGGCGCCCCGACCACCCCAAAGATTGACCCTCGTCTCCTCGCTTCGGTCTCCAGTTTCGAGCGACCCTCGGCGATCCAGCAACGCGCCATCATGCCCGTCATCGCCGGCCACGACGTCATCGCCCAGGCCCAATCCGGAACCGGCAAGACCGCGACCTTCTCCATCTCGATCCTGCAGTCGATCGACGTCTCGCTCAAGCAGTGCCAGGCGCTCGTCCTCGCCCCCACCCGCGAGTTGGCCCAGCAGATCCAAAAGGTCGTCGTCGCGCTCGGTGACTACATGAACATCGAGTGCTTCTCCGCCGTCGGCGGTACCTCCGTGCGCGAGGCCATGGCCAAGTTGCAAGAGGGCGTGCACATCGTCGTCGGAACGCCCGGCCGCGTCTTTGACATGATCCAGCGCCGCGCGCTCAAGACCGATCACATCAAGATCTTCTGCCTCGACGAGGCCGACGAGATGCTCTCGCGCGGGTTCAAGGACCAGATCTACGACGTCTTCCAACTCTTGCCGCCGACGACCCAGGTCGTGTTGCTCTCCGCGACCATGCCGGCCGAGGTGTTGGAGGTCACGACCAAGTTCATGCGCGACCCGATCCGCATCCTCGTCAAGCGCGACGAGTTGACGCTCGAAGGTATCAAGCAGTTCTACATCGCCGTCGAGAAGGAGGAATGGAAGCTCGACACCTTGTCCGACTTGTACGAGACCGTGACCATCACCCAGGCCGTGATCTTCTGCAACACGCGCCGAAAGGTCGACTGGTTGACGGAGAAGCTCCAAGCGCGCGAGTTCACCGTCTCGGCCATGCACGGCGACATGGAGCAACAGCAACGCGAGGTCATCATGAAGGAGTTCCGCTCCGGCTCCTCGCGCGTGCTGATCACGACCGACCTCTTGGCGCGCGGCATCGACGTGCAGCAGGTCTCGCTCGTGATCAACTACGACCTGCCCACCTCGCGGGAGAACTACATCCACCGCATCGGCCGCGGCGGTCGGTTCGGTCGCAAGGGCGTGGCCATCAACTTTGTCGCGACCGAGGACGTACCCGCCCTGCGTGACATTGAGAGGTTCTACCAGACCCAGGTCGACGAAATGCCGATGCAGATCGTGAGTTGGGAGTTGGGGGGCTCGCGCGTGCGCGCGGCCGTCGTCCGTCGTCGTCGTGGTAGTCTTGTTTGTCCGATGTTTGGGGGGCGAAACTAACTCTCTGATGTTGTTCTGCTCCCTTACTTTGTACAGGCCGATCTCATCTAAACCAAAAAAAAACAAACGGAATTTCACCCCCAACCCCTCCGACCTTTGACAACAACAACAACAACAACAAAAAGAAGAAAAATTGGCCCATTCCCTTCCCAGTCTCCCCGTTTGTTTGTTTTTCTTTTTTCTTTCGGGAGTTGGGGGGACTTTTTTTTGGGGGTGTGTGTGCCAATTTGAAGAAAGAAACAACTCTTTTTGGGAGATTGATGATGATGTTGTTGAACGATGATCAGAGGGAGAGGGAGAGGGAGAGGGAGAGGGATGGCGAGTCTTGGGTTGAGGGAGGGTTTAGGGATGGAGCATGGAGGACTTGTGGTTTGTTGTTGGGTGTTGGTTGGTTGGTTGGTTGGTTGGATGGATGGAGACGGAGGAAAAGGGGGACGGAGGGATGGGATGGGATGAGAGGAGACGAGGCTTGGTCGTGAGGAATTGGGTCGAGGATGGAGCAGGGTCGAGAAAGAGAGAGGGAGAGGGAGAGAGAGAGAGAGCTCTGGGGCAGAAGATGGGGGCGTTGATTCGTTCTTTGACGAGCTACTTCTTCTTTCTTTTTTAAACCTTTTCTTTCACCCCCCCGTTTTCTTTCCTTTACCCTTCTCCTTGATTCTTTTTTTTTTGAGTCTAGCCTTTTCCTTGCTTTTTCCTCGTTTGATTTTCCCTGTTTGACTCCCCTTTTTGTTCCGTCTTTGAGTTCTTACCCTTTTTGTACGATTTTGGTTTGCCCCCCATTCCTTTTCTTGAGATGAGAGGAGAGAGAGAGAGAGAGAGAGAAAGATAAGGAGTGTTGATGCTGTTTTTCATGCCTGCTTCATCTGGAGAGCAAAATGTCAAAGTGGCTCCATTGCGCCGGAAAAGGGGGCTCCAAGTGCTCTCCGTTTGGTCCTGCCCCGGCCAGTTATGAGAGGTTGATGGAACAGAAAGAGGTCGTGTTACAATACAAGGAGGAAAGAAGAAGAAAAACAGTTGCGCTCGCTTTCTCCTCCAAACAGAGAGAGAGTGAGTACAAGACAGCGAAACCCGGTGTACAACGAAAAAAAAAGAAAAAAAAGAAAGAAGCGCTTGCTCGACCGCCTCTACTCTGTTACCATGCCCATACTGACGCCCTGACTCCTCTTCAAAGCGGTCGCACTCTTCTTCTTTGAAATCTTGATCTTTTCTTTGATCTGTTCCCCTTGGTCCAATTCCATCGACGACGACGAATGATCGACGCCGGTCAAATCGGCCAACTTGATCGCCTCCATCGTTGACGATTGCTTCCTCTCGTCCTGACGTTTGGCCTGACGCGCCAACTTGGTCTCCTTCCTCGCTTTGAGTAACGAATGCGAAGCGTCGAGCGCTTTGGCCGTTGATTCGGATACGGTTTGCAAACCGAGCAGGTGGGAAGAGCGTGTGACTTCGAGTGAATCGGATGCGAGCACGGCGGGTTGAGCAGCGAGCATCCTACGGAGGGAGGAGAAGGAACATATTGTGGTGAGCTCGATGACGTACCTCCAAGAGAGCTTCAGCTGAAGGAGTAGTAGTAGGGTTGGGAAACGTACCTGGCGCGGTAAAAGGCCTTCTCCCTTCTTTCCTTGACTTGCTGAATGCGCTTCATACCCGCGATCGTCGCCTTGACCAAATCGCGATCGTACTTGATCGGTACGTGACGACGTTTCTCGAATTCCAACGTAGAATCCTGTTCGAGCGAACGTAGAGAGGGGAACATGGTCAGAGTTTCCAGCACAGTTTCCCCTCTCCTCGAGCGAAATAGGGGGTTCAGCGTGGGGGGGGGATCGTCAACGCACTACGGTCATCTCCTTGCCAGCGGCCTTGCGGAACGCTTTCGTCCACTTGAGCTTTCGAGGGTTCCTCTTCATCCTGAGGGTGTTGGGGGAGGGTTGGGTCAGAGAGAGAGTGATGGTGATGGGTGTGTTGGTAAGAAAGACGAAGGAGGCGGGAAGGGGGTCTCTCGCGCGCGTTCAAAGCGTCGAAACATCGCAGCACACGTACTTGAAGTTCTTGTGGCACTTTGATCGACAAAACCGAAAGCACTTTGAGTCGTTCCTAACAAACATCGTACCTGTAGAGTGTAGAGAGAGGAGAGATTTGTGAGGCGCAGCATGGGCGGTGAGCGGGGTTAGTAGTCTAACTCTTGAGTTCGCGGGCGATGTGCTGAGCTGAGCCCGTCGGTTGCGAAGCGCCACACAGTCGTGTCCGCGAGTTTGCGCCGGCGTTGAGGAAGCGGAGCGTAGAGAGAGGGGAAGGGGGAAGGGGTGAAAGGACTGACCATGTCCTGGGTAGCACGGCGAAGAGCACACGTAGCAAGGTTCGACCTTCATCTTGGTTGCTCTCGAGTCCGAGTCGGGTTGGGTTGGGGTCGGTGGAGTGGAGGGTGCAGGAGGGTGTAGAGAGGCTGTCGAGTCGGCCCGATCACATGTTGCGCTCTTGTTGCGAAGGCGCGACCGTAATTGAGCATTAGACTCGCCGGGAATAGTTCTGAGCTAATCGAATCGTCGGCGCTCGCGCGTGTGGATGATCCGGCTCAAGCTCCACAGCGCTCAAGCTCAAGCTCCACCTGACGCAAGCCTAAGCTCGCACACTCGAGTCGACTCGGTCCGTCTCAGAGCCCAGACAGGGCCAAGCACACGCTCTCACCCCGCCGCCATGGTCTCCACCACGACCACCTCCTCACCCAGCCACGAGCACGGCCCGACTCTGTCGCTCGAGTCGTTGCGCCACCACCTCCCGCTGACCTCGCCGATCCCGACCTTTGCGACGCATCCGAGTCTGCTCGACTTGGCCAACGACGCGACCGAGCACGACCTCGGCCGCAACCCGTCCCTCTTGACCAAATGGACGCACTACATCCAGCTCACCACGGAGCAAGTCGGCGCGGCGTTGCTCTCGGCCCGCGGTACGCAGGACCACCCTATCGAGCTGGACGTGTTGGGGTACAAGCTCAGCAGTGCGCAGGGGAGACTCGGCTTGCAACGCTTGACGGACCTGTACGAACGAGCGTTGAAACACCATCCGACCTCGTACTCGCTGTGGAAGGCCTACCTCAAGCAGAGGTCCTCGTTCGTGCTCGGCCGAGCCACGCACCCGGTCAAGCTCGGCACGACCAAGAACGCGAGGCTCCAACCGGACGGACGCCGGGGCAGATCCGTCGTCGAGTACCTCCAAGCCGGCAAGGGAGCAGTCGAAGAGTTGGAGCAGGGTGAGAGGGATGTCGATGCGGGGTGGCAGGGTGCACTCGATGGCGTCGTCGGTTACGACGAGTGGATCAGCCTCGCCGCCGTGCACGAGAGGGCGCTCATGTGCTTGCCTACGGTCAGTCCGAGCGTGCATGATCGACATCATACCCAGCGCTCATCCTTTTTTTTTGGAAACACTTTTGACAGATGCCACGTCTCTGGCTCTCGTACCTCACCTTGTTCCTCCATCCGAAATGCCCGCCGACCTTGTCCCACACCCACGCGAGGAGGACCTTTGACCGCGCATTGAGGACGCTCCCTTCGACACTGCATGACCGCATCTGGAAGATCTACCTCGACTGGGCGCAGAGCGTCGTCGGGGGTGAAACCGCCGTCAGAGTATGGAGACGATACCTCAAGGTCAGTCCATCCGCACGCGCGCGGGGGGGGGGGGGGGGGGGGGGGGGGGATACCGATAAGCGCTTCTTTGGACGAGAACTGATGTCGAAAGAGTCTTTACGTCGCGCCTCCCCCCCCCCCCCTCCCCTTGCAGTGCGACCCGGCTCCAACGGCCTACTATGTCCAAATCCTGCTCAACCTCTCCCCACCACGCCCCTTGGAAGCTTCCAAACTGCTGCTGAACCTGTTCCAACGCGCGCAAAACAACGAGTACAAGGACCCCGACGGCAAATCCGCGTACCAGCTCTTGGGCGAGTGGCTCGACGTGTGCGAAAAGTACCCGGAAGAGGTTGGGATCGAACTGGAGGAGAGTCTCGAGAAGGAACAGGAGCGAATCAAGCAGGCTGCCGAGGACAAGGACAAGAAGGAAGGTGCGCAAGAGACGACCGTCGCGAGTGTACCCCCCAAGGCGCAGCGGAACGGGAGCGGACCGGGGCCTTCAGGTTTCTCGGACGCGCCTTTGGACCCGCTCTCTTCGGACCTGATCGACGTCGAGTACTACGTCCGCTGCGCCGGCCTCAACGTCTACCTCGACCAAGCTGGACGGCTGTGGACCGGCCTCGCGACGTATTGGATCAAGCGCGGCGAGTTCGACCACGCGCGCGCGATCTTCGAAGAAGGCATCTCGACCGTCGTCACCTTGCGCGACTTTACCCAACTCTTTGATGCGTACGCCGAGTTCTCCGAGAGCTACATCTCCGGATTGATGGAGTCGTTGGACGACGACGAGGACGAGAACGAGCTCGACTCGCGCATGGTCGAATTCGAGAAGCTGATGGACCGAAGACCGTTCCTCGTCAACGACGTACTCTTAAGGAGGAACCCTCATGATGTGCAAGAATGGGAGAAACGCGTCGCGTTGCATGGGGATGATGACGAGGCGATCGCGCAGACTTATAACCGCGCCATCAAGGCCATCGCACCGAGGAAGGCGACGACCCACTTCCACACGCTCTGGATCCACTTTGCCAAGTTTTACGAACAGGGAGGGAGTGCAGCGCACAGTGAGAAGGACCTGAACGGGGCGAGGAAAATTTTGGACAAGGCGACGCAGGTCCCGTTCAAGAAGGTTGACGAGTTGGCCGAGATTTGGTGCGAATGGGCCGAGATGGAGGTCCGGAACGAGTGGGTTGGTTGCGATCTCACGGAGGAAGCATGTCATTCGTTGCTGACTCTCCACGGTTTGGATTTTTTGAGGAACTACGATGAGGCGATCAAGGTCATGCAGAGGGCTACAACGATACCCAAAAAATGGAAAGAGATCTCCTTCCACGACGAGGTACGTCCAATTTCATGGCGCCCATCTTTCTACACATCGGATTTGCTAATCGTCATTTGCTTTTTGGACACCTCATCATCAACAGAAACTCTCCCCGCAAGCGCGGCTATTCAAGTCGATCAAGTTGTGGTCGTTCTACGTCGACCTCGAGGAATCGATCGGCTCGGTCGAGTCGACCAAGGCCGTGTACGACCAGATCTTTGAGCTTAAAATCGCCACTGCGCAGATCGTGATCAACTATGCCAACTTTCTGGAAGAGAACCAGTACTGGGAGGAGAGCTTCAAGGTGCGTGGAATGCAGAATCCACCGCCGAATAGGAGATGTGGGTTTACTTACCGTCCTTGGGATTGATATTTCGCGCTCACAACAACAGGTTTACGAACGCGGTGTGGATCTCTTCACTTATCCGATCGCGTTCGAGATTTGGAACGCCTATCTTTCCAAGTTCATCAAACGTTATGTGCGTGCGAAACCCAGGGGACCCTTGCTTTGCCTTGATCGCTCACACTCTTTTTTCCTCCTTTGCTGTTGTCATACTACAGGGCGGTGACAAGATTGAACGCGCACGGGACCTCTTCGAACAGGCATTACAAGACTGCCCCGCCAAATTCACCAAACCGTTGTTCTTGCTCTATGGGCAGCTGGAGGAAGAGCATGGGTTGGCGAAGCGGGCGATGGCCGTGTACGATCGTGCGACGAGGGCCGTCGAGTCCAAGGATCGTATGGAGGTGCGTTCCAACGACGGGCTGGCTTTGAGGCTTTGCCAAAACAAAAACAAAAAAATCGTGCGAAACAACTGAACCGCGCGTCGTCATCTTGTGTGTGTGTGTGCACCCAGATGTTCACTTATTACATCGCCAAAGCGACCGCCAACTTTGGTCTGCCCGCGACGCGGCCCATTTACGAGCGCGCGATCGAGCAACTGCCCGATCGTCAAACGGCGCACATGTGTCTGCGCTTCGCCGCGCTCGAACGCAAATTGGGCGAGATCGATCGCGCGAGGGCCATCTTTGCGCACGCGAGTCAGTTCTGCGACCCCAGGGTCGAACCCGAGTTTTGGAACGTCTGGAATACGTTCGAGATCGAGACAGGCTCCGAGGATACCTTTCGAGAAGTCAGTGATTGGGGGAGAAGTTTCCGAGCCCCCCCGTCCTCTCTCTGAGGTGCAAAGAAATGTGAGGACTGAATCTTACATGGGTTTTTTTTTCTTTCTTTGTTCACCAGTACTTGCGTATCAAACGTGCCGTACAAGCAGCTTTCAACACCGAAGCGTCTTACCTCGCTGCCAAGTTGCAACAAGTGCAACAAGGTGGCCAGAAGGCGCTCGAGGCCGTTCATGGTGGTGTCGAGGTCGATCCGATGGCCGCTTTGGATGCGGCAACGGGTCATGCCCCGACGACGACGCCTGCAACGACTTTGGCCGGTTTCGTCAAGGCTTCTTCGGGGTCGGGCTTGAAAGGGAATGCGGATGAGCTTTCCGGAACGGAGGCGCACCTGACGGGCAATCAGGATGAGATCGTCATGGATGATGACGAGGACGATGATGATAAGGAAGAGGGGGATGACGAATAGGGTGTAAAGCACCGTCCTGATTGTAGCTTTTGGTGGTGTTGGAATGAAAGAGAGAGAATGAACTTGGGCTTAAAAAGCTCAAGCCAAGCGATAGGCAAGGGCGCGAAATTGATGGGGAGCTTTGCTGTTTGCAGAGAACAAGTACTAACAACAGATGCCGCAACAAAGTCGAACAATTAACCAGACCAAGCCTATGCGAGAGTGCAGATTGTTACGGGGTGTGCGGAGCGAAACGGATATTGCGAAAGCGAAAAAACTGGAGATGCGGAAGAATGCGAAAGAACCCAAAACTTTGACATCAGGCAACAATCATCTTGAAGTCGCACCTCCGTGCAGAGGACCGCCGAGCCTCACACCCTGGACGGTTGGCTCAGCCTGAACGGGTCGTTGACTACCGCTCATATGGGCACCGACGATGGGGGGGCGAGGGAGGGAGAGCGGTCGGATCCCTGGAACGCCCCTCACTTTCGAACGGGAACCGATGGCATCCATGCTAGAGCGAGATCCGGTCGCTGGCGCGCTCGACGATGAGGTTGGGCGTGGGATCGGCGCGGACAGCGCGGGCACGTAAAGGAAGGGCGAGACATTCCTCTGCATCACCATGGGGATACGGACGAGATCCTTGGCGGGCTTGTAAGCACTGGCGTGCGCCGACGACAGCCGCGTTGACGCCAAGGTGGGGGTGTGGGACAAAGAAAGTTGTGGTAAGGGAGTCGGATATGCTGATGGCTGAGATACGTGCGTCGTGGGAGGGTGAGGGGAAACCGTCGCTCGAAGAGCGGGATGAAGAGGTGCAGAGCCAATAAGCTGCGGTGTATGGGTCTGCGACCGAGCGTTTGGCTGGTAGTCTGGCCATGGTTGTGGCCCAAGATGGGTGACGGGTGAGGTAGAACGAGATCTCGGCGGGATCGCAGGATGAGCGGCGTCATTGACAGAAGGTTGCGGGAGTGTGCGATTGGCTGGCCCAAGTGGTGGCACTGTTGGTTCGTTGGGCAAGACCTTTGCCGCCAGCTCGCTGGCTCGCTTCAAGCGAGGCAGTGCTGCTGGAGGAGCCAAAATGGTCGAGAACGCAGGAGGCTGAGAACTCGTTCCCAGATCAAATGGGTTCGGAACCGATGCGAAATGCGTAGGCTTTCGGTGAAGACGTGGCGGAATGAATAGCTGCGGTCGTGCGTTCGCTTGAGCTGCAACCGCTCGACACGACTTGACACGACCCTTGGCGTAATCCGAGCCGCTGTCCTCGGCAACTTCGCTATCCTCCATTTCGAACTCGGAATCGGTCTCGACAACGGCGCTGCCGCGTTTCTTCGACTTCTCCGCTTTTGCTGGTGGCCTGGTTTGGCTGGCTTCCCATGCTCTGATCATCTCGTGAGAGGGCGTAGGCCTAGCGACGGCGAAAAACCTTCCGTTCATTCCGGCATCGATCTCGAGTGCTCGAGTAATCCCTCGCCTGCCTTCATCGATACCATCCAGACGCCAGGGTGTCGTGTACCCTTTCCCTTCTTCAAGCTCCCGGCCCACGATCGAACCTCGATCGAGTTCGGCGAAATCCTCCTCGTTGTCACTGCCGTAGTCTATCTCGAAGGAAAGAAGCTGCCTGTCAAGTTCAGGATGCCCTCGTCTGGTATTGAGGACGAAGTCAAAGTGATGGTTGGTGTCATCCTGGTCGTCACTGTCCGTTCTGTCGTCGTCGTCGTCGTCGTCGTCGTCAGAGCTTGACGAGGTGGACGCCGCCGCCGATGCTGCAAGCGGGGTCACGGAAAACGGAGCGGGCACATCACACGGTCGAAGAGCCTGCTGTGCGACACGCTGTGTCCTCCTCAAGCCAAATAATTCGGCACTCATGAAGTCGACAGAAGCGAACATCGAAGGGGTCGGCAGCCGCTCCGGTGGAACCGACGATAGCGCCCTGGCCTTGCCCTTGCCTTTGTTGTTCGGATCATACGGTCGGACAGCGTATCCAAGCAAGTGGGCCGGCATTGTAAAGTACTCGAGCAGTGGATTGAATCGCGTGTCGGGCGGTGCGCGTGGCGCGACGTTGCGCAACTCGATGCCGGGAGGTCCACTAAGTGGTCGCAAAGTGGGTCGGCCATCAATGACGGGTGCGGCTTGTGTGACAGGCGCTACGGATGCGACGGGTGCGGCAACAGCGGTAGGTGTGGCGACAACGACGTGCGCAAAGGACCGGACAGGCTCAACAGATATAGCGGGAGCGGCCGGTGCAAGGGGCACGGCCGGTGCAACAGGAGCGATTGGTGCAGCTGGCGCAATGGACGCGAGGGGGGTCACGGGAGCAACGGGAGCAACGGGGGGGACGAGGGCGACGGGGCCAGCGGAGGCAACAGATATGATGGGCTCCAGAGGTGCAACAGGTGCCAGAGGTGGCACAGGCTCGGGAGCCAAAGCCATGTCCAATTTGCGGACAATAGGCTTCGTGTCGACGACCGTTGAGCCCATTCGATGATCCGTAGGCGTCGATACCGGTGCCATCGATGTGCTAGATAATGGCGTCCCCGAACTCGATGCGCTCGACGTCGACGCGCTCGACGTAGATCCACTTTGTTCCATCGCGACACCCAGGGTCGAGCTGGCGGCAACGCCATCGAGATTGGGCTGGACTACTGGTGAGGTCACCGGGGACCGAGGGACCCTCACTTGGGGTTGATAGTCTGCCTTGCGCTTCTTGCGAGGGAGTTGCATCACTGGGACAACAAGCTCGAAGGTTGAAGAGCGTATCGCAGACCGAGGAGGCCGGGCAGCGGTCGAGGGTTTGGGGACCACAGCTGGACGTGCCGCTGGTGCTGGCGCGGCAGATGCTGCCTCGCGTTTGGGAGCATATGTCTCAGGAGATTGGAAGGCGTGCTCGGCCTGGGGCTTGCGAGCAGATACGACACGGGAGTTGGGGGCGGATGCCAAACTCGAGGCCGGGGCCTGCGCAGGGGGTGGAGGTGCATGCAGCCTCGAAGCGGCACTCGCAGTTTGACTGATCCGCTTGTTCGCCTGAGAGGCTGAAGCGGTCGGGCCATCCCGGGCAGCTGTTGCAGAGCGATGAAACCAAAAGGTCAGCTCAGGGAAGCCATCTACAAATGCCGAATATGCCCACCTCGTTGCACTATCGGGCTACTACCCGTCGAAGTATCTCGGTCTCGGCTCAGTCCGGCTCCGGCTCTGGCAGATGGCGTCGACAACTTCTGGGGTTTGGCCAAGGTCCCCTCCGCTTCCAAAGCAGGCTTGACATGTTGCGCTCGCTCCACAAGTTGCGGACGCTGTGCAGTTGCCGTCTTGCGTCGTACCGCATTCTTACTGCGGCGTGCAGATGCGCAAGTCGTACGCGCTGCTTGTGCCTCTGGCATCATCTCGGACCCAGAGTTCCGGGGTAGCGTTTCGACCTTGTTGCGCTTGTAGGGGACTGCAGTTGGAGAACACTTTTGCGCTTTGATCGACTTGATGGGTCTCTCATCTTCGTTGGAAGAAGAAGAAGAGGAGGAGGAGGAGGAAGAAGAAGACGTGCTGTCGCTTTCCTCGTTCGAACTGTCAATGATGCGAGGGCGCTCCCTTGTCACCTTGAGCGGTGGGGGCGAAAGCGCGGCCGGCGCATCCGACGTCGAAGAGCTCGATGACGAAGTACTGGAGCTTGATCGGCCACTGCTGGACTCGGAGGAGGACAAACTTGCTTTCGCGATAGGCGGTGGTGCCTTCGACAAAGCGGACGAGGCCGAGTTCGAAAGCGATTCCGAGTCCTCCGAGGAGTCTTCCAACGGCGAGGCGCTCGATGAAGGTGAAGGGGCCCGCGGTCTCTTCGTCTGGATTTGCTCCTTCTTGGTGGTTAAAGGCGGTGCGATGACCCGAACTCGCGCTTTGGGCGACATCGAGGCTCTCGTGGAGGAGTGCGAGGACGACGACTCGGAATTCGACGATTCAGATCGAGCGATCAATCGTTTCTTCTTCGGAGGCTGCCGTGGTCGAGAAGACGAGGCGGATGAAGACGATCCCGAACCTGACTCCGTTTCCGAGTCCGATGTTGAGCCGGATGATGACTCCGAGGCAGATTCATCTGGAGAGGACGATTCCATGCTAGAGTCGTCGTCGCCTCGGACAGTGCTGACGATGGTCACCTCCTTTGTCTTGTTGGATCGAGCTTTGAGCATTCGTGGTGGAGGCTTAACCTTGGCTTTGGTCTTGATGTTGTTGCGTGCAAGGCGAAGTGGGGCTGAGCCTGCGCGGGAAGCAGTAGCGGCGGGACCGGGGAGCTGGCTACGTCGAGACTTGGCTCTGGCTTCATGGAGGAGCAGCTCATCCTCGGACGAGGATTCTTCGTCGGATGAAGATGACGACGATGAGGCTTCGGTGGGTGGAATCGCATCGTCTTGGAGCCGTAGCATCGAACTTGGCTGTGCTTTGACCGGTTGGGACTTCAAAGCTGGCTTGGACGTTGAAGCCGTTTTCGAGGTTGGCCTCGGCTTGCGCTGAGCTGTAGCCGGAGCTCGAGTCTGCGACCGAGAAGAGTGCGATTGGGACGGCTCTTGTCGCGCGTGTTTGGATGGCACGAGCTCGAGCGAGAAGGATGACGATGCATTTGACTTGGAGGTCGACGGTTTGGATACCTGGGGTGGGTCATGTGCGATGAAGAGGGCGGAAAGGAGCGAGGCAATCCGAGGCCACGAATGGATGTATCAATACACGCGAATGCGATGCAAGTCAGTTCAGGTCTGGCGGCGGGGCGCGGGGGGGCCTCTTGCTCCGAAGCAGGATGAAGGTGCTCTTCACAAGTAGGCGCTGAATGTCCCGACGTACCTTTGGGAACGGTCCGGACGGGATGCTGCGACTGGTGCTACCGCCGACGGACGACACGGCGTGATGATGACGCCCACTCGCGCTCGGTCCTGCCACCGGCGCCGCTGGTGCTGCTGAAGGCGCTGAAGGCGCTGACGGCGAGAGCATGCGACCCTTGCCCTGGGAAGATGACGACATGGAAGATCCATTTATGGGAGGTGGTCGAGGCATGACCCCCAACCCTGGCTGTGTGGGCGTTACCACAACGCGCAGGAGACCTTGCGACAGCCACGGGCAAATGTCACGAGGCAGGAGCAGCGAGAGCGAGCAGACTCGGAAGAGACAGCAACACAGCGCGCTGAGTACATACTTGAGGGTTTTTAAGGGTCGTCGAGTCCGATTTGCCCAGCTTTTCCGAGTTCCGCATTTGTAACTCGCTAATAATCTCACCTTGGAAACGAATGGTAAAAAACATTTTTGTGATCTGTATTGCATCCTGGCGCCCATCAAGACGTACACTGCGAGCGCATATATTCAGCATGGACCGCGAAGTCCACTTCCACTTCCCGGCAGTTTCAAGTCGGCCAACCACTCAGCCACTGAACCGCTGGAAACTTGCAAAGCTATTCGCCAGACGATATTTCTCCCAAACCAGAGTATACTTTGAGAGGATACGTGACTCGCGGTATTCTTAGGTGTCATCAACAAAGTTCTACGCGAGGAGCGAACGGGCCCGCCTTTTGTCCTCGATCCAGAGCGAGGAAGCAGCGGAGTACCAAAACTAGGAGCTAAACTTAGTGGGACCGGCGGGACTGAGTGCGAGCCAGATCCCGAAGGGGACGTTAGGACCATCCTAGACTTGTATGCGTTCTAGTACCGTATCACCTTTGTAATGCTCTACTAATCGGTACATTTGTGTCTATAAAGCGTGTGAGCGTGGGCACTGCACTGCATCTGAGACTCGGACTCTCGCATGGCCAACAGTACCCGCCAGTCGGATTCATTTTTCACATTCAGTAGCGTTGACAGCACAATCGCCTTCCTCGTGTCTGTCCTCCGGAAGGACTTAGAGCGTGTACCATGATCTGAGTCCGACTCGGACAGCTCTCCCGGGATGCGACCCTTGTACGTCATGTCAACGTCGGATGAGGCTCTTTTGCTCGTCGAAGCCTCCTGATGATCGCCTCCGTCCGGTCGACGTCACGTGCCGGGGCGGGTGGGGTTCTTGGCCATGACGAAATCGGCGCCTTTGGACGGCAGAATTAGCTCGACCTTTCGTGGAGCGCTAGACTTTGAACGAGTCACTCGTTGCATTTTGGCTTCCTTACAACCCGTGCGAGCGCCGACAACATCGATGGCTGCTTCGGTTCCCGATTTTCCACGACTACCGCCCCGCTATGCATACGATGCAGCGAGGATCGAACGGCTCTCGGCTCCGTTGAGGACCAGACGGGCAGCAAACGCCTTCGCAGCCGAGCAGCACGACTCGGCCGAGTACGGATCAAGTCGAGCAGATGAAGGACCCCAGGATGGGAACCTCTTGAAAGTAGCGGTAGCTATCGTGCTCTCGCTTCATGCTGGCGACGAGGGCTTCGTCTTTGCTGTGCAAGCTGGTGCTGCTGCCAGTCCAGGCGACTCGGGGACGTTCATGACAGCCTCGGTAATCCGCGGCAATGTGGATCGAAGGAATGGCAACATTGGCGATCTATTGCGACAGACACAACACTCGAATATTAATGAGAACTCCGGTCCCTCGAATGGTCCCCGCGTAATGCTCAAGGAAGGCGATGCGCAAGGGTCACGTGGTGCGCCATATCCGCTAATGCTGAGCATGAACACGGCCTCGCCAGACGTCGAGCTCGAGATCGCCTACGATACTTTGCTGGTCCCCGAGTTGGAAGCAAGATGGATCCTCGAGCATATTCTCGACCTTCACGACCAACTGCTCAAACTTGACGATGCGACCCTGGAGGTCACGCCCCTATCGAGTCTGAGAATGCTGTCTCCGTCGGATCGACAAGTGCTCGTCCAATATGCAACTTCAGCACCCACCCTCTCGTACGAACACTACCCCGAATCAATCACGACCCTTCATGGATTCTTCTTGCACACCGCCGATGCTCACCCCGATGCGCCAGCGCTGCAATTCGACGACCTCGTCCTCTCCTACTCGCAACTACTTCACCTCGCCGCATACCTCGCCGTCAAAGCGATCATCCCCAACCTCGGGTCCAAGTCCAACCCCGTGATTCCGATCTGCTTGGACAAGTCACCCGAAATGATCATCTCGATGCTCGCGGTCTTGCTCTCGGGAGCCGCCTACCTCAACCTCGAACCGGCTTGGCCGGACCAACGCAAGCAGACCATCCTGAACGAGCTGAAAGATGTCGGAGCGTTGGCAGACGTCTTCCTTGTCAAGGGCAACGACTATGGAAATTCCAGATGGTCCGGTTGGGATCAGGCGAAGGAGAAGACTGTCGTCGATCCTGCGGAAATCGTTCAAGAGCTTCTCGAAAATCTTGGAAAGTTGAAGGACAATTATCCGTTCGAAGAGACGAGTTGGCCCCCGGTCAAGGCAGAGGATTTGGCCTACGTCATTTACACGAGTGGCACGACTGGTGTGCCAAAGGGAATAGCCGTCGAGCATCGCAACGTCTCGGCTTTTCTGAGGTGAGCCGAGCAAGCCCCTGTCATGACGGACCTTCCAACAGCGAGTGGAGACTGACTCGGTTCCCTCGCGATACGCAGAAACTATCGAGGAGTCTTCGGTCGTGCAAAAGGCGAGCGAGTGCTGCAATTCCCGAGCTATTCGTTCGACGTCTCGGTCATGAACATCTGGGACACGTTTGCCGTAAGTAGTCACTGTCGCGAAACCACCTCAGCTGAGGCCAGGTCACCTTGGCTGATTGTGCATCAAATTCGATCCCCAAACAGCACGGCTCGACACTGTGCATGACCACCCCATCCACACTCATGTCCGATCTGGCCGGTACAATCCTACGACTGAACTGCACGCTCGTCGATCTGACGCCGACGATCTCCTCGCTTCTCTTCGAGCACCTCGAGTCCCAACCGCTGGACGGCGAATCCGTGCTTGAGGCTTGGCAAAGGGCTGGGTTCAAAATCAAGCAACTCAACACGGGCGGAGAGAAGGTCGAAGCTTGGATCAGGGATGCTTGGATGGATCGAGGTGTGAGGGTCGTGATTGATTACGGACCAACGTGAGTCGCTCGCGCCGGAGCTGTTCGGCCCAATCTAGCGACTGACCATTTTTTCACTCTCCAGTGAGACGACGGTGGGGGTCATCGCCAACCAATCTAAAGAACGATCGCCACCTTCAGTCCCTATCGGAAGGCCCGTCGGTGCCACGAGGATCCATGTGCTCTCACCGGACACACTCGAAACGCTCCCACTTGGCTGCATCGGCGAGATCTGCGTTGGAGGAGCTCAGCTCACGCGCGGATATATCCGCTCAAAGCTCAACGAAGGAGTTTTTGTCGATGTGGACGGGCTGGGGAGGATATACCGAACCGGGGATCTGGGCCGATTTTTGGGTGACGGTAAGGGGAGCATCGAATGTCTTGGCCGAAAGGATGGTCAAGTCAAGGTCAACGGGTTGCGCATCGAGACGGGCGAGATCGAGCAACACCTCACGTCTAAAGTACACCGTGGGATTCGGAGAGGGGTCGTAGACAAACTCGAGACTGATGATGTTGCCCCTTCGCTGGTCGCATTCTTGGATTTGTCAACCGACGAGTTTCCGACGGACGCGGATCGATCGAATGAGGCGCAGCTGGCTGTTCTCCCGTGCTCAACTTCGAGCGAATTTGCCAGGGTCGTTGAGGAAGCAAAGAGATATCTCGGAGGAGTCGTTCCGTCGTACATGGTGCCAAGGTATTGGCTACCTGTAAACCGAGTCCCCACGCAAGGAATGGGCAAGACCGATCGTAAGTCGCTTCGTCTCTTGGCGGAACGACACGATTGGAGGACGGCGCGCAAAGCGATAAATAGCGAGGGCTCGCGTAAGAGGACGGAGGACGAATGGCACCGAACGATGCGCCACACTTGGACAAAGGTGCTCCAAATGGACGAAGCCGACATCGGAGATGAGGACGCGTTCACAAAACTAGGCGGTGACTCGATCGGATTCCTCAGAGTGATCGGCAAGCTGCGACAACAGGGGTTCACCATCTCGTTCCGCGAGTTGGTGGACTGCGCCACTCTGACGCAATGCGCAAACGCACTCGAACGTGCTTCGACATTGAGCTCTGACGCTAGGACTGCTCCGCGGCAGTATACCGAGTTTTCACTCTTACCTGCGTCGGTGAAACGAGAGACTGTCCTTGACGAGATCAGGGCCGAGTTGGGAATCTTGCATGTAGACGTCGAAGATGTGCTTCCGACGGCGCCATCCCAAGATGCGCTCCTCGCAGCCTCGATCGACTCGACGCACTACTACGCCCAAGCAATTTATCCACTCGCTGACGACATCGAGATCGACACCATTTCCTTGGCACTGTGCAATCTGGTTCGTAGGAATGTGGTGCTCAGGACATGTTTCGGCGTACTCGAGACGACGGGGACGACGATGCAAATCGTTCTCGCGGCAGAAAGCAAGCAGGTCCGCCAGTGCGTCAAAGTGCGGACGATCGAAGCCGACGACAGCGAGATGGATGCTCAAATAGATGTGAGTGATTTTCTTGACGTTGGTCTGAAACCACTACGGCCTGCTAAAGACGGAGTTTCCGCTGTACAGGAGTGGCTTGCCACCGATCGGGCTGCGCACGTCTTTGAATGGGGCCGGTTACTGCTCAGCTTTGCGGTCTTTACAAGTCCGAGCTCGGGGAAGAAGAAGCTCGCTTGGAGTATGCACCATGCCATGAGGTAAGCCATGGTCACCTATCAAGATGTACTTTCATTATCGCTCAGCCTTTTTCCCTCTCCGTTCCCCCAGCGACGGCTGGACCCTCGAGCTCCTATCAACCGACCTGCGGTGCCTCGTCCACTCGCTCGAACTCGAATCTCGCCCGTCATTCTCTTCCATCGTCAATTGGTGGTCCTCGACCCCTGCAGACCTTACCTCGATCGAAAGTTTCTGGAAGACCTACATGGCCGGCGCCCAACCTCTCAACTGGCCTTCACAAGCCGCTTTGAAAGGCGAACAACTCTCTACGAGCTCGGCCGAGGTATTACATTGGTCCGGCGATCTGAAAGATTTGGCGAAACGAACGGGAATCACACCCGCTATCGCGTCGAGGGTCGCTATAGCTTTGACGTTGGGAAGGTTCGCAGCAAGCGACGAGGTCGTCCTTGGAATTGTGAGGTCGGGTAGGGACATTGAGGTTCTTCAGGCCGAGGTCATCGGACCTTGCGTCTCCGTTTTACCTTCAAGGACCAAACTGGATCCTCGGATGTCGTTATTACATCTCGCGGAGAGGGAGACTCAAGATGATCGAAAAGCGAGGGCGAATCAACAGATTCGATTGTCGGACTTGACCAAGGTCTGTGAACTATCCGCCCGTAAGGACCTTTTCGATATCCTCGTTACGTACCAATCCTTGGCCGAACGTGATGATGACGAACCGGAACATATCAAGAAATTGAGTTGGCCGATTCGACAACCGCCGGAGAAGATTCGTATGCCGACGGCCTATACGCTCTCGATGGAAGTTACGCCTCAATTAGGCGAGGCCCAGTCGTTCGAATTGGCGTGCTTTTACGATCCGAGGCTCATCGAGTCTGAGACAGTGAAAGGGGTCTTGAAGGCTGTCGCGAGGATTTTGGATTACTTTGTCGCGGCGCCGTGCACCAAGATTGGGGACGTCAAGTTGGACGGTGGGGAGGTGCTTACCAGCAAGCAGACGAGAGAGGTTGAGGAGGTACGGGGAGAGGAAGAGGAAGAAGAAGAAGAGGTCTTGGGCGATCTGTCAGAGACCAAGCAGAGGATAACTAAAGCTTGGTCGACGGTACTGAATATGAATCTTGACGAGATTGGGGACTCGGATTCGTTCGGGTCGCTGGGAGGTGATTCGGTGCGTGCGTCCTTGAAAGGAGTCGTGGGCTCGAACAAGTTCCGTCATTCCACTTGCTGATGTACGGTGTCATGCTTTCTGCAGATCGCGATGATGCGCCTCTCGGTCAGGCTGACCAAAGAAGATGTAGCGATCCCTGTTCAGGCGTTGACCAAGTTGGCAACGGTCAAGGCGCAAGCGAGGTGGTTTGTTAGGAACAAGCAGGAGAAGAAACAGGGGCGAGCGATGTGATATGCGGAAATAGAGACGTATGATTGCAGTGATGGAGAATACTGGAAAGTGAACGAAATTGCATGATACGACTTTACAACATGAATGGTATAGTACAGCACCCTTAACCGATCACTCTCTTGCTCTTTACGATTTTGCGCTCCTCGACCTCCGCAGCCGACAGCCGGGAACCCGGTTCAACGTACAAGACCTGAATCAGAAAGAACCAGAAACCTTCAGCCTCAACATCGCGCAGAGAGAACTTCTCGGAGAGAAACAGAGGACGAACCTGATACTGATCCTTGCGACTTAATGACTTGAAATCGACCCTGAACGTGCCCAACGACTTCAAGTTCAACCCCGCCGAGGGCAACGACATCATCGTGGAATTTGCCATCATCTTTGTGAAGAGTTTAGGCTCGTGAAACGGCCTGGCATCATCTGGGTCGGGTCTCAGACGCGCTTGAGGGGATTCGGCCCAGAACGCATTGACGGATGGGGTAGGCGGAGCGGAAGAGGACAGGGGTCGCTTTTTGGAGCTTGAGGGAGAAGTGGACAGAGTTGACATGGCGTTGTCCACTTTGGACGCGGATTTCTTGAGAGCATTTGGGACGCGTCTGAAAATTTAGAATGTGACCTTTCGGCTCAGACGAGGCTCGACTTGAACGAGAGATCACGGGAAAGAACGAACCTCGCCGGATCGAACATCAACAAATACCCCTCTCCTTGCTCGCCGTATTCGATTCCGACGACGGTCCTTGAATGACCCTGGTGTTGCAAGTACAAGGGCTGCTTGGCCGACATGATGGGTAAGATGCTGGTTGGGAAGCTCGAGGATGCTCGAAGCCGAATGTCACCGTTCGAATTGGAAACGGAAACGCAGCAAGCCTCGAGCGTGCCGGTGAAGTAAGCGACGATCCATCGGATCAAGGATGAATCTGCGCCTTTCTTCGCATGAGGAAGTTTCGGGAAGTCGACGATTTGACAGCTGTGATGGAGGACAAAGGTGGAGCGCCAGGATGAGCTGGAGCGGGTAATGGCGGGGCTGGGCAGGAGCTGATCGGTCGTACCGTATGGATAGAGCCGTGAGCGCCGTGTACATCTCGGTTGCTCCGGTCCACCTCTTGCTTCCTCGCAGCCTGCCGTTGAAATAAGCGGCGCCGTTCAAGTCATGGCCTAATTAATGATCATCGAGCGAAGCTTCAGCATTGACGAATCGAAGAATCGATCTGAAGTGCGGGCACGATTGGCCTGACTGACCTGCCTTCCAAGCATCCTCGATGACACCTTGTAGTTCCAAGATGGACGGAACCGGAGAAGGGCCGCTAGCTGAGGTGTTGTATTCGGGCAGATGGCGCAGGGACGAAAACAGCATCTGCGCATTGCGATATCTTCGAGGTTGCCGAGAGGTACGCCCGAATAGAGGGTGTGAGCAGTAGTTTCGGAGAACCAGAAAAAAAGTTTGCTTGGCTTACCCACAACTCCAAACCAGATCCGTTCCTCGGCCACGAATGTAGTGGGTGTGTTCGTTCGCGACAAGGGTGGTCCACACTGGCGACAGCTTCCGGGGGGCCATCTTGACAATCGAAGCAATCACGGCAACGAGGCCTGAGGAAGGCACCCAGTACGCTTGAGTATTCAAGCCCCAGAGAATACCGGTACAGTAAGAACCTCACTTACCTGGTATTCCTTCCGGTTCCGTGTCCGTACCGTCCAAGAGTCTCGGCTGCTTGAACGCTCCGAATCCTTTCCTACGCGCAGACGAAGACGTCTTTGCATTTGTGACCGCGAGACCATCTTCTTCGTCTTCTTCTCCCTCTTCGGTCTCGGAAGCCTCTGAGGAAAGTGCGCGATGCTCGAGGCATTCCCCGACATGGGCGTCGCGTGAGGCTTGGACGGGGGCGAGGTCGATCGAGCGCCACGGCTGGTCGCAGATGGGGCAAACGTCGTCGTCGTCATCTTTATCATCCTCGGCTTCACTATCCGAGACGATGAGCACCTCGACAGCGGCTCGAGGAGGTGGAACGTGATCGTCGTCGTCGATTTTCTTGTCTTGTTCGACGCCAAGGTCCGAGCCGGGCGTAGCTTCTTGGGAAGCGTCGAGGCCTGTCACGTGCGGGCCAGCACACGACGCGGTCAGCGAGTTGCCCGTTCGATGAACCGCGCCCAGCCGGCGGTTCAGCGCTCAGCGCTCAGCACAGCACTGACATTGGTTGAGATGATGCTCAAAGACATCAACGTCTCCAGTGATGACGGTGTGGCAGATGAAGCATTCTTGTAGCTGCTCCTTTGAGGAGGAGGCCGACATGGTCGATTGCGAACAAGTGCACGGAGGAAGTGAAGGAGCGGGCCCGGGGGACGATCAAGTCAAAGACAGCATGGATGCGACCTCGTACGACGTAGAGTTGGCCGGAACGGTCTTGGCGGACGGAGAGGAGATCGACCAGACAGCGCGTTAGTAGCGCTTTTGGCTTTGGGCTGAGAAAGGGGGCGTCGGCTCTGCCTTGAACTCGTCATCGTTTCCACTTCAGTTTCCTCGCGACTGGCTCGCGCGCTCTCGGCCTCGCGGTGGCCATTCGCAGCGCCGGCCGCGACCGTGTGGGGGGGTGTCCCTTTTGACATCACGTCCCGCCTCACCTCCCTTTGCCCTCCTCGGCTCTAGGCCGTACACACACTTTTGTCTCAGCTCAAGGCCAAACCATTGGCGATCGCACACTCGGCCCGCACACTCGGCCCCGGGGAAGCGAGGATGGCACCGGCGAGTGGCTCGGCCGCTGCTTCTCAGGAGGTGAGTCGGCAGCCTGTCACGTCCCCTTTCCCGATCAGCGTGATGAGTCATGGCTCCCTCGATCATGGGTCATCCCCCCCGCATAGAACCCACACCACTCCGTCCATACGCTCGAGGCTGATCATGTCGCATGTGCAGATCCTGAGAGCGACCATCAAGGACGTCAGATCGTTGGCGAGCATGCTCAGGGCCTTGAGCTTTCGTCCCGTAAGGAGCTCAGATCGTACATCTTGCATACCATGTCGAGCTCATCCCTCCTTCTTCACACGCCCCACTTGAACATTTACGCAGACGGCCGTGGTCGAGATTCGTCAAGCAGGGATCAAATTCACGGTTGAGTTAGGCAGATCCGTACAAGGTCAGTCGACTTGAAACTCAAATCTACACCTTCTCCACGACTGATCAACCGATCCGTAAGCCAACGCCTACCTCCAAGCCGAGGCTTTCGACTCGTACCAATTCTCCCTCATCCCTCCCGGCCCGTCCGCGACGTCGAACCGACGAGACGGGCACACGCCTTCCTCGGAAGATCCTTTCCAAGTCGAGCCGGCCGAGGGAGACATCAACGGAGATAATGCACCCTTTGTCGCTTTTGGTGTCTCCATATCGACCATATTGGAATGTCTCAACATCTTCGGCAACGCTGGATCCGGGTCGGCCTCAGGAGGCTCCACTGGATTTTCAGCGTCCTCGGGTAGGCAGTGGAGTGGTGGAGGTGCGGGTGGAGCAGGCGGTGGGCAAGGTGCGGCGGGGATGGTCCATGCTTCCGAGTTTGGGACGGAGAATCACGGTGGGGGGAGAAGGAGAGGCGGAGACGAAGATCGAGGGGAGAGGGAGGCGGGATCCGCAATTGGAGGACCGGGCTCGACGACGACGTTGGAGATGACGTATCGCGGTGAAGGTTATCCGCTCGTGCTGTTGTGAGCTTTTCTCCTGACGAAGCCTCATCTTATGGAGATTGAGCGTAGGGAGGAGCCGAGTGCACCGAGGGCAGAGTGCTAATGTCTGGCCTTGCTGTTGTACAGACTGGAAGAGGGTGGGATCGTGACCCGATGCGAGATCACGACTTACGAACCGGACGACTTGATGGAACTCTTCTTCGACGATCAAGACAGGGTGATGAAGTTTATAATGAAGGTGAGAGCGTCTTACTCGATTAAGAATCGCCATGGTCCTGGATCGAGTCACTCAAGGTACCTTTCAATCCCCTCGCCAGTCCGGATGGCTCGCCGACGCTTTCTCTGAACTCGACCCGTCCTCCGATCGGGTTTCGTTCTCCTTCTCCCCCTCGAACCAAGCCTCAACGCGATCGAATTACAACCGTTACGCGACCGAGGAGAGGCTCGTCGATTCGTCGCAGGAGATCGAGGCGCCGTTGTTCCGATTGGAGAGCGTCGGTGATTTGGGCAGCACCGAGATGGACTATCCGAACGACAAGGACGTGCTCGAGACATTCGAGTGTCAGGGCCCGATGAGGAATTCGTGAGTTGTGCTGTTGTGATATCTTACGAATACTCTTTTGGGAAGGATGGTGGTGTGCTGATGCTGCTTCGAGGTTGAACGTGTCGATAGGTACAAGTACTCGCAGATCCAGTTGATCCAAAAAGCGCTCAACGCGTCGATCAAGACCGTAAGCTCGGCCCACCCGTCGATCTCGTGCACTACTGATCCCTCTCGGATCTTTGTTTGATTCCAAAAGTCGCTTCGCACCGCTGCGGACGGCCTGATGAGCTTCCAATTCATGATTCCAATCGGGAAGCGCACGACCAAGGCCGACAGGGACAAGTTTGCTTTCGTTGAATTTCTAGTACGTCCTGCCCCAGGTCCCGCCTCTTGCTTGCGTTGCGCCCCGTCACTGTCCGGATCGTATCAAACATACAGGCTGACATTGTGCTTACTCATCTGCCGGCGATGTTGCTGCTTGCAGTGCGTGGCACAGGATGACGAGTATTGATACTTGACGCGGCGGGTGGTCGTCGGGGCTTGTTCGTGATGAATTCATGTTGTAACATCATACCCAGTCGTAGGATTTTATGTTGTATAATAGGCTATTTCTTGTGCAGACCAGTGTCGTGCAGGATTGGAGTCTCGGCAACTCGCCGATCTGACTCCGGATGATGATGCGTTGAAGCGGTCCGAGCTCACGCGCGCTCTTCGCAAGGGTCTGAAATCGGTCTTGCGAAGGCGCGATCCCGTCCCGGAGTTGGACTCGCTCGTGTACTGCATTACCTCGCACAGCATGGCATCGGACGCCCGCCCTTCCAAGCGGTCCCGACAGACCGTCGTCGTCGCTTCGACCTCGACCTCGACTTCGACCGCCCCACCACCCCAGGCCAAGGCTCCGGCTCCTGTCGGTCGCCTGTTCGCCCCCTTCCGCTCGTTGGGCCATGTCTCGACCTCGGTGCCGCTCGTCGTACTTTCGAGGAGCAGCAAGTACCTCGAAACACCGGCCTTGACGGTCCTCACCAGTTTGGGCAACTCGTGGGCCATGTGGGAAGGTCAAGGATTGAAAGTGTTGTTCGTTGGTGAGTGGACGGAGCTGTAGGAGAGGTGCGAGTAGGCCCCTCCTCTCGGTTCGGCCTCAGCTCGGCTTAGCTAGGAAGATCTCACGGTCTTATATAGACTGAGTGCGGAAACTGATTTTTCCAATCGTGTGAACCCGACAGGTCCCGATATGGGTTCGCCCATCACCAGTCTTGCGCTCAGTCTTGACAGCGTTTACGCCTCCACCTCCAAAGGTTGGGTCGGCCGCTTCGTCAGGGGGAAGCAGGTCGCGCACTTTGTCATGAATGGCCATGCTAGAGAACACAGACGGAAAATAAGAAGAGGGAAAGCAGCATCCTCCTCGTCGTCGTCGTCGTCAGGCACATCGAGCGAGGACGACGTTTCGGACACGAGCGATGATTCGGACTTGGATTCTGATTCAGATGGTGGCGACGACGAACCTGCGTCCAAGAACGACCCCTCCGTTGCCGAGGGAGAATCCCTGCATTCACTCTGCATCTTTGGAACGACCATGCTTGCGCTCACCGCATCGGGTACCAAGATGATCGTATGGGACCTCCCCGCCTTGACCAAAGAAGCTTCCCAAGACCCCCTGGCCCCACCTTCAGCGGACGACAAGGACGAGACAGCCAGCGTCATGAACGAGAGCGGCCACATCACACCGTATGCGACAATCGAGTTCCCAACCGGATTCACCGCGACCAAGGTTGTGCATCCTGCGAGCTACCTGAACAAGGTCGTAGTCGGCAGTCAGGAAGGCGAATTGGCCGTTTGGAACGTCCGGACTGCGTAAGGCCGAGCTTGCTCCTCTGCTAGTGTTAGTGTGGATGCGCAGCATTCAGCTGACCAGTCCAGTTCCAATCCCCTGCAGTAACCTCGTGCACACCTTTTCGGCAGCGGCACTCGCACCACTCAGCTCGCCCTCGCCCATCACCGCTCTCACCCAATCCCCTGCGATCGACGTACTCGGTGTCGGCTTGGCCAACGGCGCGTGCATCCTCTTTGACGTCAGGATTGGTCAGGTCTTGGGCAAAGTCAAGCTCGAAGGTGAAGGTGCCGGAGAAGTGGTTGGTGTTGCGTTCAGGAACGGTGCGTTCACTCGGCCTCGTTTGAAAAAAAAAATGAGGCATCGGCGAGGAAAATCGAATTAACGCCGCTACGTCGCTTGCGCTTCTCCTCAGATGACATTTCGCACACCCTCGCTGTCTCGTCCTCGACGGGTCATATCGCCTTGTTCGATCTCGCGGCCAAGATGCGTCTGTTGCACCTCGTTCGAGCGGCTCATGAAGGCGCAGTCGGGGGGCTGGTATGGGTTACCGGTCAGCCTTTGATGATGACGAGTGGGGGTGATAATTCGATCAAGGTGAGCGAACGAGTGGGGACGACTGATTTGGACGGCAAGGAGTGGGGGGGAAATTGACATCAGATCGCGCCTGTTCACGTTCTCTCTGTAGCAATGGCTCTTCGACTCACCGAGCGCACCCCCGAGGTTACTCAAGCAGCGATCGGGGCATCATGCACCACCTCATCTCGTGAGGTACTATGGCGAGGACGGCAAGGCCATCTTGACTGCCGGTGCGGATCATGCTTTGAGGTACACCAGCATCGTCAGGGATTCGAGGGGGTATGAATTGAGTCAAGGTGCGTTTATGGAGAGGAGGATTGCTCAAAGTCGGAGCTTTGGACTGACGACCTCTCCACTGCATCTCAGGTTCTATTGCGAGGAAGGCAACGCATTTGGGTGTCAAGCCCTCGTCACTCAAGTTGCCGCTCATCACTTCGTTGGCGTACTCAACCGCTAGGGCCAAGGAGTGGGACGACGTCGTCACTGTTTCGAGAGGGGAGGAGGTTGGGAGGAGTTGGAGCGTTTTGAACAAGCGGGTTGGAAAATGGACGTTGAGCGTGCAGGGGAGTGTCAAGGTGAGTATAAATTGCAGATCGTGCCTGTGGAGGTATGGTATTGATACTGATTCGTTTGACGCTATGTCTCCTCGCACCATTCTAGTGCTCGGCTGTCACTGCGTGCGGCAACTTTGGGCTCGTCGGATCGTCGATGGGTCAAGTGGTTCTGTACAATCTCCAATCCGGACTCAAGCGCAAAGTGTTCAAAGTGCCGCACAACGGATCCACCGACGTCCGCGGCCAACACGTCACCGGCGTCGCGACCGACGCGCTCAATCGCATCGTGGTCGCGTCGACGTTGAAAGGCGCACTGCACTTTTTCGACTTTCAGACGATGCGCTTCCTCAAGACGGTCGCGCTGGGCGTGTCCATCACGCGAATTGTCCTGCAGAGGGAGAATGGTCTGTTGGTCGCTGTGTGCGATGACTTGGTCTTGAGGATCGTAGACATCGAGACCAAGAGGGTTGTGAGGGAACTTGCGGGGCCGAGAGGGCAGATTTTGGATGTGGTGAGTTTTCTCTTCCCGTCCTCACACATCATCGGTCGACTAGCAATGGACGGAAAGTGTGGACTCGAGAACAACTGTGCTGATGTGCGATCTTGCTCTCGTACCCAACAGGCATGGTCCGCCGACTCGCGCTGGCTTATCGCGACTTCTCAAGACTCGATCATTCGAACATACGACATCCCCACGGGGAACCTCATCGACGCATTCCGCACCTCGACCGTCGCGACCTCGCTATCCTTCTCCCCGACCAACGACTTTCTCGCAACGACCCACGTCGGCAGCGTCGGTGTCTACCTGTGGGCCAATCGCGCGCAGCTTTCCGAAGTCGCGCTCGGGTTGTTCGATGAGGACAAGTTGGGCGTCGAAGAGGTTGGGTTGCCGAGCTTGCAAGGTGTTGCGGAGGATGAGAGTGAGCCAAACGATCGGGGAGCCTGAGAGTGCTCTATGTTTTGGAAAATAATATGAACTGATCGTCTTGCTGCCTCTTCCGTAGACTTGTCGGAATTGATGGCGCCGACAAATTGGAGCGATTTGCCGCCGTTCACGACGCCGGATCAGCTGAGCGGCGAACTGTTGACGCTCTCGCTCATGCCGAGATCGAGGTGGCAGACCTTGCTCAACCTCGACACAATCAAGGTCAGTTGTTGAAGATGAAACGGGCGAAAGAGGATGTGGGACCCAAACTCATTGCTTCTTCCTGCTTTCCCTTGCCAGCAACGCAACAAGCCAAAAGAGAAGCCGAAAGCGCCTGAACGAGCCCCTTTCTTCCTCCCCACACTCTCAGGCGTGAAAAATCGCTTCGACCTCGGAGCGGACGGGAAAGAGAATGCGAAGGACGACGATCAACTGCAGAAGAAAAAGACCAAGCTCGACTTTGTGTCGGCCATGAGCGTCGAGACCGAGTTCATGAGGAGACTTTCAGGCGATGATCCGACGGGGAACTGTGAGTTTGCATCTGTCTTTGCCTCACTTGCGTCGTATGCGGGGTAAAATCTGATCTCTTTTGCTACGCCGCGGTCGTATTCGATAGACGAATCTTTTTTCACCTACCTCAAGGCCCTGTCCCCTTCCTCGACCGATCTCGAGATTCGGTCGCTCACGCTCCTGCCACATCTCTCGCTATTCCTCTCGGCGCTGAACCGTCGCCTCGCGTCGCACCGCGATTTCGAAGCCGTACAAGCGTACCTCTCGCTCTTCCTCCGAATTCACGGCGACGTCGTCGTCCAGAACACAGAGCTGCTCGAACCGCTGCTGCGGATCGACGCGATGCTCAAGCAGGAAGCCGACAGGTTGGTCGAACGCACCGCGAGGGCCCTGGGCACGCTCGCATTCTTGAGGAGCGCACCGGTCGTCTAGGGTACCCTGTGACGCCTGTCTCTCTGTGGTTGTTTGTGATCCTTCCTTCTTGTGTAACGGATGTTGCGTCGATTCGTTGTGCATTGCATCGTGCTTTTACCAACAATAATCCTTCCGCCTTGTGTTGCGCCGTTCGTTCGTTCGTTCGTTCGTTCCGGACCAGCTTCCCTCAAGACTGCCACGCTACGATCTGTTGTATCCGCTGGCAAAAGAGTTCGGTATGACTCGGGTCCGATGGGAGTTGGCACAGGAAACCCTATGGAGAGGCAAGTGATGAGCGTCGTTGTGTAGAGAGAGAGGGGTTCTGGGAAGAGGTAGGAACGCACCTGCCTCTGCATCAACGCAAACACTTTGGTCACTTGTTCGTGCACCTGTGTGCGGAAGTCATTGCTGATCAGTCTCCATCCCCGAGTTCGGTTGATGGTCACTACTCGACCGTTTGCAGTGTCGGTGCGTCGTAAAAGTGGTACTCCGCCGCGGGGGGTGACGTCACGAGTGCCCGGCCAGCAACGACGCTTACTTGGACACACTGCGTCTGCCCATTGGGACCTAGTCGACACAGATCCGTCTATCCCACAGCACAGCAGAAGGAGAGGAGGTCAGTCACCACGCATCGGCGGGGCTCCGAGTTCGACGGCGGACGTCGGGCTGCGAAAACTAGACTGCGACTACCAACGACTGGCACTGACACTGACCAGAGCTTGGCCGGCCACGCGTTCGTTGAGCGTGTAGTTCGAATTCGGCGACTGCGATACGAACGAGGTGATGGGTGCCGCGGCTTCGGTCGAAAGAATGGTGGGGTCGACGGGCGGCATGATGGGATGAGATGCGTCGGTAGTTAAGTCGTCCGGGGTCTTGGTCGTGCGGTTGCGGGATCGGGGCAGCAGTCAATCGAAACCCCCCGCGCGCGGGAACTCTGCGAATCCATGAGCCGATTTCAATCCCAGTCCCCACACGGGGTCAACTCCGACTGAGTTATTATCCGAGTAGAGTAGCGCGATTTATGAATCATCAGGTGCACTCCTAAATTATAGTACCCACTACGAACGAGAGATCACCCGCTTCAAGAATCGCGCCACCCCGAGCAAGCTAATAGTACTACAACAGAGTCGCATGATTCGCGCTCGACTTTGATTCTTGCAACTCACTCGCTGGGCCTGTTCTGATCACAGATCATAAATCATTACAAATTGTGAACGGGACTTGAGGAACTTTAGGCCACCGGTAAGAAGCCACTGGGTACGCGTTGCACGTCCGACTCGGAGTCGTCGACCAAGTCAAGAGGAACACCACAGTCTCCACCGCAATGGCTTGGTTCGCAGTGGTGCTGAATGCGCACAGAGGAGACTCCGCAGTGCATCGGAAATCCAAGACGGTAGTAGGCAGCTGAGGTGTCACGCCCCGTTTAGGAGGTCAAGTCCTGCGCCTCAGCTTCCCTCCCTCCGAGAAGAGTTCGTCGACTTCTATTCGAGCTCGGCGTGAGTCCGCGGAGTCATTCCGAGTGAGCTTCGCCGTCGGCGATTAGAGAGATCCGGATTCACGCCTGACAATGTGATCGGCGAGACAAGGATCGGATCCGCGGCTCTTTGGCGCGCGTCTCGCAGTCCAAGCGTCAATGGCGGAGTCCGGACCGCTTCCACGTTGCGATCTGCAAAACCCGATCCACTCGGCACGACGGCGTAGGCAGCGGGGGGCCAGGGTGAGACTTACAGAGGGTTTATGCTTCGTGCCACATGGCAAGAGCTTCGCCCGCGGTCTAAGACTCGGGACTCGGGACTCGGGACTCGGGAACCTGACCCGTAATCCCGACGAAGTCGGGGTTGGAAAATTGATCCAACCTCGTCAAGTTGGCCTTCAATTCTCTCTTCTCCTTTCCGTTCTTCTTCCTCCCTCGTTAAACTTCCGGCAAAGAATGATTTTCGTCTCGGTCTCGGTACTTGGTTCTGTGTTGACTCTGTTGAGCCTCGCCCAGGTGGCGGCGACGCTCTCGGTCTCAAAGAACAACTTTGGTAACCCGAGCACGGAGCAACCGGAACCAGTCGCGGCGCCGAGGTACAACATCGCTTTCCGCGGCGTTACGGACAAGAATGGCTTCATCGTCCCTGAAAAGTTGATGGTCAGTCACCAGGTGTTTTCATGCCTCTAGGCCTCACCGTCCGCGACTTTTTTCGTGGGTCTTGCGTACTCGGAAACATCATCGTCGTGTCTAGCTATCTCGTCGGCGTTGATCGATCTCGCACGCACGCTCACGCACGCGTCTCGACGTGACTTGGCTGGCGGCGTCGGCTTAGCTTCGGGAAACTTCCGTGGTCTCGGCTTTGCTCTCCGCTGGTCTCAGTTCAGTGAACACACTTGAATGTCAGAACTGACCCGGCCGCGCACTCGCATCACCATCTCGACGATGATGATCAACAACAGGAGGATCTGGACCGGCTCAACAAGAGGTTCAACCGCACGATCGTCGACATTGAGGCACTCCACCCTCTCGCCGCTTCGACGGCAGCCCCTATACTTGATGGCCCGCACCGCTTCGTCAGACGTGCACCGGCCGTGACGACGACGTCGGCGACACCTCTGCCAACGTCCAAGGGCAAGAAGTGGTGAGTGGGATGCCGTGCATTTGGCTCAATTGGATGCGATAGTTCTTGCTGACAGAGTGAAGACTGACCACTTTCTTCACCTCCGCGCTTGCGTTGGGCTTTGGGCCGTAGCTCGCCCGGCTTCTTGAACAAGAACGCGTGCGTCAAAGTCTGCCCCGACAAGTTGCTCGCCGATACAAAAGCAGCAAACTGCGTCCCATGCCCTGCCCAGGCGACGTGCAAGCAAGGCCTCGTCACCACGTGCCAGTTCGTCGTCTACTTCGCGCTGCTCTCATCCCTCTCGTCAGCTACCCCGAGCATGACGTACTTACCCAGCATCGAATCTACTGCTGTATTGTGAAACCAACAGGAGTGGATGGTTGATCAACCCGACCAAGACCGCTTGCATCGCGTGCCCGACCCACGCAGTCTGTCGCAACGGCGTCGTCTCGGGCTGCGAGTGAGTTCCACTGTGGGGGTCTGGTACCTTTCATCCCCGACTCTCTCTCTCTCTGACACCTGTGCATATTTCCGTGCAGCACCGGCCTCCTGATCAATGCCCAACAAACGGCATGTGGCGCTTGCCCTCGCCGAACGATCTGCACAGGCGGCAAGGTCACGTCTTGCCAGTTGAGTTCATCTGTGCATGTGCTCCGTTGCCGCCTTGTGCCCACGAACTGACAGCCGCTGCATCTTCTTACATTCTTGATATCGTACAGAGCAGGACTCTTACTTAATGCTGCCAAAGCCTGTGTCGCCTGCCCCGCCAACGGTGTCTGCTCCAACGGTGCTCTCACGTCGTGCAGGTCAGTTTTTGCTCGTGTGTTCTGCCACGGTCCACGACCGTTTCAACTGACGGCACTCTGCAACCATCTCCTTCAACTCCCACCTCTGCTCAGCGCTGGCTTTGTCTTGAATGGTGCCAAGACGGGTTGCAACGCCGTCCCGCTCGTCACAACCAAATCTACGACTTCGTCAACCACATCGTCAGCCACTCGCACTTCGACCGCGTCGTCAGCCACCACCTCGGCCGCTGTACCCACGTCAAAGTCGATCACATCTTCGACAACCTCTGCCACAGTTCGGACTTCGTCGTCCTCAGCTACTAAGTTGACATCGAGTTCGACAACGTCGTCGACCACCTCACCCGCGGTGACGACTCCGTCTACGACCCCGAGCACCACTTCGGCCTCTTCAACGACCAAGAGCTCGTCTACCTCCTCGACTACTTCCTCAACGACCAGTTCATCGATCTCGGCCTCGATCACGACATCATCTCGTACGACGTCATCCAGCTCCACCGCGGCCACCACGTCCAGCAGCTCCAGTTCGACCCCATCGGCTTCTCCTAGCGCCGGCTCGTGCCCCAAGAACACCTGGTCGTACTACGTCGACTGGTACCTTAAAGGCGGCTCTTACCATGGTCCGGGCTACGTGAACGCCAAATGCGTCGAGATCGCCGAGGGAAGTCAAGGTTCCACTGATTCGGTCAACGCCGTCGCTTACACCGATGGCTACTGTGTTGTGCGGCAAGGCAGCACCCTCGGCCCGTCCGATTTGGGATCAGGTAACCCCGGCTGGGAGTCGTTTGTGGTAGGGTGCTGCCCGGACAACGGCCTAAAGGGAGCGCCCACGAAGGCGACCAAGATTTGCCGCAACATCCTTGTGACAAGCTCGTCCATCTCCGAGGCGGACGGGTCGACCTTCCTTGGGCGTGCCTACAAGGCGCCTAGCACTCCCCCCATCGCCGGCACTGCCTCCATTCCTCTTCAGTACCCGGATCACACCACGAGCTCGACCACTGGCGGTTTCATGTTCCTTTCAAAGGCGTCGGCCGGCACCCCACCCCAGGAGTTCACAATTCTGTGGGATACCGGATCGCCACTCTTCTGGGTCGACGGGACGACCTGCGTTGATGGCACGTGCAATGGTAAGCGGCACTACGACAACACGTCTTCGTCGACGTACGAGGACATCGGTGGAACTGCCAGTAGGATCACGTACGGCGATGGGACCTGGGCTTCGGTGACTCCTTTCCGCGACACGGTCACCGTCGGTGGCGTGAGTGCCACTGATTTCTACATGGCTCAAGCAGATGTGAGTTTCGAGTAGGGCCGATTGCCCTTTTTTGAAGTCGTAATTGCGCAAGTTCAGCTTTACTCATGCCCTGGCCTTTGGCGGTCACGTGCAGACCCAATCGCCGGGATGGACCCGAGGCGCAACCGACGGACTGTTTGGAATGTCTTTCAATGGTCCGAACTCGGGGCACCAGTATGAGGCAACGGTGATCCAACAGGTCCGTCTCGTGCGATGCCCAGTCCCGTCTCTTTGTTCTCCATAGCCAAGCTGATATTGTCACGCTTGCTTGCTGCGCTTGTTTTGGGACACCTCAAACAGCTCAAGGCTCAAGGTGTCGTCAACGCGGGACAGTTCTCGATGAAGTATGCGTACGATTCAAGCGCCGAGCTGCTCTTGGGTGGTCTCAATCCTGATCTCTTCGTGGCTGGTACGACCGAATGGACGAGCGTGGTATGTCTAGTCAATTATCAATCGAGGCCCGGTCTTGTATGCGCTCATATCCCCTTGGGCTCATGTTTCTCTTTCCTTGCGTCGTTCTTACTCCCACGAATCCGATAGACCAACAAGCGCAGCCTCTTCTGGGGAGTCCAAACGACGATGCAAGTCAATGGCGTCACCATCGGCGGCAACAACGCTGACGCCATCGTCGACAGTGGTACCGTTTATATGGTCATGGTTGACGCCGTGGCCACTGCGGCCTTCGCTTCGATCCCCGGCTGGGGTTACTACCAGAACAATGCGGCGTCCAAGATGTACACCTACCCTTGTGCAACCCCTCCCGTCTTCACTTTCTCGTTCCCCGGCGGATCGACGGCGTGGACCATCTCCGAGGACACCCTCAACTTGGGCCAAGTCGACGACACGAACTGCTTGGCCAGCGTGATGGGTGGCGCCGATGCGGCGGCCGGAGGTGCGGGCCACATCTTGGGTGACGCTTTTATGCAGAACGTTTACACGACCTTTGATTCCGACAATGCGCGTGTTGGCTTTTCCCAGTTGAGCTAGAAACAGGCTAGAGTGTGTCTAGAGTGGCCGGGGCGCGGTCCAATGTTCTTTCGTACTTTCTTTTGCTGCGCCGAGGGGCTTGGAGTCGTTTTGTCATTTGGGGCTTTATTCGGTGGGTAGCTCCCTAATAATTGTCTAAAGTTACGATATAAAATGTTAGGGTGGGTGTGAATACAGGGTAGATGTTTAGAGCGCGCTCTTGGTCGAGGGGGTGTCGTCGGAGCCATCGGTTTGAATCGCTTCTCGGATCGCCAAGGCCAAGGCTTTGAAGGCGGACTCGGCTCTGTGCTTTTGAAATTGAGGTGTTTGTCAGCATGCTGCCCATGTGTTTTACGCAGAGACAATGATCATGGAGGAGGTGGAGGCGAGCCAATGTCGAGAGAGACCAGCCTTCCACCTGTCCTGTCAAACTCAACTTGTGGTCATCGTTCTCGCCTCTGATAACATCCACGTGAAGAGTCACCCCTGCACCTTGGGCAAACGACTGAAAGACGCGTGGAATCATCTCGCACGACAGGTCCCCAATCTTTTCCCGCTTGAGTTGAAGGTCGCCGCAGAAGTAAACGCTAAGCTGCGACGAGATGATGTCGAGCAGGGCTCGAGGGAGGGCTTGTAAGGTATGCGCCTCTGATGTGCTTAAACTACAATCTGTCGTCTTGACCGCTAGACTAAAAGCAAGTCGTAACTAGAACTCGACAGTTCTAGCTACTCAGAGGCTACTTATGGGGCTGTTCTGTAAGGCATCCCCTTACAGGGCTTGTCGGTCGGCAAAGTTGGAGGTATATAGGTATCATAGGTGGGGTACAGCTCAATTCTGGGATACGTTTTGGATTAGAACCACAAATCCCCAGTGAAAATGAAAAAAAAAAAAAAAAAAAAAAAAAAAAAAAAAAAAAAAAAAAAGGCAGTGCAGGGGGAATTGCTCGTGCACTGAGAGTTGGCAGTACAGCGTGAAACTCCGTGCACCGAGTAACGCTGAGCTCAGAGCGCTGAACCGAGATCGGATCCGAAACGAGATTCCCATTCGGAAATCGAAAATAGGATAACCGCGCAAAGGCGGTCTTCGGGAAGCCCACTCTGGTCCCACGTCCAAGGGAACTCCGGTCCTACGTCTCGCGCAACTCTGTCACCACGTCCGAGGTCATTGTGATCCCACATCAAGAAACCCTTTGGTCCCACGTTGTCGGCCACATTGATCTCACGTTGTTGGTCACGTTGGTAACACGTTATTCAAACGGCTGTATCTCTTGCAACGGTCCATGTATCGCATCTGGCATTTTGTCTTTCATACATGCGCCAAGCGCAAATGACCGGTTTTTCTGGTTTTTTCTCGACGGCTAGGAGGCGACGTCCGCGCGGGACGAAAATCTCTGAGGGGTCTCGGGGTCTCGTCTTATAATAGATAACTAGGTTCGGCGGTGCGCTCCGCGCACCTCCTCACACCGTAAACGTTGACCCGCTGAAATGTGAAGTACTTTGCTGCAACAGCTGCGGTACTGTTCAGTAACGGATCCCTAGTGGTTCAAGTCGGGAGAGGATCACGGGACGACGATCAAATGTAAAGAGCCTTCATTTCAGGACGTTTCTGACACCGTCCACATAGTTGCTCAGGACAACGCCACATACAACTGGCCGTGAGAAAAGACGGGCGTCTCCAGACACACTCCTACCTGCGCAAGTGCCAACTGCTCTTGCAACTTGCTGAACGTCATAGCCATTGCCAGCCGAATTCGAAACTGCGTCCGATGCAGAGTGAACGGAAGTTCAGCTGATGACCCTGTCTTCAGCGTGATCCGTGGCAACAAAACTGGCTGTCCAGCATGCTCTCCTGTGAGAATGATGGCCTCGAGCAGGTGGGTGTGTAACCGAGTTGACACCAGTCTTGTGCCGTTGCACAGCCCCGCGGCGGGGTCCAAGTTTCCACTTTGAATCTTGCAGCGTGGAATAGCAAGCGTCGACGATTCGGGTTGGCGATGACTTGGGAATAACGGGAAGGCATTGCTTCGGATCCCCTGTGAGGTTACAGTCCAATCGATCAGTTAGTCACACCGCCCTGCGCTTTGCTTTTGAAAGATTGGCACACACCTGCCAACACGACGGTCACTCCACCGAGCCGAGCCATGACCGAACCGAGCCATGGAATAACGGGAAGGCATTGCTTCGGATTTCCTGTGATGTTACAGTCCAACCGGTCAGTTAGTCATGCTGCCCTGCGTTTTGCTTTTGAAAGATTGGCACACACCTGCCAAGAACCGAACCGAGCCGTTGAGGATCTGCCACGGGATGGTGAGCCGCAATTCACCCGACCAGAGGCTGTTTTCTGGCGTGATTCGTTAGAACTATCAGCATTATTGCTGTTGTCCATCTGTAGCAATGGCAGTGAAGACTCACAGGTTTGCAGATGACATGTCGGCAGTCGCAGGAGCTGGATGATTGAAGGAACTACGCTACGATGTCACGCAAAACAGGTCGTCTCAATCTGCTTCGGAATCGGGAAGCAGAGGGTCATGTGCCAGGCTGCTTCGACTCCTCCATAGTGCGCGCTGTTTGTGGCGTTTGTTTTAGGATGGAAGAGTCGAGTTGCAGTGATAAGAGAAAAACCCGCACTCCGTAACAAACGGAGGGTTTTCTAAACAGGAGTTATGAACAAGTAGGGTGGGAGGGAGGAGCTCAAAAAAATGGTCGATCGGCTTTGCTCAAAGAGCGCAGGTCCGATTAGTAACTAAAACACTGCAACTGACTTGGGGGATAGGGCATACCTTTGCTCGAAAAGCGCAGGGCGATGGCAGGGGAGGAAGGCGACGCGGTAGGTAGACGCGGCCAAACGAGGTCTGTATACAAGGTAGCCCCATGAGTCAACTTGCCCAACAAGGACAAGGAATTTGGCAACATGCCCAACAAGGACAGTCGTGATCCGGAATGCGAACCTTAGCTAGAAACAGCGAGCCGCGATAGTGCGAGTCTCGAAAAGTTCGCCCTTGCTCTAAGCAGTGGGTGCGATACGACCTTGCAAAGCAGCGGGTACGGCGGCTGCTTACAATGTAGTGGCAGGCTAGCTCATCAGTCCAACTGTCCAACAAGGGCAGAGGGCTTACGAGGGATGTTACCCACTTTGAGTGAGTAGAGACTGGCAGGGGGGGTGCCGGAACCACAACACGAAACGCTGAGGCGTGCGGGACGACGAGGGAGAGGGAGAGGAAGGGCCCGCGCGCGCCAGCGGGTGAGCAAGGCGGGAGGCCCAAGGGGGCCGAGAAGAGTGCGTGCTGGCACAGGGTCCAAAGAATGCGTGTTCGAAGAGTGGAGCGCGAGCGGGCCCCGTTAGGCCGAGACCAGCGCGCTTGAGCTGTCCGCGTCAAAATCTTGCAGCAAAGGCCGAAAAGACTATTGATTGAAAATGGAACCTCGGCGAACGTGGGCGAAACGGCCTGTGGCCGGCCGACCCTTCCTGAAACAGCGCTAGCTGGCTCGGGGGACACGCTGGACCGAGAGCTGTTGCAGTAGCGAAACTGTTATGACGTCACGCCACATGGTTTGTCTTTTGGTTTGTCTCCCGTTCTTTGACGTTCTTTGTCTCGACGACGTCTTTTATTATGTAGTTTTAAGGATAAGGATAGTTTTAAGGATCAGGACGCCCGGCGAGGCCCGAGCTCCGAAGAAGCCAGCGACTCGTCAACGCCAGAGACGGCGCGCCAGGCCCGTCGGTTGGCACGTCTGTATGGGCCGCCTTTTGTCGTTTTATTCGATTTGAACACACGCGCGCGAGATTTGCTGATCATGACACGCGCGCGGCTGCTTGATGATGTGCACGCCGATTTGACGACACGCACGCGCGAACTTGAACACGCACGCCCGTGCTTCGCCTTCACCGTCCTCATTCTCATCCGACAACGCTGTATGAGACTATCCGACTTCGGGCTCATCAACCATAGTGGCACAAGAACGATCGCCACAACAAGTATGCCGGCTGCGACGCCATTATCAGGTGTGCTGGTGCTCAGTGAGCTCGTACGACGCAGTTGCTGCCGACGCGACCATCTCGGATTTCCACTCGTTCAAGCTGCAACAATCCGTGTGAGTGGCAGCTCACAACTACAGCCCCGCTCGTTCAATCATCACCGGTCATTCATTGTGCTATGTCTCAAGCATTATATTCATCCGTGTGATTCTTCCCCCGAAACACAATGACGCTGCGATGCATCTCGAGCGACGAGTACTGCTGAGATTGCGCGCTCTAGGGTCTTTAACGCCTAGACTTGCTACTAGACATGCTACTGTTTTGGTTCGTACATGCGGCATTACATTTGCTGCACCTGTTGCCAGCTTAGGAAGTCACGGTCCACCCGCGCATCCGCGCACCCGCATACACCCCCCGGTGCACACGCCCTCCCACGCCGGCGTATTTCGTTTAGGAGAGCCGCTCGGGCTACCACTGTGGTACTGTTTGAAGCACGTTATTTCATTACACCTGGGAGGATTCACTGATTGGGAATTACACGGAGAGCACGGGAGCAGTTTCCATATGGAAGGCTTTCTTTGTGGCTGCACAAGATAGACTACTAGAAAATTTCTAAAGTTAGTAGACAGTCTACGCCACTTAGTCCCGCTGAGCTTGATCTCGTGCGGCAGTCATCAACTTCGTGCGTCAATCATCAACTTGGTGCGACATATGAGACGCACGGCGTGCCTCAAATGGGGTCTCGCGCGAGTGTGATGTGGTTGCGTGGGGTGTGAACCCGGGGCTCAGGAGCGTCAGAGCGCGGGGAGAGGGTGGTGAACTCGGGTCTGGTGCGAGTCATCACAAGTGAGTGCGGGGTTATAAATCCGGGGAAAATATCCCGAAATTCATTTTCGTTTCTGGCGCGTGCGTTGAAATGTTGGAGGAGAGTTCAAGTCGCTTTCGCGTGTGTTCAGATGTGGTCTGGCGTGCGTCATCATAAGTTTGGGGAGCGTGAGAACCTCGCTCGAGTGCGCCTGAAGTGGGAAAGAGTGTTGTCAAAATGGGTCGGAAACAAGTGAAAAGTGCGAAGGAGTGTATAAATGCTACTTCGTGGGTCAAAGATAGCGCTGACGCATGTGTTCGATGCGTCGAGGTATGTCACAGAGTAAGCTCAACTAAGCCCTCCCTCTGGGAGGGGCTTACGAGTTATCGGCGCGCTTGGCCCAATTGCCCTCCGAAATTTCAGGGCCATTTTGGGGTGGTTCTCTGTAACTTGGCAAGTAGGCGCATCCATGCAAAAGTGAGGGATACTATTTTTCTTTATGCTCTAAAAATGACATACCCCAAGTGGCGAGAGCTTTCATAAGCTGTGGGTGGAGCTACAGCGCTCCGAAGTCTGCGTTTTCGGTCGATCGGGCCTCAGATGGTCCGAGCGCATCGTGTAAGTGGCGCTCTCATCGGCGAGCCTGCTAATTCGGCTTGATCCCTTTCAGTCCGCTTCGCTATTCTCCTCTTTTCACGATCACCGTCGTCCACGTCAAGCGCGACAATATCTAAAACCAAAAATGACCCGAACAAGCACACGCCGTACCTCATCAACTCGCCAGAACAACCGCCGCGAGGCGGATCTATTCGCTGAATTTCGTAGGCGCGATCTCTCGCTACGTCAATACCTGTCGTGGTACTTCAGCTCATCCACACGATTTGAAGGCGTTCAAACACATCGACCAAAGCTGTTCAACAGCAACTGGTCCAGCCTTAAAAGTGTACTTGATCTCATTCTACGACTTGCACGCGAGGATGGCGCAGAGTCAAGAAGCCGAATCAATGGCTGGATCGCCGAGCAGGTGGGCAACACTTTCGTACTTCTCGGATTGATTCTCCGGATCCAATAAAACTACTGAATACTTGCCTTAACCGCGTGCAGGCCGACTCAATCATCGTTAAAGAGATGAAGCGAACCAAGTGCGCCTTCGTCGCTAGCCATGACTTGACTCCCGAAGTCCTCGCATCCGACTACATCGACGCCCGGCTCGATGCAATCGCCGAAGACAACCCTTTATTCAGCGGACGGGTTCGTACCTTGCTATCACAATGCGGAGACCCTCCACCGGCCGAGCCAATCAATCGCGACAAGGACCCAACAGCTTCCACTGATGTCGAGATGGAAGAAGCCACCCCGGAGAATGGTTCCGATCCGGGGCAAGAACAAGAGCCTGGTCACGAACGAAAGCGTATCGAGTTTGTGAGTGTTTCTGACCATAGCTCGGCTGGGTTTCGCAGCGAACTGACACCAAAAACTTCAACACGCTGGCCGCAGCTTTACCGCAGTGTCATGGGTCAGATCGCATTCGCTTGCAACCGAAGGAACAACGCCATGCAGCATCGCAACGGTCTCATGACTCTCGCATGTGGAGCGAACGACCGATTGACAATGTTTCTGTACGATTGCGGCTTGACGACATCTCGCTGGGCGACTCTCCAGGCAGCTGCGAGCTTGACGAAGGCGAATTCGACGAAACTGAAGGAGATTGGCTCGAACAAGTACTTCCACGTGACCGTTGACAACATCGACGTCACACATCATGTCAACGATTGGCAATTGGATCGACGTACCGAGCTGCTTCATGGAACTTTTGGTTACGCCCACATTCAGAACGGAGATATTGCCGGCGCTTACAACCTTCGAGCCTACTCTGCACATCAAGCGTCTTTACCGCGAGTCAATCTCCAGCATCTCCTCCCAACTCCCCAATCCGACTCGTCATCTACAACCGGGATTAAAGCTCAGATATATCGAGCGCTTGCTCGACTGGTCCCTCATCTTGGCCTCAGTCTTCTTGATGCACACCACCCCCCTGTCCTCGTCATAGACGGACAACTTGACGCGCTCTCGAAAGGACTCGTTAGAGATCAACTTTGCCCAATCTGCATTGTATGCATTTCAGGAGACTTAACACGCAACAGGAAGAAAAATCAACACATGTGTACTTCACTCAAACAGGAGGTCAACCGGCACATACGATCAGAATGAAGGAGATCTTGTGATTGGGGTCGTCCAACTGCCTGTACAGCTCGCCGTCTCTCCAGGTCTCCTCCGATACGACAATCGCGTTCTTTCCCTTTCAATTGAGATTGGCAGCCTGAAAGAAGCATGTGACTGCGGAAATCAGCACGAATGTCGGTCCAGCAAGCCCAGTCGGCAGAAAAACTCACCTGATGATTGCTCAGTGCATTCAGTGGAATGACAACAATGGTGACGGCCCGGCGTCCGTGAATGAGATACATTGCTTCGAAGATAACACTTTTGCCTGAACCGTTGGCGCTGTGACGAACACAGCGTCATATCGATCCCGGTTCGCAAATTGATCGAGTTCAAAAAGTGCAGCAATGGCCTCGATCTGCACAGGCCGGGGGGTAGAGTCCTCGCCAAGACTTTCGCCCAGAATAACTTTGATCTTCTGGCGTAATTCGCTGGAATCTCGTCGGTCCTCGTGAGTCAAACGTGGCCTCCAGTGACCGAGAACGGTTGTCGGTTTGGTTGAATGATTCGGTGCTGGTGTCGTAGGACTGGCCCTTGAAGCTGATCGCAAGGGAGACGCCCTGAACTCAATTGATGGATGTCGACGGGGCGGTCCCCTAACCGGCCTGGGTGTTTGTACCGACATGGCTCATCATGAGGGGAGGTGCGATGTTGAGTGGAGGAGAGAGAGGATGCGTGAGGCCCCGGGGTGAGGCGCGGCCGGGCTTAAGTGACCTGGATCTATGCAGCCTTCGACGCGGACTGGACTACGACTGGTCCGTGCGCCGACCTGCGTCTCGTTCGGAATCAGTTGATTCAAGCTGCTGTAGCGAGATGATCAAGCGTTCCTAGACTTCAAGCTTCGGTGAAACCTCATCAATAATGATGAAGTAAAGACGTATCCCTCCAGTTTTCAGATAGCACCAATATATGCCGTGCTACAGCAAGGGGGCACTTTTCAGGGCCAAAAATTCAGAGGGCAACTCAGCCAAAAGCGCCGATAACTCACAAGCCCCTCCCAAAGGGAGGGGCGTCGAGCTTAGTCACAGAGGGTCTGGCGAGTGTCAGTTATGTCTGGTGTGTGCTGTGAAGTGGTCTCGCGCGCATTGTCATTGCCCCGCGCGTGTTCACTCGGAATAAAACGACAAAAGGCGGCCCATACGTCTGCTCTTGCGCCCCCCGCCCAAGCCGCCACGACCCAACTGCCCAGCTCGTCGCGCGGGCCAATCAACCGCAACAGCACTCGACCGGGACGGGCCGGTCGTGCATGTGAGGCCGTAGGCCTACCAGGCATGTCGGACCTCAGCGTTGCTACGACACAATCGAGCCCGATGAAGTCGAGCCCCTCAGTGTCGATGACGGCCACGGCGGAAGCGAGGGAGCAACAGCTCTTCGCCCATATGGGCAAACCTCGACAGTCAAAGGCGATGGACACATATTTTTTTGACACGCCTTCCACCTACGAAGCCAAGATCCCCAAACCGACGAAGAAACTGGGGACGGAGGCTGCGATGACAGAGATCGCTAAAGCGATCAAGGATGTGGTGAGTGCCCGCCCCGGTGCTATCGCTTGGCTTCGACCGCACGAGTATGACTGACCACTGTCTCCCGATCATTGATGCACCTGGGTGTAGACTGGTGATCGACGTCTGGTCGGATGCGGCAACTCGGGTAGCCCCATCAAGCTGGCGCCCGATCGCGGGGAGCAGGAGAATACGCCCGACGCCGTCATCCTCACGCATGCGGCGGTGGCCGCTGCCCCCGATCTTCCGTTCGTTTGGGCGCAGTCAGAGCACCCAACGTCGATGGAAGGCACGCCCCGGTCGCCTCAACGCGCATACTCGCAGATTGCAGTGGCGATTGAGGTGAAGAAGAGCGACAAGAGGAGCGCAGAAGCGCGTAACCAAGTGATCAGGCGGCTACACATGATCTGCACGACCGCGCTCCGCGCCCACGCGATCGGGGTCACCCTTTGCGGGGACGTGCTTCAAGTCTACCTCGTCAACGCGTGTGGGGTGTTCACGACGAGCGCCCGCGAGTGCGGTCAGGGAGCCGTGCTGCTCCGGCGCGTGCTGTCACACCTCATCGAACTCGACGACAACGAGCTCGGGATGCTGGCCTCGACGAACGAGGTCGACGACGGTTTCGGCAGTTTTGTCGTCTCGGACAAGTTTCTCCCACCCCGCGCCCACGACTTCGAGTCCGAGCTCGGCGATATCTCAGATCTCGAGATCCAGGAGCTCCTCTTCCGACGCCGAAGCTGCCTGGGTCGCGCCACCTCCGCTTTCCGCGTCACCGCGCGACACGCGCCTGTCGACCGCACGTCGATCACCTTGCCTACACCTGCCACCGAGTACGCCATGACAGTCGCATGGGTTGAGCAATCCCGCCTCGACGATGCGATTGCCCTACGTCGCAACATGCACGCTGCGTCGCGTATCGACACCGAGGGTTTAAGCCTTAGCGCCGGCATCTACCGTGACGACTTCCGCACGCTTCCGACCTTCTTCGGCGACGATGAAAGTTTCGATGGTATCGGGCCCCGGGCACTGGAGGTGGTCTTCCACCGACAGTGTTATCGGCCCCTGAACACGGCGACCACGACCAGGGAACTCGCCCAGGCCGTACTTGGAGTCGTCAAAGGTGAGCACAGGGATCAACTGGGCGGCGTTGCGTTTGCGCTCCCTAGCCGACACGCCCCTTCCCACGACATTGCAGGACACCGAAACCTCTACAGGCTGGGGTACATCCACCGGGATATCTCGTACGGTAACGCCGTCATCGACCGCGACGGTGTCGGCGCCCTCATCGACTATCACCTCGCCGTCCCGCATGATCGACTTTGCACCGAGCTGCACCACAGAATACGATCCGTGCGTTCTCCCCTCTGTATGTTTCTCCGAATGAAGTTTCCGACAAGCACTAAACTTTGGACTATACGACGTCTGACAGGGCACCTGGCCCTACCTCGCCTGCTCGATCCTCGCCCAACCGAATGAGCGGCTCGGTGTTGTCCACGAACGATGGCACGACATCGAGTCGCTTTTTTACGTCGTGATGGAAGTTTCGTTCCGCGAGCCGTACCAGGGCAACAATGAAGAGCTTGTCATGACGCCAAAGGGTGAAACCATCTGGCGGCGCTGGAACAGCCCAGAGGCGGACCTAGTCTATGGTATCAAAGATAGGCTTCGCAAGGACGAACCTTACGAATCTGTACTCGAAGGCTGCGCACATCGATGGACGAACATCAAGCAACTGGTCGATATCTTGCGACACCATTGTGGTCTTGATAACCAGTTCTATAATTTGAAGTTGGCTGCGGAAGAGGCCAAGCTGGGGGAGTTGTGGGGTCCGTCCGGGACGATGTCCCACGAAGCTATCATCTCGGAGATTGAGCGACTAATTCCCTTGCTCTGACTGCACCACCGTATGCGATGGGCTTGTTGATTGTTGTTCGTTGCTAGTTCTGAGCATTGCAATAGATAGCCCAAGTCATTCTCCACCCATTCCAGTACAATTGCAGGATAAACGAATGACTGCGCCAGCTGTGCTCTCATTTGGTCCGACTGCCCAGACGGGAATAGACCTTCTGACAGCGCAGGTTTCGACAAAGCTGTTCGTGGCTAAGTCGTAAGTTGGGATGGCCTATATATATGGGCAATTCCCACATACCACATACCACAGACTCCCGAGAGACCTTTGCAAAGAAGCTCGCACGAGCACCCTGTGCCATTTGACAAGCCCGCGCCTAGCCTGCAAAGAAGCTCGTGCGAGCTTCTTGTGCTATTCGATATCCGCGCGCCCAGCGTGTCAGATACCACAGACTCCTGCGCCTGCCTTGCAAAGAAGCTCGCGCGAGCACCTTGTGCTATTCGACACGCCCGCGCCCGGCCTGTCAGATACGACAGACTCCCTACCACAGACTCCCGCGCCTCGCTTGCAAAGAAATACCACATGCCACAGACTCCTGCGAGGCGCTTGAAAAGAAGCTCGCGCGAGCATCCTGTGGTATTGGAGAGAGGGGTGGGGGCAGCGGCACTCTCCCTCCGCCTTCGGCCACCGGCGCTCGCGATCTCCGAAAGGGTTCCCCATTTCGGGCTTCGGGTATCGCTGGAGCTGAGGCACCGCAGACTTGAGGACTTGTAGACGTAGATAAGTTTATTGTAAATCTGTCCCGATCCCAACTGGTGTGTACATGCTTAATCTGTGCTAATATGGCATTGTGCTTTGAGTATACTCAATTACACTAGTTGTTGTGGCCTTGACGACTTTGGCGCGCGCGGTCCACTGCCCGTAGTCCTTGGGCCAGAACAAATGTTCGAACATGTCCGTCCACTTGATTTTAGGTACACATCTAGATCCGAACAATTATATGAGTAGAATCACTTTGAATCTGCAAGGAGAACATGATAGCATGTGTATTTTAGTACTTATGATGATTCGAAATTGCCATGTCCGTACCGTAACCCCATGTCCGTCCACTTGTCGGTCGCAGTTGCGGACACGGCGGTCTGCAGGACGGACATGTCCGTCCCTTGATTTTAGGTCCATAATATCAGATAATACTGATGCTGTTGAACAATTATATGAGTAGAATCACTTTGAGTCTGCAAGGAGAACATGATAGCATGGGTATTTTAGTACTCATGATGATTCGAAATTATCATGTCTGTACCGCAGATCTCGTGTCTGTACCGCAACCCCACTGCATGTATAGGCTTCACTTCACGTTCGCGCGCGCCAACGCCCCTTTCCCTCTCCCCACTCACTTCTCACTCGCACCGCCTGACTCGACTCGGACTCGGCACCGATCGCACCACGCCACAACTCTCGACGTCACATGCTTTCAAATCGCCCACATGCGCCAGTCAATCCGCAAGATGCAACTCGATCTCTCTCAACTTCGGCGCAACGTGTCACCTCAAGCCGACTCAGGTGGGCCCCGCGCTACGTCGCACAGCACGGTTAACAACACCGTCATCTTCAACACGATACAACTAAAACCGCAACCTGAGAGGGCGTGATCACTTTCAGCAGCGTGCTGGCCTTGCGTCGATGCATCGTTCGAGCGTACTCGGTCGCACACGTGCTCGGTCAGCGCATCACCCCGATCACCCCGGTCGCCCTCTCGCTGCTCGACGGATGAGTGTGGTGAGCTCTTCATTCAGGTAGTACCAAGCTCTCACTTCATTCGCTCCCCTCATGTCCGTCTTTGCTACTTATCACTCTAGTTCAACTCGCGCGTTGGCCGACTCGCTGGCATCCAAGCTTCGCACCGAACCGTGTGACTTGTAGGACCATACTCTGCGCATCCCTCATCAGCACCATCGAAAAGACGCTCAACTTTGCTGAGGTCTCGAATTGATTCTCGTCGCTCCACTCCGAACGCACTGCGACCTACGCCAATCTCCTCCGCCACCCCCACATCGTAACGTCAACCCATCACACGAATGCAATTCCTCGCATCTTCTTCTTGATCGAAGCGAAGAGATTTATCGATGCGGCAAGCTCGGGGCTTGTCGGAACATGTGTTGCACGACCCGACTGATCTAGTCGATGTCGAGATTCGAGGCCTTCATCGGCTCAAGCACTTTCACCCCATCTCGACCGCGCCGCGAATCAGTCAAACTCCCGCGCTCGTCATCCAGCTCGGCGAGTCATCCGTTCAAAGCCACTACACCAAGTCTCATCTCGTGCTAAATCTCCCATGCCCGCTCGCCCTGGTCAACATCAAACTCGATCGGCCTTGCACGCTGGCTTTCAACCTCGTCGATCGCACCATCCAATCGACTTTCCTGCGAAACTCTCGATGTTTGCCGCGTAATGCCCCATCGATTCACAGTTTACTCAAACCACCTCTTACGCTGCGCACGTTGAACCATACAGTCACGCCTCGGGCTTCTCTGCACCATTCGGCGCTGGAGCGTGACGATCCTGCGCACTCACATTCGATCTCGGCGATTCATTTGACGAGCTTGATACGGGCGACCACCATCCCACCTCTGCAAGTCTAACATTCGTACACGCTTCAGCAACCCTGGTCATGCGGTGATGGACTGCGATCGGCGTCGCATGGCGCTCCCTCGCTTCGCTTCGTGCACTCACCTCGCTGGTTGTCGACGAACTCGTTTGGCAGTCACAAAGCGAGCAAACATCCGAAAGGTCAGTGCGGCCCTTCAACCTAAAGTCCTTACCTCTCTTCACACCTCGTGTTGAAAGTGTGTGCACTCTTGCTTATGTTTGACTTTTCTTCGCTCCACCAGGTCTCAGATACCGACCTGCGCTTAAGTCGACTCTTTAGACTCCGACTCGCTCGAATCCGTTTTCGGCTCTCACGAATGAATGATTGTCGACTCTTTCCACTTGAGGATCGATACTTTTCCGGCGAAGCTTACCTTGCTCGACCTCGATCTCCTCTCTATCGGCCCTGACCTCAAAACTCAGATCGCTTGTTGACGAGCGTGCAAGCTCTCATCTTTGCCGCTGCTGCCTCCGCCGCCCAAGACTCGACATTCGCCGATCGCTCGCACCACTCGACTCGACTCGTCTTTTCCTCTCAGTGCACAAACAAACGACGACGCAACATCTTTCCGTCACGTTGAAACGTCACTTGCCCGGTACGAGCGGCTCGACCTTACTCGACCCGGCACTTGACGGGTCACCTGGAGCCGGCTGAGGCAAGCGACGATGCGTCTTCAGCAACTGCAACACCCTCATCATCGCCAATCGGCCTTCAACAACTCGATACCGAGCTCATGGATATATACAGCTGCGTCCAGGCTGTGTTGACTGCCCACTTGAGCCTAGCGACCGGACCACGTGCTCCACCACCGACGATGGGCTCAGACTGCCCACAGTACACAGTGAGTCATCCAATCGGAGCCCTCGCTTGCGACTTGCACTCTTTGCTGATGCGATCAAGATCTGTCGCGTCACTGCACAGTGTAGATTGTTGGTCACGGACGACCCGGACTAGGAGCGCTCCTTCGAACCGAACTTCGCAGCGATGCTTACAAGCTCGCGCGCCCGCATTCGAGCCCGCAGATCACTATCTCTCGGTACCTCTCGCCACCAGTTTGAAGCACGAGTGGGTCAATGTCGAGATGGGAGACCCGCACTGCCTCAAGCATTATCACCCCGTCTGGACCCCGCCGCGACTCACTCAATCGCCGGCCCGCGTGATCCGGCTCGTCGAGTCATTTGTCCAAACCACAGAGTGCTACGTTTCACCTCATGGCACCTCAACATCCCACATGCCCGCTCGTCTTCCTTGCCGTTTAATTCGACCGGACTTGCACGCTGACTCTCAACCTCGTCGATCGCTCCGACCGATCGACTTCAAGGCAAAGCTCCCGAGATGTGCCACGGAACACCTGCTCATTGCTTCACATCTTACTTGAACTCCATCTTACGTTGCGCACGTCGAAGCATGAAGTCCCGACTCGGGCTTCTCCGGACCACTCGGCGCTCGATTTCGGCATCGGACCGTGACGATCCTTGGCACTCTCAATCGATTTCAAAGATTGGCTCGACCAGCTTGATACGGGCGACCACCATCCCACCTCTGCAAGTTGCACGTTCGTACACGCTTCAGCAATCCTGGTCATGCGGTCATGGACTGCGATCGGCGTCGCATGGTGCTCCATCTCTCGCTTCGCATCTTACACTCATCTCGCTGGGTGTAAACGAACTCGCTTGGCAGCCACAAAGCGAGCAAACGTCCGAAAGGAGTGCGTGCGTTCAACCTGAAGTCCTTCTCTCCCTCCACATCTCGTGTTGCAAGTGTGTTCACTATTGCTCATGTTTGACGGTTGATTTGCTCCACCAGGTCTTGGATTTCCGCCTGCGCTCAACTCGACTTTTTGGACTCCGAATCACTCGCAACCGTTTCCAGTCCGTCTCCCAGAAAAATGGTCGTCGCCTCTCTCCACTTGAGGATCCAAACTTTTTCGGCAGGACTTGCTCTGCTCGACGCTGATCTCCTCTCCATCGGCCCCGACCTCACAACTCAACTCGGTGCGACAGATCGCTTGTCGACGAGTATGCAGGCTCTCATCTTTGCCGCGGCTGTCTCCGCCACCCAAGACTCGATATTTGCCGATGTCCTGTGCGAGGTGGCTTCTCTTACCATCCGAACTCTTGTGGGTGACCTAGCGCCCGGCCGGCTCGCCTCGATTGAGAACGAAGGACTACCTCGACTCTTTGCCCAACCGCTCGAGCGATGTTTCCTCCTTTCCCTGCATTTTCGATGTGCAAATATTTCCGTATGTGCGCCTTGATGCAATACCATGTGGTCTTTAAGCTCATATGTGCGTGTTTGAGGAACTTCGGATCTTTCTGCCGGATTTTCCTGCGGCCTCCGATGTGGTGCTTCCGGGAAGGACCCGATGGAATGTGCTTGTATCGAATCCAGCACCAGAACTGGACTTCTGACTGCTGAACGCGATCAAACTGGATGCCTGAGCACGTTGCAGTGATCTCTGCGGAGTCACTGGATCGATTGTACTCCTCGCTCACGCCGCCCAGCTGATGGCATGGCGCCGGGGTCCGTTCAGAGTTGGCCTCAGCGCTGTGATTGCATCCCTAGCCTTCTTCTATAAGCTCTTTCCGTCTTTAGCAACTGAATCGAGTGTGTAGGGGAGCTGTTCATGGGCGTATGCCGTGATTCGACACCGAATCGTTCCTCGGCTTTCACGTAAAGCCGAACCTCTCGGCCCGCATCCGTCACCGACGATCACGACGGAAAGTAGGCTTTGGCACCGCAAAGCACCCTGTGGAATCATCCGTCAAGGTTGAGGGATTCAATTCAGAAAGTCCTTGCTTCGAGCGTCGGAGGATCATGATCCGATCGACTAGCGAAAAATAAAGGAGCCGAGTTTGCGCGATCGAGAGGACCCCGGAGTCCTTGCACGACTTTTCAAGTCCTGATCAGAAGTCGATATTGACCTCAACGCTCATGTAATAGGTCTGTCAACCGGGGTCGTACAGCTTGGAAAATGCTCCAATTCGAGTTGTATTGCTTGCAGCAGTGACCCGTTTGAAAGGACCCGATCGACCGAGATCGGGTGTGCTGCGGCCTGACTTTTGCTTTTTGATCTCGGAGAACAGTCCCGATGAAAATACTGCATCAACCTCCCAATCTAGCACGGCACGCGGATCGACCCGTTTTTTCGAATATTCGTGTTCTCTGAGAGTGGGAAGTATCTGGCTGCAGGATGAGGCCGTGAGAATGAGTCGATTGGTCACCTCGAGTGTCCTCGGCTGGGTGACGATCGAGTTTTTTCGCCGACAGTGCTAACTGGACGATCTTCTCGGAGCCATCACCCCTGTAATATTTCAAACGCATGTCTTTTCACCGAAAAAGAGTCGTCAGATTGACCTCACAGAGCACTGCAATCATCGTCGAAGGCGTCCGAGCTAAAGTTTGTCCGGAAACGAAGTGCCGACCGCGTCATATTATCACCGACGATCTCGTGTACGAAACCTACGCTCACGCCGCCAGATATCACCTGAGAAGTGAACTCACCTCTGATGCTTTTCACAGAATTGCGGTCTGCAAGAGACGAAGACCTGCTTACGGGACACGCCCGGCGTGGCTCCGAGTCTGAGTCTCCGCGTCGTCTACCATCGCGCGATGATCTCACCCGTAATCGGATCAAACATCTGCTCCCGAATACGATGTCTTTTCCTCAAATCTTCCGACATAGCTCGTCTACATGCGAAGAACAGCGCTTCAGTAAAGGAATGTCAATTGTACAAGCATGCTCAGTGACCTGGACGAATCGACCAAGTTTTCGCCGCGGACGCCGGCCGACTCACTCGTTCACTGCAACGACTCCCGCCGCCAAGCGCTGACCTCGGAATTACTCGCTCTCTCTAGCCTTGAAGCTTTCTCGCACCCCTTTTCGAGTTTCAAAAAGATATACGCCTTTAAAGGTTGACTGGACCTGAGCCAATCGGAGACCGATCTCACGGCCGAGTGCGTCGAGCTTCGGAATCTTGCGCGGTTAGCTGATAGGCTCGACTTCACGTTCGCGCGCGCCAACGCTCCTTTCCCTCTCGCCACTCACTCGCACCACTCGCACCACTTGACCCGACTCGGACTCGGCACTGATCGCACCACGCTACACCTCGACGTCACATGCTTTCACATCGCTCACATGCGCCATGCAATCAGCAAGATGCACCTCGATCTCTCCCAACTACAGCTCGACGTGTCACCTCAACCCGACTGAGTCGGGCACGGTGCGACGTCGCACAAAATGGTTAACAGCAAGTCCAACACTGCCATCTTCAACACGATACGACAATCAACTCGATCTGAGAGGGCGTGGTCATTTTCAACAGTGTCCTACCTTGCGACGATGCATCGCTCGAGCTACTCACTAGGACACGTACGCGGTCACCGCATCGCCCAATCACCCCGTTTGCCCTCTCGCCACTCGACCGATGAGTGTGGTGAGTATTTCACTCAGATACTTTCCAGCTCACACCCCATCCGCTCACCTCATGTTTGTCTTTGCTGCTCATCACTCTAGTTCAGATCGCGTGTTGGCCGACTCGTTGGCATCCGAGCTTCGCACCGAACCGCTCTGTGACTTGTACGACCATACTCTGTACATCCCTCATCAGCACCATCGAAAGATCACCGCCTTTCCTGAGGCCTCGCATCGATGTACACATCACTCGACCCACATTGCCGCACTGTCGACCTGTGAGGATCACCTCCGCCACCCCCACATCGTAACGTCAACCCATCACACGAATGCAATCCCTCACGTCTCTTTCTTGATCGAATCAACGGGTCTCATCGACGCGGCAAGCTCGGGAGCTGTCGGAACATCTCATGACTCGACTGATTTCGTCGATGTCCAGACCGACACCTTCATCGGCTCAAGCACTTTCACCCCGTCTCGACCCCGCCGCGATTCACTCAACCTCCCGCGCCCTCATCCTGCTCGTCGAGTCATCCGTTCGAAGCCACTATGTCTCAACTCGTCGCTCTAAACATCCCCCGAACTCGCTTGGCAGTCACAAAGCGAGCGACCATCCGAAAGGTCAGTGCGGCCCTTCAACCTGAAGTCCTTAACTCTCTTCACACCGCGTGTTGCAAGTCTGTGCCTTCTTGCTTATGTTTGACTTTTCTTTCGCTCCACCAGGCCATGGATTTTGGCCAGCGCTTAACTCGACTCTTTAAACTCCGACTCGTTCGAAACCGTTTCTAGCTCTCATGGATGGACCTCGATGTCCTCTCGATCGGCCCTGACGAAGCTCAACTCGGTGCGATTCGACGATGGTGCAAGCTCGTATCTTTGCCGCTGTTGCCTCGGCCACCCAAGACTCGACATTCGCCGATCCTCGTACCACTCGACTCGACTCGACTTTCTTTCACTGCGCAAAGACACGACAACGCAACGCTTTGCCGTCATGGTGAGACGTCACTTGCTCGGTACATGCGGCTCGACCTTACTCGACCCGGCACTTGATGTGTCACCCGGAACCGGCCAAGGCAAGCGGAACCCATTCAGCAACTGCGACACCCTCACCATCAACAATAGGAACGACTCGACGACGAACTCGAAGGTATCTACATATACGTCCGGGCTATGTCGATTGCTCACTTGAGCCATCGCGCCCGGAACTGCTCGACCTCGGACGACTCGCTCAGACCGCCCACCGTGAGCTGTTTCGATCTTAGCTCTCACTTGCGATTTGCACCCCTTGCTGATGAGACGAAGATATGCCGTGTCACCGCGTACTGCAGATCGTCGGCGACGGAAGACCTGGAATGGGAGCGCTCCCTCGAATGGAACTTCGCACCGACTCGCTCACACGCTCGCACGGCCCACATCCGAATTAGTGCCTTACCATCCCTCGGTTTCTCTTGCGACAAGGTCCCAGCACCCAGACTAGTTTCGGCCTTCTTGCCACGGAGGTCCGCCGGAGATCCTTGCTCGCCCAGCAGCTCTGGACGCGCTGCGTGCGAATTGCTCCATCGTCCGCTCTCGTCATTCAGCTCGCCAAGGCAACACAGACCGTCTACATTTCATACCATGGCACCCCAATATCCCACATTCCCGCTCGTCTCCTTGCCGTTCACGTTGACCGGACTTGCACGCTGGGTTCCTACCTCGTCGATCGCACCGACCAATCGACTCGCTGGCAAAGCTCTCAAGATTTCCCACGGAACGCCTCCTCATCAGTTCAAATCTTACTCGAACACCGTCCTACGTTGCGGACGTTGATCCGTACAGCCAGGACTCGGGCTTCTTCGGGCGACTCGGCGCTCGTATTCGGTGACGATCCTTCGCACTCTCAATCGACCTCGGCGATTCGCTAGGCCAGCTGGACATGTGCGATCGCCATCCCACCTCTGCGACATGCACGTTCGTACAGACTCTGGTGATTCGGTCGTGGACAGCGCTCAGCGACGCACAGTGCTTCATCCCCTCTCGCCTCGCTCGTTCATGCACTCACCTCGCATGTGTCGACGAGGTCGTTTGGAAGTCACTAAGCGCTCAAACGTCCGCAAGGTCAGTGCATGCCTTGAACCTGACATGCTTTCCTTCCTCCACACCTCGTGTTGCAAGTGTGTGCACTATCGCTCATGTTTGACGGTTGAATCACTCCACCAGCCCTTGGTGTCCCGACTGCGCTCAACTCGACTCTTTGGACTCGGAACCGCTCGCAACCGTTTCCAGTCCGTCTCCTGGAAGAATGGTTGTTGACTCTCCACTTGAGGATCCAGACTTTTTTGGCAGGACTTGCTCTGCTCGACTTTGATCTCCTCTTAATCGACCCCGACCTCAAAACTCAACTCGGTGCGACAGATCGCTTGTCGACGAGTATGCAGGCTCTCATCTTTGCCGCGGCTGTCTCCGCCACCCAAGACTCGATATTTGCCGATGTCCTGTGCGAGGTGGCTTCTCTTACCATCCGAACTCTTGTGGGTGACCTAGCCCCGGCCGCCTCGCCTCGAGATTGAGAACGACGGACCACCTCGACTCTTTGCCCAACCGCTTGAGCGATGTTTCCTCCTTTCCCTGCATTTTCGATGTTCAAATATTTCCGTATACCCTCCTTGATGCAATGCCATTTGGTCTTTGAGCTCATATGTGCGTGTCTGAGAACCTTCGGATCTTTCTGCCGGATTTTCCTGCGGCCTCCGATGTGGTGCTCGAATGTAATGTTTTTGTATCGAATCCAGCACGAGAACTGGACTTCTGACTGCTGAATGCAATCGAAACTGGATATCTTGAGTATATTGCAGTGATCTCTGCGGAGTCACTGGATCGAGTGTTCTCCTCGCTCACGCCGACCGAGCTGATGGCATGGCGCCGTGGTTCATTTAGAGTTGGCTTCAACCCTTTGATTGCATCCCTAGCTTTCTTCTAGAGGCTATTTCCGACTGTAGCAACTGAATCGTGTGTGTAGGGGAGCTGTTTGCGGGCGTATGCCGTGATTCGACACCGAAACGTTCCTCGGTTTTCACGCAAAGCCGAACTTCCTCCTCGGCCCGCATCCGTCACCGACGATCACGACTGAAAGTATGCATTGACGCCGCAAAGCACAACATCGCTTCTTCGATCCACGTGGAGAGCTTCTAATTTGATAGTGCATTGCGGAGCGCCAAGGGATCGCTATTCGATCGACCAGCGCAAATAAAAGGAGCAAGCCCGGAGCTGAGTTTGTGCGATCGAGAGGACCCCCGAGTTCTTGCGCGACTTTTCAACTCCTGATCAGAAGTTGAAATTGACCTCATTTCAGCCTAACGCACTGATCATCGTGTGATAGATCTCTCAGTCGTAGTGATAAAGAGGACATAATTCGAGGCATGCGGCTTGCAGCGGTGACCTGTTCGACGGCACCACTTTTAGTAGGGTTAGGGTTAGGGTTAGGGTTAGGGTTAGGGTTAGGGTTAGGGTTAGGGTTAGGGTTAGGGTTAGGGTTAGGGTTAGGGTTAGGG